CTTTCTGATGGGCCAGGGAACTTTATTTCCCCCCCACCCACATAGGCGGAACCACACCCACGTCAATCATTGGTGGTTATCATGCTGAAAGGTGTTGCCCTGAGCACCTGTCCGAGTTTGAGGACAAGAATTTATTTTGATTACTGGAACTGAACTGAGCTCACAGTCCTTCCACACAAAGTTCAATTCCTAATTATCCCAACCATGCTTCATTTCAGCTGTCATAATTTAAAGGGGGAAAGGGCGGAGTGAGAGCACAACCTAATCTATCTTCTGTCTACCTCTGCAATAAGTGTACCATTATCACCTGCAATTTCTCTACCTTTTTGCAAAGTGTGGAAATGCTATGTGCAATGTGCAGTGCTAGTTGGGTGACTACAGTGGTACCTCAGGTTACATACGCTTCAGGTTACATACACTTCAGGTGACAGACTCCACTAACCCAGAAATAGTGCTTCAGGTTAAGAACTTTGCTTCAGGATGAGAACAGAAATCGTGCTCCAGCGGCACGGAAGCAGCAGAAGGCCCCATTAGCTAAAGTGGTGCTTCAGGTTAAGAACAGTTTCAGGTTAAGTACGGACCTCCGGAACGAATTAAGTACTTAACCTGAGGTTCCACTGTATTGGCATGCACTAGATTGCTAGCAGCACATAGATTTCATAGCGCACTCTTGTGGTGTTTCATGAGTCTGGCAGTCACTCCTAGAGTGACTTGAGCTCATTGTAGCAGAAAAAGAGACTTACCATCTCTGTAATTTAATAGCCAAGGAGGAGTCTCTGACTAGAGAGTGCTGGGACCAAAACCAACCTTGGAAGAATTGCCCGGTACAGTGGTACCTCGGGTTACAGACGCTTCAGGTTACAGACTCTGCTAACCCAGAAATAATACCTCGGGTTAAGAACTTTGCTTCAGGATGAGAACAGAAATCGTGCGGCGGCAGCCGGAGGCCCTATTAGCTAAAGCGGTACCTCAGGTTAAGAGCAGTTTCAGGTTGAGAACGGACCTCCGGAACAAATTTAAGTTCTTAACCCAAGGTACCACTGTACCTCGGGTTATGAACTTAATTCGTTCCGGAGGTCCGTTCTTAACCTGAAACCATTCTTAACCTGAGGTAGCGCTTTAGCTAATAGGGCCTCCCGCTGCCACTGCCCCGCCGGTATGCAATTTCTGTTCTCCTCCTAGGGCAAAGTTCTTAACCCAAGTTACTACTTCCAGGTTATCAGAGTCTGTAACCCAAAGTGTTTGTAGCCCAAGTTGAATCACATAAGTTTCATTACTAATCAGTTCAGTCACACATAAAAAGAGGAATTAGCCAAAACATTGTGTAGTTCAAAGCCATACTTAGAAAAGAGATTGGAGAAGTTTTGGGAAAGTGGCAGCAGTTAGCAAGGTAGCAGTGAACTAAAAGGGATGGTTTGCATGCACAAGGTCCCTGGTTAAATCTCTACCATCTCCAAACAGAGATAGGAAAGAACACTGTCTGAAATCCTGCAGAGTGTGTGTTAGTCATTATAGACCATGCTTGTTCCCATAGTAAACTGTAAATTACATATATATAAAAATATGTTGTGGAATATTGACCCAAGCAAGTATGAAGGCAACATTCTGTACTTCTGAATATGGAGGAAGAAGTTGTGGACTGGATGGATTTCCTAGAAACAGCTGTAACCCTTTAAGAGAAAATCTGCTTTATTATAGTTTTTCCAGGAGTAAACTGGGCTGGTGGGAATAAAGGAATATTTCATCAGTAGCTCACCTCCCATACAACACACCACATATAGAAGCCAACCAGACTGAATCTTTTACAAGTGCTCCTCTCCTGGAGATGCCCTGTTCTTCTCCTCCATAGTATCTGGCAGCAGTGATGTAAGCTGCCCCTGGGGCTGTGCCAGGCCAGACACATTCTGGTGCTAATGGTCCTGTGCCACATCTAGACTAGTTTTGTTTGATGGTCACTGTGTGGAGCTACTTGGAAGCCTCCGAGCTGGTAATCTTCTGCAGCAGTGTCTTGCCTTGCGGAGATCAACCTAAAGTTTCCCACATGACAAGGCTTGAGTTGCAGTTGCCTTTTTCCAATTTGAGGGCTCTTCTCCCACCAAGCTACCAGATGGGAGCCAGGGTTAGCTCTGTGAGATGTCTGCTGTGAGTCCCACTTTTCCTTGGGTCTTTGGCCCTCTCCTTTGCTTAACAGTTGATTCCCTCATGCAGGAAGCAAGGTGCCTCACTTGTTCGGAGCCTTCTGGTCTGGTGACACTGTGATAGCTCAGTTCCACACAGTGGTATTCAAACCTTCTCCAGTTCTACTTGTGGGTTGTCCATGCATGCTTCCTCCCAAACATGTAGCGTAATTTTAAGAAAACCTTTGTCCTACACAAGCCACAGGTGATAGTACTGAACCTCTTGACAAATTGCAATTCAGCATTTTCGCTTTGCAGCCTCCTTTTGTTCTAAGCGATTTCAGAAGCTGATTTTGGTTGAAAAACAAGGCGTTAAATACAATGCATACAAACTTTGTTAACACACATGTAAAGACAAAATAAGAATAAAAATCGGGTAACCATGTTGGTTCATTAGTGGTGGTGGGGAATACCAAAAAGCAATAGCAGTGTCACACTTTCAATAGGGCTGCAATCCTATTCAAATTTACAAGGGAATAAATATATCCTATTGAACAATGTACTGACTTCTGAATAAGTATGCAGAGGATGGCGCTGCTCATTATCTGCCAAGTGCCTCTTAAGATCCTTACAAAATGCAGAGTTGGTCTTTTCTATTTGTCTAACAAACAAATAAGGGGATGATATTGAGAGGGGGAGAGCCATGTATGACAGCTTGTGCTCCTGGGAGAAAAGGTGAGCCATTAATGCAACAGTCAATAGACCAGAGCTTTCCAAACTGTGTGCTGCGACACATTAGTGTATCTGCTGCAGTGTGTAGGTGTGTCGCATGGATGCTCCCCACATTCCTCCCGGGGCTGGAAATGGGTTAGTTTAACCTCTGGCTTGCTAGTAAAACTGATTTACTGTGTCGCAAAATTATGCGGGTCTAAGTACTATGTCACCAACATGAAAAGTTTGGAAAGCTCTGCAATAGACAAACACTTTCTTTGGCATGTTTCAGTAAATCCAGTTAGCCTTGATCTTTTAAATGAAATTATTGTTTTATTTAAATATCCTTTTCTGTTATCTAGACAAGGGTCAAAATAAATGAAATATTTCTGATTAATAAGTAGCTAGAGGCAATGAGCACTTAGTTATTAGTCTTGTGATTTCAGTCTATATATATAACTGAAAACATAGTCCAATTGTTTCTTGGTTTAAAAAGTGTTGTTTATTATTTGTGGGGGGACCTCAACTCTGACTCATCCATGGTTCCAAGGCCATGTCAGCTCAGTGGGCAGATCCAATCTTTCCACAGCATAAAATGTATTTTTGAAAAATGTTTTGAAAAAGAAGAGGGGAGGGGGAGGTTTCTTAAAAAAGTAAAAAAATAAAATAAAATAGCTGAAGCCTAAGCTGCCTGGGAAATACGTGCAATCTACTCTCTTGGCCCTAACAGAGCGTTTGGAGCCAAGAACCAACTTCAGCATCATAACACAATCCCCTTGGGCTGTGAAAGATGTCTTTCACAAGCTCACTCGGGATGAATGGGAAATGCACAGAAACACGACGAGGCGCATCGCATCTTCCATTCATCTTTCGGAGCCTGCGCAGAAGAACTTCGTTGTGCCCTCCTCTCTCCTCGCCGACGATGCCTCTAACTTTGGCTCCTCTTCCGAGCACCTTGTGGCTAATCCCGACAGACATGAATAACGGGAAGGAGATGGTCCGTGCAGCGGATCCGACCGTGACGTCGCCACGAACATCTTTAAAGGTGGGCGGAAACGCGCCGCCGCGTTGCTTTTATTTACCCAGCCAAGAAATTCAGGGGAAGCGTCTCCCCCACCGAGGAGTAGTTGTGACAGAGGGGCTTAACAGCAGACAGGACGGCTGAGCCTTCTGCAAAGGGGAAATGGAAACTCTAGGAACGTCCGTCTGCCCATTCTGGCCACGGATTGTCAATACTGACCGGCAGCAGCTCTCCAGGGTTTTTCACGCAGATCACTTTCCCTGCCCTACCCGGACATTGAACCTGGGGTCTTTTGCTAGCAAAGCAGATCCCCTCCCCCCTCACTGAACTAGAGCCCCTCTCCCCTACACGTGGCCATCATCGTGCTTCTTCTGCCACTGCTGCTGCTCATTCATAGACAGGATAGCCAGGCGCCACCGCCGTCTTGAGAGCGGGGGGGGGGCATCTTCTTCACAACGCTGCTCTTATTTCCCCAGCTGACGCCCTTGTATCTCGGTGAGGAGCCTTTCAACACAGTCGCGCCACCATCCTGAACGCATCTTCCCATGGAAGTCAACAGAAACTGCTCCCGAGTAAACGCCGCATGGGATCGAGACGGTAGTGTTTAAACAGGCTCTCAAAATCGCACTGACTCCGGTTTCACTGGAACCCAAACACCTCCGTTCTAATAAATCGTCCCAGATGAGCCCCTGGTCTTCCCTCCAAAGAGCGAGAGGGGCATCGAACTCGGAGCTGGGAATCCCCAGACCTGGACGGGGCCGTGTGAATCCGGAAGTGGGCGAGCAGGAGGTAGAGCGCGGCTTGCCCGCAGGACAGCGATCCTTCGCCTTTTCTGATAGGCTATAATCGCCGACAGAGACAGAGACACACAGACAGAGAGCGCGCGAGAGAAATCTCACTCAAACCCAGCGAAGAAACGTGGGCTACGGGGAAAGTCGCGCTCGCTTTCAGAATCCTGCCAAGCAGAGAAAGTAAACAAGGCTTTTTCTTGCCCTCCAGGGGCATTCAGACTTAATAAACACACCCGCACGTAAACATGACCCGCTTGTCCTATGATTGGGTAAAACTAAGTCGCCCTGCGCTCATGCGCACCCAGCGAGCGAGCGCGCAAAAAAAGTTGCCAGTTGTTTTAGATCACCATCATTACGATCATGATTATCTTGGGCTCTTTTACGATCTGGCTCATGAATGACCAGAAAAAGCAGCGCTTCTTCTTGCAACTCCAGCGCCCCCGCCGCTGCCGGGAAGAAAGCTTGTCCGGGACCGCCGGCCTCGCCGTGGGCCAGGACTTCTTCTTGCTGCCGCCTCCGTCCGCCGAGAGGCGCGCCGAGTCTCCAGGCGGGAGCGAAGGCTTCGCCCGCTCGGCTCCGGGGCTGCATCCCCGCGCCGCACGTGGCCACGTGCTCCGGGCGAAGAGGAGAGGAGAGGAGCGAGGGGGCGGCGCTTGCTTGGCACTCGGCTCGGCTCGCCCAGCGCGCCGCTCCATCCATCTCGCGGCGGGCGCCCGGGCCAGGTCTGCACCAGACGCGCTGCCTCCTGCCGGTCCCGGGAGTGGGAGACGCGGGCCCCAGCGACCCGGAGCTCGGAGGAGGGTCCGCGTGGGGCTGGGCTGGGCTGGGCTCCGCCCGCCCGCCGCCCGCCGCCCGCGCGTTCTCTCGCTCGCTGCCCGCCCGGCTGCGGGGCGCTGTTGAGAGCGGCTGGAGGAGCGCGCTGGGCCGGGCCGGCTGGCGGGGAGGTAGTGGCTTGGGTGGCTCCGCTAGGTAGGTGGGCGGCCGGCGAGCAGGAGGGGGCGGCCGCGGCGGCGGCCTCGGCTTCGCTCGGTCCCTCCCCCCGTCGCGAAGAGGCGGACGATGAACAAGCTCTACATCGGCAACCTGAGCCCGGCCGTGACTGCCGAGGAGCTCCGGCAGCTCTTCGGCGACAGGAAGCTGCCCCTCACCGGGCAGGTCCTGCTCAAGTCCGGCTACGCCTTCGTGGACTACCCGGACCAGAACTGGGCCATCCGCGCCATCGAGACCCTCTCCGGTAAGCCTGCAGGCGCGGCGCTCCGCGTTGGTCAGGGGGGCGTGCGCGGAGACCGCTTACTTTGCTCCCCCCACCAGCCCCGGCTGCCGTCCCTTCCTTCCCCCGGGTTGGTCGAGGCCCCTCGGAGCCCGCGAGGCAGCCTGCACGGCCAGGGGAATCCCCGCTCGGGCGGGAGTCGGTGGCGACGAAGGGGCTCCCCGCTTGACCCAGACCACCTCCGGCGTTCCGGGGTCCCTGCCGACCGACGGGGTTCTCTCTTCCCCTCGGAGGGCGATGCTTCCTTGGGAGCCTGCGAGCCGGTCCCCGCGCCCCGTGCGCCCCTTCCCGTTCGCCCCGCGCGCGCGCTGCGCTCCGGCGAGCGGCCCGGCGGGCGAGGGAGGGATTTTTCGCTGATTTTTTTCTCCGATTTTATTGAGCGGCTCCCGGGCGCTGGGGACGGCTCCCTCCAGCTCTCGTGGCACCCACTAGATCTCGGGCACCTTTCTACGAGGTGCCCTGTCCCAACTCGACGGGGACCCGGAGCAAAGAGCTCGAGACGTGCCTGGGGGCCCGAGCGACGCGCAGCCCTGGGGCCGGCAGCTGCGCCGCGAGTGAGCCGAGCCAAGGCCGGAGCAGCCGGAGGGGGGAATTGGCCCAGCCCCGGGAGGGAGCCCGGCCACCGGGATTCAGTGGGCCGGGCTGGAAGCCGCCGGGAAAGGCCGGCCGGAGAGTAGCGCGCAGTCCGGATGGCCCTTCGCTGATGCGCGCGGCTGGGCCGTTTCTTGGGTGGAATCGGGGGGCAGGAAGATCAGGCAGGGCGAGCTCACCCACGCAAGAGCCCTTCGGCGTGGGGATGAGCTGCCCGGCTCCTCGGTAGTTCGCGGGGCATTCATACGAACAGTGTGGGGTAGAAGGCTTCGAGCTGAGGGGGCGGTACTGGAGCCGGACGCGCAGTATTCTCCCGCCTCGGAGTGCGTGTTCATGTGAACGCTCCCAACTTTCAGATCAAAAGGACTGAGCCAAGGAATAGGTCAAAAGGATGGTTTCACGGGCAGAGGGAGGGGTAATTCCTTTGGGCAAAAGGAGTCTGTGCCCCCCACGCCCACCCCGAATATAGACACTTCCCTCACAAAGTGCTTAAAATCCTTTCAGAGCTGGAACTTAGTTTCAAGGAGTTCTCACCCCAAAACTGATGCCTGATGCTACGTTCCCCACAGTCCTCGCTCTGCCGTGGACTGTGGCGAATCAAGAAGTGTGCCACCCTCCCTCAGCTCTAGTCGGGTTTCGTTTCTGAGCACCACAACACTTCCACATTTCTTTCTTTTCCCCACTTTTAAGGTAAAGCAGAGTTGCATGGCAAAGTCATGGAAGTGGATTATTCTGTCCCTAAAAAATTAAGGTAAGTACTTTCATGTTCTTTTGTTTACTACAGTCGATTTACTCATATGACCCAGAAGCAGAGCGAGGTTGCGTCACTTAAGTTTAGGCTGTGGTGCGGTATGTTGTTTAGTAGCTAGCTGCCTGTTTGCCTCTCTCTCTTTTTGGTGCTTTTGAGTTGTTTTCATTCTTGAAACCATCAAGTGTTTCCTCCGGTATGGATTCGGTTGTGAAGAATTGTTTTCAATTCAGCAACGTGATAATTTCTTTGAAATGTCATGATGCCTTAACAAAAGGCTTCCTGTGACGTCTTGAGAATCCATTTATAGTACAATCCTGCACACAACTGCCTGGAAGTAAAACCCTAGTTGATGGGGTTTTTTGGGGGGGGGCAGGGAGGTTTGCATTAAAGTAAACATGCCTAGGACTGCAGCCATTATGCTGGCTAACATTTTTAGCAATTCATTTAGTGTTCCTATTTTGACCAGCCAAAAGTTAACTGAAAATGAGCAAGCCCATGGCATGCCCTGTGATTCTTGGTTTGTATTCAGGGCTAAAGAAGTGTTAAAAGCTACTCCTTAACTTTCAAGCTTCACCTACCTCACACTCCAGAGATGGGAGATCTTTGTTGCCAAAGGACCTTACCACACAACCTGTGTGACCTGTACTCCTTTGGAGTAGTTTGGGCTTTTTATGGATCCATGGCAGAAGTGTGATTTTATGTTGTTGTTGTTTAGTCATCTTAGTCGTGTTCGACTCTCTGTGACCCCATGAACCAGAGCATGCCTTGGAAACTCTCACTTTCTTCTGAAAGCTTCTCCTTTTTTATGTCCATGGAGTTTGCTTGGCAAAATACTGGAGTGGGTTGCCAGTTCCTTCTCCAGGTGGATCACATTTAGTCTAAACTCTCAGCTATGACCTGTCCATCTTGGGTGGCCCTGCACAGCATGGCTCATAGCCTCCTGGAGTTATTCAGGCCCCTTCGCAGACAAGGCAGTAATCCATGAAGGTGTGTGATTTTATATGGGGTGTTAATGTTGCCTTCTGATTTAGTCTTTGTTCTGATTGCTGTGTAGTATTTCCTCATCTGAGGGTTTTCTCTTACCATGCAAAGCACATTTAAAAAGTTGTGGTATTTTAGGTTATTATAATGTATAAAGTATGGTGCTCCTGATCTGTAGAATTCCAATTTGCTTTATGAATATTGCTGCATAAGCAACTGTTCTTTTACCACTGCAGCTGTCTAACACATTAGCACATAAGTTCTGCTGCGGACTGTTTCCAAATCTCTGACATAATGGGTGAAGGCTTGTGCTTGTGGCCTTTCTCTTTTTTCCTTTCCGTTCCTCTCCTGCAAGTGTCATTCTTCATCACAAGCAATGTAGCAAGCCTTTGTAGTACACGGGAAAATTAGTTAAACCAATACCCATTATTGTTGAAGGCTCTGACTTCATACCTGCTTTGCATCAGAGTAGTAAAATTTCCTTTGCATTTGGGAGGGATGCAGTGAACATGCAGTTCCTGAGCGTGTAGAGACATTTATTGACTTCCTGAGTAGTGTGCAAGCTCTAGACATATTTTTGAGGTTCTGTCTAAGAAATAGCTTTGGCATGTTAATTTCTCAAAATGCACAGTTTAGTTTTAGTATTAAAAAAGTGAAGTTAAAACTGGTGTTTGAAAAGAAGTACTGTAGGGAATTCCCTATAGATGCCTTTAGTTAAAAGAAACTACTCCAAAGTTTAAAAGAAATAGTGCAGAAATATGAGAAATGTTGTGTTTGAAATATTTGTATAGAATTTTGGATACTGTGATAATCAAGTGGAGAGAATATTTAATGTGAGAAAACTTATGCAGTCCGAAACTTGTTACTCAGATCATTTGTATGAGTAGCTTCAGAACATGAAAAATGCCTTACCATTAAATGGAATACTATTGTGAGATTACATGTAAGCTGCATTCTTGGTGTTAGTCTGTAGCAGCAAAAACACTGATTTGCAACAGCTGCTTAGAAATTCTAGACTTCATACTGACATTTGTACCCCAGTGTTTTTATTATTTTCCACATAACTAATTGTAACGTCCTAATTTTGTCATGTGCTATATGGAAATAAACTGTTTGATCACAGTGTTGTTGGTAGGTGTTAAATTGGTAACAGTTCTTAGTGTACAGAGTATACTTCTCACTGATAAATCCTCACTCCCAGTCCTTTTTTTCCCCTGGGGGTACGCAGGGGTATGCATACCCCTAAACATTTTGTGAACCTTTGTACTTTTGTCCATTTATTGTATTAATTTTTCCCAATTTGAACTATAAAATGGTGATTTTCTTGAGTCAAAATTACAGTTCTCCTAAACATCTTTAAAGAAAAAAAGCACTGTTCACTCCTAAAAGTGTTGAATGCTAGATAAAGAAAGCCAAGCTAGTGCAATTCTGTGCATGCTCATTCTTACATTTGAGTTGTCTCTCTTCAGTGGAGCTTACTCCCAAATAAGTAGGCACTGGATTAGGAATGCATCAGAAAATTTTGATTATTTTCTTTTTAAATGCATAAGTGGCAGAAGCTTGTCACTCGTGTGGTCAGTTCCAAATATTTGCTACACCAGCAAGTAAACAAGTTTAGGATTGGATATTCTGATTGCTATTTGCAGAACATGATTTCAGGTAGTTAGACTGGTGCAAATATTTAGTGTCATATGATTAGCAGCTTTTCACCCAATTAGTTCTGTTTTTCTAACACAACACTTGTTTTAACTTTTTACTATGCAAAAAAAAAAAAAAGGCACGAGAATGGCAAATTCTTTGATATTATTAACATTGGGGGGAGTTGAAACAAGGGAGACAAATTAATAAAATTATGTTCTAATACCCTTTCACCTGCCTGTCATGCTTAAGGATTCTGAAGGTTAATTGTCCTATAATTAGTTGTAATCTATTTGGAGAATGGGAGCTATCTATATGTTTCAGTTGGAGTATTACAATGCTCCTTAAGGTTAAATTCTCAGAAGCTGAATGCACGTCCATCTCCGAATTCAGTCAGATCTAGGTATGCATCAAACAGCTCCAACACAGTTAGCTTTCTAAATGTTTTCATGGGCTTTGTTGGGAAAGTTGGATGTGTGTAGACATGGAGATGGTTCTGGGACAACTTTCCAGATCAGATGTCAAGATATGGTCATCTTTAATTAGAATGCAAAAATGTTTATATTAATAAACAATAAGTGCCTTTCACACCATGGTAAGTTAAACACAGCTTGAGGATTTTCTTTTTTTAAAAAAAATGGTTAGATTTTGTAACGAGGAGTCATTTTTCGCTATTGTTTGGTGGGATTCATGGTCAGGTTTGGACTGAATGTTTAAATTCACAAGTGTGTGTATTTACCTGTCTGATCAAAATATAACTTGTTAAGGAAACCTGCTTTGAATGACACCTCAAGCTACTCTCAATGCCATGTTTTAAACTTAAATTAATTACTGCTCAAATCCATTTGGATTTAAGCCTGCTATCTTAAACTTTTTAAAATGTCTGTTCCATCCAGATCAGTAGAAAAATAACACCCAAGAGCCAAAGTGTACTCTGACCCACAAAAGCTTATGTCACAATAAATACGTCCACTTGTAAAGTGCCCCATTTTGTTATGTGTGTGTATTTTGTAGCAGATTAGCTCTCTACAGTTAAAGCCAGTGAGGCGTATTTCCAGTTAAACATGCTTAGGATTTGCAAGAGAGAGTAGGCTGCAGATATGGTGTATTTAAGTGGGTTATATAGCTGTGCCTTGGTGTATAGTAGCGCCTCATTCTTTCCACTCTTGCAGTAGAAAACAAAGTTTTCAGAAAGTAGCAAGAATGTGAGGATTCAATCTGGATTTGCTAATCTGCATTGTGTTCTGGTGCCTCACCTCTTTATTTCTTAGCGAGCAAGCAAGCTAGGACTCTCAGGCAGAGGTACCTTTGAAAAGGGGGTCTGCCATATGACAATTCTGGGGGCGTGGGGAGGGGTAATTCAGCCAGAGGCTGACAAAAGGCTCTTAATATATTTCATGAATTCAATATTGCCAGTTTTCAGTGCTTGGGGTGCAAATGTTTTAGGGAAGTGCCCTGTTCATGTTGTTGTTTTCTGCTTCTGTTGTTTTCTGCAGAAATGGTAAATAAAGTATCTCTCCTCAAAATGCGTTTTAAATCCAGATGTTTTACAGAACATTTAATTTGATGAAAAAATAATCCAGTTTGTTTAAGGAACTTTTATGAATTAGAAGCTCTAAGTATAATTATTATTGGAATGGAAAAATTTACACAAGTGTTTTACATTAAGCACTGATTTTGATTTAGTTGCACACCCTGAATGGAAAGTTTGCAGTAATATCATGTTGTGATTTCCTGTAGAACAGAACTGATAAAGTTTACTTGTATAAACTCACAGCATATACATGGGGAAATATAGCAGTAATGTAGCAACTGGTGTAAAATGTTCTTGTTCTCCTGTTTGAAAAAAAAAAGTTAATTTGTGGGCTAAAATATTTAATATTAAGAATATAAAAAGTGAATTTGCAGTATCTAAATAAAAAGACATAACATGTAAGTGAATGGAAAAATTGAAAATGCCTTGATAAATATTAGTTTGCAGCTAATTTGCATTAAGAGATTAAAAGAAGTTAGTAACATGATTATTTTAAAATTGGTTAATCTTTTTTTGGTCTCTTTGAAGAGTCATCCAAAAGTTATGTGTTCTTGTACTTAAAGGAAATAATTTCTGTTGGAAATGAAGTGTATGAATCCTGAAAATCTCTCATGTATTTGTAACAGTTCCTCATGGGATGAAGGCAAGGCGCTCCTGTGATCCTGTTTTAAAAACTATTGTGTAATAGAAACAGTTAGCTTTCTCTTCTTCCTAAAGTATCAGAAACTGAACTTGATTTTGCTAATGTATGGTGTCTTGTGGTGCTCTTTTACAAATCTATTTTACAATTTATTTGAAAACTCTTGTTTTCAAATAAATCACATAGAAAAGTGTCAGTAAATATTTGTTAATTACAGCTGTGTAATTGAGTTGTTCCTAAAGCAAACCAGATCTATGGTTTCAATGAGTGTTATCGAGACAGAGACAGAGGAGAGAGACTTCTGTTTAATTATAACATGTTGAATCACCTACCGTTCCCATCAGACAAAACAATTTTTTAGACTATAAAATTGGTTCCCCAGGAGTGACTGGAGTGTCTGGTCTGGATTATGTTGTTTCTGTGAGTCATTTCTGTGGTCGTTAACTGGATGTAAAGAAACACAAAAGTTAGAGGGATGAGGGAGTTGTGGAGAATTTGAGAATTCTGTGAATAGAAGTCAACAGTGAATATTCTAGTGGAGGGATATTAAGGGTTACTAGAGAGACAATCCATATTTTTAAATGTTCTATCCCTTGAATGTGATTTTGTGATACAAAGGATCTGCTTATGCTTGAAATAGTGCCGGTGCTGTAAACCAAAATACCTGTCCTGTGTCCAGGATAGTAGCAAGAGAATCTGACCTATGGCTAGTGACACTCCATTATTTCATTAGTGGCACAAATGAAAATAAGTGATGCAGTGGAGATAAGCAAATGGTCTCAACATGGTTAAAGCCCTGTCCTGAAGTTTGTTTTTCTAAGTTCTTGCCCATTATTTTTAGAGCCAGCTTCTCTACAGTGGGAATTTTGGAAAGGTGTGCGTGCGCAACCATTTGTCATCCTATGTTAAAAAACTTAACTGATAAAATGTGCTGAATAAAATCTTGCCACTGAGAGTGCTGGGGTGTGGGGAGTATAGTTGATTGGGTTAGGATTGCTGAATATATTGATGTGGATGTATCATTTTCATGTTAGTTATGAGTGACACCATTTGTATACATTTAAAAGCATATATATGTGCAGAACCTGATACTGTGGAGTTAGTGTTAGTCACATGTATAAACTCAGCACATATTATCACATCTTAACTATTGAACCAATGAATAAAGCTGTAAATCCCTGTATGGGCCAAAGGGGTGGTTTTAAGAAATGTTAAAAGGTACTATAGTAGTTGGAAAGATTGTCAACTCTCACACTGGATTTGCTGGTGCAAGTTTTATTTAACACCGTCTACGTAGTGTCGAAACTCCCATTGTTCTAGGCACATTTTGTGACAGGGAATTTCATTGGCACGAGCAGTTTCTGAGCTCTGGGCGCAGTAGTGTATCTAAGGTTTCAGATTAAAACTACAGAGTGGAAGGAAAGGAGGGCCTTTTTCTGCCTCCCCACTTCCAGCTACTCTCTGAAGTCTGGAGAAGAGACCCTCTTAAGAATATTAGGGTGGGTGGGTAGGGAAAGGACTAGACCATGTGAAAAATTAACATAATATTTTAGCTGCAGTTCATTCATTTTCAGCTTTGTATTCTTGTTATGAAAAGTGTGCCTGGACATTCTGTTGTTGTGCCCATAACCTAGGTTTAAGGTGCCATTTAGCTCCTAGCTTTCATATCTCGGTTTCTAACATTGCCTCTACGTGCCTTCAAAATTGTGATATAACTTGATGCCATGAACAAGCATTTTCCTTCTGGGCTAATTTTGTTCAGTATGATTTTAAAGTTGATATGTTCCTGCTTTTGATAATTAACACATTCTAGTTTCCTACATGTTAATTTGCATTGATCTAAACATTCATTCATCAGTTTAAAAGGGCAACAATGCCTTTTCTTTACCAGCATAAAGGTACAACCAGTTGGAGAAGATGTTTAGGATATAGGACAATTGCTTTTGAAAATCTATAGCAAATCATAGCATAACGATGATACAGTATACAAAACTGTTGTGAAATTAACATTATAGTGTGTATAATGGGAAGGTGTAATGTAAATTTCTTTCCTGCATTAACTAAAGACTTATGAGAAACTATTCCAGTTCCCTGAATATTTCCATTCTTACCTTATAAGCAACCCCATTCATTTTTCAACACCACAGTTCATTTCTAACCAAACGTAGACTGAACTTGATTTTATAATACCCTTCTGTTAGGAAAGGGGAGATTGGACTGTACTTAATAGTTACAGACTTTTTAAATGAATGCTAAAGCTGTTCCTATTGATGGACTCATTCTGTGAGATGTTATGAATAAGATGTTAATCTTTATTCACTTCTGTTTTGGAAATCTCTTTTGTCTGGATTTCTTTAATCCAGTTATCTCCTTCAGCAATGCCTCATGCCCCTATTTGTATCTAGTGCAACTACCCCCCCCCAAAAAAAATGATGTCCAGATTTAGGAGTTTTTTCTTTGATGTCCCAGTCTATTTTGCAGCATTAGTGTTTTGAAGCCTGGAAGATCACATAGTAGACTTAAGTGCGCAAGTAGGTATACAGTCCTTGTGCAGACCAAATCATAAAGACTTGTAGATAGTTTTGTACAATTCATTCTTCCTATTTTAGGTGTATTCTAAAGTGTTTATCCGTGCTAAGTTTTCAAACCTCCTGAAAAATTACGATAACTGGCAGGTTAGAACAATTAGATTTTCTTAATTGCAGTCTGTAAATACCAGACCAGATAGTAAGGTCTTGCATAACTTCCGTAAGATGCCCAGGCTTGGGCTTTGGCAGCTCTTTAGGTGAAGGGAAGTATAGGAGAATCACCAGAGATGCCTCTCTGTGTGCCTTTGTCTCATCAACTTGACACGCTTCCCCCTTTGCTTATTTGAAGTTCTGCTATGTGAGAGTCTGGCTAATTTTTGTACAAAGTATGCGCAAATGAAACAATGAAAAAGAAAGGGTAATGAAAACTGAGAGCATGGAGACTGAGTTAAAGGGTTTGAGGTTTGCCTAAGCACGAAGCCATACGTAAGTGACTGTGAACTGCTCTTCTTATTTCAGCACAATGAACTATTTCTACTGTGTGTGTGATTCCTGGTGAAGTTATATCTGTTACTGTATTAGAAGATAAAGACAAAATGTAAACAACCCCCCTCACCCCTTTTGACCAGGTGAAAATATAGGAGATGGGAGGGAGCAATCTCTTCTTTGTGCATGAGATATTGGTCTTCACAAACTGAGCTGGGAGCAACCAGTACAGTGTCCTTCAGATGTTGCCAGAGCAGCCAGACTACAGATCCCATCATTCCTAACTACTGACCTGAGGCTGATGAGAGTTGGGAGTCCAGTATCTGAAGTGCACTGTGTTGGCTACCTCTGAGCAGGAGCACTTCAAACTGTTTCTAGGAGGCTGAGAGTGAATGTGAGAGCAGCAGTGTGTGTTACTGTTTGAACCTCTGATTGTAAAAAAGAAAAAGGGGGGTGGTAATTAGAAATCTTGCAGTGGCCTCTGAGACTCAGGCTGAACTAGCACCGCTCAGAAAATCTGTAAGTCTCCTTAGCCCTAGCACATGAAAGTTGGCAAATCTGCTCTTATCTGAGGTATTGCCTGTGTGCGTGTGTCTCTCTGACACCGTATCTTTTTCATTTGCAGCCTCAGCTGCTGTATTGCCAACCATGGGTGCTTGAATGGCATGATTCAGCCCTGTCCAGAATCATAAGACTGGTTGACTCATGCTATTTTACTGTAATCTGTTTGGGGTACTAATTGTTCACAAGTATTGGCGGGAGGGGGAGCAGTCACGGTGCTAACCTTTCCTTTGAAAGAAACTAGCCACAGAGGGTTGTTTTCCCACCAATTGCAAACTGTAGTCCATACAGTTATTTGCCTCCAGAAATTCAGCTGATGGTGCTGATGCTATATCTGGTTTCACCATACTTGGTTCATTTCAGATTCCAGTGTGGATCATTCATTCAGCTGTGGTGACTGTCGTGGGGAGTTTTCCAAAGCACTCTGTTTCCCATACAGCTCTGGCCAGCAACTAGTCTTACTCAGGATGGATCTGAAAGGGAGACATTGCCCCTGCCCAATCAAATTGAAAATAGCCCCCCCCCCTGGCCATTCCATTGTGATTGCATCAAAATGGGGTGATAAAGTTTGCCTGCTCCGAGTGAGAGCTATGGTTCCTGAATTGCCTTTGTTTGCCTACATACTGCTGTGATGTCACCCCACTCACTATAGAATTATTCATTGGCTGCAAGAAAGATTGCCCCCTCCCTTCAATAGGCTTTATTTGCCCTTAATGATATCACATAACCAAATATAATGGGCTATATCAGTGGCTTTCAACCAGTGTGCCATGGCACCCTGGGGTACCTGAATGATGATCAGGGGTGCTGTGGATAACACTTGCCTCTGTCCCTTTTTCCTTCCCTCCCTCCTCTGATTCCCACTCATGCCTCCCAAGGGCTTGCACAGCTGTTTGTTGCAGCAGCCCTAGCTACAAGCTTCCCAGGCGAATGGTGCCTCTGGGGTTGGCCAGGGAGTGGTTTCCAGGCCTCTGTGGGGCGGTGTGAGGAGGCACCTCTCTTTGGAACAGGGTGGGGTAGCTCAGAGATCAAGGGTGGCAGCAGCGGCTGCCCGGAGGACTCCCAAGGAGAAGGGACAGGAGAGGAGGCTGAGGGACCCCTCCACAGGGGAGGGTGTTCAAAACAGGGTGAGAGGCCGCTGGCTCTGCAGGCAAGGGGTGACATAACTGGGCTCCTGAGCCCCACAGGGGTGCCACAGAAAGAACGTAGTTGTTCAAGGGAGCCATGGACCCAGAAAAGTTGAAAACCTTGGCTGCATAATATAATTACTTTCACTAAGTGGTTCCCTATTGACCAGATTGCCCATGTGACTAATTAAGAGAGACAAGTTGGTAATGAGAATGGATAAAACAGCACTGGAGAAGCAGATAGGTGAGCAGCAAACAGAGTTGAGAAAATGGATAATTTTCTCACAATTCAGTTTTCGGGTTTATGTTTTCCAAAAGCTCTACTTTTGACCTAAAACTTGAGATGGGTGAGCATTCAATGCATCCCTAGTTTTATTTAGTTAATTTTTTTGACCGTTCTTCATTCCAAAAGGATCTACCAACAACCAGTCTTACTCACAACATCCTTCCCCATATATATCAAGGGCCCTGCAGGCAGATATGGCCACTGTATTTGAGGAGGAAGGAAAGCATGAAAGCCAGCTATAGCAGGCAGCAGTGCACATGAAGAAAGGAATGATATTTCCCCCATGCTCTGCTGGGTTCCTGTTGCAAAGCTGGCAAAGACCTCTCCCTGAGACCTTGTGAGCTGCTGACAATGACGGAGGAGCAATGACCTGCGTCGGTATAGGACAGGTTTATGTAGGATCACATGAGCTGAAACACAGCTCAGAAAGGCCATTGGGAGTGGCCAAAGAGCTCACTATTTGTGAACCCCTCTTTGTGCCTGGAGAGCAAGAGAGTTTTAAGAGAATTGATGGGGGAGCCAGGCAGACCCATGTATGCATGGTATGTGCTTTCCTCTTTCCTTTTGTTCCGCTGTTGTATCTGGTCAAACTAGTTTTGCAGGCTGCTTGAAGACAAGCTGCAAGATCTTTGAACAAGAGATGGTAGCGGGACAGAGAAAAATGAGCATCCCACTCCAAATCATGGTGACTATATCATACTTTCCCCTGCTCTTTGAGAAAACTCATCTGTCTCCCCCTCTCTGATAACAAATGTGAGGGGAACAGCTGGATGGGGACAGGTGGCACCCCTTAGGTAGTTTAGGGTGGAGATGGTTGATTACTCGCCTCCTTGCATTGCATCCACAAGTGCACACATATAGCTGTGACAAAAGTGATGGAAGAAAGCAGTTGCTGTTTTCCAGCATTTCCCAAACTTGGATCGCCAGTTGTTTTTGGACTTCACTTCCCATCAACCCTGACCACTGGTGCTGCTAGCTAGGGATGGTGGGAGATGTAGTCCAGAAACAGCTGGAGACCCAAGTTTGGGAAACCCTGAGCTAATCCAAAGAGGATGAGCTATGTAGTCTCTTTGCTGCTTCCTACTTGGCAGGCAATGGCTTCTTGACATTTCCTTGGAGCAGTCTTCCTGATTCAGTACTGTGCTTCAATCTGCAAGAGAGCTGTGCTTCACCTAGTAGTTCCCCACCCTAGTTATTGCTCCATTGGCTACAACTGATCCAGACACACAGGTCAAGCTTGCTTTACTCCAGCTCCCATCAGCTGCAGCCAGCACAGCCAAAAGTCAGGAATGATGGGAGTGTTAGTTAAGCAGCATTTAGAAAGTCACAGGGTCCCCATCACTGCTTTAGTAGGTGAAATGGAAAGCCTTTATATTCACCTTTAATTGGTGGAAATTGTGAATGGTACTTGCTGTTTTAGACAAATGTTAAAGGATGCTTTCAGTTATGGAACTTTTGAAATTCCCAGCAGTTTGCAATCTTATGAATGAGATCTGCTGCCACCAGGCACTTTGTGAATGAAACCAGTGCCACAAGATCATTGATGTTGTAAATTACTGAATGAGAATAAATTAAGGAGGGGATAGGGGAGAGCAAGGACTTACTCATGTTTTGAGCTTTAAAACCCTGCCTATCTTTCTGCTGATGTTGTTCAGTCCATGAAATGACTTCCAACAGTTAAAACGATACAAAGAGTCATATTGTGATGTGCATACAGTTGAAAAAATAGATAATTTATACTCTCCACTTTTCCTCCCTCAAAAAGATCATCATATAAAAACTGAAAATGTGCTCTTGAGTACTAAGTATGGCAATAATTTCAGTGCCAGTTCAAAGCTATTCTTCAATGAATTACTTGATGTAGAATTTTGGCAGAAATCTAGAGTGAGCATAGAATGTTGAGTTCTGAACACTACCAGAAGATCCTTCTCTAGCATTCCAACTGAAATGAATAAGGAAGGAATTAGCTATTTGCAAACATTTCTGTGAATGGACAAGCAGAGTTTTAATGAATGAAACTTTCTTCTGCCTTTTGATTCTTTCGCACAATGAGAACCTAAAGCAGTACTGATGTAGGAAGAAAGGTCAGACTTTTGTTTTCTGTTGGTACTGCAGGCTGCTTTCTAGAAGAAAAAAAAACTGTGCCAAAATGAAGACAAAATTAGTGGAGTGTATGGATTATTTCTATGGACAAGAAGGATAATGTCAGCATTCTTCCTGGTAGGACATGGAGCTGATCCAAAAATAAGAGGTAAAGTGTAGTATAGCATAGGAACATCCTTGGATCATACTAGGCTATAGCTCTCTAGACTACAACTCCCATCGTTCTTTATAATTCGCCATGCTGTACTGGGCTGATGGACGTTGGACTCTACTACATTTGGAGGGCCGTGGTTCCCCATTCCATGCCTCCTGCATGGTGCAAGAGTCATGATGTTTGTCAGTGCTGTACTAGATGCTGTCGATCATATAAACCATGGCTGTGCATGCTTTAGAGCATGGGTAGGCAAATTAAGGCCCAGGGGCCGGATCCGGCCCAATCGCCTTCTCAGTCCGGCCCATGGGCGGTCCAAGAATCAGCATGTTTTTACATGAGTAGAATGTGTGCTTTTATTAAAAATGCATCTCTGGGTTATTTGTGGGGCATAGGAACTCGTTCATTTTCTCTCTCCAAAATATAGTCCGGCCCCCAACAAGGTCTGAGGGACAGTGGACCGGCCCCCAGCTGAAAAAGTTTGCTGACCCCTGCTCTAGAGCAGAGATAGCCAACATGATGACCTCTAGATGTTGTTAAGACTACAACTCCCATCAGCCCCAACCAGCATAGCCCATGATCTAATAATGCTACAACATCACGAGAGCAGTAAGCAGGGTGTTGTACAATGGCACATGGCAGATGCAGAAGAAATTGATCAGTTTAGCTGATCATATCTGAACTTGCAGTATTTAGCTGTGAATCATTTAGAATTCCAGAGTTATTACATTATTGTTGGTTCAGTACTTTCTAAGAGCATGTGAAAAGGGCCAGTTAAATCCCTTTGTGCTAGGGCATAAGATTCCTCCTTTCCTCCCTCCCATCCTTCCTTTTTAAAATTAGTTTTTATTAAAGATTGTCTTGTGCTACAAAGCAAACAAATAAACAGGGGAAAGTACACCCTCCCATCCTTCCTTAAGGCTCGACCAAGTTTATGACCTCCCTGTGAAAGAGCACAACTATGGAAGTAGCCTAAATAGGAGTGAGCAACACAAGTCATGTCCTGTGCATCTTAGAACTCCTGTTCAAGAATACAGACTGTCCAAGGTCAGCAATTCTCAGGGTGGCTGCAGTGTACTTTGAGACTTTTCCAGGGAAATCCTTGATCTTGAGCAATGCAGCTGCTGATGTTCAGGACACTGTGAGATAATACTGGGTTGTGAACCAAATGCCTTATTTCCTTTCTATTTATAGACCTGGCAGCCAGCTAGAAACTGAATTTCGAGGCATGTTTTTTCATGAGTACTTCTGACAGTGTGTAGCACGAGGCTGTTTTCGAGGTTTTCTGTGTGTTGAATAAACTGCATTTGATTATGTGAGCGGTCCAGAGATAACTCAGCGGGCAGCTCTGGGAGACTGACTGGAACATTGTTTCGGCATTTGATCGAGAGAAGCACAGCAAGTTATACGATACTGCGTGCTGGCCAACTTCCTCTGGCAAGCTTCACGGCTTCGTGAAGTTCTTTGTGCAGGAACGGGTGAGGAATTTCTGAGTTCATTTTTTTGGGAGGCCTGAATTGTTGGTGTGTGGCATGAGCTGTGGAAGAGGCTCCAGAGTGAGAAGATGGAGCGCAAGGGCATGTGACCAGAGGGTGCCGATGTGAGCCTGTAGGGTAAAATGGCAGAAAGGAACATGGGGAGCTGCCTTATTCTGAGTCAGGCTACTGGTTGGTTCATCTAGCTCAGCATTGTCTGAACTGACAGGCAGCAGCTTCCAAAGGTTTCAGATTGGGGTTTCTCCAAGCCCATCCTGGTGATACCCAGGGATTGAACCCAGAGCTTTTTGTATGCAAAGCAAGGTAAAGGTAAAGGGACCCCTGGCCATTAGGTCCAGTCGTGACCGACTCTGGGGTTGCGGGGCTCATCTCGCTTTATTGGCCGAGAGAGCCGGCATTTGTCCGCAGACAGCTTCCAGGTCATGTGGCCAGCATGACTAAGCCGCTTCTGGCAAACCAGAGCAGCGCATGGAAACGCCGTTTACCTTCCCGCCGGAGCAGTACCTATTTATCTACTTGCACTTGAATGTGCTTTCGAACTGCTAGGTGGGCAGGAGCAGGGACCGAGCAACGGGAGCTCACCCCGTTGTGGGGATTCGAACCGCCAACCTTCTGATCGACAAGTCCTAGGCTCTGTGGTTTAACCCACAGTGCCACCCGTGTCCCTGTATGCAAAGCAACTCCTCTGCTATTGAGCTACAGCACTTCCATGTGCCCAGATGGCAGCAATCTGACTCCTGACATCTAGTCCCTCCTGTTTCTTCCAGCACCTCCACCATTTCTTAGAAAGAACAGCAAAAGTAGATTGTGCTCTGTTGGTTTAGAAGTCTTGAGACTATAGGAACCAACTCCTAGGGGCTGAGGTCCCTTCAGTCTCTCCCCTCCCCCCCAAAAAAATACTTGGGGGGGGGGTTGGGCCCACCAGCATTGATGGGCATTGCCATTCAAATGGCATGCATGCACCGTGTCTTGTGACTGGTTATGCAGGGTGGGATTTACCTGCCCCCCAATATTTTATTCAAGTTGGCATCCCTGTTTGAGATGTATGAGTGATACAGAAAATTGCGGCAAGTGAACCCCCATAGTCCAAGTGTCACCTTGAGCAATCCAAAATCAGGTCCCCCACAACATAAATTCAGAACCAAAGAAATTAATGTCTGCTGTTATAGAATGTATAACATTATAGAATGTAAGGTAGATTCTGATGTTCCAAAGCTTTTGCAGTGCTTCAGATCAGGCAAGAGATGTTTTACCACTGGTAAAATATAATAATATCCAGAACAGCTTGGATATCAAAGTTGAAATGAATTAAGTGCAGGGCACTATATTTTAGATGACTCTGTGATTGTGCTGATGTTTTGCTTGTGATTTTCACTGAGCATCTTCATACTTGGTGGTATTGCGGGATGCGGCATGTATTAGGATATGTTATATGGTATCATCTGTCAAGTAATAAATAGGTTTGCATGTTGTCTATTATATGTTATGTTATGTTATGTTATGTTATGTTATATGTTGAAAATACACCGCTGTCCAAAATGATCAGAAATCATCTGCCCTAGCTGCAACAAAACATGTCTGTCTCTACCACCACAGCAGGAGCTGTAACACTCCAAAGGTTGGACGTCACCCTTGAAGGCATACTCCGCCATTGTCTCCCAAGACAGACTGATGTCAACAAATATGTTGAAAATACACTACTGTCCCAAAGGATCAGAAATCAAATAGGGGTCATATACAGTGGTGCCTCGCAAGACGAAAAGAATCCGTTCTGTGAGTCTCTTCGTCTAGTGGTTTTTTCGTCTTGCGAAGCAAGCCCATTGACGGATTAGCGGATTAGCGCTATTAGCGCTTTTAGCGGCTTTTAGCGGCTTTTAGCGGCTTATCAGCTTATCGGATAAGCAGATAAGCGGCTTAGCGGCTTAGAAAAAGGGGGGGAAAGGAAAAAAAAACCGCAGGAACTCGCAAGACATTTTCGTCTTGCGAAGCAAGCCCATAGGAGCTTCGTTTTGCGAAGCACCTCCAAAACGGAAAACTCTTTCGTCTAGCGAGTTTTCCGTCTTGCGAGGCATTCGTCTTGCGGGGCACCACTGTATTCACTGAATATTTGGTAAATATGCCACCACAAGCAAAATGATCTTGTGGAATAATGCTTGCCCAGTCTTGCAGCGCTTTATACGGCCGGAAAGGGGCATTGCCCAGAGCTAAGCAACCTTTAATGCTTTTTACAAGTGATAAATTGACTAGTCCCTAGGTAGTGTTGCTTTTTTTTTTTTTAAATTAGGAGCATACAGATAAAATCAAAAATTTAAACTGTAAATTAATTTGTGGATTTTCTTCATTTTATTCACTTCCATCTTCATATAAGACTGCCTTTTTGCCAATTTTTAAATAACATATATTGGACAAGGTTGTATAAATACAGGCCCCTATCAGCTGCATTCCCCATAAAGCACTGGATTTGGTGATTAACACCTGAGGTGCTGAAGAGGAAAAGTTGCCAAGTCCTTCTTTTATGCATGCTACTGCTGCTTGCAGAACCTCACTGTTCCATCTTTTTAGTCCATCCTTTTATTCGTTTCCCAGCTGATACAGGTACCTCATTTCCATTGCACTTTCCATGCATTTTGATTTATAATACTCACTGTTCAGTGCCTTTAATGCAGAGATATGCTTTAGGAGAGAGGTTTGCTTTTCTCTACCACTCCCACCCTGTGGGGGCAGGAACACTCACCTGTCAATCTCTGATGTTATCAGAAGACTGATAAATGGGCAATCCTGCCCACTGCAGGTAAGAGGGAGGGTTCTACTTCACCAGTGCATTCCCTACAGAGAACAGACTGGTGAAACCACGCCCAACAATATTGAACCCTGCCCATAAAGCGTATGTCACCCAGTGACATCAATTGATGGACAAGTGGGCATAGTTCGGAGAAAATGGCCTTGTGGGCCAAATTGACATACCAAGATTGGCCCATGGCCTGGATGGTCCCCATACACTTCCTTTAGAAGGTAGCCCACTTCAGATGTTAACGGGTCTTCTGCATTCATATAGTGAATATGCAGGAGCAAGCTTTACCTCTATCCATACATTGAATGTGTCTGTTTGCGTGAATTCATGTGCACATATTGGCAGGCCTCCACATCATAAGGGGCCTTGTTTATTTAAGGTTTCTGACTGTGTGTCCTGCCACTCGGTATACCCTTACATACAAAGAGACAAATGTGCATTTCCTCATGGGGGGAGGGGATGGCACCTGCCCCCGCCGCCACCCCACATTCATAGTACATGTGGAGGGGAGTCCTGGTGTCCTAAGAGGGCTAGTGAGCGCATGTTGCACTTTCAGAGATGGGCATGAGTACTGGAAGGGAAAGGAATGGGAAGCTACAAGCCAGGAGGGATCATAGTTCAGCTTTGTTCAGCGGCTATGTTTCAAGCCACTAAAAGTGCCTGAGCAAGTTCTTCTCAAACGATAATATGCCTGACAATGTGGTGTAAAGAAACAAAAATCCAAGACTGGAAGAGGAAGCTGGTGAAGACAGACTGCCTTGCTTTGTGCACCAGGCGTGAGGAGTGAAACATGTGAGTTCTCCTGTTCTGAAATGGCTGCTTTTGCATTATGGAGAGGTTTTATAATGCATATGACAAATGTTCACATACAGGGGCTGGAGATGGCTTCTAAATATTGCAAATACAATTCTTCATAGACTAATTTAACCCTAAAGTAAAAATGACTTGAAGCAAGCAACACAGCAAGGTGTGGGGATAAGCCAGGCTAAGCTAATTGTCTCTGAATTGTGTTTTTGGAAATACTGGGAGATTATCACAAATCATAACTGTACAAATTGATGGAGAAAAAAAGGATGGCCGTATTTGTGCAGCTAAGAGCATAAGAATAGCCTTCTGGATCAGGCAATGTCCTTCTGGATTTGTCTGATGTTGCACGGGCAGAAGGAGCCCCCAGCCCCCCCCCCCCGATGCTTCCCTCCTCATTTCCCACCTGGCACGCGAGTGGCATCACCGTGGCGGGGGGGGGGGCGGGATGTTTGTGCATCCCAGCGTAGCGCATGAGTGCTTTCGCACTAGGCAGGGGCTGGACGTGTCACGTGGTGCACCCCCCCCCCATGTGAAGAGCAAGTCAGCACCCATGACAAGCATAGCTCTCAACTTTTCCCTTTTCTTGCGAGGAATCCTATTTGGAATAAGGGAATTTCCCTTTATAAAAGGAAAACGTTGACAGCTATGATGGCAAGATGTGGGGAGATGAATCTTTTTCATGCAGAATAAATGAAAGGGAGGCAAACAAGCCCAAAGTCTAGGTATGCTAACTAAGCCAAGAACTGAGCTGTGAGGAGGATTACGCTTTTGGAATAAGTAGAGAAACTGAAACATACTTAAAAATGGTGTAAACAACAGCCTTAAAACAACTATCTACATGAGAAGTAGGCATCTATAATTGCTTGTAGATGCAGGAGCAGCTGGCAACATTATAGAACAGGTGAAGCAACATTTACAGGCCTGCAGGAGTGTTTAGCACCTGAACACATCACCACTGCAGTATTTTCCATATGAATCCAAAGAGAAGCCATGAATCGAAAGGCAAACTGACTGCAGTGGTAAAATCAGCAATGAATGAATACCCTTGCAACAAATAGCATCTCCACCTCACCCAGAGAATCTGTTCTTCTCTCCCTATTCTCCTGGGGCTAATGATAGTGAGGAACAACTCTTGGGTGCCTCTGAGGTGTAGCGTAATAGGGATAAACCCCTGCCCTCTTTCTGAGCTGGGAAGTCCCTATATCCCCCTTTGTCTGGATCAGGCATAGGCAAACTCGGCTCCCTCCAGATGTTTTGAGACTACAATTCCCATCATCCCTCACCACTGGTCCTGTTAGCTAGGGATGATGGGAGTTGTAGTCCCAAAACATCTGGCGGGCCGAGTTTGCCTATGCCTGGTCTGGATCCTGAACAGAGATAGTTTGGCAGCAACACTGATGCCATTTATTTGTCAGGTGAGGACGCCTCTCTTTGCCTGGACTTTTGGGCGGGGGAGAGGCATATTGAACACTTGAACTTCTAACACTGCTGGTTTTATCTGTTCACCAAATTGTCTTTCATCACTAGTTTTAATTCATTATTTAATTTCTGGTTTGGAACACCTCGATTTCTGCCCTGGGACCAGGCCTAGATTTGGGCAAATTGCAGTTGCCTCTGTGCAAGCAGCCAGATGGCCGATTAAGCTGAAATCTAGAAGCTGCACTCGGTACGTTTTGAGCCAAGCACTACTTACTGCTGGCTGCACGTGGAGCAAGAGAGAGGAAGCCAGAACTGGCTGCAGCCATATCAGGCCGTCCAGTTGGCTCATTTTGTCTCTTATTTTGGGCACCAAAGCAGTGTGTGTAATCACTCCTTTAGGAACATGGCTGTCCTATGCTCTGTCCCCCATTCCTTTCTTTTATACCTGCATCTGATTCTAAAACGGGTTTAAGGTGATTTGAATGTGAAGCAGTCAGAGCTGAAACCAGGAAAGGCAGACTCTCCAGTGGACCAAAGGGACAGTTTATACATGGTCCAGGTCAGATTTTTGTCCTGCAAGCATTGCAATAATATAAATATTTAATAACTGTGTTCTCATCTTTCTGTCACTGCTCTTTTAGATCACGGCATTTTCTGTGTCATGCATCATGCTGAGCTGCTCTTAACAAACCATGTATTAGGTCTAACACTTGAACCTTTTACTCTGCTCTCTAAAAAAATAACAATGGTATTCACAATAAGCTGAGAGCGCAGGCTTGGGAGAAACCAAAGAGTCGACCCTACATTCAGCGAGACGGCTGCTTGTCACCTTACCCTGTACATTTACATTGGGTGCTATGGATACCTGGGCGCAAAGCACTTTAACCTCTTATCCATTGAGAATGGAACAAGCAAGATTAAATTGCCACCTTTCTCGGAAAATAGACAGAAGCATGGGGAAAGGCCTGCTCATTTTCAGAGTTCCTACTACTGTGGATTCCCCCTGCCCAAGGAGAGCGATCATTTAATTGAATGCATTCCCAGCCAATGTGAGGCACATCTGTCCTGAAGGGCAGAAAGAGAGCGAGAGAGAGAGAAGTGTTCTTCCATAGGATTTATTCTAGCATCCCAACCAGTGAATACATGCTAGAACAGTTGTAACCAGAATAGCATTAATAATAATAATAAATCCTTGAAACTAAAGGCATTTCCAGACTCCTGCTCTTATCAGGTGCAATTCAGTCTGGCACATTCAGGCTGATTTTGATTTGGATCTCTTGCACAGCAAACCCACTTCTCCACAGAACCAGACTTTCTATTCTTACTCTAGTCATGCACTAGTACAATGCCCAGGATTGGCCTAAGTGTTGTTGAGTAAGGCCTGCTGGGTTTATCTTTCCAAGCCAAGATATGATGTATCCTTGCTGCTTACCAGAGGCCTTTCTGTTCAGCTTGTCACAGGGAGCATTAGATGAATAGCTGGAATACTTTCAGGAAATAATTCTGAAGAAGCATGAATTATGCTGATGCATCAGAAACCATCATGCTTAGTCGCACCCTGCAGCTTGACAAACCCTTTGACATCAACTGCAGCAAACTTGCAATTGCACACCTTGGCACTGATTCATACATTGGTGATGATCAAACAGTGTTTATATGGTTATCACTGCACTGTTGAATTCCTTTCTGCACAAGCATCTCCCCAGAAGCGCTTGCCTCCCACAGTCTGTGATCATTCTGGCCTTTATCCGTGCCTATGTGGGTGTGTACTTTAGAATTCTAGTTTCATTTAGACCATTTAGGATGTCCTGCGTCTTATGTGATGATTTGAAGCTAGGTCTTTAAGGAGCAAGGCATGAAGTATTTTCCTGCTGCCATTTATTCAGCATTTAGTACTGAAATGCAGCCCATTTGAAAAGCGGTGGAAGATGTGTATGATTTCAGTGGGTGAGACAAAAGGAAGAGAGGGGAGAAGACCTATATATGTTACAGGTAAGAAGAGACTGGACGAGTAGTCAGCAAGCATGGAAGCACAGTGCTGGTATTATCATTCCTCTGAAGGTAATATCTGGTCTAGAGGTTCGTTACCTTTTTTTAGCTTATTTGTGATGACAAAAAATGGTTTCCGCATTAGAGGAACAGGTGTTTTTTTTAATGTCGTTCCAGTGCAGGTGAATACTTGAAGCTATATCAAGCTGCAGTTGGACAACGTTTCTCCCTATTGGTCAACATGCAGTGGTTCTGCCATGCTGGCTGAGGTTGATGGAAGTTGTAGCCCATCTGGAGGGCATCGGTTTGGGGAAATCTGCCCAAAGGAGTCAGTGCCTAAGTATTTGTTCTGATGGAGTGGAGAGATTATCTTCTTTCAGTTGCCAGCCTGATGCCCTCTAGATGTTTTGGACTCCAACTCTGAACGGCAAACTGCCGTTCTAGCTGGAGAACCAGGGGGGCACCGGGTTCACTAATCTAGTCAGTATGCTCTGGTAGAGCAAATGTTGAGTTTCAAGGTCCAGGCTTAAATCCTTGTTCGGCTGTGGAGCTTTAGATGAGTTTCTCTTTCATATTCCACTGGGAAAGTGTTATAGACTAACTTCAATCTTGAGTGTCTCTGTTTCACAACTTTGATCTTAAATACCCATTTGCAAACCTAGTCTAGGAGGAGCCTGGAGTGGTTAGTGTGTGAATGCATCTGATTATGCATTTTCTTTTATATAATCATTTTCTTTCTTTCTCTCTCTCTCTCTCTCTCTCTCTCTCTGCCAAAGCAATCTTTGCTGTCCAAGAAAAAAAACGTGTCTCTGAGGATAAACGGAGAAATTTTGTAAAATCATTTTATACAGTGAAACGTGCTACCAAAATAGTAGAAAAGCTCAAATGTCATGCTGATGTTTTATCTATGGAATATAACTTGGGAAGGCCAGGAGCTAGCAAAGGGAACCTCCTTCCATCAATACCCCCTTCCCCTGCACGCGCTTCTCAGAGATAGCTTTAAAAAAAACAAAAACAAAAAACCTCCTGATAGTAAATCTAGAAGGATTGATTTGCATAGTTTCCTCATCCCCTTCCTCTTGCCCTTTGGACCTGTTTGTTTGTGGATGCTTCCACTGTAGGACTGTCAGCCTCTGCAGATGGCGTGGAGGTTGACTCATTTCCTTAAGTGTCTTCAGTACTGCCATGCAGCTGGCCAGCATACCCTGTGATGTCAGACTCCTCCTCCTCTCATTCCTAGCAAGCTGTCTGGGCCTGGATGGGAGCTATGCATTGTTCTGCAGATGGGCACATGCTGTTGTCTGAAAAAGGATCTCTTCATAGCTTTCCTCTTCTTTGCAGCTTCCCTTCATATTGGAATATCTCTGTCTTGATGGTGAATGGGTGCATCAGCTGAATGAAGGCTATGTCAGTGCCTTTAGAGAAGTCATGACAAGGAGTCAGGCCATTGGTCCATCTAGCTTAGAACAGTGCACATCAAGTGGCAGCAGTTTTCCAGGATTTCAGAAAGGAACTCTCTTTCCCAGACCTCCCTGGGGAGGGCCGCCTGCATGCAGAAGTATGTCCTCTGCCACTGAGCTCTTCCTCAAAAGGATAGCAAAGGGAACTGGGAAGTATGTATGTATCCGTTTTGTTAAGCTGAGACACTTTTCTCTGCAGACATTAGTCCTTTCCAGGAGTGCTTTTCCATGTGATCAACATTGTGGAAAGCTGGAATGAGGGCCAAGTGTGCTCACCCCACTGTTGCCACCTGCCACGAGCTGAATAGCGACTGTTTGCAGTGTGGAGCCTGCTTCAGTTGAGCATTTTAGCTGATTTCCCAGAGTACTTAAATGTGTGAGGAGCCTATACAAGTAGACCAGGTTTCTCACTGCAGATGTGAGTGGGGAGGGAAAGCATGCCCATCTCCATATTCTCCTGCTCAAGATGCTATTTGTGTGGAGAAACAAACACCCAAAAGGTTCTATGGTTAAAATTAGATCATCATCACTTAGATTCGTAAGACCACCTCATGTCTCCATTCAGCCTCACAAAAATGTTAGGTGAGATAATTGTTCCCATTTTACAGAAGAGGATCTGGAGCTAAGAGATGAAAACTCCCATTTTTTACCTGAAGTCTGACTCTCTGTATCTACTGGTCCATGTTAGCTCACTGAAAATCAGAAGATGGCAACTTTTGAGAAGTGTTATGGTATGCTGTTAGTTGCTGTGGGCTACCTGGTTCAAAGGCTCTGTCTCTCCCACCACACCTGTGAATTCACACCTGTAACCCCAATTCCTTTTTCTGCAATAGGAGGATAATATTGGGCTGTCTTGCAATGTTGCAAGGGTTACTAAGGAAATGTTTGGGAAGACGTATTAATATTTCCTATGAATACTTGTGTTGTTGTTAGGACTAACATCTTCTTAGAAAAGGCTTAACCAGCAGTGAGGGGCAAAGGCCTCAGTAATGTTTGTTATCTTTTTTAAATAAAAATCATAGGGCCGAGAATAAGAGTTGTTTGGCCCTTCTTTTGTTTATTTTTCTCTGAGGATTCCCTTCACTGGGGCAGAAACTGAAACCAAAAAAGGATATTTATTCCTGTTTGTTAGTTTGAAAAGACAGGTGCAAATGCACTACCATAGTATGTTAACCACATTAGTTTCCGCAGGAAAGTGTTTGACTTGTGTACAGCTTGTATGTTCACACCAGTGAGCATTATAGGGCTGTTGTTTCTTTCTGTCTTTCCTCTGAATTTAAGAAGAAAAATAGTGCCTATCACTTTTTGCAAAGGAATGCAGAGGGGTGGGGTGGGGGGAAAGAGAGCAGTCTACCCAACTATTTATTTTCAAGAAAAAGGTAAATCAACCCCCATCATACTCGTGAGCCATATTTCAAAACAAGATTATACCCACAAGAGAAATATCAGTTCCAGCAGAAAAGCAATGTGAAACTGCTAGTACTCTCGTAAGAAGCATGGACTTTCACCAGCAGTTACTAGGGTTTACCTGTGAGTAAAGCGTGCTGGTGAACAATGTATGTATCTGCGTAAGCATACACTTTAAATTTAATTGCTCTGTGTGTTTTTTTTAAAAAAAGAGAATGAGATTTATAAATAGAATAACATTCACCGAGTCCTTCAGTTTGGATACATGCAAAGCCAGTTGTGCCATAAAACTTGTCATTTGAAGGACTAAGGCAAAACTCCATCTAACAATCACCTGCCAAATTGGTGGGTTCAATGCAAATGCTGTTTGTGGTTTTTTAAAAAACCCTATGGTCTATTGTATCTAGACTCCCCTGTGCTGAAATAATGGGCTGCGTGCCCTCTTGTGGCAGGATAGAAAATGACTTTGAAATCAAACCACCTGAGGTTCACTGTTCTCTCCTTAAGAGAGATGTTCTGTCTCTCTTGCAGGAGAGCAAACTTTTTTTTTAAGAGACTGGTGTGCAGTGGTCTGTTAGGGCAGACCTTGTTGGCAGTTGCTGCCTAGATGCTCATGCCCAGTTGCAAAATGCATGGTGCTTATCTCCTTAAATGGGGTGGGGAGGGGGAAGGGATGAGCATGCCTAGTCAGTTTGTAAGGATGGGCTGTAGTTCAGTGGTCAGGTCCCAGGTTGACTCCCCAGTATTTCTGTGTGTGGCTAGCAAGGAGAACCACTGTCAGTGCTGAGCTAGATGAAGCACTGATCTCCTATGGTAGTCTCCTATGTTCTTCTTTGGGGTCCCCTCCTCCAAGCAAATGCTTTTATATTTTCTGACTTCTGGGGTAGGGAAAGGCACTGAATTTGCAACTCTGTGGGGGGGAAAGGTGTGCTGTCAGGATTTATCAATGGGTGTGCTTTGTGTGCATTTGTAGAGTAAGGGGGAAGGGATGCTTTGGAGTTGCATTGTGAAGAGTTTGTTGTGAAGAGAGTTGTTTACTAAAAGGTGTGTCTTGAGCACACACTTGGATCATACATTTCCATTAGCCACATTTTCGTCCTTCTTTCCTACTTGTAGAGGAATTTGTGCTGATGGCATACATAGTGTGCCTTTGCTACTTCTGCATACCCTGTTTTAGTGCTGGGGCTCCCCCTGAAGCTGACTGTCCTTTTAAAAAAAAAAAAAGTACTTTTTTGTACTAGAAAGCCCATTTGTTTGTCTTCTGTCACTCAGTCTCCTCCACTGCTTTGCTGCTGCTGCTGCTGCTGCTGCTGCCCTGCATACATCTATTGAACATTCCAGGGTTATATAATTCTCTCTCAGTAATCTTGATCTCTTTCTTGATCTCACGATGCAATCTTTAGTAAGTGATTCACACAGCCCACTGCCCCCAATTCACAAGTTTGTGCTAAAAGCTTTAAATTGGTCACGTATGGACTTGTGCTTCACTCTGAACACTAATAAAAAACCTATACGTAACATTTTTGCCAGGTGTTCAGTATGCTTCAAATTGATCAGTCAAGACTATTCTCCTTATGGGCATTGTCATCAAGCTGAAAACTATTAAATACCTCTCACTTGCCACATGAAAGAAAACAGTACTGTCTAAAGTCTTTCATCATTCTTTTCGGCTCCACTTGCAATGCGGTAAAACTCAAACCCATAGTTGTTGTTTGGATTTCCCGCCCAGTTTTCTGCAACAGTTCCATCAATTTCCAACTTTTCCAGGAGGCCTTAGCTGGATTTAAAATAAAAATTAAAAAATGGCCTTACTGGTTTATTTTCGGATTTTATTTTCACACCATGTAATCTGTGCTGCTGCTGCAGACGTTGTAAAAGAAGCCTAGAGGGGGCTGAAGTGTGGAACAAATAGACTTTAGCAGTGTGCAGCTCTCTGCTACAAATTATTTTAAAATGGGTGCTGCCTTGTGTTTCTTTTCTCTGCTGGTGTTTTCGAGAAATGCTTCCCTCCACTGGCAAGTTAGAAGGATGGATGTGTGGTCTTATTCAAGAGGTGACTCAGATCACATGTTGAGTTCTTTATATCAAAGATTTATTACTGCCCATTCCTCATCAAGTAATACCTGCCACTGGGTCAGTGATACCTCTAGCTTTGCTTTCTCCAACTCTGATAGGCAACTCTGTATGTGCAGGAAAGCAAGTAGAGCAACAGTTTCCCTCTAGTACTTCAACAGCAGGGATGGGAAACATGTGGCCCTCCAGTCATTAATTGGACTACAATTCCAACCATTCCTGACCATTGGCTATACTAGCTTGGGCTGATGGGAGTTGGAGTCAAACAACATTTGGACTAACTCTGATGGAGGGGAAGTGGTCCCAGGTTCTCTCATGACACATCTATTACAGAGGATGCAGAATCCGGAGAAGCCTAGGCTGAACATTGCTACCCGATGTATTCATTTACAACTTGTAGGTTTGTTTATTTTGGCAGACCTTCAGCAAGGAGTGAGTGAGGTAGCACTGGGGTGATTTGGAGGAAGGGGTAGTTTGGGTGGTGTTCCAGTGTGGTGGGCTGTGCTTGTTTACTTTTCATACTCTGCTTCTGGCTGCGTAATGGGAAGTATGCTTGAGCAGAGTTTATTGATTCATTTGATGCAACACTAAAACAGGTGCTTTCATTGTTTTCCTGTCTTGCTTAGAAGCCTCCATCTCACTGGTGATGCAAATGGACTCATGCTTGCACCTTGACATTGCCCTTGCGTTTCCACAGTGATGGAGCTTTGAGTCAGGCTAAACTTATGAGAGCTGGCATTGAATGTTAAAACCATAGAAAACACACCCACTTGAATGAGTGGTAAGAAAGCCCTAACAGCATTTTGACTGTGTTTGCCTTTAGCTAATCTCTCCCTCTCCCTCTAGTCTTCATTTCTGCTCTCCTTTCATGACCCTTCATTTGCCACCTTAAAACCAAATTAAGTTATTTGGAGTGGTGGCTAGTGCCCATTGCAACTGGTAGGGTGGAAGGCAGGGAGACCAGCAACAGGTGGACAACCAACTACTTCTAGTTTTGACCCCATCCTCCTTCCTGCTGGGTTGTACAAGGACAAAATTAAGACTGAATGTGGCCTGGACTGCATTAGGCTGGTCCTTTGCCAACATAATTTGAAACCAGTGCCATTGCACTGATATGTAACTTAAAGTGTGAAGCTTTGCCTCTTGGCAGTTAGCAACACTTCGCAGAGTCATCAAACCTAGATATACAGCTTTTGCTGATAATGAAATGTTTCCACAGTACCTATTTCAACATGATACAATGTAGAGTAGGTTACTGATGGGGCTTTTGAAACTGCTTCCTCTCATGAATCTAAGGTAAACTGATGTCAAAATCCTAGTTTAACCTCTGAAATGTTGTCTGGTTTGGAACAATGGGATTCAGCATAGGTTCCAGATGAGTTTCTGTTGCTTCAGGAGTTGTGCTTGTGATTCTCTTTGAGTCTTTAGTCTCTTCCAGATGACCTCCTTATTGAGCATTCATCCTAATTAGTTTGCAGGGAGATAAGATGACATTGGCCATTTAATGAGCATTTGTTCTGATTTGTTTGCAGAGAGGTTAAATGATATTTCAAAGCAAGTGTTATCCCACACTTTCCAGGGGGTCTGTTGCCCAAGACCTCCCAATCAACTGTAAGTGCATAACCTGATTTTGCCTAGCATCTGATCTAACCTCTGAAAAGAGCTACAATCTAGAAGCGTCCTTAAACGTTTCAAGGGCTGCTCACCTTCCTTGCAAGCAAGAAAATATAACGAATGTATTTCACAGGCAATAAGCATGGTGGCCAGCCAGATGGGCGGGGTATGAATGAATGAATGAATGAATGAATGAATGGTGCATGTGGTATCATTTGTTTTATGTATTGGAGAGTTGAGAAATGAACTGAAAATCTACCAGACATTGAAACAACTTGCGGAAGCAAAAGTACTAAAGCATAAAAAGTGTGCTAGCATTTTAAAGGATACAACTTCCCCCAAAGATTCCTGGGAACTGTAGTTTAAGGGTACTGAGGATTGTAGCTCTAGTGGGTAATTTCAGGATTCTTCGGAGGAAGTAAGGTGCTTTAAGTGTGGTTTAAATGTATGGTATATATGCAGCTAGAAAACAATGGCAGTTGTGTAACTGTGAGCAGAAGCTAATAGACATGGTACAAAAGGAGGAAAGGAGATGAGGAGGGAAAAGGCAAAGAAGCAGATGCAGGTCACAAATTCTTCATAGTTATGTAAGTATTTCACAGCCAGATGGATTGGCCACTGACAGAGTTGGCTATCCTGTCTCACATCACCCTGTACTTCAGACATGTGGAATAAGACTCTAAAGATTTGGGCTTCTGAGTCACATGAATGGGAATGTTGGCCAGTCTTCTCCATTGTAGCAGATGACTAAACATTTACCCCACATAGAAATCCATGAGAGGACTAATGTTCAGTGAATTATTGGCAGGCAGAAAATTGGATTAGCCACTGGCTTCATGTTTCACCATTTGCACTAATATTTCTGTCACTGTATAAAGACATTTTCCATTGTTTGGATACATTTGATTTCTGAGAAAATGAAAGTGGAACCTGAATTTTCAGTTCAGACTGCGCTTGAGCTCTTACCTTACTGTTATCTGCTGTTGGGGAATTATGTTTTAGTTTTCCCTGAATGAGCACTGCTGCTGTCAGGAGAGAGAATGCAATTATCACAATTTGGGATTGGCTGCAGAACTTGTGAGGAAGTTAACTCACCTTTTGTAATCTGGTAGAATGACAAGTCAGTGTTCATAGAAGTTACCTGGAGTGTTAAATATTGCTGGTGTGTTAGCCATAAAGGCGAAAGGGGTGGCTCACATAACGAAAGTGCATTTATGGTACGGTGTGTGGGTAGAACATTGACACATGCAAGCACTCTGCCTATGGCTACTGTTGTGTCTCTTTTGACCCACTGGCACAGGCAAATGTTTCTATGATTTCCCCACTCCCCAGTGTGAGAAACAAGAACAGATTCAGCAGAATATCCCCCCAGCCAATTTCAGCTGCTCCCTCCTGTTTACTTGTCTTTTGGCTCATGCAAGGTTGTTGGCAACTGTTCCGTTATGCATAGGGGGAAGATCTCTGATAGAGCTTCTCTGTTGCTGGAAGGGGGCAAGAGACGAAAGCTGATATAGGAGAAAGAACTGAATGTAACAGGACCAGGGAGGAGGGATGAAGAAGCTGGCAAGTGTCGTCGTTTCCTTTGGGGAGGAGGATATAAGGGATTATCTCAGTGTGGAAAGAGAATGGGAGAGGAAATTACACAAGATGGGTAGCAATACTTTGGGATGCATATGGGGATGGAAAGGTACAAGTATAAAAGAAAAGCCTTTCCTGCTGGATCCAAAAAGCCTTAATACCATCAGAGCAAATGTCTGCACTTGGCTTGAAGAAAAATGAACGATGGAACTCATTGCCACTGTGGCAAAGAATATAGCAATTTGCAAAGATGGATTAGAAATTAGTAGAAAGTTATGTCAATAATTGTGCGCAGACTCTTCCTACATCTACCACCATTTTGAGACTAGAGGGCCTCAGCCATTTTCAGCCAACTGGGCCTTGGGCTAGCAGGTTTGAAAGCCCCCGATGTGGAAAACATAGGATTTCCTCGCTGAAAGTAATATTTGCATTGCAAATTTATTGCATGTGAACTGGGGAATGCACAACAGCATGTTGTATCTCTTTAGTAGCATTCATGGCTTCTGCATCCCACCTGTGACCTCGGACAGCTCCTCCAGCCCAATGCCCTGCATGTGTTTTAATAAGAACATACGAAGAGCCTGATGGATCAGGCCCATGGCTCATCTGTCCCAGCATCCTGTTCTCACAGTGGCCACCCACAGGCCTGTAGGAAACCCACAAGCAGGCCCCAAGCACAAGAACACTCTCCCCTCCTGCCATTTCCAGCAACTAGTGTTCAGAAGCCTGATGAGCCTAAAGAGCCATTGATACCCTTATCCTCCATGAATCTGTCTAATCCCCTTTTAAAACCATCCAAATTGGTGGCCATCACTGCCCCTCGTGGGAGCAAGCTCCCTAGTTTAATTATGTGCTACAGGAAAAAGTGATTACTTTTAGATGTCTTGAATTGTCTGACATTCAGCTTCACTGGATTTCAACTGCAGACATGCTGCCTGTGGCTGATGGGAGTTGTAGGTCAAAACATCTGGAGGGTGCCGGGTTGGGGAAGGCTGGCGCAGCAGTAATATCAGCACATTTGCTTTTCCTGAAGGCAGCCCTGTTTAGGGAAGCTCTTAATGTTTGATGCATTACTGTATTTTAATATTTTGTTGGAAGCCGCCCAGAGTAGCTGGGGAAGCCCAGCCAGATGAGTGGGGTATAAATAATATATTATTATTATTATTATTATTATTATAATACCTGTTAACACACAGGCAATCACTGCTTCTCACCGAAGGAGATGGAGCTGCAACACATGGTCTTAAAATAAATTAGTTCTTTGTTTGTTTGTTTTGCAGTTTAATCTTTGCTTTGTTGAGGCCTCCAGTCCAGGCTTGATATGAATCTTCCCCCACTTTCCCCAAAACAACCCTAAACTGGCAGCCCAAATTTTTCCTCAATGAGTGTACAGGGTTACAAAGAATATCCATTCATTCTATTGTATATAAACATTGTGACAAGTTTGCTTCGATGGGTGTGCATGTTCTTGTGCAAAATTCACACGTCTATCTATCTATCATCTACCAAAGTACTTCTATACTGCAGTTTCATTAAAAAACAACAACACTGGTTTACAAATAAACACACAAAAATCCAAATAAGTTTAAAAAGCAACAGCAGATGGTATACGCAGCCATAAATGGTTTTCCCAATACCCGTGTGTGAAACGGCTCAAGGAGTTAATACTCCTGCACTTACCCAGTTTTACTTTTCTATTATGAGCTCATAATTTTTGTGGAGCCCTTTCCATGCGTTAGAAGGTTTGAAGATCAGTCACTACTTGTTAGCTTGTTTTAATGCAGGGGCCAGTGCTAAACCCCCCAGCCTTCGGCTAGGCAGCGCTCCACAAAGACCCAGCGCAGGGGCAAACCAGATGGGAACGGCCTGCCCAACCTGAACACTCAGGCCACTGTCTTTCCCTCTAGCCGCTCCACATTCTTCCCCAATAAAAAGGAAGTGACTCGCATTTACGAATGAGGAATGCAGTGGCTCCCATGCTTCACTTAATTTCAGTCACTAATTTCACAATTAATAGAGAAGGAAAAGAATTCCAGCACTCTTTCTAAAATCCCCTAATAGTTCTGAGGAATAGTCATACGTTGTCTGAAACACAGGAGGGAGTGGACAGCCTCCTCTTGCCTTCCCTAAATGATGCCCTGGGGTTGGGGATGTTTATGAAGCAGCCCAGCGGTGAGCATTTACTGGGTGCTGACTGTCACACCTTTTGTGTAATTTGCCTTTAAGTCGGGTCTCACTTCAGCTTTACTGCCTGTTTACTGCGACAGTAGAGTTCAGTGCATGCCAAAATGTACTACTCAAACTTAGTTTCTCCCTAATTTCAGATTCCCAATGCTTGATAGAACTATTTGGGTTCTGGAGCATTTTCCATAGTGCTGTGCAATCCATTTGTAAGTAAAGTATTGTCCCATACCCGGCTTCTCCCTTAATGAACATAGCACTCAGCTGTTAATGAAGGAAAGTGAAGCTTATATTTTGAGTATGCCACCCAGTTCAAGTTTGGGCCAGGATCACTAAGTATGTAATCCTATACACACTTAACTAGGAGTAAGTTTCATGGAAATTAATGGGGCTTTCCTCTGAGTACATATGCATAAGCTTGAACTGTAATTTATTCATATATTGATGTGAAAGCAGTTGATGAATACAATAAAAGCACATTTGAAATTTGGATAGTATAGCTGGCAGGGGTTGATGAAATTCACAACATCCATTTTCTTAAATATCCAAATGGATTAATTTTGGGTTTCACTCCTGATGTTGACTTTCACTTACTTGTTGAAGCTGGGTTGCTGAGAATCCCAAACATTTATTGTGCTTCAGGGTGTGGAAGACAATAGATGGAGAAGTTATAGTTTGTACCAGCTCTTCATATGCCTGGCTACTGTTAAGGAACAAACCGGGGGGCGGGGGTTGTAAAAAGGGTTCACTGTGCTGTCCTAGTTATCTCTCAACTATGTGAGGTATGGATGTGAGGGCGATCTGGCTGCGACATCTGTCACCCCATTGATCGCCAGGGTTGATTCGGCTGATCTGGCTGGCTAGGCGGGTGTCCCCTTCCTCCCTCACCGCTCCATGTGCATCCCTCCCGAAGCTGCGTGCTCGGTGGAAGAGGACGACCATCCCAGATAGGAGGAGTGTACCATTCTTCGGTCAAGGGTATACGATAGCTGCACTTCCCTGCTAGAACCTCCAAACAAGCTCCAGAAAGCAATTTCTTGTCCCGTGACTCATGTGATCTCTACTTTTGGGGACTTTATATCTTTACAGGAGCAGGAAGATTCAGATCCGGAACATTCCCCCTCATTTACAGTGGGAGGTAAGTGTACAGAAGGTTTTATTATTTCCTGCTACCTCCTTTCCCATAAGAAAATAAGTCTATTTTCTTACTTGTTTACGGCATTTAACCAGGCCACCTAGTAACATGGTTTTCTGGGCAGCTGACAACATCTAATAAAAAAAATAATACAATATTAAAACCACAATATCATAAAAAAGAAATTGCAGCATAAACATTTCCAGCAGAGAGACAGAGAGAAATGTAGTTTTCCCACAAGTATAAAAATACACAGCATATAATGCAGTGGTTCAAAATGCTAAGATCATGGGTTTTTAAAGGCTCACGATGTATTTGTGCTAAAGTTATCCAGGGTGTTGCAGCAAGTGTCCTCCAGATAATGAAATCGTCATTGGCTGCCACTTCTCCATTGACTAGACGTTCTTTAGCTAAATTGGGATTTAGGGTCCAGGTGGCCTTCCTGATGTGGTAGGACTCATAACTCCCCACTACCGCCAGCTAGCATGGCCAGTGGACAAGGGTCATGGGAAATGTAGTCCATCTGCATCTGAAGGACCATAGATTCCCCATCCCTGGTGTGTGGAGAGTGGTGTTGACAGAGAAGCACACCAAAGTGCCCAAAGGGAGTTTAATGACTTCTGTCTTGCAGGTGGTCTGTGTAGTCCCTTACAGCTTTTTAAAATCAGCCGCCTGATTTTTCTTCTCAAAACTGAATAAAACTGGGGACTGGCCTGCAGTGCCTATTATGAACATACAGTCCCACCTTATGTTCCCCCCTTAGGACTTAATTATCTCATTCAGTTTTTTAACATTCATTTCATTACAATTATTTCTATCCTGGCTTTCAGGATAAGAATCCTTCCAAAGCAGCTGAGAGGAAACATTAAATTGCATTTAAAAACGAAAGAAAAGAGGAAACAGTACTGATATAGTAAAGAAAATCAGGATCCTTCCCACAGGGCAGTTGGTGGTAAAAGGGTTTCTCTTCATGGGAAATCTTAGTTTCACACTATATTTGAAGCCTACATACACAGAAAAAGCCCCAACAACCATGCCCCTATAGGATATGTGGCCTGCTGCTATGGAAAGAGGAACATGTGATCAGGGATCTCGCTTTGCATTGGAAACCCATTCTCTTTCCAGATATCCAACATATTTGTACCTTTGTGATTTTCATTGCTTTTTTTTTTTTAGTGATTTGCTTGTTGCTTGTTTTTTTTAAAAAAATAATCTTTACATCATTTTTATTTGTTTGATGTTGGCTGCCATGGCCTCTCAGTGGAAAGGTGGGATTCAAATGTTTTAATAAATAAATGCAACAGGAGAAATCGGGGGGGGGGGGGGAATGTTTATCACATAGCAAGGACAGTTTAAACGACCTCTTGCGGTGGCCACATCCTAACAAAAGAATCCAGTGGAAGTTTGAACAGTGTGATCCAAATAGTAAGCAATGTGCATTGTCCATGTTTTGGGTATAGGGAGCTTCAGCTCCCCCAATGTTTTTTGGCAGGGAGCAGTGCCCCCCAATATTGAGGGAGCTGCCCCATGACCACCAGGTGCCCTCCATGCGCCCCAGCCCAGGAGCTGGGCTGCAGCTGTGATGAGTGAAGCAAAGATCGTCATGTGACGCGTCACGTGACCACGCCCCCTCAGTGGTGGAGGCAAGTTGGTGCCCCTGAATAAGAACAGCCTATATCAACAAGGTAGAACATCTGGGCCTGGACAAAAAATTGTGAGCATCATCTGGGGCTTTATCTGCTCCGTTGACACCCTGCATTGGGAAGGCCTGACTCTGGATCCTTCACTACAGCACACATGATGAGGCAGTGTGATGTGAAAGCCTAGGGTTCGTTAGTCTCAAGGGTTATAGAAAGATTTTTCCAGAATGCATCTGCTTGTGGGGGGGGGGAAAGCCTTTTGGGGTACAGGAACTTTTGCTGAAGGGGCCTCTTATGCTGATCCTGTCAGCCATAAGGCATAAGCTTGCTTGTTACACACTGGGTGCTGAGCATCAGGAATGACTACATGGCGTTAGTTGTTTTTCTTAGTCATCCTCATTCCCACAAGGACGATGACAAGGCTCTGATTAAAAGGCCCCCTTGCTGCTTCAGTACAAAAGTTCACATGACTCACTGGCAGTAAGTCAGGTGGTTGAATTCCTGGTTTCAGGTGTTGGATGAACAGGACAGCTTAAATTTTTAGTTCTGGGAAGGGTGCTTCCTGACAATCTGTGCCTGTGGCTCTTTAGGAGGGAAGAGTCACACTTTAATGCTTCCTGGAGGTTTACTGCTATGGCTGTTAGCCAAGGTGTCTAGGATGCATCTTTGTAGAGCCATATTTTTGCAGTGCACAAAGAGGACCTCCTGTGCCCAATCTCATGCCCTGAAGCAAGACCTCCCATGACTGAATTCGCCCCTATGCACAACATGTTGAAGTTAGACCCTCAGTGAGTTATGCTCATGCCAGACTTCCCTGTAGGACAGGAAATAATTTTAGAATAACCTGCCTGGCTGACTTTTAAAAAAGCAAGTTGTTGGTTTAGTTACTAAGTCTCTGAGGCAGTCCCACTCTCCTCTTCATGCTGCAGCTGAAGTGGAGAACCTGTGGCTCTCCAGATGTTGCAGGATTACAACCCCATCACCCCTGATCATTGGCCATGCTGGCTGGGCCTGATGGGAGTTGGAGTCTGACGACCTGCAGAGGACCAGAGGTTCCCCATCTCTGTGCTACCAAATATATGTTAGAGCCAAGGACTGATCCAGTTCTGATCCTTGGTTAATTTATTGGCCTAGCTGTGACTGATTATGGAGAGAAGTCTAGGACTTTTTGTTAGGTTCTGCCTCAGAAAGCCATTTCATGCTTGCAACTACAAATCCCTTTAAACAAATGTTGGGAATAGTTCTAGCCTACAAAGGTAAAGGCAAATTACTCAGACATTATTACGGCTCTGAAATCCTTGATGAAGCAATTGTCTCTTCCCACAGGCTTGGAGCCTAAGAGACATGCATTGATCACTGGTTTGTTATGATGAGAACGTTCTGAGACAAAATTTGTGCCTCATTCATCCAAACTATTTCCCCTCACGTAGTGAATCCTGGTTTCTCTTTCAGGTACTAGATGGTCTTTTAGCTCAGCATGGGATGGTAGAGAATGTGGAACAAGGTAAGGAAATGTCTTGCTACTCTCACTCTTATCGTTGGTTTTTATTCAGGCATCTTGAGCCTTTCATATAGCTTTAAGTGCTTATATATAAATGATTCATTTCACGGGGACTGTTGTACTTATTAAACATCTGCTTCATAGTACTCTGGAGTAATGTGCGTCCTTACTGTCTCCCGTGCAATAAAATACAGGGACATATTTTAATAGGGTATAAATATGTAACATGTATAGGAAAAATTGTCTTAAAGCACCCCCCAAACATAGAATTATTCTGGACTTCAGGGTAATCACTGAAGAAAAGCTTATCCAATAGCCACTTCACAAGTTGGTTTTGACACACAGGCGTATTGGCACAGGAGAAACATTGTCATGTGTGAAGTGTCTAGCTGTCGGGAGAACACTTATTGAGCTTGTGTGATTGACACCAGATTCAAAGCAAACGTACATCCACTTTCTTATCCCCAAATCCTCTGAAGGGAGACTCTTGCTGGATGCAAGAGTACTGATTTATCTGACTGCATTTTTAAATAAGTTGTGTTATTCTTTCAGGGAGCCTGAGATACTAAAACTTGCTTGCTTGCTTCTGCAACAGTGGCAGATCAAATAAACTATTAGGCCTCTTCCTTCAAGCTGCAGGGTTCTGACACTCTCAGCATTAAAAACTTCAGGCCAGAAGTCAGAATCTGCGGATGACCACACGCCAAAGACGTTACAAAGACTGATAGTTTCACATTATGACAGCCAAGTGATTTCCACATTCCTGGCCTTTCCCCCTTTGCTGTCTAGACCACTTAACCACACACAGCTGAGCACATATGTGTATCTGAGAGGATGCAAGAGAATTACTATCTTACTAGTTCTGGAGCATTTAGATTAGTCTAGATATAGGGAAAATGGAAGGTACACCCACAATATACCATGTGCTTGTTTGTATTTGTTGGAACTTGGGCAGTAGTAGTGCCCTGTATTTGTGTGTGATATTGAGAATGATCTGTATCTCCTTGGTTTACCTAATATTCATAGTGTCTTTCTGTTGAAATATGAAGAAAACTCAGTTGGGGTTCATACATTGGCCTGGAGGCAGGTTTTCAGCATAAAACCAGAAGCACTGGATATAGAAACAAACCAGAATGAACATGTTCTCCGTGTTATGCTATTATGCCTGATGTGTTTCAGAATTAGAAAATTCCTTCATTGGGAGCAACTTACATTTCTTACGGACAATTTGCAAAGATAAACCTCTGTAGCTTTCTCCTTTCTTGGTTTCTACTGATTCTAATTCTGAAAAAACACTTTGAGCATAATGAAACATTTTGTTGTTTTTAGAACCTGTTCTCTCTGGGTTTTTCAAGACTTTCAGTATAAACCCCTGTTTTGCCTATGAGATTTTTTTAGATTTAAAAACTACGCAGTAAATTAGGTTAGTTGTCTAGTCACAACTTGCTTCTGTCTTTTCATTCAGCAAATTCTACCCTGACAGACACAATATCCTGTAAAAGAAATGATTGCCATCATGCTAATCTTTCAAGAGAATTAATCTATGAATGTAACCAACAGTCATGAAAAGTGCTTATCAAAGTCATCTCATTAAACAGAAAGCTGATAGAGGGACATGCTGGAGGAACTGGTTCACAGGATTATTTTAACCCATGACCGCCATGGGAAAATAAATGTTTTTGTCATTTATGTGCATAGAAAGTCACAGGCTAAATTCATCCTGGATATGGTTTTTCATGGTGCTGTGAGCTAACTGAAATGTGGGATAGTGATGGGGTGCCAAAAGCCAAATCCAGGCCAAATTCAGCCAATGACACTGCATCTCCAAATCGGCCTATCATAGCCTGTAGTGAAGTTCTGAATCTCCAACATAGCTGCTGTGGGCCGAGGTGACCATGTGAGTTTCTTAGGACGCAAGATTCTCAGTATGAAGTTCTAGAAAACATTTTGTATGACAATGAATACGGAGGATGGGGTTGAGAGAAACTCACTAAATTAATATGATTCAAAACAGAAGCTCCTCTTGTGATATTCTCCCACATGGTAACCCAAACATTTGTTTCTCTCTGCTCCCCTTCAGTTAATACAGAATCAGAGACAGCAGTTGTCAACGTTACATATGCAACAAAAGAAGAAGCAAAAGTGTAAGTGGCAGTTCTAAGTGTAATTTTTACTCTTTCTTATCTTTCTGCTCTGTTTTTTCTCCTGACAGTGTTCCCCGAATTTTCTTCCTTTATTTGCTGCAACAAAACTAGTGTGTGGTGCATTATGGCCTAGCTACCACTGTACCAGAAACATCCATCTATCTACCTGTCTGTGCTATTTGAGTGCTAACCAATGAACGGTTTCTCTGAGGGCCAAGCAGAATAGCTACTGAGAAATGGGAGCACCCTGTTTTACCGGGATGGGGAAGCTGTGGCCCTACCAGATGTTGCTGGGTTTTAGCTTTGATCAACCCTATCCAACCTGACACTTGGTCAGGAAGATGGAAGTTGTGGTCCAGCAACATCAGAAGGAACACAAAGTTCCCATCCCTTATGTATGAAGTGCCAAATACTTCCAGCAAATGAAAAAGGGGACAATGGATTCAACATTGCTTTGACCAGTGGAATTTTATTCTAAGGACAGGACTGGCAAGCACCACCTTTGTGTCCATAGAAAAACAGAATTAGGGTTCCTTTATTTAGTGCACTTAGCTGCAGATAGTAAACAATATCCACAAAATGCAAAATAATATTAGCTAATTTGGCATTGGTAGTCTTTTTTTAACCTTTTAGTGATTGCTAATCATTTTTGGCATGAATGTGTTTTTCACAAAATATGGACAGTTATATTCTCAAGAGTAGACTACTAATTTTCACAGTTTAGCCTTTTCAGTTGAGTTTTCTGTTTCACAATCCGCTGAATAATAATTCACAGGAATCACTTGCAAGAGCCACAAAACAGAGCTGGGCAGAAGTAGTTATCACCTACTGATAACTTCCTAGGTGATTTGAAGTAGATTAACAAGGAATTTTGACTCCCAGTTGTTCACCAATAGTAACAGCATCTAAAAACTCCCTCACCCCAAATCTTCAACCTTTTTAGACTGGGGACCCAAAAATGTATTTGGAAACACATTTTTTAATCTTCTACCATATAATAAATGGTCGTAGTGCTCCTGTTGTGACCCACCAGTTGAAGACCAGCACACTCGAATCATACTACTGAAATGAAGGAAATTTTTTTTGGGGGGTGGGGCTGAGAAAATATAAAGAACTGAACCAAGGAATGCTGTTGGATTTTTCTTTAGGGTTAGTTTATTGTCAGGGAGGGAAAAAAATCCCCTTTTTTTCTGTTTCAGAGCAATTGAGAAGCTTAGTGGTCACCAGTTTGAGAACCATTCCTTCAAGATTTCCTACATCCCAGACGACGAGGTGAGCTCCCCTCAGCCCCCTCAGAGATCCCGGCGTGGGGGCCACTCTTCCAGGGAGCAGGGCCCCTCCCCTGGGGGCTCCTCGCAGCCCAAACAGCTCGATTTCCCACTACGGATCCTGGTCCCCACGCAATTTGTTGGTGCGATCATAGGAAAGGAGGGCTTGACCATAAAGAACCTTACTAAGCAAACCCAGTCCAAGTAAGTACCACAAATGGTTTAATTTCCTTCCACAGGGGCTCTGTCTGTAGCCTTTATGTCCCTAGTTTGTGATTTTTTAAAAGACCAAATGCAGAGCAATGGGCTCTGGTGTGCATTGTGTAGCAAAAGCTTTGTCTCTTGCAGCAAATTTTAATCCCGTTCTGATGTGTTTTGTATACCTATGTGGAAGTTGTGGCTTGATAGGTATTACAGCCCTGCAACTGTGATGGTTAAATTGTCCTTTTCAGACTCACCGTGTGTTTGCAGAAATTCTGGATAGTTTCACTAACCTGTTTTGTTATGTACTGTCACCCAAAGCCCCTTTCCCCAGAGTTTGTTGTTGTTACTGCTTCTGCTACTGTTGCTGTTGCTGCTGCTGCTGCTACTGTTTTACCACCAGCAGCCTATAGCTGGTTGCTGCTATTCAGAACCAAATATCTTCTGCATAACTGGGGTGCAAGGGGTGTTTATAATATTTTAATCATTTTGTCATCAAATTGCTACTGTAAATCTTTTCTGTAAGCTCCTCCATCTCTTCCTGGAATAGTTTAATAACTGTACTCTAACCCTGATCATGTCATCTGCGATTTAGCCAGAAAAACATATTGTGTGCAACAACATTATGCGTAGGAGATCATCAAAACCATCAAAAAGTTCAAGTATTTATAAGAAAATATATATGATCCTACAACTAAGAGAGACCTTCATTTTGCATTAGGAAGCTTGCTATTCCTGTGAAAGCATTATCTGAGCTAGTCAAAGTAAAAAAGATGAGGGAGCCCTCTCATCTCCTTTAGAGAGGAGCAAGAATTCCTTTGACTATATTATTTGATGCTTGGTATTCTTAAGAGCATAATAGTTTTTTCAAGGAAGTTTTACATTGGATGTAAAATGCTATATATGTTACATTACAGTGTCCAATTTGGGTTTTATTGAAGCTGAAACCCATTCCTTAGGTGTAAAGACCTTGGAGAAGGAAAGTCTATATCAAAGCTTGCTTTGGCGAGACACCTAAGTATAAACCTGTGTGAGATAGAAAGGGCAGGAGTCTGCCTGTCCTGATCACAGTTTGAACTTGTTCTGCCTCTGGCTCCAGCAGAAGTAACTGCGCTTCTTGTTTCCGCAGGGTGTGTGTGCATAACATCCCATGCATGCAAACTACATGATGGTGATCCTGGAAATTACTGCATGGTTTGGGCTTACGGTCATTGAGCTTTACGCTTTTTTTGTCTTGTGGAAATATTGCATCCAATGTATGGCCACCTGGTGGACCTAGAAGTGGGACATGCATGCCTGATGAATGGGTATGATCCCATCCAGTCTACTCTGCTACAATACCTGGGCTCTCCTCCAAACTAGTTCCACATTTGTCATTTTTAGTCAGCAGTGTTAAGCTCCCACACTACTTTTCTTCTGCCACACTGTAAACAAGGATGCCACAGGATAATGGCAGTGACTAGCAGGTCTGCTTAACCCAGCGGTGGAGAACCTTTAGCCCTCCAGATGTTGCTGGACTGTCTCTCCCATCATCCCTGACCATCAGCCATGTTGTGTGTTGCTGATGGGAGTTGGAGTTCAACGATATCTGGAGGGCCACATGTTCCCCATACCTTATTGAATCCTTCTAAGTTCCTTGTCCCAGAGCCACCACCCACCCCAATATTGGGATGCTATGGCTTCTTTACACGTGTGATGTTCTCCTGCACTGCACCCCAGACGAAGGCCAACACAAAGGAAACCGGTGCCATGTGAAGGTTAAATGACTCAGTGTGGCAGCTGCTTCTCGCAATACAAGACGTTTTGTGTGCAGTGCCACATAGATTGGGCTGATCTTTTTGATTTAATTTTACTTATTTATTGGGTGGGCGAGCCTCATGGTGGCATGGAGAAAAATTGCCTGGTCTCCAGGATGAGCTGCTACCCACAGACAGCTTGTCTTGCCCACAGGAAGCCATTTACAACAGCCTCCACATAGTGACTGTTTCATGTGCACCAGCCTTCAAAGATGCCTTATAAGATATTGCATTGTTTTCCATTTCTGCAAGGTCACTCACAATCTGAATCGAAATGCTAGCTTGGTTTTTAAATGCATGCAAATTGTGTTAATGTCAAAAGGCCAATGAATTATGTATTTTTAAATACATTCTTTGAGTCTGTTTATACATACGATTCTGGGAGCATAAAGGGCCATTTCTGTACCGGCAGTCTAGCTGGTGTGGGGTAGAAGCACTTTGGGGATGTTGTCTGTGGTCTCCCTGACTCTCATCATGATGGTGACTCATGAAACAGCACTCTCACGTGGGTGGGTGTGATGATGCAGCTTGTTTGAACCAGTCCTGTGCGTGAATCGAGCATGAAGATGCTGTGGCCCTCCAGATGTTCTGGGACTACAACTCTCATCATCCCTGACCATTGGCCATGTTGGCTGGGGCTGGTGGGAACTTGAGTCCAACAACATCAGGAGGGCCACAGTTTCTTCATACCTTATGTAAATGATTATACAGTGGTGCCTCGCAAGACGAAATTAATTCGTTCCGCGAGTTTTTTCATCTAGCGAATTTTTCGTCTTGCGAAGCACGAAATCCCATAGGAATGCATTGAAATTCAATTAATGTGTTCCTATGGTCAAAAAAAAGTCCAAACAAAGCCAAATTTGGTACAACAAGAGTTTATTAAGTGCTCTTTAAAGTCACACATACTGTAAAGAGCATTTCAAAAATTGAAGGAACAATAAATTAAGTTTCTAAACATGACAGAAAAACATTTAAAAATCAACAAAGTGTACAGTACATTTTCTAAGACTCTGGGGACAACTCGAAGAAGGTTCCTCTTCCACTCTTTGCTTTTTGCTGAAGAACCCCTCCTCAACTGTTCCCCCAGCCACCCACCACACAGAAATTCAAATCCAGAATTTTTTTTAAAAAACAGCAGAGTGGCCCAATGGTCACAGAAAATCATAAAAATGCAGAAAAAACCATACAAACTTCCAGATTCTTGCAAACCCCTCCTCAACTGTTCCCCCAGCCACCCACCACACAGAAATTCAAATCCAGAATTTTTTTTAAAAAACCGCAGAGTGGCCCAATGGTCACAGAAAATCATAAAAATGCAGAAAAAAACCATACAAGCTTCCAGATTCTTGCAAACCCCTCCCCAACACCAAGTCCTTGAATTCCAAACACCCCAACCCAAAATCCAAAAACCCCAAAAAAGTTTTAAAAGTTTAAAAGAAGTTTTGGAAAAGCTTCAAAAATCACCAAAGTCTTCAAAAACCTCAAAAAAGGCTACCACACCGCGTTCTATGAGTTGCTCCTCGAAGTCAAGTCGCAACTGTATTAACGGTGTTAAGAAAAAGGAAACAAACTTGCAAGACGTTTTCGTTTTTCGTCTTGCGAAGCAAGCCCATAGGGAAATTCGTCTTGCGAAGCAGCTCAAAAAACCGAAAATCCTTTGCGAAGCAGCTCAAAAAACAAACCCTGTATTAGGGTATGTTTGAGTATACCCATGCATGCATATACAGTGGTACCTCAGGTTACATATGCTTCAGGTTACATACGCTTCAGGTTACAGACTCTGCTAACCCGGAAATAGTACCTCGGGTTAAGAACTTTGCTTCAGGATGAGAACAGAAATCACACGGCGGCGGCAGGAGGCCCCATTAGCTAAAGTGGTACCTCAGGTTAAGAACAGTTTCAGGTTAAGAACAGACCTCTGGAATGTATTAAGTTCTTAACCCGAGGTACCACTGTATATTCATGCACTCTGCTTCCTTTAAATTTGGTTCCATCCAGAATCCATTTTCAAGGGGTTAGATAGGTGAGTAATCCTCTATAGAGAACTCAGTCATTCCTGGGAATCTCCCTTTGTGGGATCCAGAGCATTGTTCCCTGTAAGAAAGGGAGATGTACTGAGCAAGAAATCTAAACTTCTGCAGTGAAGCTAATCTTTCTTGCTTCTAACATATAATTGTATTAATATTTAAGGTAATACTTTTTTGAGGAAGCACATGATATGTTTACTGCTTTGTAGCCTTTCAACATCATCTAATGTGTCCAGGAAGGTGTGATAATTCAGAAAACAGTGATTTGCATGGCAGCCAAACCAGAGAAGCATTTAGCTGTGATTTTCTTTCACTCAATTTTTTATCCTCACAACAACCAGTGAGTTAGGTTAGTCTGAGAGTGAATGGCCCAGGGTCACTCAATGAGCTTCATTGCTTAATGGAGATTTGAACCCACGTCTCACCAATGATGGTTTGACATTCTAACCACTACACCACTCTTCTACACTTTGGTGTCTTAGTCTCACATGTTCAAGCTCACATAATCTCATCTCCTTCCTTGACTTCTTGGGTTTGCAAGAAGTGCAAAATTGTGGTTTCTGCTTGCCCTGAAATAGAATTGGAAACCGTGGTTTGAAACTGGTTTTTGTGTCATTGGAAGGCAAGTGTATACCTTAATCTGCTGATGTAATAGCAAACAATGGTTTGCTATGTACGTGGCAGTCCGGAAGGGCATCATAGCATGAGAGGAATGAGCACAGGAGCTGGAAGCTTGCTCATGTAATGCTGAACCATGTATAAATGTGAACCGTAAATCTTAATGCTTTTCTTGCATTATCCTTTATTTATGTTCAATGCTTGCTTGAAGATGGGTTCTTTGCTGGTGGTTAATCATGTCAAATAGCCTTGTACACTGTTAGATGCAGTTCCTTCGCTGGTTTATTAGGGTGCCAGCTTCAGGCACCTTTCTCTGACCCCTAGCAGATTTCTTTGTATGGGCTCTGTTGCTGCAGGGTAGATATTCATCGGAAGGAAAACGCTGGTGCCGCAGAGAAGCCAATCACCATTCACGCCACCCCAGAGGGGTGTTCAGAAGCATGTCGCATGATACTTGATATTATGCAGAAGGAGGCTGAAGAAACAAAATCGTAGGTATCACTGGCATTGATAGGGAAAGCACGAAACAGAACCTTTAGCACCTCAAATAGCAAGTCTTGCATGCATGTAACATTGTGCATCAAAGGTTCATACCACACAAATTCGCCTTTTAGAGCATACACAAGGCCTTTTGCCTTTTCCACTTCTACAGTCTATCTTCTACAGGCTGGAATCTCAATCGGCTAGAGGGAGAAGACAAAGAAATACCATCTCAAATTGACCCACAAGGAGTAGGGATCCTGTATAGTCTATAAGCCTTAATTAATATATGTTTGGGAATTAATACATTGCATTTTTATTGATTAAATAAGCATTTCTACCCTTCCATAAGCAGATGCTCCTCATGCCCTGAGAATTAGCTTGAAGTTTATCTACAGGGCTGTGACTCAGTGTCAGAACATCTGTTTTGCATGAACTAAGGTTCTGGGTTTAATCTACAGCCATAGGAGCCAACTCCTAGGTGCTGAGGTCCCTTCACCTCCCCCAATAAAATACTTGAGGGGGCTGCCCCCCGCAGTTGACAGCCATTGTCATTCAAATGGTGTGTGTGTGCCGTGTCTCATAATCTGTTTTGTGGGGTGGGGCTTACCTGCCCCCCACCCCAATATTTTATTCAAGTTGGCACCCTTGTCTCCGGCATCTCCAGCTAAAGGATTTTTGACTGTAGCATGACCAGTATAAGATTCTGGAAAGCATCTACCAATCAGGATGCACAGTAATGGGCTTTGGGATCAGGTTGCAGCTCGGTGGCTGAGCATTTGCTGTGCTTTCAGGGGGTCCCAGATTCAACCCCCAGGATCTCTAGGTAGGACTTGGAGAAACTCCAGTGGTCTGTCTTGCTATAAGGCAGTGGTTATGTTGCGTTGGGTGGAGTAATGGACTCTGTTTAAAGCACCTCATATGAAATATATGTAAATACATATGCCTGCACTCAGGCACACATACTAATTTGGTCCAGTGGTGAAGGCCTTAACCCCATCGCTAGCTGAAAAGACTCCTTTGTGTTTTTTAACACCCCCCTCCCTTTTCATGGAATGGATGAGGTCTTGCTGGATCATGGAACTCCTGGTTATGTAAAGATTGCAGCCAGTGTTTCATTCTACGGCAACTAAATAAATAAAGCCACCATTGGCATATGTCACCTCCTCTCCCCACCTTCTTTTTTGGCCATTTCTAATTTTAGCACACTGGTTTCATTGTAGACATTTGAGAAGTCATACATCTTTTCACATCCTGCATTGCTAGGCCTGATGGACTGATTTGGCCCATGTTAATAGGTGGCTGGAACCCTTTGAGTGATGGATCTGGACACTTATATGCTTTGTGGTCAAAAGCAGGCTATAGGAAGCAGTTATCTAGCTAGGCTTGCTCGGCAGCAGGGTCCCAAATGCAATAGGTGCAAGGGTGGTAATGGCTTGGGTGTGGGGTTTATGAAGTCTGCTATGCAGATCACATCTATGTCATTGAAATGCAACCAAAACAATTGTTGCCTTCTATATGTGTCATTACCATGAACACTGAAAAAATGCGGTGAGGAGAGAAATTTAAATACTGCTCTTTCACAGTTTAGCTTCTGAGTTTGTACCTGGAAAAGCAATGTGTGCGGCCAAGTGTTTATGAAGCTGACTGGTTTTCCAGGACGTTGTAAAAGGCTGCAGATAATCATGGTTATCCTATACGATGCTGGGAGGTGGTGTTGGGAAATGTACCATGGTCTTCTCCAAGGACCAACAGTGAAGACTTTGGAGCTGCATCTCTCTGTACAGTGGTACCTCGGGTTACATAGGCTTCAGGTTACAAATGCTTCAGGTTACAGACTCTGCTAACCCAGAAGTATTACTTCAGGTTAAGAACTTTGCTTCAGGATGAGAACAGAAATTGTGCTCCGGCGGCGCAGCGGCAGCAGGAGGCCCCATTAGCTAAAGTGGTGCTTCAGGTTAAGAACAGTTTCAGGTTAAGAATGGACCTCCGGAACAAATTAAGTACTTAACCCGAGGTACCACTGTATTGCTGAAGGGCCCTGTAAAGTCCAGCTAGGGAACCTACTTCAGAAAGGAGGACTGGGGGGAAGACTAATGTCAGAAAATATGATTTAATGTTTTTTCACATCTTTCAGAGCTGAAGAGATTCCCTTGAAAATCTTAGCACACAATAGCCTAGTTGGGAGATTGATTGGCAAAGAAGGACGAAACTTGAAGAAAATTGAGCAGGACACAGGGACCAAGATCACCATTTCTCCGTAAGTACCGCTGACCAGGTAGGCGGTCAAATTACACTTCTCAATTAGACCAAGGAGAAATTTACAGTATGTACCTGAGCACAACCCCTTCACCCCAAATATTGGGTGGCATCCAATAACCCGCCTCTCTTTGTAACATAGAGCATGAGTAGCCAACGTAGGGCCCTCCAGATGTTTTTGAACAGCAAACCCCATCACTCCTGACTATTGACCATGCTGACTAGGACTGATGGGAGGTCAAGTCCATTAACACCTGGAGGGTACCTGGTTGGCTAACCTGGCCTTTTAGCAGTTGGAAAAAAATCCACCATCGATACCATATAACCGGGTGTCTCTGTGTGTGGAATACTTCCTGACACCACGGAGTCAGATGGTGGGATTGTCCTCTGGACAGTTTGAAGTGAAAAGCAAGAGGCTCTTGCATCCATCTGCGCTCAACCTAAATAACTTGTCTTCTTGATCTGCGTTGTTCTCACCAATAGATTTAACTTTCTGGATTTGCTTTATAAAAATGATTATTGCCTAGCCTGTACCACAGGGCACGTTACAAATCCCAGGACATTTGTTCTTCTCCGATTGTCCAGTTTGCAGGATTTAACCATTTATAACCCCGAGAGGACCATCACCGTGAAGGGTAGCATTGAGGCCTGCTCCAATGCTGAGGTGGAGATCATGAACAAGCTTCGGGAAGCCTACGAAAATGACATTGTAGCAGTCAATGTAAGCTCTTGATCCTGCCCTATTTGCGTGTGTGCTTGCTGTGTGAGAATTCACTGGTCCTGGGGTAAGAGTCCGATAGTCACCATGGGGGCAAGTAGAGATGGGAGGTGTGTGAATGCCTTGCCCACCCCAAAGAAAATGCCAGACACCTTCAGGTCTTACTTCACCGGACGAAAGTTAGGTGGCCCAAACATAGTTTCCCCAGCCCTCCCTCAGGTTGCTTTGTTGTTTCTCATTTCCCCTTGTGTTTCTTTCCAGCAACAAGCCAATCTGATCCCTGGACTTAACCTCAATGCATTGGGCATCTTCTCGACAGGCTTATCCATGCTCCCCTCTGGAGCTGGAGCCCGCAGGCCTGCTGTCACTGCCCCATACAACCCTTTTGCTGTAAGTAGCTGGTGCATCCTCTACCCTGTTATGTATGTGCCTCTGCAAATGTACTCTGTGGTGTTGTCCTGCTGCCCTCTAGAGGCAAGGAGGAGACACAACTACCAGTTCCTGCAAGCAGATCTTTGCTTCAAGTGTAGTGCTTTGGAGTGTGCCCTGCTACGCAGTTTGGGGGAAGCGGGCAGGTGCAATTGCTGGGGCATGGAAGTGAGGTCTTTGGTGATGATAGTATTGGAGACTCATCCCTGTGGGCTTTTAAGAAAGCCGGTCTCCCCTTAAATCCTAGGGCAACTTTCAGACAACATTGGCGTCCATTTTGTTTACCCAGTTGGCTGACTTTGCTTACCTGTTCAGAAAACAAGAACCTTTTGGGGGTTTCTTTTGTGAGTGTGCCAGGTATCACAGCCCACACATTTGGCCACAGAAACAGGGTGCTGCGTGATGTGACCCTCTTCCTCATGATAGCTCACCTCTACCCCTCTGTGGTGAGCTAACTTTGGAAACCAGCTGCAGAAGGTATTCTGCATATCTCTGGGAAACAGGGGTGTCCTTATCTGATTATGTGTAATCCCATGCAGAACAGCATGGATTTTTTTGTTCAGCAGTGGCAGCACTCATGTGCAAAGTGCACCATACCTAGCTAAATCTTGTATTGGGCTTTTAAATATATATAGGGGATGTCCCACAGCTCGATGGTAGAGCACATGCTTTACAGGTGCAAGGTCCCAAGTTCAATCTTTAGCATCTCCAGTGAAAAAGAAGGATCTGCAGATAGAGAGAGGTCTTGGAGAGATGCTGCCAGCCAGAGTAGACACTACTGTGCTAGATGGGCCAAGTGTGTGATTCAGTGCATGGCTGTTTTACACACACACACACATTATATATATAATTTTAAAATATTTTAATACCACAGTTCCTCAAAATCAATGAAATTATAAAAGCAACAGTAAATTTAAAAAATACCGTGCAATAGAGGGGAAAACCTAGCAGTGTGGTAAGAGATAAAAGTAGCTGCCAGCCGATCATAACAGTTAGCAAAAGCAATCTGAAATGTAAAATAAAATTGATAGTAGGGAGGTTCATTCTTGCTTTTTCTTGACCCACTTCCAATCCCCTTTGAACTGCCGCCTCAGTTTCCTGGACCTCCTGGAAGCTCAAGCTGCCTCTGAAGGTTTTACTTTTTAAAAATAAACATATTTATTTATTTATTTAAAATACTTTGACACACACACCCATAAGATGTGATACCAGAATGGGGAATAAGAATAAGATTAATAAACCAGCAACTACCATCCCCACAAAGAGAAATAAAAGGATCAGATAAGGGTTTTTTGTTTTTTGTTTTTTTAAAGATGTATATACATGTGCATCCCTAGATAGTCCTCCATGTAGGTAGAAGCATTTATTTATTTTTTAACGAGACTGGGTGGGCCAATTTTGCTCCTAAACTGATAGGCACACAGACACCCCCCACCCAATAGAAACAAGTGGGACCTGGAACAAAACAGTGCACCCTCTTCTCATCTACTAATAGGAATGCTCATGGTCAGGCTTTCGCCAGCCATTCCATTCCCCGTTTTTTAGATTTCCAGCTGACATGTAACATTATGTGGCAGCCCAGCATTCCCAGTCCTCATTTGGCTGTGTTTTGCCCCCTTAGGTTTTGTGTTCAAAACGGACGTTTTTGTACTGCTCTAAACCTCGAGGTTCCTTCCCATGCTTGCTGACTCCTCCCTCTAGTTTCTCTGTGGCTCGGTTTTTGGCTACAATCCTGTCAGCACTCACTACCTGAGCTCACAATCAGAAAGGGGGATGATACTGTTCCATGTCAACTTGGACACAATCTTTACAGTGGAGGCAGTTCGTGAATTGAGCTGAGAATCATCCAAGTCACACTGGAAAGGGATTGGTGATGTCAGCGTCAAGGGGGCCTTGCAGAAATGCCGGTTACAGACACCCACACCCACGCCTCGGACATGTGGCCCTCTGCCTCCAGCCCCTCCCCACTGACTGTCACTTTCTTTCCTGCCGTAGAGCCACGCGGCATACCTCTCGGGTCTCTATGGAGCCTCGCCGACTGGCGCATACCCGCATCAGCACTCTGTAAGTGCATTGCCCTGCTCTTCCTGGATGCTGGCCTTCCGTGCACCTTGCTTTGCAGCACGCCCTGTCTTCTCGCTTAGGAGGCTTTTAAGTGGTTCTGTTCCGGAGCAGTTTTTCCGTACGTTTCTGCCTGCTCAGTTGCACCGGTGACAGTAACGCACAGCAAAGCCACAGAGGAGCTTCTACACTGCCCTGCTTCTTACCTTGTACAGTGTTGCCTCAAGTTAAGAACTTACAGTGGTACCTCGGGTTACATACACTTCAGGTTACATACGCTTCAGGTTAGACTCCACTAACCCAGAAATAGTACCTCGGGTTAAGAACTTTGCTTCAGGATGAGAACAGAAATCGTGCTTCGGCGGTGCAGCGGCAGCAGGAGGCTCCATTAGCTAAAGTGGTGCTTCAGGTTAAGAACAGTTTCAGGTTAAGAACGGACCTCCGGAACGAATTAACTACGTAACCAGAGGTACTACTGTAGTCACAGGGAGCCAGGTGCCAATTCCCCCCCCCCCCCGTTACCTTCTTCACACTTGTTTTTTCTAGAGTGTTGCCACTTACACTTTGCAACTTGCAAAGCTGCCTTATACTGTCAGACTATTGGACTGCCTTTGCCCAGTACTGTCTGACTAGCAGTGTCTCAGCAGGGGTTTTCCAAACTGTCCCGCCTGCGATCTTCTTAACTGGAGATGCCAGGGATTGGATCTGGGAGTGTTTGAATAGAAAGCATGTACTCTACAATTAAGCTGTGACCCATTCCAAATAGCAGGACACCTTCATGGATAAGGGCTTTGTCATTCCATAGCTATGCAGAAAGTAGATCTTTGTGCCACGAACACCTTAGCCTAATGTTATGGAGCCATTAAAGGTTGCAGCCCCAATCCATCAAAAGGTGGCAATGCTAATAAGCCTTAGCCTTGCTTGCTTTGCTAGATTTTCCTATCCTAGGAGATGATATTCAAACAGTCCTTGACAATATTCATCCATGAACCCTACAGTGCCTGGTTCTTCCTTTTCTGCTCTACTCTTGTGCTTTCTTGTGCAGCTTGCATTCTCTTTCTGATGGTGCTGTGCCAGGGGCCTTTCACCCTAGAAAGGTGAGGCAGTGTGGGTATTGCTCACACGAACAAAAAAATGTGTCTGGGGTTAGGAAGCCAAGCCTACTAGCACTCTGCGTTCAGTTCTTCATTCCATCAAATTGTAGAGCAGTAAGGTTGGAGGAGCAAGAAAGGTAAATGAAGTATTATCCTGATGGAGTTGCTTATTAGCATTCCTGGATTAATTTTAGCCTCCCGTCTAAAGTGGATGCTTTGATATTTTGGAGGCTGGCATTCCACTTCTTTTCTAGCAGGATTCAGGTAACAGGATTCGGATAAACCCATTCTGGATCACAGGGAGAAAGCAATCAGTACTAATGCTCTACAATAAGTCACCTCCTTTTTCTTTTTTCTGTTCCTATGTCTTTCTTTTTTAAAACAAAGTTTGGCTCTCTCCCTACTTCTTGGCCTGAAAACAGGTTCAGCCATTTATTCCTGCGACCGATTCTTTGCTGGCTGCCCCATCCTGGGCATGCACTTCTGTGTGTGTAGTAAGAATAAGAAGTGGTCCTTGCACATACATAAACAGCAGCAAAATGCATGTTTAAGTGTGCAATCAAACAGTCCCTATAACTTCCCTGCTTTCTTCTGTTGTTTCCAAAAGAATGTCATATGTGACTGTTTCACAATCTACATACTGTGGAAGGTTTGGAACTGAGAGGGCAAGGGGACATGTCAGTTGAATGGAACCTAAGTTGTAAGCTAGCACAATATACAAGACTGTAGAATAGCTTTTAAAGTTTATATAGCATGAAATTGATCTACAGTTTCCTTGCATTTTGATTCATGAGGAATTTGTAAAGAGTACTTGAACTTACAATTTCAGCCTCTAAATGCCTACTTTAAGGTACTGTTTTTACTTTTTTTAAAATGTCAGAAAGGAGAAGAAAAACTGATTCCTCTCCAGGCTCTGTGGTCTGCAGAGGGTACTTACTTGGTTGTAGCCTGGGAGAATCTTAGTTGAAATTCCAGTTGAATCATTGTTCTGTAGCTGCCTGCAGCATTGGCATAAAGTCATGTTTTGTGACTTCATGCCAAGAGATAATTCAGTACACATTAATTAAGCACATTCTGGCAAAACAAGTACTGGTACTTAGATAAGAAAATACTTAACTAAATTTCCCTAGTCCAGGAATCCCCTTAGACATAAAGCATTGTCTCATTCAGATAGGCAACCTGTGTTGGTTCTTGGCTCACAGACGCTTTGTTACTGAGACTCAAGTGGAAATAGAAAGCAATAGTTTTATTTCTTTTTGTACCATTGCAGTATATATCAACAATCAAAGGGGTACGACACCCTTGTATGTTGAAAGAGGGGCAGTCGATTGAGAGAAGATACGACAACACCACACCATGACCATCGTTTTGGCTGGATTTCGCTGGCTTTGCCAAAACTCTTTGTCAGCAGACAGCAACACACACACACTTAATACTCCCATCATTTGCTTTGACCAGATTGCTCTCCCTGGTTTTGTTTTCCCCATTGAACTTGATGAGACCTGCTCCTCAGTAGGCGTGTATAGGTTTGCACTGTAAATCCAGTAGATTTCAGTAGGTCTTCAGTTGTCTGAATAGTTTGATTTGCATGGTGCTCACTGTATTTAACTCCCAGTCCCTGGTGATAGCTCTCTGCTTTAACTCTTCCTTGCATTCTCCTTTCCTCCTTCCGTCTGAGATTTCCTTGAGGAGTGCTTGTCATTAAACTGCTGGGGTGGATTTTGTCTGTCGTCTGACATGAGCCAGGGCTTGCTTGCTTCCTTGCTTGCTTGCTGCTCCCCACCTTGGGAAAGCGATACAGGTGGGAATGCTTCGTTTTTCTTCCCAATATGCATTTCATGTCCCTTTGCTGTCCACAGTTGCCAGAGCAAGAGGTGGTGAACTTGTTCATCCCAACACAGGCAGTGGGTGCAATTATCGGGAAGAAGGGCCAACACATTAAGCAGCTGGCAAGATTTGCAGGTGCCTCAATCAAGGTAAGAAACCCACCCACCCGCCCCTCGCCCTTTCCTGCATTGCCTCTCACTCCAGCTCAGAAACCAAGTGCTACAGAACTCTGCCTGCCTCCAGCTCTGATTTCTTAAATCCATGGCCAATACTGCCAGGAGCAGTTGTGCGTGAAGACCTTCCTGCGACACAAGCGCTGCCATTAAGTGTTCTACCACCTCTTCATCAGTTTTTCTTAACTGCATTCATATTCCATCCTTCCTCCAAAGAATTCAAGATAGCATTCCAAAAATCTGGTTGAAACAATTTGCCATCAGCAACTGGTGTGTCTGCAAACAAAAGAAGCCCCGTTGGATAAGGGGAGAGAGAATATGCATCAACAGGAGAGGTGCCCAGCCGCATATCTTGGCTATGGACAGCTCCTCAGAAACCAGTTATCGGTTTAGAAAAGACAGCTGGCTGCACACCCAGGACAGCTGATATATTTGGGAAATGACTCATTAGTGGAGACTGACTCGTTACTCTTGGGGCTTGCTGATGATTGAGTGGGCCTGACCAGCCCTGCATGACACGAGCAAGTAAAGTTTGGGTTATACATAGCCAGTTGGGGAAAGCTCATATGAATCATTGCCTATTGGGGCTTGTATTTTTAGGAGGCAGCCTGTGATATACCCAAACTACTGCACAAACTATCTGGGTATACACGAGGCTCTAACACTACTCCTTGTTTCTATACTATCAGAGGCTGCCTCTCATGTATGTTTCAGGTTTTGGACATGGAAGTGCTCCTGCAGCTCATTCCTGATACTAAAAAATGTAACACAGGATGTGTCCCTTAAGGGGACTCTCTTACTAGCACTGAGCCAAAGCGGGGTGTGTACGTGTAATATGCAACCTTTTACACTCTTCATAGTGGTGTTGTGTCCCACTTCCCCGTTCCAGTGGTTTCTTGGTCTCTATGTGCAAACAGTGGTAAAGCATCTGATAAGATGGAGGGAGGCGTGTAGGTTGTGCAGTGGATCATTTTCTCCTCTTTTTTCAAAGTGCAGACTACTACTTGAAGGGGGCACCTGGTAACACAATCTGCAGCATGCCTCCCCACTGCCTGCTGTAATACTTGCCAAGCGAGGGGAGGAGTTGTGCTGCAGAGAGAAATGCAATTTTTCAACAGAAGTTTCAACAACTCTGGCACTGAAACTCTCCTACCAAAAATCAAACCCTGCTCAAAATGTGGTGCAGCATTACCTTTAAGCTAGGTGCTTTCAAGAACCCAGAGGTGAATGTAAACTAGTCTACCGTTTCACAATAATTAAAGAGCCCAGGTAGAAGCCTTTGGCATTGTGGAGCCCAGAGTTCATGTGCAGTATCTGTTTTTAGTCTGGAAGCTTTTTAAGTAGATCCTGTAATCTAGGGCTTGTTGCAAAACCTCTGCACCAGGGTTATTGATGGAGGGCAAAGGGCCAATGCCACTGGGACAAATTTGCTGCACTGTGCTGTGTTCTCTGTGACTTGCAGATTGCACCAGCTGAGAGTCCAGATGCCAGTGAAAGGATGGTGATCATCACTGGGCCTCCAGAAGCACAATTCAAGGTCAGTACATAGCAATCTTGTGTCATGAAGTGCAAGGCATCAGGGCCTGCTTGTGTCAGCTGCTGAAAACATGAGGGAAGCAGCTGTCTAAGAAGGCAAGAGTGGCCAACCCCAACTAAAGCAGCCTGCCAGTAGAGTTCTGCTGTTGCTGCTAACCCAAAATATGGAGAGCAGTAGAGTCATACAGCCCCACATTCTTAGCTTTGAGCACCACATACCCACACCCACCAGCCTTCCCTTAAATATTTCTCCATTTCCAGCAATTGTTTCAAACTTGACAGTGTCATCCTATAATCACAGGGTACAGTTTCCCTATAAGTTAGACCACTGTGGGGCTTACTTTCCAGTAAGTGTGCATAGGATCAAAGCTTAAATCGGCTAGTTCCAAAATAGTTGCCTGAGCACCCCTCTATGTTCATGGTGCTATAATTAGAAGTGCCATACAAAAGGAGAGGTTGGGCTGGAGGGGATTTTACTTTCTCTAAAACTTGGGGAAATAGTCCTATTAAGGGGTAACAGAAACAGTGCTGTGTGAAAGAAACTTTGAATCCCAACTGGAGAATGCGACCTGCCCCGCTGCATCTTAAAACTTGCAGAACTTTACAACTGTTACTGGCCCTGATACAAAGAACATATATTAGTGTTTTAAAAGCAAACTATTGTTTTTCCCTCCCCCTGCCCCCAAATATCGTCTGTTGACACGACAAAGTATGTGCCACCGCTCGTCATTTCAGTTCAGGAGGCTACTGGAGGATTAGACTCACTTTGTGCCTCATCAGCACCCCCCTGCGAAATTCATATATGGGCAGCTCCTATAGAGTGCCATTAGATGAAGGTCCTATTGTGCTAAAGTATGCACATATTTATGCTTTGACTCTTAAGTCAGCTGTTTGAGCAGAACAGCTGCAGCCCAACAGAAGAGGACAACACATGGCCTTGTGCTACCATTAGAATCTAACCCTGTTATTTGTAGCGTCTAAGAGCTGCCATGCTCTTTTAAGAACTCAGATCTAGGACCCCAAAGGCTGTTTGATGGAGGTAGGGTTTTTAACCCCGCAATAAGGGTAGAGAAGCTGGTATGGGTCTGTCCTGGTTTCTAGGGCTGGATTTTAGGTGCAGCAGAACAGGACTGCTTGTGCCGTTGTAGCTACATTCATTTTTGCACACTATCTCGGAGAACAGCAGGCAAGAGGACATGGTCCTGATAGGACAAGTGGTTTGAGACTTTTCATGTAGCTCCTAGTCAGGAACCTTGTTCCTTGGAAAGAGAAAGTGAGTTCTTTTAGAGTATACATTACCTTTATAACCACAAATTATAGACTCTGGGAAATTTAGCAGCTGGTCTTTTTGGTTTTCTTGATCCCAGGCCCAAGGACGAATATTTGGGAAACTGAAAGAAGAAAACTTTTTCAATCCGAAAGAAGAAGTGAAGCTTGAAGCCCACATTAAGGTGCCTTCCTCCACAGCAGGTCGTGTGATAGGAAAAGGTGGCAAAACGGTACGTGGGGCTGCTGCTATCAGGGTCAAGGGAGGTAGAAAAATCTGTGGGGTTGCAACCGTCCAACAGCTTGACCTCACCCCCCAAATGAGCACTCCTCTATTGGATGCCAAGCGACGAGTCTTGTTACTTAAAAGCAAAATGAGAGCTGATTCTTATTAGATTTGCTTGCTTGAGGGCAGGAGTGGCATGAAAATCTAATCATGTTTGCTCCGCCTACTGATTATGCCATTAACATTTTTGCAGTTCCAATCAGATTTTTTTCTGTGCTGTTGCAGGTGAATGAACTACAGAACTTAACTAGTGCAGAAGTAATTGTACCCCGTGACCAAACACCTGATGAAAATGAGGAAGTCGTCGTCAAAATCATTGGTCACTTCTTTGCCAGTCAGGTGCAGTATTTTATAATGGCTTATTCAACAATAGGATAGTTATGAAAACGTTAGCAATGAAATGACAGCCTTGAAGCTACATGGAAGTTATGGAAATGTGTAGTCAATGTGCATGTACATGCCATTGATTTACATTCATAGTTGTTAAGGGACAAATATAGCACACGGGTCCTAAAATGGGGAAACTTTAATTCTCTGGTACTTAAGAGTATAATGCAGAAACTGCTTAGCAGCTTCTGAAGGAAAAACAACAACAAGTGCTTCTTCCAGCTTTGAAAGTGCTCACATCACTTTTCAGAGTTGTTGCCTGAAAGCATGTTTGTGTCAGGCTGGCTGAATATAGAGAATACAACTGCTACTGAAATAATTTCATCTAAGCTGACCTTAGCAGGGCTTTCACATAAGTCACAGTTGTTTACGTTAGCTCAGCTGAAGATAGTGGAATACTTACCACGGGTACCACAGAGGCTCCTCACCTGGGTCTTTCGTTTTGGGGAGATGGCTCGCTGCATTTCCTGACCACTAGCTATAGCGAGATTGCCTGTTCTTTTTCTCTTAATAATAATTGTTCTTTTCTCCCCATGTAGACTGCACAGCGCAAGATCAGGGAAATTGTCCAGCAGGTGAAACAGCAGGAACAGAAACACCCTCAGGGAGCCCCTGCCTCGCAGCGCAGCAAATGAGGCTCCAAGGCTAGCCAACAACAACCGATGAATGTAGCCCTTCCAACACCTGACAGAATAACCAGACCAGGGAGCAAACCAAAGACTATCTGGAGGCATTGGAGTCTGCCCAAGAAGCTGGGGCTCTGCAGAGGACTTTCAGTACACAGGGAGTGGGAGGGGGTTGGGCTTCAGCCAGCAGGGAACTGCTTCCCTCACACCACAGCCCACATGGAGTCTGTCTAACAGTAAAACGCTATCCCTTTAGTTGGACTAACATAGGCAAAATTTTTTGCAGACAAACCCATTCAGAATAATTTCTGTACATGTGTGTACATACTAGGAAAGCATTTTTTTCCCCACACAGTGCATGGGCTGCTGTACAGGACAGCATTAATATATTTTAGAATTAATATAGCTAACTAAACTAACTCCAGTCTTTAATTTCTTTTTTTTTAAACAGTCGCATTTTGTTTTTAGAAAAAGCAGGCTTTTCTAGATTAAAAAGGAAAGAAGCTAGTCCATTTTGAATTTCTATCAGAAAGTAGCATGGAGGACTTTGGAATTCCACTTAAATTTTGCTCTGGTAATCCAAAGTGAACAACATTTAGAAGGACTTTAGGAAGACCAATGGCAGCTCCATGCCATATTGGGTTGCTGCCTGTATGTGCCAACGGAAGGGATACCGTCTCGTTAGCAGAGGAATCTCTATGCATTTCTTTTCTCCAGCTCATATGATCTTCTCTTTGCTTCATAGATCTCAAACTGGTTTTTGCATACACTCTCTCCTTTTGTACCACCAGACAATGCAGTGCTCCAAGTAAACACATCATAGATGCAAAAAGAACCACCCAGCCACAACTTCCACTTTGCTTATCAAAATGCCAAGCTTCAGTTATACCTAGGCTTCCTAAAAGGGGTGGAGGGGAACCTTCACCCAGCTTGCAGGAAAACAGAGCACACTTGGTACATTTTGCATGGAGGATGCTGCCACCAATACTTTGGGAAGTGGGTTTTTTAAATGGGATTGACAAGATGGTGTTGGCCCAGGGCATGAAAATTGCAACTTTTTTTCAAAAAAAAGAAAAGAAAAGAAAACAAACAAACTACCTCAGGTGTTTTCATACCTCAGCACCTTGCTCTTGTGTGTCCCTTTTTGAGATTTTGTATGCCTTGTAAAACTGAGAGTTGGAGCATTTTTTTATTTTTTTAATAAAAATGAGTTGGAAATAAATTTAGGCAAAAGACAGCTGCCAGGTGGAAGAAAGCATCATTCTGCATGATGACTATTCTGTATTCTTCTTCTGCTAGATGAGAGCAAATGGCCTTGGAACATAATAATAATAAAGGATAGAAGTGCAAGAGACACTGGAGCAGAACTCCTGAGTTTGACAGGTTACACACACGGTTAGAGTTTTCTGTGCTAACAGATGGATGTTATACTGGTTTCTGTGAACATACCATTGTACCAACAGACTGCAATGCCAGTTTCTCTACTTCAAACAGTGTTCTGTGAAAAACAAAATATATCCAGCTAACAAGAGCCTGACCTCAGTAGTTTTATTTAACAGAAAAAGGAAAATAGGAAAGTGGGTGGTATGCTAGCACTCTCCCCTAATCTACTTCCTCCCCGGCCTTAACGAGGGGATCCTGTGCAGTCTTGTGAGGTCAATGGGTGGAAGCAGAAACAAGGGCTGCGCTTTGTAGAAGTACCTGGGTGACTTTCAAACTCATTTAAATTGCAGTGACCCTTCAAAAGTATCATTTGAGTTAACTTGTCACTATGGACTTAGAAAATAGGTTGCAATCATTTTTCATGAGTTTCCCACATAGGCGAAAACTTTTAACAAACCAGCTTAGAAGAATATTAGACACATACGCACACACTCAAAAACAGGACTGGACCAGCACAAGCTAGTGGCCAAACAAACACAACGTCTTGTTTCTTACTGTGATAGAAAGGATTAACATATGCTAAAACAAGCAGTTTACAAAGAGGCTAATCTCTTACAGGATTAACAGATTATTTTTGTAGCATAATAGCTACATATTTATGTGTCAACTAACAGTAGGCAATTATGCTCTAAATATAACCTGTCCTATAGCATCAGCTCCCATATGCAGCTTCTTGCACAAGATGGGAGGCCCAACATTGGGGCGGGGGGGGGGGAGAGAGAGAAGGAAGCCCTATGGAAGTGGATGGAAAAGCCCACTTGTGAAAATTTCACATGCTTTGGCTTATTGGTGGTGGTGTCAGGTTATTAAAAGAAAAAAAAGAGTGCTTACCCCACAGCTGGTGATGCCTGTATTTTAAATGCTTGTGTGGTAGAGATCCTATACAAGTGTCCTCAGAAGGAAGCTCCTCAGTTTGATGGGACTTAGTCCCAGGTAAGTGTGTAAAGGGCTGACGTCTAAGGCATGGCCTCCCAGTGGTTTTAAGAGATGCAAGGATACAAAGACTTGAGTAGCCTTACTGTGGTGTAAGGATTATTGGGAATGCATGCAAGTACACCGAGCACTTAAAGTGCTAAATAAATGCTGTATTTGTAAACATAAATTCAGGCTGCAAAACTTACGTTTAAGCCACCACCAATTCAATTCTAGGCATATTTCACGGGAGGAACCAAAGCACCTTTCACCAGACTTAACCCGGCCTGAAGTGTTGCAGCTTTCCCTTCTCTGAATTAAACTACAGACAAGTAGTGCATGGAGGCATCTGTTTAAAGGAAAGGAAGGCTTACAAATCAGGCCACACACCTGCATTTATCCACTATATTCTACGATACAGGACACACTGCCTCGTCATGCTTAGCATGTAGGTAGCTTCCGTATGTTCCCATGTCACTTACGTTCCAATAATGGGCATACACTGGGAAGCCATCACCAAATCTCTTGTACACAGCAAAATAGCTGCATATGCAGTTATTCATAAAGGACTCTTACCCAGAAGTGCACAACACTTGAAGGCTGTCCAATATAACTATAGCCAAAACTGGGCAATTTCCAGAATGGTACTGCACAACTGCCATCTGCAAAAGTGTTAAATATAACCAGCCTCCAAGAATAATTGGTCAAAGCACTAAATAACAGCATTATGAGTCGAGAGGGGAATTGCAGTATTTTTTGGGGGGCGGGGGGAGAAAAGGTTCCTTCAAACTTGAACTAGGCACAGACCAGTTGTCCCACAATCACCTCACAATACTCTCCTGCCCACTGCAATTTCCTTCCACTCTTCCCATTCCACAACATCAGGGATAGGCAAACTCCGACCCTCCAGATATTTTGGGACTACAACTCCCATCATCCCTGACCACTGGTTCTGTTAGCTAGGGATGATGGGAATTGTAGTTCCAAAACATCTGGAGGGCTGGAGTTTGCCTATGCCTGCACAACATTAAAACCCAGAGTTAGTTTTTCTTTCTGTACTGATTGACAAGCAGATAATGAATATAGCAAAGAAGTGGGATATTAGATTTCTTTCGGTTTGGTTTTCTGTGTGTGCTCTGTAGTCAAACCACAACTTGCTAACATTCAGCTTGCAATGCTAGTGAACACTTCCTTTTCCTCCTCACCAGAATGCAACATGTGCTTCCGCCTACTAAAGACATGCAGACACTGTAGAAAGAAAGTTAGTAGAGCTGTTTTCTCTTACCCATTAAATTATGGTTCTGCTTATGTTTGAAAGAAAATATATGAATTCTACCCATTCACCTATTAACGTTATTCCTTTAACCTTAGCACTACTACCTCAAAACTTTTCCAGATGAAGTACAGTATCAGATGAAAAGATTCAAATTGAGATTTGCTAGATAAATATTTATTTCCATTTTTAGTTCTTCAAATATTTCAGATTCCAACACATTTCCATTTAAATATACGAACACAAATAAATAAGTCTCATACAAATCATAATCCTTTTAAAGAAAGATGAGTCCCCATTTGGGCTTTTGCTATGGATTTGTTACAAATCAAAAGGAAATTTCTATCTTCCAAAATCACCACAAATCGAGTTTTAGAAAAGAAAAAAAAAAAAACCAAACAAGTGTGTTTTCCACCTTCCAATCCAAAATATCTTTGTCTGGTGGTCAGGAATATGCCACAGGTTCATACACCCACCCACGCACAATTGCACACCCCTTCCTTACTCCATCTTGGAAGTGTTTCTAACCGTAGTTTGCGTAGGAGGGATGTGCTGGCAAACTGGTGAGGCTAACCTAAAAATGGAGCTGGGAACTGACATACGAGCTCATAGCATATTTCCTGATTAGAGTCAGTGCCTTGAAATTATAGTACATAATGTACAGCCGTTGGGAAGATGGCAATTTTCCATCTTCACGTCACTGAGGTTGCTCATTGTTTATCCAATATCGAATTGTCAGGCCGCTTTTCTTTAACAGTCTTTCACTACTCTGGTACCATTAAGCTGATTCTGCCGAATCCCTTTCTTAATCCATGTTTCAGCCCTTTGGATGGAAATTCAGAACTAAGTACTTGGGTTTGGAACGACACGTCTGCATACCTCCTATCTCTGAACGGAGATCAGGAAAGAGGATACTTTGAGATGGTGTCACAGCAATCGCTGGTGAAGTATCTCCCATGCCATCCTTTTGCGGTAGTAAGGCATGTGACGCTGCAAAAAGAAAAACACCTTGGAACACCGAACGCAGTCATACAAGCAAACCTCCCATCTGTGCAGGAGTCACTGCTCAAAGTCTACTACTACGTTCATGATTATTCTCTCTCCATCACCACCCCAGATTATTTCTTTGCAATAGCTTGGTTTATCAGCTCATCATGTCATGAACAGAATATATGGGAGCATATCCAAACAAAGGTATCAGATATGCAAAGTCCCAGATGTGCAGTTGTGCAAGATGGGACACCACTAATAAGCAGCCATTTCTCCACGGAAATAGGGGTCACAGAGAAGGCCTATGGCAGAACTAGCCGTGAACAAATCCCTGCCTACCTCAAGGGAGGCAAAGCAGGAGGAAAGCAGCTTTAGGCTTTCCTAAAGTGTTTCAGGCCACTCACCTGTGTAAATGAAATGGGTTTATCCCTGGAGATGAAGTCTGCATATTTACAAGCAAACATTCCACAGTCACTGCCGTTCAACTGCTGTGGAATTTCCTAAGATTGAGGGAAGGGAGGAAACAGAAAAATGCAGAAATATATATAGATAGATATTGCTTCCTTTCTGCTTCCCCCCCTCAACTGCAGAATACTGAACATTAAAGAGGCTCTGTTAGTGTCATAGATACGTGGAACCAAAGCCCCATGTACGATGCGATTGTACTGTACTACATTTCCCATTTCTCTCCTACATTAGACATGGTTTGCTCTACGGAAAACTTAAGACTACAGGAGAAAGTTCCGAAAGTAGATCGACCATATCAGCACCAGTCTTACCAAGTGAGCTATACATTCTGTGAAATCCACTCTGCTTGAAATTTTTAAACTTTTCCCAAATTAACCTAACTCAAGATAGTAAGCATTTCACGTTAGAATCCCTTCAGCATAAAATTTCATTATTTTTATCTAAGTCTTCACTGCATTATGGAAACCCTTCAACAAGCTCAGCATTCAACACTTATGGGTGAGCACCTAACATTTGTTCATAGCTTAATAAATGATGCTTTAAGGAAGGATCAGTACACCCAAAGCAACACTTTAAAGAACATGTGCTGAGATGCACATTAGAGCCGTAAAATCACACACGCACATGTGGTTCCATACTGTAAAGTGTCCATGATGAAGTTTTTATGACCATGTTTCTCCTGGCTTTGCTTTCTTCCTGCAGAAAATGCCTGTTCAATAAAAGCATGAGATAGATCAGTCACGATTCTCCTGAAATAGAGTTTATCACTCTACAGAGTTAGCAAAATTTTGTATCACAAACCTTTTCAATATCTGGCAGAATGAGAAGATGCTATATATCTTTAAGAGCATACTTTCACTTGATGATTTAAATTAAAAGCTTATTTTAAAAAGTTGCAAAGTAAACTAAGTAGGGAATACAGTTTTACAATAACTGTGTCTGTTTCTAAAAATGACAGTCATATCTAAGGGGTTAAGTAAACATCTCAATATATCTATGAGCAATTTAAGAGTTGGTGCAGTATTAAGACAGCTTGTCAGACAGTTGCTTGTGTTTGGTTATTTATTTGGCAATGCATGACATCTCTGCAACTTTAATTAGAAGGAGTATTACACATAAATGAGCAAACATGGAAAGAAAAAAAATACTTGTAAAGTAAATTACTATTAGAAAAATTGACTTACAGCAATCTCTTACATATCATATGGCCATCTTGTCCCATTGAATCAAAATATTTGATGGTCTCTCTCCTCATGTCTATAACCTATCATCAAAATAATAGTATTAATGGAACACTCACATTTGCTACTTTCACATCTTCTTCCCTTCTAAAAATGAAATAATGAGAAAAGCCAACAATGCGCTCACCACTAATGCCCAATGTACTCTGATATGAATGGGTACTAAGATTATATCATGCTGAAACAAGTCCACTTGCTTGGTCCATCTTCTGACCCCATTATAGCCCTCAGAACTTAGCTTGGGGTAGAAAAAAGTATTAAACGCATACAGTACTGGAAAGCCCAGTTGTTTATTTCTCTCCATCAGAAGGTTCATATAGAAGTTAATAACCTATAAATACAAGAAACAATTAAAGGAAGAAAAGAGCAACTATTAGATGTTTATCTGTTAAAGAGGAGGCAGCTGTCATGACGTCATGTGGCTAAACTGCTGGGCTGTAGAATTTGCAGAGTGTTTCCAGAACTGCTAAGACCTTCACTCCATGTAAAATCTGCACATATTACCTGGGTTGCTGGTCTGATCAGGATATTTGGAAAGCAAGTCTAAGTACTTCCACACCTGCCACGTCCCCCACCTGTGGCCCCCTGTGACCCGAGCCTCCTCCTGATGAATCATGCGAGTCTGCAAAAACCCACAGCACCCTCTTAGATAAGCTGGAGGCTGTTTCCGAAGCTTGCTTTGCTTCTCTTGTGTGTCAAGATTATATCAATGGTACAGACAGGGAAGAAATCAGAACTGATGTGGAGCAATGTATCTAGAAATTTTTCGATGTTGCACGACAAATAGAATCCTTTTTCTTACAAAAAGTGTTGCACTCATCTGTCCAGAAACCAGAGCAATTCATTAAAGAGGTTGTTTCAGAACTGAGGAAATAAGTACTAAGTCAGAAGCACTTGTATAAACTGTGACACTGGCAGCAGGTTCTGGAGGACATTAATATACAATGCACACAAACCCTGCTGAATTGCCTCAAGGATCTTCAGCATAGCTAGAAGCCCTGCTTCAGCTAATTTCCCTGCACTCATTAGCAAACTTGAACATGGAATGTCATTCAAACACCAGAATGACCTTTGTTATACCAAACAGTGTAGAACAGATGCCCCTGCCCAATCATGTCAAAGTCCTTACCAAGCCAGGATGGAACACTTAAAAGAGCTTTAATTTTCCAAGAATTCAAGTCCACCTCACAGCAAGTGACCTTGCCACAAGAAAAAGTTAACAATGTTTTGACTAGAATTGAAAACTTGTATTTTACCACATCATTGAGCCACTGGTGGTCTCTTAGTCTCTGGATGTCTCCACGTGTAATGTTCAGCTTGAAGGCACTAGTCAGGATTTCGTCGTCTTCGCCACAGTTCAGCACATTCGCTATCTCTCTCTCCATATCCTGGAAGGGCAAGTGTTATGCTATTAGATGCATAAGTAGAGAGCAGCAGGCAGAATTAAACTTCCCATGTTCGGGGGCAGGAGTGGGGACAAGTCATGATATCTCTGGTTTGCTCAAATTCCTCAGATTATAAAATGATGCTAAAGCTCTTGCTTGCAACATGTCACATACTGAATACTGCAGCTTGGGTTGCAACTGAATCTGAACAGCTAATTTAAAATAATAAGTTACTGCTCCTGGGCATAGTACCGAGGACAGAAGAGACTGGTGGCATTTGTTCAGGTCAAATAGTCCATCAGATAGGAACTTATCCCAATCAACCCTACCACAAGAATGGTACCTCTGTAAGGTAAGGAAGGCTCTCTGTAGCCTTGTCCAAGCTCAGATATTTCTGTTCTTCTGACTCAACTAGAGAATGCCTTCCATATGATGATTCTTCCTGACCAAGGCTTAACCTACGTGACACATCCTCTGATAGATCATTTGTCAAGCAATGCTTTAAACTCTGTTAAAAGAAATTGGACCATTGTGAAATACAAGTCTGTGACAGGCCTGCTCATGGGAAAGGAAAATTCAATATATTCCAGTGCCATCTTTAAGATTCCACTAAAGCTGTATCCTCCGTCTATCAGTCTGATAGCAAAATAGGGACTCCCACAGACATGATCTCTGCATACTTGAGGTATGTGGAAATAAAAATACAAGTATGGGAAGGAGTGACCTGGTTGAAGCCCTAAACTTTATTGTATCCCAAAGTGGGGATTCCCTTTGCACTACAGTGGTACCTTGGTAGTCAAACGGCTTGGCTCCTGAACGCCACAAACCCGGAAATAAGTGTTCCGGTTTGCAAACATTTTTCAGAAGCCGAATGTCCAAAGCAGCTTCCGCTTGAGTGCAGGAAGCTCCTGCAGCCAATCGGAAGCCGTGCCTTGGTTTTTGGACCATTTCAGGAGTTGAACGGACCCCCGGAATGGATTAAATTCAAGAACCAAGGTACCACTGTATATGCATTACTTAAGTTCCAAATCCACAAAATGAGGCTTAGCACATTAGTCATCTAGCAATACAGCCAAGTTATGGTTGCAAGATCCTTCCCCCCAAAATACAATATGAAACACCAATTGTGTGTTTGCTGAGTTGCGCTTATGGAAAAGGTCACTGTTTTGATTTCTACAGCCTGGCAGATAGCCATCTGCAATCATCAGAGACAGGTACAACATTAATATGCGACACCCTGCAGAGTCCACCACTGATGTCTGCCCTGGGTTCCTCTGTTTCTCAACAATACTGACTGGGTATTCTGTAAAGATTCAGAAACTGACATCAGCAATCCACAAGGAGCAATCAAACCAGCAAAGCTGACTAGAAAAGCAAAACAAATCTCAAGAAACAAAATAACCTGAAGGGAAATCTCTGACTTGCTTCCTCTCCATACTCTAATATTCCTCCCAGCATCTTACATTGTATATTTGTGATGTATTTTAATCCTTATAGGCTGCTCTAGGAGCCAGGTTATACATAAAGTATTAATCATATGGAAAAATGTAATTATGCAATGAAGGACAAAAGCTTCACTAGTACAGAAAAACGACTCACCTCTTTTTTATGTACTACTAACTTTTTAGGTTCTGGAGTTCTTTCTGCTACTGTCACTGAACTGAAAGAAGCAGAGATTAATTCACGGCAAGAAAGATGGATTTTGCTAAGGCAGAGGGGAAAACAGTTTTCCCATGAAGAAGAAAGCATACTGGCATTTAATTCCTGCTAAAATCAATGCTCTTTCGTTCCCATGAAAAGCAGTTGCGGCAATGCTTGCGTGGAAAGAGAAAGAATGAAGGAACAGCAAACTGCAAAAGTGTATGAGGCAACTTCTATAATACCTAGCTGAGTGGCTCATCTCTCCAGAAATGAAAGTTGTACAGTACAGAACTAGACAAACATTGCCAGGTGGTAAGTTTTTAGTATAAGAAAGAAGTTTGACTAGACAGTTACAATCCCATTAATATGGAAGCTGGTGAAGATACTTTGTTTGGAAGGGCTCCAGAACTGAAGGCTAGAGAATAAAAAATGTACCTAGTAAATTTTCATTATATACAAACAGCAAAGAACTATCTATCATTTCATCTAGTTCCTCTCTACAAAACTAAGATGCAGAAGCTTTAGCATCCTAGGAAGTCATAGAGGTTAGATGGCCACCTAACATGGTTGCTTAGTTGAGATTACTGTATTGCAGGGGGCTGGACCCTCAGGATCCCTTCCAATTCTAGAATTCAATGATTCTAAGATGTGTCCCTGCCTACGTCCAGTCTGGTTTTGCCCCCAAGCAGTACTTCTCTTACTCCTTATGTCCTAAAACGTGTATCTATAGGTGAGAGAGAAATAACAAATAAATAGAGCCATTGCTAACAACAGCTCACATACTGTTTTTATGGCTTCCAGGTTAGCCCTAAATCCACCTAAGTATCAGTGCTCTAACACTTCCCCTTGGGGAAGTTAATGATACAACTAAGTACTACTCATGAGAAAAGTGTAAAAGCAAAACCTGATGCACACAATAATTAAAGATTGTGGTGCTCTTGCATCAATGTGCAGCCAATCAACTCCAAAGCCAAAACCAGCAAATTTTTTGCAACAACATCTTCACATACCTGTTTGCTGCTCTTTGAGGGCACAGGCAGCCAAAGTTTTTGACACCTTTAAGAAAAAAAAGTGCAATGAACACAGTATTTTAGTCAACTGCAATTTTAGCATGGCACTGACATACTATTTAGAAAAGAAATTTAAAAATGTTGGCTGCCATACTCATTTCACATGTAAATAATTTCTCCTCTTAATAATATGCCAAGGAAACAGCTTCTTATTTCAAGTATATCATAAAGAATAAAAAACCAATAAGCTATTTCTGCCACCTTACGATAAGACACAATTTTAATGTATACCTAATTTACAGTTGTTTTTAAAAAATAATATGCCAATACCAAGGTGGATTTTAAAAAGGAGAGAACAAAGTATTTAAGAACAAATTTTAACATCACCTTTAGTGTTAAGGATTCCTCTTCCTCCTCTTATAACCATCTAAAGCAGGAGTGTGACCTTTTTTGGTTTTTTATCAGAACTGGCCTTGAAAGCCAAACCTGACCAGTAATCACTGCTGCCCACCTGTAAATCACACGACATCATTATGACACCATGTGATTGACAGGCGCAGGCACACAGTCAAAATCTCTTGTGGGGTTCCCATATTAGAGGTTACCGCCCACACACTTCTGCTGCGCTTTCTGCTAGTATGCTGGCACCTCAGTAAAACCTCGTCTTACTGTTTATAGCAGAGTTTTTCCCCGGAGGCAGACGACAAGAACAGTAGTCATAGTCAAAGTTCTCAGTCAAGAGCTTCTTTATCTCTTGACTGGTCGCACAAGCATTTCTCTTACAAATAATAATAATAATAATAATAATAACAATAAATTTTTATTCATACCCCGCCCTCCCCAGCCAAGACTGGGCTCAGGGCGGCTAACAACCAATAATAAAAACAAGTTGATTAAAATACAATTTAAAAGATTAAGATACAACATTAAAACATTAGGATGCACCCTCTTCACAGGAGGAGAAATGAAAAAGAAAGAGGGGGAGGGAATCAAACTGATTCTAAGCCAAAGGCCAGGTGGAACAGCTCTGCCTTGCAGGCCCTGCAGAAAGAAATTTGATCCCGCAGGGCCCTGGTCTCATAAGACAGAGCATTCCACCAGGCCGGAGCCAGTGTTGAGAAGGCCCAAATACATAAACTATTTGCATTCTTTCTATAACTCACCAGCACGGTATAAACTCAGCATGTGTGTGTGTGCTTTCTTCATGCTAAACTTGCAGCCTGCAACTTCCTCCCTTTATTTGCACCTCCAGCTGACACCAATCAAGCCAAGACTGCCACTCCCACACACTAAAGGAAATTCTAGAAACCGTTTTTTAAAGGAACTTTCATCTGTTTCTTGAAGAATGTTTTCCTAACATCCCAAGCACCTGCTGCTTTTGAGAACTTCTTTCTGGCCACTGCCATAGTAGCAGCAAGTGCTTGGGAAGGAAGCTGGCTAATGAGGTGGGGAAAAGCTCGTTTTCTCTTTTGATGAAGGAGAGATAGAAAGCTTCGTCTTTCTCTCATCCTGCCAGCGACCTAAGAGAAAGAAGCCAGGAGCTTCTGCTGTTGTGTGAAGCCTTTGGGATTACAGGAGAACGAGGCACAAAAGGGAAGCAGAGGGAGAAGTCTCCTTCCTTCCCTTTTAAGCCTGATCTTGCTGCAATCTCAATGGAAGGGGGAGGGATACTAGCAAAAGCTGTGGAAAGCCTTTGGGAAACTCACACCTTCCCTTTTCAATCTCTTATCCCTAGCTTAATCTTTGCTCATCAGCAGGAACCCTGTCCACCTGCCCATCAGGAGATATAGCCAGCTGAGGGGAAATGGCTTGGCAGGCCAGGTTTGACCTGAGCGACTGAGGTTCTCCACCCCTGGAGTGTGTATAAGCTACCACCCTACCTGTGTGCTTCTTCAAATTAACAATTAAGTTCTGCCATTTTCAAAATATTAGCCAGAAATTCAGTGTAACTTTCAGAGACATTGCATCTCTTAAATATGTCTTCTTATGGGAAAAGTAGCTTTAGAAGGAGTTCCTATAACATTATGAATGCAGATAATTATCAGAGAAAGCTGTGTCATTATTATTTTTTAGATGCAGGAAAAAGCATACGAACAAGAAGAATAGCATAATTTAACTGAAGTATTAATCACTTCGAATGATTAAGGCGGCAAGTTACTAGGTTAGTTTAATATACTGGAATGCATCAACAAAAGTCTGAAAGACTGGTGATTTTCCCAAGTCTTTCAAGTTAGTGTGCAACACAAGGAGGAAATATAGCAGTAAGAAAAACTGGTAGGACTGAAAGTGTATGAACTAGAGGCTAGTGTTTGATTTAATTATATACTTAATTATATACCTGTATAGTGCTTGTATAGTACCTACCATTCCTTGGTGTGTCAAATGAAGGGTCATCGATTTCTACACAGCAATGAGTTTTTAGCGGCTGATGGACTTCATGCTGGACACTTGGTTTAGGATATTCACAAGAACAGAGATAAATTACATTTTCAGCTAAGGAAAAGAATCCTCAAATTTCAACATGGCATTGAACAGATACTGAATACACATACATCTTGATACTGAAAACAAGGTATCATTCAGAGTTAGGTAAACCCAAAAGGATCTGAAAGGAGGATAACATATTAGCTAGGTTATCTGAGATTTTTTGTGTGAAGAAAATGCTAATGCCTCTACTGGGAAGATGGCTGAATAAGTGACTTCCTGCTACACCTGAGAGTGACCAACTGCAACTTCCTCTCAGCGTGTAGCTCTGCAAAACCACAACTACTCACTGATGCTAACACCTATTAGTTCCTTGATATTAAAGACACTATTGTTGCCCAAGTGCATGAATTAAGGAGATATTTCAAATCCAGAATGCCAATAAGCTGAAATTAACTTTATCTGCTTTGTCTTCCTCAATGCATGTTAACCTTCACCAAGAAACACATGAGCCTACTCAAAAGAAAATGCTTCATTATTTCATTCTATGACTTTATTAAAATGTTTTTATTAGGGACTTACTCCAAGCACTTTGCTCTTGTGGGAGAGGAGTGGTTTTTATAGCATTTTTCTTTTTCTTGTTCCAGCAGCTGTTTGTATTTTTCTCGCTCCTCTCTCTGTACTCCCTGGGAGGAGGAGACAAATAATGAAGTTATTTATCGTTAAAAGGGTGATGACATTCATACCTGCATTATTCTAAACATACTCCCTATATGTTACAATGATATTCTTTTATTATTATTTATTAAATTTGCATACTGCAGTTCATCTGAAGATCACAGGGTGGTTTGCAACATAAAAATACAAAATATATTAAATATATTGTTGTTGTCTGTGGTTTTAATGGATCTTTTAAATATTATTTAATTACATTTTAATGGTTCATCTTTTCTATGTTTTAAAGCTTTTTCTATTTTATCATTTCCTGGACTGGGAAAAATGTGGGATATAAATCAATATAATAATAGTAATAAGAATACTCCAGCAGTGTGCCTCAATATGCAAGTTCTCAGGCCAGCCACCTATAATCACTCTGAAAGACAGATTCGAAGCAATAGCAATCCACATAAAGAGAACTCGGATACAGAAAGCCCAGGACAGCAATCTTACCTTATTTGGGAGTAAATTCCCCTGGGGAAAAATAGTAAGCTCTATTTCTGAGCAAACATGCACAGACCAAGCTACTGATCCGTCCAATTGATCAACTGGACCAAGACCAATTGATCCGTTCCAGTTCATATAGGATGGTTATATAAGAACATGGGGCCATAGCTCAGTGACAGAGCATCTGGTTGGCATACAGAAGGTTTCAGGTTCAATGCTAAACATCTATAGGAAAGGCTGTGAAAAGCACCCTTTCTGAAACACTGGAGAGCTGCTGCCAGTCAGTTTATAGAAAATACTGAGCTAAATGGACTAATATTCTGTTAAGGCAGTGTCCTATGTAACAGGAAACTAGATCAGAGATGACAGATTACCAGATCTGCCACCCAAATTATCATCTCTCTACTTCACTGTTTCAAACTGAGGCTTCTTATTGTTTCAGAGAGAATATTAGTAGCTGATATGCAACTGAAATCAAGTTGAAGAACATTGGTTATTTTTGAGGAACAGAAAGGACAGTTAATATTTTATTAAAAACGGAAGTGTAATGGAGGTGGGGGGGGGGGAAGCTACATAATAGCCCACTGACCAAATTCTGGTGGGCGACCTAGTGCCTGCTCAGATTATTGCAAATAATGGTAAGGTAGAGCTTGAGCTGAATCCAGGTCTTAAGCAAGAATGCATACTCTGAATCACTTAACAATTAAGGCAAACCTGAGTGTTTAAAAAGATAGTGAGTTTGTACTCTTGGCAAGAGGGATGCAGGTGGCACTGTGGTCTAAACCACAGAGCCTAGGGCTTGCAGATCAGAAGGTCGGCAGTTTAAATCCATGCAACGGGGTGAGCTCCTGTTGTTCGGTCCCAGCTCCTGCCCACCTAGCAGTTCGAAAGCATGTCAAGTGCAAGTAGATAAATAGGTAGATAAATCTGGTGGGAAGGTAAACGGCGTTTCCATGCGCTCCTCTGGTTCACCAGAAGTGGCTTAGTCATGCTGGCCACATGACCTGGAAGCTGCCTGTGGACAAATGCCGGCTCCCTCGGCCTATAGAGTGAGATGAGCGCGCAACCCCAGAGTCATCCACGACTGGACCTAACGGTTAGGGGTACCTTTACCTTTATCCTTGGCAAGACTCTCTCACAAGAAAAATTTAACACATATTAGGTGTCCATGAGAGTTCTAGGGGGAAATTCAACTACACAAACTGAAATCAGTCTAGCCCTGATCTAAGAAAAAAGATGCAATAAAATGTAAAGGATGAAAACATACCATCTAACCAGCCTTACTGAAATACACACCACATTTAAATATCTTGTAGCCATTTCTCTATTGCAAGGCAATTCTGTACATTACAAGTTTGCTGTACATTACAAGTACTATATATGTCAATGGACTTGCCTCTTCCACCGTACAGTGAAGTTTCCTTAAATGTCTTCCAGTCTCTGGAGGGGAGGTTTCTAAGAAATGCTTGTGGGTAGCAATTTTCCATGCTGGCAAGCACTCTTGAACCGAATTATGGCTTTTCTTGCTACTCTTTTTGACACTACATTCATGCCTGGGAAGATGAAAGAAAGCATTACAGAATTAAGAATGCTACAAAAACGTACAGGTTCTCATAATTCCAAGTAGTGCATAATAATTAGCGCATATGAAAACAGATTGAAAGAAGATTTACCTCAGACAGGTTTTAACTCTGTGACAATCAGTTACCATCTCTTCATTTGGATGCATACTGGTACTGCAACCAGTTTTTGTATCTATAAAAAAAGAGGAGGAGGATTTACCACAAATAATTCTATAGACAATTGCTGTGCTGATCCCAGAGAATTACCAAACTTCCTTTGGTAGATAGGAGGAGAACACTAGAGCCCTTTAAAGTTTCTCCTAGAAGCACTTACTCATTCAGGTAGAATAATCTGAAGGCTCCAGCCTGCTGTTTTAGAGACAAGCTGTTATGCCCGCACATAAGCGTGTCTAATCATATGAAAGTGGGTGTTGTTGAGGGCAGGCAAAAGCCGTCCTCCTTGCAAGCTAATCCAGTAGCAAGGAAGGGCTGGCATCCATTATATGAGACAACAGGTGTGAGTCCTCCCTGCCAGCAAATGACTTGCAAGGAAAGCTCCAACATGCTCAAGCCCTTCAACATAAGCGGATCTGCTTACAGCAGAAGTGGGGAATACAACTCTCCAGGCCTCTCTATCCAGCCCTCAAGACCCTTCCAAGACCACAACCCTCTCAAGCCCTGCTTTGCATTCTCCTTTTGCCTAGCTAAAATGTGTCCTTGAGCACTGTGATAATGCCTCTTGCTTGCCTGAATGGAGGATGGAGACATTATTGTGTGTGCCTCTGTATAAAAACCTCTGACTTTGATGTTGCTGGAATGTAGCCTATTTTACAAACATAACTGTCACATCTGCCCAACTTTTGCTCTAGCCCCCAGGTGGCACCCAGAAGGTTGTCTGACTTAAAGGTCACCAAACCCACAAAGAAAAGAACAGAAACATAATAGGACAAAGAAGAACAAACTGCACATGCACACAGGCTGAAAGACAACAACCAAGGCAGACCAACCTAAGCTAATATCATTGCAGGTTATTCCATGCCATACAGTAATGTCTCAGCACTTCTTAACAAGTGAAAAAATAGTTATAAATACCATGCAGTGATGGAATAAAGTATTTGATCCTCTTGGAATCTGCTGGATTGATTGCTTCTGTCGACAGGTGTCTTTTGTACTGGTACTGTTAATGAGCTGGGATTACAGGTAAGACCTTTCCCTACAGCAGGTGCTTCTAATCTCAGCTTGTAACATACAGTGAGGATACCAGGTAGCCTGACATCTGCTGGTTGATAGGGGATCAAATACTCACTCATTATAATGCACATCAATCTCTGACTTTTGTCTTTTGGGTTTCTGGGGGTTTTCCTGTTGTTATTCTGTCTCTCACAGCTACAATAAACCTACCATTAAAATTATGGACTGGTCATTTCTTCATCAGAGGGCAAACAGGCAAATTCAGCCGGGGATCAAATACTTTTTTCCCTCACTGTATATGAAGAGAGTATAACCACTACATGAGAGAACAACAAAAGACGAAGACAGAGTACACTCTTCAATGCTTTGAGTATTTTTATTCTGTCGCCTCAAACTTTAGGCAAATGGAGCTATGAAAAACGAAAGTGTTTCCTAAGGCAATCATACATGAAATGTAGTGACAATACACGTCACTTACCCAATTCAAACTTCTGCATCCCAGAGAAAGGTTCCATCTTCTTATCATCTGAACTACCAGATCCATTTGAAATAATCTTGAACAAAGCATGTTTGTGTAAGTCATTTTCCAGACATGTCCAATGTACAAAACCCACAGTTCCCTGGACTGCTCCTCTTCCAATACTTTGGATTAGAACCAACAAACTACATTAATTACTGCCTTCTAGTCTCTCAATCCCCACATTCTTTCTGCCATTTTAAGCCATCAGTGACCAGGGCACAATCATGCATGCACAAGCCCCAATAATTTCACTCATGTAACTTGAGAAAAATAGCATCAGGCTCAGGTGTGTAAGGCTGCAACTTATACTTAATGGGTTGGCAGAATAAGAGGTGTGCTTTTAATACATTTGTAACAAAATACTTAACCCTGTGTGTCACTTGATATGATTCATTCATAGTTCTCTGTTTTCACAACCGGAGCCATGAACACACTGATTTCAGATTAGATACCTTAAGAATAAAACAGTAACAGGCACTTACTGTGCAACAATACACTTGGAGATGTATTAGCAACATTTATATTCATCTATGACATAACGTTAAGAGCCTAGAGTGTGCAGAATTGGGGGTTTTGTTTTGTGATATAAGATGTTGAGTTAATAACTGAATGGTAAGGTGTCAGATCTCCAGAGATCACTTTCACCCCTGCTTTTCATTCAGCAGAAGAACCAATTCATCATAATAAATGATACAACCTCTGACCCCACAATGATTTCTCTTAAGCTGGGCAATTAATGAGACTCTTTTTGCCACAAACCCCTTTGGCCAACAATTCTCCAAAAGGGCAACAAGCAAGTTTTACCTAAGAAAAGCCAAGCAGTCCAGCAGTGCATGGGCATTTCTCATGGCTTTCTATTCATACAGCCCTACAGTCTCGTCTTAAGGGCCTGCAAGAAGAGTTCTCTCTTAGCCAAGGTCTAGTTATTATTTGAAGGAACTGGGGTGATGAGAAGAAAATTGTGCAGGGAAATAAGCTTGTGATGTACAGTGCCAGAGGAAAGCCTATCCCTAAGAATCCTTTCCACTCAAGTGAATTCAATAGTGTTGCCACTCCAGAGAAACAGGGTAGGAGTTCAATGGATCTAATTTGGTTTGAATGTGCATCTCAAATCTGTAAGTCTCTTCTCAGAATGCATACAAACCTCGTCTGTAGTTTCTGCATGCCAATCTCCAGTCTGAAAATACTTAGTTGTCAGATGGGCAGGTAGTTTAATTAGAGAGGCAATCCCCTGATGCAGTGTTTCAAAAATACCTAGGAAAAATTAAACAGACAAAAGGGAGGCCTCTCATGAATCTCATGCAGTACAAAGTAGCATCGTAGTCATAAGGTGAAAACTCCAAAGAACCCTTCCAATGAACTAATGGTAAAGGCTAGTAGACTGAAGGCCCAAGAGGTACCACAGAATACATTCACACATGGCAATATGTACATTTATGGAAAGAAGTAATCTTGTCATCCTTTTGCTCTAACCAGAAGATGAACTGGAGCAAAAAAGGCATAAGTTAGATACAAGATTCTTAAAAATGTATACTAATAAAACCAAGACTTCATGGTCTGGGACACTTTTTGTTTTCTATAAGCAGATGTCAGTCAGGGTTCCCAAGGCTATTCTGGCTCAGTGATCAATGGTAATACTGGTTTGGGTTATCAAATGTCAGAATAAGGAGTATCTAAAGGGATTGCTACCATTCTACATGACTTTTCTGTGGTGGCTTCTTTCTTGTCTGTGGAATGTTCTCCCCAGAGAGGCTCGCCTGGCAACATCATTACATGTCTTTAGGCATCAGGTGAACAAAATCCTCTGGCTGGCCATTAAATAATCTATGGCCTGTTAAACGGGGGTAGGGCTGTTATTATGATTATTTTATCATTATGTTGCTTATTACCTTTTAATTATTATGCTCCATAAATTATGTTCTTAATGTTATTCACCACCCTGGGATCTTTGGATAAAGGGTGCTATATAAATCAAATAAATGAATAAATTCTGTTATGAGTTCTAGTGGCACAGCAGCTTTCTGAAATTATTCCCCCATAGAGCAGCAAACCAGGTGAATGAAACCCAATTTGATGGATGAAGCAAACTAAGTGAAACACAATGCACTACAAAATTGAATGTAGGCATCGGCTGATGCTACTTACTGTCACAAAGTCCTTCATGTTTAGGTTCAGTAGACCTTTACATGGTTTCAGAACTGGGCTGACTTCCCTGGGACTCCAAGATTTGCAAGTCCAATTTGCAGGATGTCCCTCTGCTCTTATCCAGAGAAAGAGAGATTTTGCCTAATTTGGTGGCTCTCATTTCTTGGTCTGAACAGAGACACATTCCTGGTTAGCCCTTCCAATATGAGGTTTCTGAATTGGGACCTTACTCTTTCTGTACTGTTCTTTAGTGCTCTGGCAATTTTCCAACTAAAGCCCCTCTTCTATGCCTCTGCTGGATAGGTATGGCAGTACAAAAATGCCCTTGCATTTATTGATTTATAAACAATATTTGAACAAATTTGTGTCATGCCCTGACCAAGTCTTAAAAGCACTGACTTTCCATGTTTGCATAATGTTGGTTTTTTCACTTGCAGTAAAGAATGAGTTATGGCCATTTGAGGCAGCTGTGAAATCTCTGTGGGAGGGCAGGGAAAGAAAAATATTTTAAGATCTACATAATTATATTGCAGTAATGACAGGGAATTGTCAAAAACAAGACAAAGAGTCAGTACACCCAAAGCCAAAGAACTTAAATTATGGGAAGTGATATAACAGGTATTACCAAGCTTCTGCCTTTTTGCTTGCTTCTCATCAGGGTCTTCAGCATGCCACCAAGTACTGTGGAAGAAATAGGTAAAACTTTTTGAGAAATGAGGCATTCAATGCAAAGCTGAGTTACTTGTTGCCAAGAGACCCGTTTTCAGCTGCTGCAGATGTCACTTTGTTTTTGACCATCAAATAGTTGATCACATATCTGCAAGCTAAATTCCCCCCCCCCCCCCGTTGACAGCACTATACATCAGTAAATAGGATGATGCTTTATCTGCAACATTTCCGTGCTATTTTGCTAGTATCCTGTGGCAAAAGCACTGAATAGGGCTGTGCACTGAAAACAAGATTTGGTTCAGATTCACTTTGGCACTTCAGAAAGCAGAATGGTTCAGCGTGGACTACTTTGGAGGGCACTTGCTTCATCTCATGCTTGAATCAGAAACCTACTCTGAAAAATCTGAAGCTTCATGTCTGCTCACAGACTATAATTGGGAAAGTTATAACTTGTTTCCTTTTTAACTTTGGTTCCTATTTTCCTTCTGCAAGAAGGAAGGCTGCCATTGTTATTCTTACAAACAATGAAGATATACTTTAGTAAAGCCACAGCAAGTAACCACATCCACATTCCTAACAGCAATAAAAGCATACTGAAGTCTACCTAGAACCATAGCTGTCAACTTTCAGATTTAAAAATAAGGGATCAGCAGCCTCACCTGTCCCGGGGACAGCCTATGGGATATCTAACAATCCGAGATAGCAGCGGGAAACGGCACTGGAATAAGGGAATTTCCCGCAAAAGAAAAAGGGAAGGTTGACAGCTATGCCTAGAACCAATGTCTGTCTTTAAATACAGCTTGGTGTCTTAAGCATTATTAGCAAGGAGTGTATGCAGCACAATGTTTCCTGCTTGGCAGGGGGTTGGACTCGATGGCCCTTGTGGTCTCTTCCAACTCTATGATTCTATGACTAAACAACAACAAAAGTGCTAGCAATTGTAACTCCGTGGGATAAAGTTCCCGGGGTTTTTTTTAAAAGGGGGGAGGGGGAAGGGGGCGTGCTTTAAACGTGCGCAACCAAAGCCCCGCTCAACACCCAGTCCGGCATTATTGCCAACTCGGAGAGGCGGCCTAGCTCGAGGCATGAGACCTCTGAGGCTCTTTCACTCAGCTCCCCAAGCCTCTGAGAACGAAGAGGGCCACGCAGGGAAGGGGAGAGCAAGAGGCAAACAGGAAGGCAAGTCCAGCGGCTGCCACCACCGGCCCACCCTGAGGCTAAGCAGACCCTCCCCTCGGGGCCCTGGCATTTAGCTCCAGCTAAAGCCCCCTCTGACCTGGGGTGGCGCCTTTTCCGCGGCCGAGGGAGCGAAGGCTCCGCGTCGCGGCGATAAGGGGGAGAAGGGAGCAGCCAGGAGCGCAGCGCCTGGGAGAGCCATTTGTACATAGGCCTCAGCCACAGCGGCCGGCCCGGAATTGCGTCACTTTCCCGCGACCGGCGCGCAGTCAGTGACGAAGAGATTAGGAAGGGAGGCTGTTTATATACTGTATATCTATATTTCGAAACTTTTCTCTTCACCCGCCGTCTGCTCTAAAAGAAAACAAAGTGTGCGCTTCATATGCATGGTCATAGTATTCTCTCACTTTGGGCCGAGCTCCATGTCTGCAGTCCTGCTCCTCGCGCACCCGTCAGGCGTCTTTCCATTCGGGTCTCTACTGCCTGACAGGCGGGGGGAGGGGGAGACCCTATTTTATACCACGCGGGTGCGGAGAACATGGGCGGGGGGACCACAGGAGCCAGTAAACGCGGAGAACGCGCGCTTTTTCGCAGCCCTTTGCCTTCCCCACCCTGGTTCCCCTCCACTTATTTGGCTGCCTTTAACTCCCGTCAGCCCTCACCATGGACCGTCCTGGCTGGGGCTGATGGGAGTTGAAGTCCAACAGGAACCCCCATAGACTCGGAGGCCGGGATGGCGGGCGGCCATTTTCGCAGGAAGTTCCGGCTGTGCGTCGCCACGTCCCTCCTTTTCCGTTCGTGTGAGGGACGGGGCGCCGCGTCACGCGGGGGCAGGTCCCGGAGTTCGCCGCGCGGCGCTTTCCGTTCCTCCTCGTTTTCCGTTCCTCCCGGCGGCCGTTGTGAATGCTCCGCTATGCGCTCCCTCGGAGGGTTCTTGCTGGTCCTGGGGGCGGCCACGGCGGCGCTTTACTTGCTGTCGGTGCGGCTGCCCGGAGAGCCGCGCGCGGGGAGCGGGTGAGTGGGACTCTTCCTCGGCGGCTTCGAGGCGGTTGCGGCTTGGCGGGGGCCCCGCTCGCGGAGCTGGGATGCTGCGCTCTTCCCAGGGAGGAGGAGGAGAAGCGAGCCTCGGCTTCATTAATGCCTCAGCGGCGTCTTCTCTCTTCGGGATTGTTGACTTGCACTCACTTGCCCCGAGAGCAGAAGGTCCTGGGTTTTTTGCTGAGGGCGCCTGCGACTGTGATTGACAGCGAGCCTAAAAATACACCGCCGCCGAAATCCGATGCTACCCTTCGCGTGTGCGGTGCTCGGAAATGTGCTGCTGCATGCTCTGAACTAAGTTTAGGTGTGTAGGAAGTTGTTATGAAACAGCCTCGAGATGTTCAAGTGGTCTCGGGTACCCGCTGAGCTGAAGGGAGTTGGTGCCCCCTTTCACCATACATTTAAAGCACGCACACACTAATAATCCTGGGAACTGTAGTTTGCTCCTCATGGTACTGCAAATCCCAGCACCCTTAACAAACTGCAGCTCCCAGGATTATTGTTTTTTCGAATGTGGGGCGGGGGCAGGGAAAGAGGGATGTGCTTTAATTGTGCTTTAAATGTATGGTATGTGTACACAGCTGTAAGTAATGACTTGTGGACTTTGGAAGGCACTATCCTCTTATTCCAAAATTGCTGACAGATTGATTGTAACAAAAGCAGTGGTGCAGTCGTAAGGTCATTTGGACTCTAGACTTAATAGTTGTAACTGGAGGCTCTTCAGATGGTAGTGTGTTGTGACACATCCTTCAGAATCTAGCACCACTGAGCATAAGTTGTGTTTCGGTTTTGTTTTTGATGCTGTTTCAAGAATGCTTGTCCCACAATAAATCTGTTAGTCTCTAAGGTATCACAGCATGTTAGAATTTATTCAGTAACATACAGAACTACTCTTCAATCATACATGCCTTGGTGCATATTTCAAATGACTTCTTGCTGCTTGTTCATCCATCTATGAACTTGCAGTGGCAAGCTCAGCCACAGAATAGCATTTAATAAAGAGCACTCCACACTTCAGATGTCTTGCTTCAGGCAACATCTTGCTATCTAAAAGTAAGAGTTGTAGAGGTCTTAAAGCAGAAAGGCTTGGGTCTTTCCAGAACAATGACTATAGCTTAGTGAGAATTGAATGATCCTTATGACTGACCTCTGTCAGTAGTTTTTAGGGGATCAGCTTCTCATTGTAGAGAATATCACTGATTTTTCCCTCATTTCCTTTTTACTTTAGGTTATACACATATCAGGAATTTGAATAGCTGTTAAGTTTTAAACAGTTGTAAAACCAGCGGCCTGTCTTTGCCACAAAATCAAAGCTAAGCAGTAGCCCACCATACCCCACAGGTACCAGAATTCACTGCAATTCTTTTCTGCAATTCCTAACTCAGCAAGTATCTTGTAGTAATTAAGGCTGTATTTTTAAAAATGTAATCAACTGTTTGCTTCAGTAAAATATGTTGAAATCTGAACATGATTGTTTTACAGTTTGAATTTTCATGAGAAACTAGCGATAAGCAGAACTGATGCATTTCACAGACTGACAAATCCTGAGCACTGTGGAAAAAATACAGCCTAAATTATAACTCTCCTTCTGTGTTAGATTTCACTTAAGAAGGATTCTAGCTTTGAATTGCTGCCTCTGATGAATCTCACCAATGTATACTGTACTAACAATTTAATACGTGGCTTGCTTTCTTAATTGTCCAAAGTTTTAGTAACTAGCACCTTCCTTGCTTTGCTGAAATGTTGCACCTTTATGCTCTGTGTTAGCATTAGGCCACAAGGTAAAGATACTACACTTGTTTCTGCTTGAAAAGTTAATTGCTGAGTTCTTGTTGCAACCAAGCAATGAATGAACGAATGGCATGAATAACTGTGTGGTCACAGTTTAAGAGAGGGGCATACTGTTAATGCCAGAGCTATGGCTGATTGCATGGACCTGAAGTATGTTTACAGCCTACTAGATTCTTGAATTGCAGTAAAGTTGTGAGGTAGAGAAGTTTATTAGGCTGACCTGCAGACAAGGATTTAGTTCTTAGAACAAAGGAAGAAGAAAAGGAGCAAGGTGATTACTATCAAAGGGGAACCATACGTTAGTATTCATGTTAGAAGCATGCACATAGACAGACTTCAGTTAAAATACAGATAAAAAGCTCAACATTTATTAAGTTTTATAATTTCTTATCTCTCTCCTGATTTTCCACCAGCATGAGCATGCACACTAAATGATAGTATACTTTCAATATGTTTATCACTGCTTGTTTTCAACACGCACTCCATTGTCCTATCTCTGAAAGACTGAGGATGGATGACTGGATGTATCTGATTCTCTATCCCTTCAGTAGTAAAGAGCCTTACCTAGAAGCCAACAGGAACTGACCCCACTGACCAGTGTCCCTTGTGGAGTCTTAAACTGGCCCAAATGACTCTTTTTGAGTGATGGAAACAATGGGCCTCTGTTTCTGCCTAGTATCCTGTCTTCTCTTGGGGAAGGCATTCCTTTGTACATTTTCTTATGAACTGAACCCACAGTTTCCTGATGCTTCCTGATTCTTAGTTCCCTCTTCCTGTAAACACCCACCCACACACCTGTGCCTACACAGTTGTGTGGTTGAATTGTTATTTTACTGCATTCATAGTGTGCATGTGTTCTGATGAGTGCTGATTTATGCTATTATTCTATCTCAGGCATATCCAGCTATAGGTTTGTTGTTCTTGCCTGGTTCGCATAACACTGTACTATAGGCTACAGTATTCTGTAACCGCCTGCTGACCAATTCTTCCCTCTTCTCCCATCCTATTGGGGCTAATGATATTTTATAATATTCACAGTCTTAAGTAGATTTAAGTGGTACAGAAATAGAATTTGTAGTTTCCAAAAGAAGTTGGGCAACCTGAGACCTGACGTGGCAGTTCCCTTACCACATTCCAGATGATCAGGCACGTGTTGCAAGAAAGCATAGTGCTGTTGCAACTTGGATACTTAACTTTTTTAATTGTCCTACAAAAGCACATGTTGCAATAAATATGTTAATATTTAAGATGACATGGTACTTCTTGCTTCATTCCCCTTATTTCATAATTTTCCACGTGTTTGTCCATAGAATGAAAACACCTTCATTGGCAGCGTATGTTCACAACTGAACTGATTATCCTCTTTATTTATCAGGTCACTAAAGTTTCCTTCAGACCTAGAGGAACTGCAAAAGCTTGCAGAGTTTCTACGGTACTACAATAGAGAACACCATACTTATGTGCTGCTACTGTTCTGCAGTGCCTACCTATACAAACAGTGCTTCGCCATACCTGGCTCCAGTTTTCTGGTATGTATAATACCTGCAAAGTTTCAAGATTTTGGCTTTGCAGCATGCTGCTGAAAACCCATCTGGTCCTTCCCCCCACTTTCAGTGCCTTTGGAAGACTTGCCTAATAACTCCTGGAATGCTACTTAAAAGGAAAAGGACCCCTGACCATTAGGTCCAGTTGTGGCCAACTCTGAGGTTGCGGCGCTCATCTCGCTTTATTGGCCGAGGGAGCCAGTGTACAGCTTCCGGGTCATGTGGCCAGCATGACTAAGCTGCTTCTAGCGAACCAGAGCAGCGCACGGAAACGCCGTTTACCTTCCTTACAGAGCGGTACCTATTTATCTACTTGCACTTTTTGGGGTGCTTTCAAACTGCTAGGTTGGCAGGAGCAGGGACTGAGCAACGGGAGCTCACCCCATTGCGGGGATTCGAACCACCGACCTTCTGATCAGCAAGTCCTAGGCTCTGTGGTTTAACCCACAGCGCCACCCGTCAACTAGAGGCTAGATTACACTCTTCCTAGGGCCTGGGCTACTCCATTCACATACAAATCATGTTGAATTCTATATTTGTGGAAATTCCCTTAGACTACCCACAGCAGAATTCACTGAGAGCAGGCTTCCTCAAACTTGGCCCTCCAGATGTTTTGGGACTACAATTCCCATCATCCCTGACCACTGGTCCTGCTAACTAGGGATCATGGGAGTGGTAGGCCAAAAACATCTGGAGGGCCGAGTTTGAGGAAACCTGACTGAGAGTGTTACTATGCTCTTCAGAAGAAATTGTCAGAGTTCAACATGCATTATTAATGCCTAAACTTTCCAACAACTGAGATTGTCCTCGTGAATAACTGATTTTAAAACTAAGCTCAGTAACCATCCATGAATGTCCCACCGTTCTCTGGCTTATTGCTCAAATACCAACTTCAATGAAAAAAGGATTAGTTAGCGAGAGGAGGCAGAAAACAAAAAAAATATAATCATAGGGTGTCAATTTCCTTAATTCTGATATTTTGACTTCAAGAATCCAATAAATGTGCACCATGTGTTTACAAAGTTATCTATTGATGGTCATAGCTTTATCCCCACCAGATTTTTTATGATGCTAACCTATTTTATGATTGTGCACTTTTAATTGTATTTTAAAATTTTATCTGCAAGTCACCAAGAAAATAATGCTATTGGATAGCCTTATATAAATATAGCCAATAAAATACATAAATAAATGCTAGAATTCTGAATCAACTAATGACTAAGGAAAATCATTTTTTCAGTATATGATTATTTTATGGAGTTCTCTGCAACATGAGTTGATGGCCAGAAACTTAGGTGGCTTTTAAAGGGATAGACATGAATCTGTTATTTATTTTAAAATATATAGTTTGATATAATAAAAAATCTCTAATGAAAGGCTTGCAGAAAAACAGTAAAAATACAAGAATAGCAATCAGTAAAATTTCCTAAAAACTAGATAAAAATGAGAATACAAATATATTACAGACTAAAAAATTAAGAGAGTCCAGGTAGCTTGGGTGTAGACCTAAGTTTTTAAGAGGTGTATTATTGTCTTCACCTCATGAATCAGAGGGAAGGCCTTCCAGAGTATGTGTGCTGCATTGTCACCATGTAACAACCTGCTGATCAGCCAGCAGGGTCTTCATGAAAGATTGGCTAGGCCTGCACTGCCAAAGGCAACCTACTAGGTATCCTGATCCCAAGTTGTTAAGAGTTTTTAATGTCCACATTAAATGTTATGTGTAAAAGTGAATTTTCCACTGAGCAAATCAGCAGCTGCCTGGTCACCCCACATGTATCGCATTGCAGTAGTCTAATCGATAGTTAAGAAAGCTAAGTAGCACCTCCACCTACTGTGTATCTAGCTTCCAGTTGCCAGGGAGGTAGCATCAATATTTTGCCTTTCTGCTCTGTGGACTTCCTGGCTAGAAACACAGTGCCGGACTACACAGACCATTGGTCTGATCTAACAGAGCTGCTCTTGTTTCTATGGTTCATATAGTCCTTCATGCTTTCCCCACAGTTTATTATGGACTGGATCACTGTCTAGTTTTGCTCTAACAGAACATCCTTGCTGGGGCTCTCTTTGGACCATGGATGGGACTCCTGTTGTGTTCCGCCTTGACTTCTGTGGGTGCCACTTGCTGCTATGGGCTGTCCAATGTGTTTGGGAAAAAATTTGTCACCTACTATTTTCCTGATAAGGTGGCCATGCTTCAAAGGAAGGTAAGTCCCAATCACCTATAATATTTTAGTCAGTGCTTTGTGACTGGGTAGTGCATTATCATAGAGTTGGAAGGGACCCTGAGGATCATCTAGTCCAACCCCCTGCAATGCAAGAATATGCAGCTGTCCCATATGGGGATTGAACCTGCAACCTTGACTTTATCAGCAGCATGTTCTAACCAACTGAGCTATTCGTTATCAAGTCTAGCTGTCAAGAATCTGCAGCCAGTATGTTACAATACAATAGCTGGAATTAATAGGAAACTCTTCTAGTGAAATGTATAATTTATAGCTCTTGCAATATCATAATTGCATATAGAAGGGGATTCCAAGGCTACATTCATGCTACCTATGTAGGCCTAACTACTGAAACAAAAAGGGTTTGCAGCAACCCTCTAGTGTAGACCAGGGGTAGTCAACCTTTTTTTACCTACCACCCACTAATGCATCTTTCTTGATGGTAAAATTTCCTTACCACCCACCAATGCTCGATGGAAGGAGGATTCAGCTTGTGCCATTGAACCCCCTAGCGCCCACCTGGAATCCTGAAACCCCCTCTAGTGGGTGGTAGGGACCAGGTTGACAACCCCTACTTATTCTCTACCCTTTTTATTATGCCAGTATAGAATGGTTATATAATTTATTCATCAAACCAGGTTTATTGGTGGTAATATCAGCTCCTTGAGTGCCTTGAATAAGAAGCTAATATTTGTATTACAAAATTTGTGTGTGTGTGTGTCAAACACACATTTTGACCAGATCTTGTTTCTTTTTTGTCTATGGCAGGTGGAAGAGAACAGAAATTCCTTATTTTTTTTCTTGTTGTTTCTGAGGCTGTTTCCCATGACTCCAAACTGGTTTCTGAATCTCACATCTCCAATCCTGAACATCCCTGTTACTCAGTTCTTCTTCTCTGTATTCATAGGTAAGATTAAAAGCACTCAATTTGTCTTAGTACTACCTAATATACTCTCCTCCTCCCTCTTTTCCATTTTAAGTGCATGCTTGCTCATTCCCTACCACTTCTAGCTTACCTTTATTGTGTGGGTGTTCCAATTTGATGGACTATTTTCTGGCAATAGTGGAAATTGCAATGTGATGATATTGGAGGTATGCCCATTTGTCTGGGAGCCCCTTGAATGGCATTTTAACTAATGTCTGTTGAGCATTACAAACCATAGTGCAAAAAAATAATAGTTATTTGATTTTGATTTGTAGAGAGAGAAAAATACTTACTATTTTTATGGGCTTTTCTATATTTCTTGTCTCAGGGGGCACTAGGAAAAACTGGTAGAGTTTATAATCCTCCTTAAACACACACTCCCTTAATGTGAAAATTGATGATGTCCCTAAGGTAACATTAAAGTACACCAGTTCTCTGTAAGGTACATACTGAAAAACGTGCTTCTCATAGAGTAGCTGAAGACAATATTTTGTGTAGCGCAGGCTCTTGTTGGAGGAGATGACAAATACCCTTTAATTGTGCAAGCAAGAAACATTTCCCATCTTTCTTGAGCAGTGGATAATATTCTTCAAGATGCTTAGCCCAAATCCCAAGTACTTTCTCTCTGCTGACCCTTCTTAGTTTTGTGTACGTATTTTTTCCTTATACATTCCTAAATGTGTTCTCCTTAGCATTTGCACATTCAAGCTCTTACCTTATTCACAGGTCCAAGGCAAGTCTGAAAAATGTGAAAGTTTTGCTTATATGAGTATTCTCTTACTTCTGCAGGCCTCATCCCGTATAACTTCATCTGCGTCCAGACTGGTTCAATCCTTTCACAGATCACCTCCCTTGATGCTATTTTCTCCTGGAGTACTCTGTTCAGGATGTTGGCTATAGCCATGGTGGCATTAATTCCTGGGACCTTCATTAAGAAATTCAGTCAGAAGCATCTCAACTTGGACAAAAATAACCAGAGTGCCCATTTCCTCAATGGGAGAAAGAGTAGCTGAATGGGCTGGGTTAGGACCAGATATTATAGAAGTCTATTTATGGGAAAGGTGCAATTCTTCCCCCCCCCCCAGCCCATTTTGTTTTTACTGAACTTTAAAATCCCTGGTGCAGGCTTGGGCATCTCCTTTCAGTAACACATAGACAGAAAACAATTTCTGCTCTTACTGTGTGTGTTTTTTTAAATAATTAGACTTGCAAAACTCATTTTTAAAAGGTGCTCGCAACTGTTCCAATGTGTTCTGTAACAAGAATGCTGTCACTGGAACAGTTTTATGTCATGTGGTTTTGCTACCACTGACGTAGAGGTTGTAAATGATAATACCTACCTAGAAATTTGAGGTTGGTTCCTACATGACAGCAAATTCAGGAAAAGATCACATACAAAGCACCCCTTACTGTTGGCAATCGCAGTGCATTCTATGGGACACACGCTTGACTGGCTGAAATACCAGCACCAACAATTGAATCCTATTATCTTCTCTATTGAGGGAACCCATCTTGAGTGATTTTTCCTCCCTCTGCCTGCTTGGGAATCCCAAAGAAGAAAACTAGGTTAATGTAGGCTATTGGAACTATTGAGGCTTGAAGGACTGATTTATTGGTTTCCTTCCCTTGTAGGCTGGAGAAGTGGTGGTAATGAAGTCCACATACTGGCTTTGTTCTCAAAGCCTCAGTACCTTGGTTACTCTGGCAGCAGCAACTGTACTTACTGTAAAGGTAGAACGGGTTTAGTAGAATTACGTCAGTGCTGTTGCTTTTGCAAATCTAAGAGATCTAGTTAAGGATGGGTAGGGAGATGAGAGATGTCACTTCTACATCTGCCTTTGTGGGGAGCTACCGAGGTGTAAAGTACTCCTACCATCATGTACTGACTGCTGATGAAATGAAGTATCTTCCACTTTGTTGCAATTCCCCAGGAGAGTGTACTATGTAAAATGGCTCCGGGATATCTCTTTGTTCAGGTTTTATGTCTATTTTAACCTCCCTATCACTTTTTCTGTGCCTCCTGGAAAACCACATTCTTTGCTTATGCTGTATTTTGTCTTCATTGAATAATGGACATGGTTGTGTCGCTAGTCCATTAGATAATCCACTGCTTAAGGGGTGAGAAAACTTATTTATGAGTGAGGTCATCCTTTTTCCTTTGCTTCTTAAGAGTATACAATCAGCCCAGAGATGAAGCCCTATCACTTCATCTCAGTATTCTGCACCCCACCCCCTTAGAAAGTATTTGGTAGTGGTCAACAGCCACTATTACAAAAACCTTTCATCGAGTTACCTTTTTGACAAGGGTCTAATTCTCACTGAAGTTGTAGAATTGGAAGGGACCCCGAGGGTCAACTGTGAAGTTTTAACTGGGCAAAACCACTACTTCAGAATGCAGGTAAAGATGTGTGCTTTTATGTTCTATACAAATACAAATAAAATCTCTTCATATAGAACACTAGGTGTTGGTACGGCAGCTAACCTTGAACCCTTTTTTGCTGTTCGATGTGACGATCTGACCACCTCAAGTGTAAGTACTAGGCTAACGTTTCAGGAACTCCTGCATGGATCATTGGGTTTCTTGTGAAAATTATTAATCTACCTTATCTGTGCTGGAAGAGGTGGGTTTGTTAAACACTTTGCTATCCTCCACTAAAGTAATGGTATTATGCTAAACTTGTCAACATTAATGACAAGCTTCTCAGGATGGTATTATAGTATGTGCTATATGCTAGAGAGACCGTAATAAACCCTGATGTAACAATTGTAGCAATTTGGAACTGAGACAAGGGCAAAAGAAAAATGTCTGACTTCAATTAGCCTGTGCAAAAATTATGTCTTAATCAAGTGCCTTACCTCCTGTGTGTGTGTTTACATGGAAACTGTATTATCAGATAAATGTTGGTGAAAACGGTGGTGTAAGGTGTTGTTTGTATAAAAGGAACACGGTATGTTTAGCTACTTTCCAAGAGTGACATCTAAGCACTGTGCATTTAAGAGCTCCTCCTTTCCAATTTACAGACAAACTAACTGGGGGAAAGTTCTGCTTCCACTCAGTAGCTTAGCTTCCCCTTTCAGCAAGAAGCCACAAGGTAGCTGTTTTAACTCATTTGCACCTAGCCTATGTTCTCCAGCAGTCCTAGATTCCAGAATACTTTGTACTTGGCCTCCACAAAGGCAATTTGAAGTTATATCCTAATCTTGCCGAGATTTCCCACTGTTTCTGTGTGCTAAAGAAAGGTTCCCTTCACGTAGAACATGGCACAGCCCCCATTGTGTGCTAATCTGATTATCTGGGAAACACGGCAAGTATTGAGAAACTAAGACCGCAATCCTGTGCATACTTAGGACTACAACCTGCTGAAATCAACAGAACTGTACTGAAAGTGTTGACTGTAAGATCATGTTGTTTGCCACGGAAACACACTCATCAGTTGCTAGAGGAAAAAAGCAGGTAACTGAAGGGGCAAGTGACAGCATACTCCCAAATGATTGTATTTCAGGAAAAATCTATTTAAAGTGTCACCAATCAGAAAATAATACAAGAGAATACACCTTACTCATTAAACTCCTCCCTAGCTTTTAATGTAGGAGGATAATGTGGACTTTCACTATGTATGCTCTATGAAGTCATTTTCATTATTCTGCTGGCACTATTGACATATACCTTTCAGTGGGTGGCACTGTGGGTAAATCCTCAGTGCCTAGGACTTGCCGATCGCATGGTCGGCGGTTCGAATCCCCGTGGTGGGGTGTGCTCCCATCGTTCGGTCCAAGTGCCTGCCAACCTAGCAGTTCGAAAGCACCCCCGGGTGCAAGTAGATAAATAGGGACCGCTTACCAGCGGGAAGGTAAACGGTGTTTCCGTGTGCTGCGCTGGCTCGCCAGATGCAGCTTGTCACGCTGGACACGTGACCCGGAAGTGTCTGCGGACAGCGCTGGCTCCCGGCCTATAGAGTGAGATGAGCGCATAACCCTAGAGTCTGTCAAGACTGGCCCGTACGGGCAGGGGTACCTTTACCTTTACCTATATAATTAGCAATTATACAAGTTATATTGTGGAAAGAGCTGTAGCTCAGTGGTAGACCATCTGCTTTGGATGCCAAAAGGTCTCAGATGCACTAAATAGACCAATTGTCTGACTCAGTATAAGGCAGCTTCCTATATTCCTATTTTCCACAAGGTCCTGAAGAGAGAACAGTCTTTGGAAATACAGAACTGCATCCAGTGGTGTGTGGGCAATTGACCAAAGCATGCACTTTTGGGTGTAATACACACAGCTACAGTCGCACAGGACATAAGAGCCTATAAAGCACTTGAGGTACACTGGCTTTTTATTCCATGCATCTGTTTTTGATAGTCAGTCTTGTTCCCAATTGTTATACACTGTTCAATACAAAACAAAAAAAATCAAGTTTGCTTCAGGAAGCCATAGAGTAGGGAGAAAAAAACAGCATATGAAATGATTGTTTCAAATGACATGTAAAACCATTAACTCCCATTAGCCACCACACTTGATTGTGCCATAGCTGCACCCAGTAGTTAAGAATGCATTATGAGTTGTGACTAAAACCTAATTAAGCAACTTGCCTTGAGTTCTCTCTGGTTTGCATTGCTTATTGTACACATACTGCAGATTGCTATCCCCTTATTAGCAAACCCTTAATCAGGCAGTTATAATGTTGTAATGCCATTGGCACAGAATAGTAAAAACACAGCCAAAAGGTTAATCACTGAGGATTGCACACATGGCAATACTGTCTCATAATCTGGATGACATGATTTGTTGGGTTTATGGCTTTCAGTTAAAGGGAACTTTGTTCTAAGAACTAAATCTAGACTCTGCAGCACAAGGCCATCCATTCCACTGACACCCCTAAGATGCTAACAGTGTGTTTACACAAAGAGTGAACTACTTTCCTACCCTACAACAAAAATGCACTGTTTTGTTGGTGCCAAGAAAGCATTTCTTGTGCTGCTTGCTCCTTGAACACAAAAGCAACGTAATGTGTGGAAGAAGCATGGTGGCTACCTACCCCTTTCTGCCAGTAAACTTGACACTGCTTTCTAGGGAAAAGGACAATTAAAGTGTGCGTTTCTCTGTACTAGTATTTCCAGCTACCATAGTTTTGTCGGTGTCAGTTAATATTTAATGCTTTGGAGTGTTGTTCCCAGAGAAGAAAGTAGGTATATAGTCAGTACCTTTTATTAGACCTACAGAACAAAGCAGGCTTTTTAGAGCCCAAAGTCACACAAATACCTGAGAGTCTGTTTCCACATTAAAAAGGACTTAGCCCTCACATTTAAGAGAGAGACTTAAAAACATAACCTGCATACTCTAAGAGAACATCAACCATTTAAAATCTCACCTCTGTTAAACCAATATAATTTTGGAGCACAATTCACCATCCATATTCTAGGGTTAGTAAGTCTATCTTTTTGAGGCACAACATTTACAGCATTTTTGTAATACAATAGTACAACACCATGTCTCTGCTTAGGGCCAGGCTACATGCTATGGCGTCACTGGGGCAAATTCTGCCCCTCCCTGCATGAAACAGCATGATCACATGAGATGCTCTGTTCCCAGCAGTGGCAATTGCATGGAGTGTGGACTAGGAAACTCACAATATGAGGATGCTGTATCATGTGAGTGCCCTAGACATTGCAACACTAGGGAGAAAGTCAGCACTGTTCTGGTATTTTTAGCCATTATCCTGGTGGTCATAACATATAGCCCAGCCCTCAGTTAACTATATAAACAATATCACAGCTCTCTAACTTAGAAAACTTGGGTGGCTTAGCTTGATTTTCCTCTCTCTCTTGGATCTCTCCACAGTCCTGAAATTTGCTAGAATTGTCTAAAGTTACAAAAAATATTTGTGCATTTAAGAGTACCCAAAAGTTGAGAGCTGATAACAAAAGGTATAATGACATGGGGAAAATATGAGATGAGTAATCTTATTTCTGATTACATTTTCAGCTCTTTTAAAAATGACTTTCAGTTGAGCAAAACCTGTTCAACTTAATTGAAGAAAGAGGAAATGGCTCTGGAAGAATTCTCTCAATGGCACAAATCACAAATACCAGTTTTGAATATTCTACACCCAAGCACAAGTTGCTAATTCCTAACACCTGATTTTCATAACACCAATTTACTAGCTGCCTTAAATTAATGCCCCTTTATTTAAACAGCTCTTTGGGGATCAAAGCAAAACTGGATTTTTTAAAATGGAAAGGAAAGCAAAGGACACACACATTTATGAGGAGAGAGCATGTCCTTTGAGACCCCGGTTGTCATAACTTAATGAATTTTCCTTAAACCTTTACATATTCCTTCAACATACTATAACTGCAGGATGACATCTACAGATGCAGGCTGTGTGCAAATACCAAAAGAAACAACCAATAACAGACACAAGAGGCCATTAAATCAGACACATTTTCACTAATGTTAAAGACTCTGGGGAGAGGTTGTACTTCAGTGCGAGAGCACATACGTTGAATGCCTAAGACTCCAGGCTCAATACCTCTAATTAAAAGATCACAGGACTTTCCTTTGCCCAAGACCCTGAGAAGTTATGCTTTAAAGCTGACAGTTCTACATTATATATCTGAGGCATTTCAAACTAATGCTTCTTGCCCTAGAAAAGAGATGAAGACCACAGTGGGCTAACAATACCAAGTGGGAAAAGCATCATGCAGCTACTTGTCATTCTTGACACCATCCCCCACTTTGTCTTATTGCAAAAAATGAACTTTTCAAGAGCATAGTCAGCTAACTGGGCTATTAAACAGGAGTCTTTATGCTGGGCTGAGCTGGGGGGAGGGAGAAAGAGTGTCTTTATTGCCAAATTGTCTGATTCCATTAGTAAAGCAGACAGTTTCCCATTCAGAGATCATCCAAACAACAGTATTCAAAGGTACCCATAAACATGAGAGTGTTAGTAATAGCACACTACGGACACACTGTTAAGACCATATTCATGGAAGACAATCTTACTCGGCTACGAGTGATTGCCAAAGAAAGGAGGAGAGTAAAAGCAAAGCAAAGTAATTGTCCATAGGGACCAGGAAGAATGTGGTGAAACTCAAAGGAGAAACAAAGGCTGCAAGGCAGTTGTACTGATAGCTTGGATCATGCCAAGAAAGATATGCTCCCCAGAAGAAGCACCAAGCTAGGTGTCTGTGGTGGACTTGACAGGTGCAGTAATGTGCTGCTTCCCCAACAGCTTGGTCCATACACCAATGGAATGGTATTTATTGAAGTGTGGAATAAACAGCATCTGTGGGTGTCCCCCAATAAAGGTAACTCACCCTTAAGCTTGCCAAGGAGTACAAGTGACCAGACAGAATTTCCTTCAGAGTGGGCACAGCTCAGATCAGTTTAGTGTAAGCATATTAAGCTTAAGGAATTCTTGTTCAATTTCAAGTGAACAGGGCTTATTTGCTTTTTTGTTGTTGTTTCATTCCGATATATCACAATGTTTGGGACTGCAGCTGGGAGGCTAAAGCATGCCAAGAGGTCTTAGCTCTGCATCCTAACCATGTCACACTCCATGCACATGCAGCTCAGGACTCCTTTAATTTGCTTGTACGGGCCTACTCCCCGTCCTAGTGTCAGTAGGCTGCTGCAGCCAGCAAGATAAGCATGGCCTATAACACATTATTAGGTCACAACATTAAGAAAACACCTTGGCTCCTCCTCCTGGGATAAGTAGCCATGAAGCAACTGAACAGGGACCACCAATATGTTGTGCTACAATAAACCCTGCCTTTAATCTATAGAAATTAAAATAAATAATGACATAACTTAAGATTCATGTAGTCCAGCTACATAATTTTAAAATATGGAATAATTTAACTCATACAATACTGCTCTCTGTATAAGTAAAGAATTTCCCTTCATTTTGCCACTAGACAATTAAAAAAAATCAAATCAAATGTAAACAAACAGCATGCAACCCATCTTTGCCCTTCATTTTGGGGGTGGAGAGTGCGGGGTGCAACTGCTACTCACTACTATAAATATGGAAACTGCTAGTACAATTTTACACTCAAGACAATGAACCGTTCTTCCCTGAATGTAATTAACTAGAAACAAATTGAGGGCACAGCCAAAATTACTGGCAGAACTTTGGCTATAAAACCAAAATAGAACATTTTAGTGTTTTTGTTTTGCTTCCGTTGGACATGTCAGTTAAAGGAGCCATGATTATAAACCGCAGGAAGTTGCTCAGGAAAAATGAGGTATTGCAGAAGGAAAGTGGGATACCATTCAATTAGGAAAGGCAATAGTCTTGGACCCTCTCCAATCCAAAATCCATCAATATGAAAATATGGCTTAGGCTCCCTCAGACCCAAGATGAAGGGCATTCTCTACTCATCATCACATTTCAATGTTACTTTCCACCAGTCACACCACTAAACAAGCAGAGGCCACTTGTGTGGTTCAGGCCAGACTATTCCCTTGGCTTCATCCAAGTACAATACTCCCTTATGGTGTTCAACCTATGGTAGGAAAATTTCCAGTTTCTTCCTTCAGGATAGTCCTCAGGTTGTACAGAATGTGCTTTTCCATGGCTTGTGAGTTCTTGATCTTCACTAATTTGATCGATTCATTTTTCATTGAAGGAAGCAAACAAAAGGCAGGTTGGAATGGAGAGGAAGGTAACTTAGAAAAACAGCATCTCAATTTCTCTCTATTCATCAGCCACTCCATGCTGTGTCTCCTGATCTCACAGTGGCATAGTGATGCTGGAAAATGCTGGAGAGAGGCTGAGGCTAGAATACAGCAGCAGGATGTCACAACCAACCAAATGCCAATTTAAAAACACAATTAGTTCCCACTCTCACATGCTAGGGGAGCAGTGACTCAAGATACACCTTTCCAGGAATGTGAACAAGTTCCTATTGAAAAAGTTACGCTGGTTACACTGATGGCATTTGTTCACAGTTTACCTGATCCACTGCTTCACTGGATGTGATCAAGTCATTGAGTTAACTTCCTTCATTTCCGGTCTTTCAGAGCCGCATGACCTGGTCCCATGTCAAAAGTAGAATCAGATCCTAGCCTTATGCATGCTGTCTAAGACTCAAAAAGATTGTTGTCCTTCATAGGCTAGTCTTCTGAACTTCTTTCTGCAATCAATTATTTTGTCTATGGATACAGTTCACTCTTCAGAGTAAAAAGTGTTAAAATGCCAAAAATATGATACAATAGCTCAATTATTCAATAAAATACATCCCTGCCATTCGTGATTGAAATGCTCACCGAGAAACCAATTCATCAGAACATTTCTCCAAAGATTCAAGTTATTGCAGATCATCTGGGTGATGGGGTGGAGATGCAGCTTCTCAGAGGAATGAAGAGGGGATTCTTGGGGGAATCAGAATGCCAGTTGATCAAATGACTGAAGGAGGGAGGAGATACATCTTTACCAAGTTGCAGAGCTGCAGGCTTTACTGGTCCTCACTGTTGCATCAGAGCATTCTGCATCTGAAGAGTCACCACCTGATTCTCCAAACTCTCCAGGATTCTGCGTCACAAATCCAAGGGAACAACTTTTAAAATCATTTATTAGCATTTTATCTGCAGACAGAATCGTCCCTGGTCCATCTCAAAAAAAAGCGAAAGCACATCTGAATGTGCAGCTCATCCTTTAGTTTTCTCGGAATCTGATGCATGCAATAGATTACTGAGCCACAAAATTCCTGACGTGATTCTGGCCATGTCCTTATATACTAGGGTTGCCATACGTACGGATTTTCCCGGACATATTCAAAATACTGCAGTCGGCAGCAGTGTCTGGGCAGAAATCGGGAAAATGTCCGTGAAAATTGGCACATATGGTAGCCCATGTCGGCAGTGCCGTTTTTGCATAAAAAATAGCTCAAAAATTGCATTTTTAAAGCAATTTTGCCCCAAAAGCTTGATGTACTAGTTTTGTTTCTGTAAAAATTCTTTTAAACCCATGGGAAAGCATGCAAATATACAATCCCACACAGATTAACTTTGGTTTTAATCTTTCATTAGTGTGGAGTAAATAAGCTATTTGTCAAGTTGGCACTTGAGGGAAATGGCACAGCTGAACCCTGAAAAGGCTTCCTGTCTTCTCAATGAACTAAAACACTGGGGAGAAGTAAAACAATGGGACATCAAATAAAAATAGAATGATGTAAGAAAAAACTGATAGTGAAAGCAAAGGCTAGCAGAGCTCCAGTTGGAAACCTTGCAATGTATTTATTCAACAGCCCTAGTTTCCAAGCATCTAATTAATATTTTAACTTCAAGCAATGAAGAGAGAGTTACTGACCTCATAGCCATGTTCCTCTGGACATAACTTGCCAAGTGACATCTGTGTTTTCACCCTGCGTACAGCACTCTCCTTATCTGAAAGGCCATCAGACTGGGTAGATATCTCAATGGGGATTTCTGGAGTCTGTGACAACATCTCATCCAGCTTCTCAGCCCGTTGATCTTTACGCCTGTTGGCCAGCTCGTCTGGGCTGTTGGAATGGTCACTGGTATTGCCCTCCTCTCCATCAGACACAGAGAGGTTCTCAGAGCTGAAGGTCGAGTAAGACTGGCAGCTGCTAATGCAGCGATGCGGCCTGCAAATCCATAAAACATTAATGGGTTTGATTTGATTCAAAGGCTGCAAGCACTTGATCTAATGAGCAGGGTATTACAAACAAGGATGAGAAGAAGGCCAAGTCCATTCCTAAAGATACATAAAGAACAGCCTTGGTAGATCAAACCAGAGGCCCACCTAGTCCAGAATCCTATTCTCACAGTGGCCAATCAGATGCTTATGTGAAGCCCACAAGCAGTACAATAACCCTCTCCCATTCATGACCCCCCAGCAACTGGTGTTCAAAGAAATCTTGCCTCTGATACTGAGGTAGTACATAGCTATCATGAGTGGCAACTGATAGCCTTATCCTTTGTGAATTTGCCCAATCTTTTTCAAGGCTGTCCACAATGGTGGCCATTGCTGTTTCTTGTAATGGTGAATTCCACAGTTTAATTAAGTGCTGTACCTCCTTTTGTCTGTCCTGAATCTTCCAACATTCAGCTTCATTGGATGACCTCGGGTTCTAGTATTACGAGAGAGGGAGAAGAACTTCTCTATCCATGCATAATTTTATACACCCCTATCAAGTCCCCTTCCCTTACTCATGTTTATTCTAAACGGAAAAATTCCTCTGATTGGTTCTCATGGAAGAGGAAATGGGTACAACAGCCCCATGGCTGGTGTACTCTTCCCATTGTCCAGGGACATGTCCAGTGAAGGGTCAACTTGCCTCCAGAATTATCCCTTTTTGTCTTCTCCTTGCTGCCATCACAGGGAGACCTCTAGTATATCATAAGGCTGTTGTGATGCTCTCTTAGATTGCACTCTAAGTTAGGTTAAAATTACTATAGTACTGAGACACCAGAGACAAATCCATTAAAAACATTTCTAATACGAAAGCCTAAATCTCAGGCTTCATTTCTTATTTTTATCTTAATCCTAAAATTCATGCTGAGTCTTATTTTAGCCTACTGGTTCTCCTTGTAAATAGGTTGATATATGTAAATTAGCCCTATTTTGTTGTCATTTTAAGTCTTATATTGCCTTTGGCACTGAAAAACAGGTTACAAATTCAGCATTTTCTTATGCAATAAGATCTGAAAATATTGTTTTAGCGAACTATGGGGAGGGGAGGGGACTACCAATAATTTATTCAAACTAACAGGAGGCAACGTGGGAGAGGATTCCCTAAAGAGCACTGCAAGGTGATGACAGTTTCATTAATGCAAAGCAAAAATCACTTTAGCAGAGATGTAGCTAAAACTAATAGTCAAAATGAAGACGGAGATCTGAAGCATCTTACTAAGTGAATTCTACTTCTCCCCAAAAGTACTTATATGAGCTGATATATTTTACAGTAAAACAAGGGTGTGCAATTTTGTGGCCAAACAAGCTGATCTGCCTTTAACACCTCACCAACACCATAACATTTCGTAAAACTTAACTATGTCTTAACATCATAACATTTTTCTCTCCCCCACCCATCCACTGCCAGTGGCAACCAATGAAGAAATGTAGAATGTTGTGATTCCACAGACAGATCCCCCCCCCACTAGTCTTTCTGGGAAAGAGAGAGATAAATAAATAAATACATATTCTCGGTGGCACAAATATATTGAGCATCACCTCTAGTTTGTCCCTTTGCCAAGACTTGACTCAGCAATCAAAAGAAAACCTGTGAAAATTATCAAGAATGCTAAGAGACAGGTAAGCAATGCTGGTCATCACACTAGAAAAAAACAGCCAAAAAATCCTGGCCATTCAAACCCAAGATGAAGAGCCCTTTGCCTTGAAGTACAAAAACCCAGGACACACAGGTGACATGACCACACCACTTTGATAGAAACAGGGTAGGAACTCTCACTTTGGTTCAAAGTAGAAATGATGGAGGTGGCATATAACAGCCTTTTCTCCCCTACCCCCTGGGTAAAAACTCAAGGGGCAATTCAAAGAGGAGAAGCTGTGGGCAACCAAAAGCAAAGCATCCACACCACTCACTAAAGTTTTTCTGCTCCCTATGAGTTTTCCTGGAAGAAATGGTATCAGGTTCAGTTACAGGTAAATCCAGTTAGACTCTACAATAGAAAGAACCAATGTACAGAAGTGAGCAGACAGTGCTAGTTTATGACTATTCTGGAACCACAAAATAAAAACTGTCGAATGGCATCCATCTGAAAGTTTTTGAAGAAGTCAAATGTGAAATCACTTCAAACGGAAATATGTAACTTGTTCCTAAGATCAGCCTCCATGCCAGAAAACTGGAGTGGCCAATGTAACACCAATTTTTAAAGAGCGATCCAGTGGGGATACTGGAAATTAAAGGCCAATTTTCTGGGGAAACTGCTGGAAAACACTGTTAAAGATAAAATTACCAAGAATGGAAAAGAACAAGTCTTGCTGAAGCAGAACCGGCATGCCTTTTACAAGGGTAAGTCCTGTCTCACTAATCTGTTAAAGTTCTATGAGCGTGTCAAGCAGCATATAGATAGAGAGGTCCAGTTGAGATATAGCATACCTGGACTTTCAAAAAGCTTTTGACAAAGTACCTCACCAAAAATTCTTGAGTAAGCTTAGAAGTCATGGGATAAGAGGAGAGGTTCTCTTGTGTATCAGAACTGGTTAAGTAACAGGAAGCAGAGAATTCTCCCAATGGAGGGATAAAAATGGTGGAGTCCCCCAAGAATCGATATTGGGATCTGTGCTTTTTAACTTATTCATAAAAGATCTAGAATTAAGAGTGAGGAGTAAAGTTGCCAAGTTTGCAGATAATACCAAATTGCTCAGAGAGGTTAAAACAAAAAGGGATTGTGAAATGCTCCAAAAGGATCTCTCCAAACTCAGAGAATTGCCAATAAAATGGCAAATGCAATTCAATGTACGCTAGAATTGGGACAATTCCCCCCCCCAAAAAAATTTAAATATATTCTCATAGGGTCTGAACAGTTGGTGACTTCACCAAAAATGGGACCTTGGAGTTGTAGGGGGCAGCTTGATGAAGAGGTCACCCCATGTGCAACAGCTGTGAAAAATGGTAGGGATCCCTAGGGATTGATAATAAAACTGACAATATCACAATGTTATTATACAGATCTTTGTTGTGACTTCATTTGGAATACAGTTCTGGTGTATACAGTTCTGGTGATCTCACCAGGAATGGTACAGCTAGAAGGGGTTCAGAAAAAGGTAGCCAAAATGACTAGAAGAATGGAGCAACTCCCCTTGGAAGAAAAGTTACATTAGGGAACCTTTCAGTTTAGAGAAAAGGCGAGCAAGAAAGGACATGATAAAAGTATATAAAATTATACATGGAACGTAGAAAGTGGATGACGTTTTCTCCCCTCTTTCATAACACTGGAACTTCAGTAATCCAATGAAGCTGAATGTTGGAAGATTTAGGACTGACAAAAGGAAGTACCTTGCAGAGCACATAATTATAGAGCCTTGATCACCAGCAAATTCCATAATATCAAGGATGAATGGAAATTTATCTCAACCCTACTTAACCATATCTACATTTAACCAATTAATTAAGGAATTCTCCCTCCTCTTCCCAGAACACATCCTGGCACAGTCCAGAAAATAACTATTTTGGCAAGATGTTTGAGGGAGTAGTGGCTGTTCAACTCCAAACAGCCTGAGACGATACTGATTATCTAGATCCATTGCAATCTGGCTCAGGTCTAACTTTTGAAATGAAGCAAATTGGTTTTAATATGGAAGAAGTTTTACTACTGAATGATTTTATTCTGCAGTTTTATACTTTTAGCTGTTTTATTTATTTTTTAACCATTCAGGGAGGTATTGTTTTTAGATATTGTTGTTTTTATTCTTTTCTTTCTTACTTTAATGTTGTTTTAGCACCAGGCAAAAACCTTTTAATTTTCATAGGCTTTTAAAGTCTCCCCCCCACACACACACCTGTTTGGAAGGTTTTTATTCTTTGCTACCTCATTTGGGAATTTCTTTAAACTTAAAAGCAGACTACAAATGTCAAAAACAAATATACAAAAAAAATCATTTTTAATCATAGATCATAGAACCTGCCTACTTTCCAAAAGCAAGTAGTGTATGCCTTTTATGTAGGAAAGAATCATGACTAATTGTGCTAGCAGTTTTTCCAGATTTTTGTAGATAAGTCTCTTGTGCTTTTGCATACCAGAAAAAATGTACTGCGGGGAAAACACATTAGAAGCAGCATCTCATGATTATCATGATCAGATCTAGACATTTTCAGTATAAATGTGACATGGGTTTTTATGCTATTTTTTTCTGGTAGTTTCCCTGTTCAAAGAACCTGGATAACAAATAATGTTACAGTCACCCCTCTTAAGTTCTCATCATGTTACAATGAAAAGGACGATTGGTCTTACCTGACGTGTAGATTTGGTGGATAAGGAAGGGTTCATTGGGGGGTAATGTTCACGACAAAAACAATCAGATCACAATAAGCACACACAAGCAAACACAGAAGGACAGAATAGAAAAGAAAATGGGAAGAAAAAACACTTAACTGACATATTCGCCAAGGCAGGAGAAAAAACTGAGATTATCTCCACCTCCCAGAATTCTGCTCTCCTGCCTTTGTCATAGCTCATGAACATTACCCAACCATTAACCCTTCCTCATCCCACCAAAATTTTAACTCCCCATCCTTTTGTTAAACCAAACCTTTGTTTAGCAATCACGATAAAAATAGAGCAGTTCAGTGTCCTACCTCTGTCTCCGTGGGAATTCCACTTCACTATCTACTTCCCCTTCTTCTTCTTCTGAAGAGTCATCTCCACTCTAGTAGAAGATTAAAGGCAATGTTATTTGCCACTTATTTACAAGCATACAGCCACCTGAGCAACTTTCATGAACGGAAGTCTCCAAAGGTAGTCTACAGAAAGAACTAAGAAATTTAGGGTGCATGAGAAAACAGCAAAATGTAAATCTGTCCATTGCTTCCAGGATGGTTGGAGGGATCTTACCTTTGGGATGGGCCGTGTTTTACCCGGGAGTCCTGGAGTACTTGCAGGATGAGATGAGCCAAGAGAAGACACTGATCTGTGGCTGCTGAATTCACCTTCCTCATTATTTCCAGGAAATTGCTTATTTGCATGCAATGGGGCTTCAGACTTCTCCAGCCCTGGCTCAAGTGACTGTCCTTGATTTGCAGTATTTGTCCCCATCCTGCACTGCGGGCAAAGGTTGTATGTATCTCCTTTACAACATTCCCAATGATTAGCCTCGCCCTCCCCATTCTCGTTCTCCTCCAGATTTCTCCGTGAATCAGCTTCCATAGCAGCAGAGATAAGGTCAGGACTAGAACCAGACATCCTCCTTTGGGCGTGATTACTAAGAGGACTGCGTAGGGCTGCAGCAGGGCCAAAATATCGAAGGTTGTTAGCACAGTTGGCTATGTCCTGCCCATGGATGTTCATTCGGGGGTGATGCCCATGATGATGAGGGTGGTGCTGATGATGGTGCGATGGATGGGCCAAGTCATCTTGAGCTGACTGATTTTTCAAGATCCCTGTGAAATCATTGTAGCTGCCTTTGCTGTTTCCTCGCCGGTGGCGTGGTTTGCTACGGTAACGTCCTTTGTTACTGAGGGTTGACATCTTTGGACTTCCTGAAAGAGGAGAGCCACTAGGAGCCACTTCAGTGCTGGATATGCCATCCGTCTTCAGCAAGTCAGGCCTGAGAAATGATGCAAAAACCAGCATGCTCTCTATTAGAATTAACATATGCAAGCTTCCACTATTTCCTTCATTTTTTGTCAACATGCCTATTGACAGATGACATTGAAATAACACAGGCTTTGTTATAGGTCACATAGGGTAAACTAAAAATAAAATTCAGAATTGGCGGGTACCAAAGGAAGCACTGAGGTGAAGCAAAGGCTTCATACATCCAGTGGGCTTCTTGACTTTTTGCCTTAAAAAAAGAAAATTAGACCTGCATTCCCACCCCATCTTACTTGCTTAATAATTCAGGTGAACATAGAATAAATCCTATAATTACTAATATGACTACCAGTTTGCAACAACAGGTTTTCAGCAATGTGAATTAGCTGTAGCATTATGCTAAAGCACTGGTTTTAAAAAATGCTTGGCTACAAAAGCCCAGCTGTGATTTGTAGGCATTTACTTCTCAGATCTGTGGTGGTTCCATACTACCCACTATCAACAGATCAGTACATACTGAAGAACTCCTCATTCTAAAAGGCAAGGAGCAAAAATGCTGAAATGCCACAACCAAACTCCAGAATTAAAGCTGTCTAGATAACCCCTTAGTACATTTAATCCAGACCAAATATCAGATGACCATTTTGCTAATCACTCTCTGATATAAAAGCTGCATTGGGTACTCTGAGATTCCTAAATGACCACTGATAAAACTGTTTGGTCCAACATTCCGCTCTTAAATTGCATCTGCTCTACATTACTAAAACATCCATGTTATTGGTGATCATAATCTAGGACACACATATCCCATCTTATAGATTAATGTCTAATTCAAGGATGCTACACACCAGAAGATTTGTTAGTGCCACTTGAATAATCAGTCATTTTGTGCAATAATGGATGCTGACCCTAGCAGATGTAGCTTCCTCATTTTGTAGATATATGCACATCATTGTGAAAAGCCTTTGAACATGTTTTTGTTATTTGGCTCACCGTTTAGTCTGGCCTCCAGGCTTGTGCGAGACTCCTCTCCTCTTCATCAATTTTTCCATTGCATTGGCATGGATTATTGGTCGGACTGGGTGACGCTTGTAAGTCCCAGGATATTTCTTTTCCACAGCTTGCTCCCGCCTGCACATGGATTAAAAATGAAATTTGTAATCTTTTCATTATAAAATGATTTTTTTTAGAATATTTGCAATTTCCCCAAGTCAAAAGAATAATAAATTAATATTACAAACTGTTGTCCACGCAAGTGCTCATGTCAGCATTTTTGGGGAGAAACCTAGTTATTCTCTAGGCCACTGTCTTAAACTGGGGAGATGGGACCCAATACTAGGTAGAGCCTGATCTAAAGGAAGCAATAACAGCAGCACTACCACCCAAAAAAAATATGGTAAACAAAATTGGTGTGTTTAGGTTAAAGGTAGGTCTGCATCTGAAGAGGTTGGAGTATGCTGATCTAGGCAACAACTAATGCAACCATAAGTGCTGGTTGTGTTTCATATCAAGATTAAAAAACATGGATGTGCAATAGAAGTGTTGTGTTCTAAAATAAGAAGCTTTCCCCACCACAATCTTGATTAGAAAAAGAAGTGTCTGGAGCAGATCCATGGAAAAAGTTAATACTAAGGAATGGTGATTGTTCTCTTGCACTATAAGGGAAACACAAAGAGAACACTCTTTTTAATCTAGAACAATCGAAAAACCTATGAATCCCTGCTTCTAATTATGTCATCTGCATGGCTACAAGGTACATCTATGTGGATAAGCGTACTTGATGAGCTCCTTTTCTCGAACCTCCAGCTGTAACATGATAGCACTGAGCTCCATGTACAAATTATTGGCTCTCTCCAGTTTTCTCTCATAATGTTCACGAATGTCCAAGGCATGCCTATGAAAAAGAAAGGAGAGCTACAGGTGAGTGGCTTTTCCTGTAAGGGACAATTTGTACAGGCAAAAGGGAAGCTTAATAGATGTACTTATGCGGAATTATTCTCAATTAAACATCTCATCTACCACTTCCAAGATAAGCAAATGATGAAAGTATCTGAATGTAATAAAACCAAAATCAGAGTTTAGATATGAATGAAGCACTCACTAAAGAGAACTCTGTTAAGATCCTTCTCCCATAATTCAGGGTCACCCAGGATAAGAGATTGGCAGTAAATTCAGGACAAACAAACAAACAAATGTTATCTCTTTATGCTGTGCATAGTTAACATAAGGAATTTCCTGCAACAGGATGCTTATCTCCTTAAAAAGAAATTAGACAAATTACTGACAGATAAAACTATTGACAGCTATTAGCTATGATAGCTAAATAGAACATCCAGGGTCAGAGGCAGTCTGAATGTCCTGTTTGCATTCTTCCCAGAAATATCTGGCAGTCTCTTGGTGGAAACAGGATAGTTAATTGATCTGAATTAGCAAAGCTCTTCTCACGCACTGAAAGTCAACAGACCTGAGTTCTTCTCTTCTGCGACGAATAAGTTCTTCATCTAACCGGTGTATGCAAGTTCCTTCACTTTTAATCTTCTCAAAGTGCTTCTTCACTTCTTCTCTCCATTCAGCCTGCCAAAGCAATTTAGATGGATACACAGCATAACTCATGGCAGTGACAACTGCACAATAAAGGGTTGCACTACTTTAACATATTAAACAAGAAACCCAAGCTTCTTTATTCCAATAGTACTTTTGTAGTAGGAGGCTGCAAAGCTATCTGATCACCAGGCTTGACCAGGGACTCATCTTTTTAGCTGAAATTCTAACATTAAGTACAGGCGTGTATTGCAAATCTCTCCTAGCCTATAAAACTGATTGCCATTTCAAACCTATGAACAGCTCATTTCTTCTCAAATCTGTAGCCAACTGCTTTTCAGGCCCAAGACGACATGGAGAGTATGCAATACTCAAGAAAATATAATAACTATTTATTTGGCTTTAGATTTCATACCACAATTCCTATGGATTTGCACTAAAATACAGCGTAGAAATCTTGATCACGTCAGTAAAATGCTTTACTTTAATACTTCACTGGAACAAAATCTGCACCCTGCAGACACCATCCTATCAGGAGGTCCATTCTGCACAATGTTGGAATCAGGTCTTTTGTGTGACAGCACCTACCATTTGGAACTCTGTCTTATTGTATATCACACAGGATTCTTCTATTTTATCTTCTAGATGCCGGCCAAATATATTGCTCTTTCAACAAGCCTTTTAAAACCTTCATCCCAGCTGGTATCTAGCTTGGAATGGAATTAATTTTATGTATGTGCCGTTGCTTTTTATTTACTGCTTTTTATTTACAATTATGTTATTATATTGTAAATCGCTTTGGGGTGCATTATGGGAACATAAATGAATGCCTGTGCTTTTCTCTTCCTATTCCTAACATATAAGTCTTATTAAAGAACACATAGCAAGCCAACGATACAGTCTGGTGCTAGAAAAAAAAAATAGATTTACCTGAGACTTGAAATAAGTCTCTTGAGGGGTACCCAACACATCAGCAGATGCAATGTCAAGGTGCATAAGCGTCTGTCGAAAAGAGGGCCGATTCCGGGGCTTGCTTTGCCTGACAAATTAAAGAAAAACAGACAGGAGAGACCATCCAAACATAATTAAGAAACAATTTGGAATATTTTAACTGATGGTTTCATTTGAAATAGGCCTTTCTCACTGCCTATTAGAATACCACCACCCCCTAAAGAAAAACAAAGGAGGCAGCAATCAGGAATACATAAATGTCAGTTTCCTTATTCCCTCTCCCGTATCTGGCAAGGCAAACCAAACCCTCAATGTAACACTAATGTAGAAAGATTAGCTAGATATGAACACTATATCCTCTCACTTTGTTATTTTCCACGCATCCATTTCAGAAGCATCTTTACTTATTCTCCTTTCTCATCCCTTCCTTTCCAGCTACTGGAACAATTATGGTGGGAAAAGAAAAGGGCACCAAATTCAAAAAAGTGCTGAATTATGGTCACAAAGGAAGTATTAGGTGCGTATTCAAAGTGTATCCCCATTCTTCCTTTGCAGGCATGGCTTCTACTTATTACCTTACTGTCTGCGGCAATCATAATGCATTTGTATCAGTTCATACACTTGAAGAAGTTGTTTTTCCCCAAGCCAATGTATTATTCTAAACTGTGCTTTACAAAAGAACGGACTGTGGTATCACAGTGTTAATGCTAGTCAGTGCAGACAGAGATCTCATCCTTCACTCTCATTTTGTGGGCATACTGTGGCGTTTTTGTACTGGGGGTGGAAGGGGGGTGTGCACAATACCAGCTGGGCACAGGTGTGGACAGAACAACCCTTACCATGTTTGCTTCATAAGGATCTTGAATCCATCTGGGCAAGTGGAGGGCACAGGAAGGTGCAAGCTATTACTGCCTACCCCCCAGATGATAGCTGAGGAGTCAACATCCTTATATGGAATCTCTCCAGTGAGAAGCTCCCACAATACTACTCCAAATGACCTGATAGAAAATGAGAGAGATAAAAATCAGAAAACTGTATATAACAAGGGGGTTAAGGCTCAGATCTTCTAAAGCAAAGCTGCTAGTGATGCTAAGTCATGAGAACATAGTTTGTCTCAGAAGTTCTGTTGGAAACACTGAAACTGACAAGTACTTATTAATGCATTACTCACCAAATATCCACCTTTTCAGAGACAGGTTCATTGCGAATCACCTCCGGCGCCATCCAAGCTACAGTCCCTGCAAAGGACATTTTTGTACTCTTATCGCTGAGTTCTTTAGAAGTACCAAAATCTGAAATTTTTACTGTATCATTGTGAGTAACTAATACACTGAAAAGAAAAAAAAAGGAAAAATGGGGAATAAAGTTTGAATGTAATTCCAACTCACAACCACAATTTAGGTCAAATCTCATTTTCTGTCTTACACTCCCCACATGCTAACAACTCACTTGGGCGACTTGAGGTCTCTGTGGATTATTTTATGAAGATGTAAATAGTTCATTCCACTAGCAATCCCTGTTGACCAGTCCACAAGCAGGCGAGGTGTGACCTTCCTACCGGCTCGCAACACTTCATACAGCTGTCCATGAGCACAGTACTCCATTATTATACAGTAGCACGGTGCCTGAGTACAAACGCCCCTGGCATAAAAAAGAACTATAGATTAAAAACAACAACAACATTTATAATAATGAGAACATGCAAGTGAAACAAAATGAAAAGTGCTGTCCATTGCTAATTCTCCTGGACAGTAAAAGTACTTCTCACCTTGAGACCAAATCACTCCTCCTTTTAATTTATTCATATTCATATTCTATCCTTCAAATAAATTCACATTATTTTCACTTTATCCACCAATTAATTGGTCATATATGTACCAGAATAGTAAGTGGAATAATTAAAAGTCTTCCCAGAGCTATTTCATTCTAAACATTCTTTTTCATTCTAAAATTGAATTTCATGAGGTAGCGTTGATTATTATTCAGGGTCTTGGGGCAGAATAAGGAGGATGAAATGCTGCTGAATTAACTCACATTAAAACTCTTTCCACACATAACAATAAAGTTTTCACAAAGAAAGGAGTGGGAAATAAAATTTTTAAAACTGCTGCAATAATAGATTGGGAAGAACTCAGGCTTCCACAGAATACAAAGCATGTTATCCAACTACAGTCATACCTCTGCTTACGTATCCCTCCAGTTACGTAAACTTTGGGATACGTAACCGGCAAAACCACAAGTATATTTCTGGGTTTTTGCCACACGTACATGCGCAGAAGTGGTCTCTCTGGTTGCAAAAACCTAGGGATCCGGACGGACCTCCAGAACGGATCCCGTCTGCAACCAGAGTTACCACTGTACCATGCATCCATAAACAGCAACTTTGTTCCTCCCTTCATATGAACTGGAAACAAGCCAGGAAGTTTCAGTTTACTACGGTTTCCATTTATATACTGGGAAACTATGGCTAATGGCTTCCAAACAAGCAAGGATATGAAGCCTGAGTTTAAAGCTGGTTTAATATCCTGGTTTGTTTGGAAACTACAAAAGGAAGCAACTATTAAGTGACACTTGCCGGCTTGTTCACTCACCAATATCTGATCATCTGAGGATAGTCAATTAATATAAGGATTCTGTTTTACCATCAGCAGGCATGGCTAAAGAAATAACCTTGAAGTTGAGATTTTCCAGCTAGAACTACTGTTTAGAGGACAGAAGAAGACCATTGTAACCTGAACACAGTTTAAGGTAAACGTAAAAGGTAAAGGACCACTGACGGTTAAGTTAAAGGTGACTATGGGGTGCAGCGCTCATCTCGTTTTTCAGGCTAAGGGAGCCAGTGTCTGTCCAAAGACAGGTCATGTAGCCAGCATGACTAAACTGCTTCTGGCACAACGGGACACTGCAATGAGTGCCAGAGCACACAGAAAGGCCATTTACTTTCCCACCACAGCGGTACCTATTTATCTACTTGCACTGGTATGCTTTTGAACTGCTAGGTTGGCAAAAGCTGGGGCAGCTCACTCCGTTGCACAGATTCAAACCTCCAACCTTTCAATTGGGAGCCCAAGAGGCTCAGTGGTTTAGACCACAGTGCCACCCACAACACAGTTTAGCAGAACATGAAGACATATAGCATATGAGTCCAAAAAAACAACATTATTGTAGAGTCAAGATAATCAAAGTATGACCTACTTGAAAGCAATGATGTTGGGATGCTTCAACTTCCTCAAGTGCTTGATATCCGTTTCACTCTGTTCTCTCACTTTCTTGATGGCCACCTCCTCTGCTCTGAATTTCCCTAAGAAAACAGCTCCCTGCGCTCCACTGCCCAACCACTGAAGTTCAGAAATCTCCTCAAAAGGAACTTCCCATGTATCTGATAAGAAACAAGCATTGTTATTCTGACTGCTATAGCTACATTTTGTCAAGCCTTCGAGTAATCAACCAGTTAGTGCCTTTGTAGTCTGATGCCCTGTAGAACTTTGCTAGCCTGCAAAATGCTCACATCTAGATAATATTGTATTTTAAAAGGAAAAAAAGCACTAGTGCTTTCATTAGCTGTTAAGCTTCCCAGGAAATAACTAGGTGAGCATTCCCATAATAAAGATACTGAGATAGAAGGACAAACACTGTATCTCTTCAACCTAAATATCCCAAATGTTCTACTTATAGAGGTGCTTTGGACCGGAAGTGCTTCCAGACAGGAAATCAGTAAAGTAAGGGATATCTGACTCTGAAACTGCCTTTGGTGCTCAGGGGTGATGCTACAAGGGGCACCAAACATTTGAAAGCACAAGTGATTGTCAACTTCAGCTCTGTACAAACAGGAGGGGCCCCATTCATTTAATGAAAGAAGCTCTGAGTATTCATTCCCACTGTACATGAAGCTCTTCCCCACAAATCAGCCCCACAAGCACAGCTTTTCCATGCATAACAAATGCACATTTGTTTTGCTTTAATCACATTTTAAGGAGCTCAGACTATTTGTTTCTTGATCTGGTTTGAGGATCCCTGCTTTAAAGATTATTAAGAGCAACTAAGAATATGATCTTGCCACACCTAGGAAGAGATTTTGCTTGCAGTCATCCCCACATCCCCCCTCCCATCCCAGGGTAGAAAAATAATAGCCCAGATCAGGGGCATAGTGTAGGCGGTGCTGGGGGGCCATGGCCCTGGGCGCACAATTTATGTGGGGGCGCAAACCATGCAAGCAACCCCAGTGCAGCCCAGCCTGGCACTCCTCTCCGCCCACCAAGGGCAGTGTCGATCAGTCAATCTCCCCCTGCACAGGTGGGCAGGCGACTCAGCACGGCCCCGCTTTGCTCTGGTGGGGGTGGGGTTGTGGCAGTGGCAAGGGCTGGCGCCTGCCCAGCTCACCCACCCTGGGCATCGACAACCAACCCTACACCACTGTTCCAGGTGTCCAATAAATGACCCAATACGAGAAGCAACACAGAATAGCAGAAATCGCTATTTGGTTTCGGGACTGCCTTATTTTTAGACATTCTGAAAGGTGAGAGGCAGTGCTTTTTTCAGGGGGTACTCAAGGGTCCACAGTATCGGCACCTCTTTTCTTTTTGTTAAAAAGTGTGACACTTAGTGTTAACAACTTCATGGTGAGTACTGGCACCTATTTTTCTCGAAAAAAAGGACTGGTGAGTCAGATAGGAAACATTGATCCATAAATTCAAATAGATGAGATTGAGGCTACTGCAATTTTATGACACTCTGGAGGCTATACTTTCCCCTCCTTTATATCTGAGAACATTTTTAAAGCCACAAAAATACATGGTTTGACTTTTTAGGTTTACCTTGTTGCTGCAGCTTGTAGTCAGTGGAGTAAGCTTTCCCTATAATATTCCATACAGGCTTCAAACAACCAAAGAGTCCTTCAAGAAATCCACCATTTCCACTACTTGATCTGTTGAACTGGATCTTGATATCTTCTGTTCCATTGTTGGTCTCTCCAGGTATATTATCATTGGTGCCCTGATGAACAGTAGTTTCCAATTCATCCTGTTCCGTTAACTGTAGCACGCTGTTTTCAAATTGGTCCCTGGAATCCTCACTTACACTGGTCAATACTGTTGTGGCAACTGGACTGCTCATGTTCTCTGATGCATTGCTATGAAGTAAGCCCTTGTCTCGTACGTCTTCTATGATCTCAGATGAAGGATGGAGACCACTGGGTATATGTTCTCCATGCATCCTAGTGAAATCTTTATCTTCATTGAGGGTCTTGGCGATCACAGTCGTAGAGGAAGACCAGCTCAGGGGCTCCTGAGAACTGGTCATTGTACTGTGGGTGTGCATGGAGTTGACAGTCAAAGATATTGCTCTAACAAACACCCGTGCTCACTCCCCGTGTAGAAAGTGGCCACAACACCTGAAAAAGGAACCGCAGAAAGGTTATGAGAATCATATATCTGATTACATTTGGAGACAAATATTTTAAATGAACAATAAACTGATGTAAACCAACTATTTGTTCTTCAGTTTAAGCCCAATGATTCATTTCCTAACAAAAAGGCTATCCTGTCCCAAGGAACTTTTCATACAACAACAAAAGTAGCAATTGCTTGAAGTTACAACTATTCTCCCACAGTTGTGGTATCTCTCAGCAATATATTGCATGCTGGACTTTGCCCATCTGTCACATTAAGCCACCTGACATCGAAACCAAACAGGCTGATGTGACAAAACTATTGAAGTATTTACATAGCTTGCCATAGAAAATCCAAGCTGCAATAGGGTCATTCCATGCATCGTAAAACAACAATTTTATTAATATAGAATTAGGTATTTAAAATTAAAGTTAAACAAGGCTGATATACTTTGTAAATGGATTTGTTATCATAATAGCCATTCAAAACAATTGTGCCCAACTGTAATGCAAATTTTTAATAAGTGTGCATTTAGGGGGAAACTATGGTACGTTGTGTTGTATCTCTCTATATAAGATGTGGGGAGCCTTGGACACCCAATCACCCCAGATGTTGCTGAGATACAACTCCCACCAGCAAGCACAGCCAATAGCCAGGGGTAGTGGGAGTTATAGTTCAGCAATAACTGGAGGGTCAAAGGTTCCCCACACCTGTTTTATAAATAGGTAATTTCTATTGGGCTACCATTTGATACTACGAGTTTGGACTTACTCAGGCATTATTGCAAGGACAAGTGTGAACTTCACCCATTTAAAGGTAAATATTACTGACAAAAGTGAATTACTGAGGTACATAGGAATGATCTTCTGTTCAACTATCTGTTTTACTATTACTGGGTTGTTAGTCCCAGCTTAGAATAGTCTAACATCGAACACAGTCGTTCCTTAAGACAAGACAGGCTGAACTGAAGGAGAACCGACAGCTATATATAAGAAGGCTGAAACTAACAGTGGAGAAAAAGCTGGACTTGAGTAAGCTGATCTTACAGGAGACTTGCGTTTACTAGAATATGAACAATCCAGTTCCTCCAATTATGCTTTACTATACGGTATTGTTATACTATAACTGTCTTTCTATATTATGTAACACCCTTACAAACTGGTTGCATCTATAGCAGCTGTTTGTGATTTCTATTCAAAACAAGGGATAGAAATCTTATATGCCTTATGCACTTATCTATATAAACCTGGAGGTAACAATTTTTTTTAAAAAAAAGTTAAGATATGTTAAAAATATACATTTTAAAAGAGTCTTCAAGATACAACTGCTGAAATCAACTTTACATCCCTGGAAAAAGCTCTTAAAGCATGTCTGGAATATGCAAACTTTGGAAGACAAGAGTTTCACAACCTGGAGCTGAACCACCACTGAGAGCACATCTATAAGTGCCTTTCCTGCTCTAATTTGTCATGTTATGTTCCACTATTATGCTTCTGGGAGCCCCCCTTTTGCAGATACAACTTTTATTTTGTAATTCTGTCAAGCAAGAAGAAGAAATGTTTACATCTTTGTTCTGGCATTGGAGAAACCAAAGCTAATTACATATCTGTACATGAATTGACAGACAGAATTGAATTCTGCTCCCCCAGTCTGAAAAAATATGTCTCAGATAAGCTGTTCTTCACATAAATAAAAGCTCAGTTTCAATTGCCCAAGAAAATGTTGCCTTTATTCTGTAAACAATACATTTTATATGTATGATCTTCCCATGTGATATAAAAGATATTTTTAGCATTGTTTCCATTCAGAGCATTTTCATGTTCACAGTCCAGTGGCTCTAGATTGCATAATCTAGTGTCACACAAAATAAATAAGGTTGCATAATGACTTCTGGTAATATCAAACACAGTCTTTTTTAAAGTTAAGTTAGAAAAGGAAATGCACATTCATTATTATTATAGAAATATCACTGAACTGATATTTACACTACAAGGTATAGTATGAAAATGAGAATCCACTATCACACATTTCATTAATCTGTTTCTGTTTCATTAATCTGAAGGGGTCCACTTTGCATTCTCTATATAACCATTATGCAGGCAGAAAGAGCTCTCCTCAGCTCCTAGTGTTGTCACAGTAAGATATGAAACCAATAAAAGTTCCTGGCAGAAGCTACTCAGAATACCTCTTTTTACATGCCTTCCATTTATATACACTATACATTTTATTGCAGTAGCCTATTTGTCATACAGCTTACAGAGTATGATAGCATATTTGTCATACAGCTTACAGAGTATGACAAAAAAACTTATTTCTTTTAAGTTTCATAGTTGAGTTGGGGAATGGGGGGAAGAGAGTCAAGTAATTTTTTAGCATGCCCTTAGCTTTAATTTTTTGACAAAAAATGCATGTGAAAGTCACCCATCAAAACCTATTCACCACAAACTACCTCCTAAACAGAACTCTTTCCGAATAGAACACATAGGATATTTTGGGATTTTCCTTTCTGAAAGTGTGGCCGACCTGGTTAAATTAAACCCAGTTTCTGAATATTTCCCAAATGGAGGACTGTGGTTTAATGTGGTTTACTGACAATAATCTTAATTGAGGATCGAACTATTGCTTTGGAGCCTGGCTAGCCAACTGACATCAAACCCATTTGATGCCAGTTCCCTATTTGACAATCGTCCTCCTAGCGCTGTTTCTCCAGAGAGAGACACCCACTAACAGAGGACAGAAAGAAGTTCTTGCCAGTACCTTTTACACTGCAGCCCTCAGGACCCCCTGAAAATCTGTTATGAGGGTTGGTGGACTGTCCAGAACAGATTTTCAGGGGGCACTGGGGACTGCAAGAAAGAGGGAGAAATCGGCAACATACTGCTTTTCCCTCCTCCTCCAATAGTCGACATCTCTCACCAGAACAAAAGCCTTTATAACAGGGCAACAACTGGATACAACCTTTTGGGTTTCTTTTATTTAGAATTTTGTTATAAATACCATAAATACATGAGATATGGAATAGAGCTGGACGATGTACTGAAGTTCACATCATGATAACAGTTTCATAATAATTGGTATGGCAATATATCGCGAATCACAGTGTGTGTGTGTGTGTGTGTGTGTGTTATGTAAAAAATCATGATATGGGAAGAACTGTGAAGCCGGTCACCTCTTCTGCCCCTGTTGCTCTGTACTATAAAATATCAGTTGTATCAATACTTAAAGGTAAGTAAAATACTTGAAAGTAAGTAAAAATGTATCAGTTTCAGACCCCTAAGTAGTAGAAGTTGCTAGGACATTACCCCATTCACCTCTATATAGTTACATCCTTATTTCAAACATAGTGATATATCGGTATAGCACAATGTTTGGTGGATAATATATCACAATGTTGAAAACTATGTATCGCCCAGCCCTAATATGGAGATATATATTTACAGCAGACCCTCCAAGTGTCCCTATTTTCCAAGAACATCCCTGATTTAGAGAAGCTGTCCTGGTTTCTGATTTGATCCTGGAATGTCCCACTTTTCCTTAAGCTGTCTCTATTTTCATTGGAGAAATGTTGGAGGGTATGGAGTTATCCGACCCCCAAGCCGTCTGAAGGCAATCCTATATAGGGAAGTTTGTAATGTTTAATTCTGTTTCTATAGATATTGAAAGCTGCTCAGAGTGGCTGGTGCAACTCAGTAAGATGTGTGGGGTATAAATAGTAAAATTATCATTATGGAATGGGATGTCCCTACTTTCATCAGAGAAATGTTGGAGGGTATGGTACTGTAGTCTACCCTACCCCATGTGGGAATTCCTAGACATGGAGGATACACACACATACAAACACCTATTCTTTGATGCCAAGGCAGAACCATCAAGCAATCATCTTCTCCTCACTTCCACACATACCATCATCAAATAACAATCCAAACAGTATGGAAAATAGATGCCTGCCATAGTAAAATACTGTCTGAAGTCGTTCTCCTCCTTCGGAAAGGCATTTATACATGCACTTATTCATCCATTCTCATTGCCTTTAAAAAGGACACTTTTTTCTATCCCAACCCTGATGCCTACCCCTGTAGTGCCAAAACGATCAAGTAGCAGGTGGTGTAAAAGGCCTCTTCCTGAAATCTTGGGAGAGTTGCCTGCCACTCACAGCAATATACAGTGGTACCTCAGGTTACATACACTTCAGGTTACAGGTCAGACTCCGCTAACACAGAAATAGTGCTTCAGGTTAAGAACTTTGCTTCAGGATGAGAACAGAAATTGGGCTCCGGCAGCACGGCAGCAGCAGGAGGCCCCATTAGCTAAAGTGGTGCTTCAGGTTAAGAACAGTTTCCGGTTAAGTACAGACCTCCGGAACGAATTTAGTACTTAACCTGAGGTACCACTGTAATATTAGGCTAGATGGGCTTGGTATAAGGCAGCTTCCTATATTCCTATCATGTGAGAGGGCTCAGGTTTGGACACATCAGCCCTGAACCTGAGCATTCTAGACGTTAGGTGCTATGGGTAGTAAGAGACAGTCTATGGAATAGGAAAGGGGAATTTAACCTCATAATGTGTATTACCCCACCCCAACTCCAGGGAAAGTAAGTATAATCTGATAAAGGCATAAGCAGTCTAATTTCCTTATCTTCCCTCCCTCCTATCAGTCCCCCACCCACCCACGTGAAACTTATCAGGCTGTTGTTTTTGTTTTCTTTGTTTTGCCTTTTAATTTACAAGCTTATATACTTATAGGGGGCAACTCTACCAAGTACGAACTACAACAACCTTCCTTTTGGAGTGGCACCATTTTGATTCCAAACTGATGGGCACTTGGCCCCCTACTCCCCAAAATTGCTATTAAAATAAATTATAGAATAGTACCCTATTTCCACATGTACAGTTGCTGGATTTTTTGAAGGCAGAAAATTTTATTAATTTATTTTTTACTCTTCTTAAAGCTTTTAGTAACACTCTGAACACCCTTAAGACAAATACTGTTTCTTTGGTCCTTAAGCGTTCCAAAGATGCAACAGAATTTTTGTATTTTGACCGGGACCACAAGCTGAACAACAAAATTAATTTTAATTGATGAAATAAGCCTTACATCTTACAAATTTATAAACATGGTCAAATATGTCATTAATACCAACTCACTTAAAGCATATCTGCAAAACAATGGAAGAAGAGTTGGAAAAATCCTAGTCATTTGGTCAACTGTAATTTGAACTTAGCAATTTCTGTATGCCATAATGGGCTGGTGGCTTAAAAAAAATATTCTGACATCTCAGAATTTTAAATGCTTTTTCCAGTTCCGATGATAAACATGAAATTTATCAGAAAAAGAGTAAACACTCTGAAGCTACTTTCTCTGGAGTAGTTGAGAATTATTAAAATGAACTTTAATACTTAAGGAATTCTATTTAACTGCACACAGGAGGAAACTGACCCTTCCTGTAGCAAGTAGTGCAAAAAAGAGAAAACCCTGACCTCTGCTGACCACAAGAGACAGAAGAGATGCAGTGCTCTTTGTCAATAATCCATCTAAAGAGATTAACAAGATGCCAAGCTTCACTTTTTGGAATTAATTAACATACAAACCACAAATCAAAGCTGCACTAGCCTTATTACAATCTGAAAAGATAGCCACAGATTTAAAAAACCCTACTATTAACCAGTTGTTGTAATATTAAATGCCTATAAATAAGCATAAAGATCCCCCCACCAATTAAGAATGGATTTAAGTTAATTGTGTAAGAATAGAAATTTGTCATTCAGTTTCCACTACTGTACTTTGAAACATAGAGGCATGTGAACCCAGAGAGTAAGTAACAGAGAAGTAAGTAACAAAGACAACCAGGTATCAAGGGAGTGGATGTCCCAGTGAAGAGAAAGGGTAAGATGCATTTTTTTCCAAACATGGAAACCAGGGTTGTGGGGTGGTTTTTTTTGTTTTTGTTTTTTACTTTTCTTGCTTTGTTACTCTCACCTTTTTTTTTGTTACACTCGTCTTTTATTCTAGGCACAATGTCAAAAATAGAGCTTTACATGTATTTCCAATTTCAGCAACAAACTCAGGAAAACACTATGTTGTAACTTAGGATGGGAGCATTAAAAATGAAGTGGAGCCAGAACTATTAGGTCCAAGGCATTTGCCTGAAATATGTTTTTGTCACTTCTGGTACTTCTTTTTTTCAGCAATTTCTGAAAGGGCAAGATTCAAGGGTAAGATACATTGCCATTCCGTATGAACTCTCACTGATCTCACTAGCAAGCAGGACAATCAAACCTCAGCAAGGATAATCTCAGTAAACAGTAAATCATTGGGACTTTATACCTAATTTTTTTTTATGTTAAAAGAAGCCATTTTTATTTCTATGGAAGGATTTAATCATTAAACTTCTCATTAATACCTAAATTGTTCCCAAATCCAGTAAAATATATTGACAAACATGTTAAGTTTTATTAAAAAGCTGCACCACCATTGAAGATTACATTTTCACAAGGACGTGGGAAGAGGGAGAAGCCTCCTGTTTTAAGATCAGTTGCAATTTTCTCCCTTGCTATTTGCGATCTCTGCTTTTTCAGACAGCCACAGAAATGCATTCTCTCCCATTTTAAAAAGAGGGAAGGACCATTACACAACCTCCAGAACAACCTCCAGAACAGCAAATGAAACATGTCTATGTTTGCTCTACAAAGAAGTAAATGGGCAGAAACAGAAATATTCTTGGCTTTAATATGGTCTCTTTCAGCATTTTTTCCAGTCCACTCACACCCCAAATGCACCATCCATCTGCTCCTCTGAAATAAATGGCAGGAGGGTAACATCAGTCATTTTGCAAACGAAGCCCCTTGAAGGAAGACAGATTTTGTTAATATACTTACGGTGGTGAGTAATTTCTACAATCCTGCTCCATTTTCATGCGCTATGATGTGGATGGCAGAAAAACGAAACCCAAACCTGATCTGCAAAATACAGCAAGGAAATTCCACCCACACAATCCTGCAACCCCGCTGCAAAGGAGAACACAGACACTACTGACGTCACAGATTCATGAATGGATGTATACGGGGCTGTTTTAGGTTTCAGAATACAGCCTGCTGTGGTGTGCTCTGAAAAAGGAGGGGGGAAGAGAAGAGGAGAGTCAGGTGGGACAGCCAATCAGAATCAGGCAACAACAGCCTGCCTTTCTTCAGAGGAATCTCATCACAGAGCAGGCAGATGCTACCAATCAAACCCCTGCGACACAGCATCAAAGGGTTATGATACAGACCCTGCCAGCTGGGAGGGGTGTGGGGCAAGTGGGACCGGATGATAATGAAAACAATGCTGATACGTGAGGTGAATATTAGAACAGCATGTAGAAAAGCTGCAGAACAGAAAAGCTCTCTCCCTTCATTATATGATGAGTGCATAACAATATCACAGCAAAGCCAGCCATCCGAATAGATCTTGCATGACAAACCTATCAAATATCTGATATCTGCTATAGGAAACTAGTACATTTATTAACCAGAGACCTACATTACTTCAAGCATACACCGTGACACTAAGGGTTGGATCCAGACTTCATCATGCTTAGAGAAGGCCCACTGAAATCAATGGGATTTAAGTTAGCGTAACAAACCTCATTGGTTTCAAGGGGAGCTACTCTAAGCATAACTAAGTCTGTATCCAATCCCAAGTTAATAACTAAACATTATACCCAGATTTGAGGAGTATATAAAAGGAAAATAATATAGGATTGTATGCAGAATAAAGGGAACACAGTAAACAATAAATATAGAGAAACCTAGAACTTTGTTTTGAAAATGGCGGTTCCTCCCAAAGGAGAACAAAATTTGAAGTGTTAGGTGCAATTTAAAGAACTGTATGAAATTGGTTGTTACTGTTATTGATATTTACTGGTATATCCCACCTTTCCTCCAGAATTGTAGAGTTATGTTGGTACAGACCCTAACATTTCACATGTTGTATGTTGAAAAAGTAAGCTACTGTAATTCTCATCTATTAATATTCTTTCCGTTCTAAATCTAAGGTTCATTCTGGTACCTGATCATTGTTCCAGGCACGGCAACATCCCATGCCCTCTCTTCAAGCTGTGCATTGATTTGCTCTTCAAGGTAGATAAACCAAGCTGACACTCAGTGCAGCTTCAAAGAGCAAGAGTAAGACATTCCAACACTGGATTCTTCTATCTGAAAATAGCCAAATAAAACAAGACTAATAAGATTTTTTAAAAGAACGTTTTGGCTTGAATTGCACCAGGCTCTGCATATACTTTTCACATGGTCCTCCAAAGAGAACTGAATCCAAGGGATTCCCTAAATACAACAATATGAAATTCAACAAAATATAACTATGATGTTTACATTATATAAGATTCTATATACTGTAAACTAGTAAATATATTTTTAAAAAACCTGTCCTCATGCAGCTATGTGAACTGTACAAGCTCAGTGTCTCACTGGCTCTATTCAACCATAATTCCAAGCCATATTTTGGAACCACACAACAAAACTTGGGATCATACACTCCCTCCTCCCTCAAATTCCTTCCAGTACTTCCTAGTTCTGTCAAAAATAGTGTATACATAGTGTGTACAGAAGAAGGAAAGGGCAAGAAAAGGGGATACACAAGCCTAAGGCTTGCTCATGAAACACCAAACAATTAGTATTACATCTGAACTGAACCAGTATCTTTATGACTCCCAAACCATCACCATATTTTGAATTAAGAACTTATAGTCCCAGTTTGCATGTGATGCTAAGCCAAACCATGACTTAGTAGGAACATGAAAGTTCCCAGAGAGGAGACTGTGGCTGCTTTACTGCTTCATGGTTTATCTGGAGCACAAAAAGTATAAGCCTGGGTTCTGGCAATATGCTACATGAAATCATTGCTTAGCTCACAGTACTGCAAAAGCTTGGACAAAGGAGAAGCAAAGCAACCAGAATCTGCCTTTGGGGAGCCTGTGTGCTTGTGCTAACCCATGGTTTAGGTCTACATTACATGTGAACCAAATCATAATCAGATTCTTGAAAATGCAGTGTCAGGTTTCAGCTCTGCCATCACCTCTGGAGACACCCAGGTCAATTTATAGAGAGGTCCATCAGTACACACTAACTTCTTGTATTTTACCAATCTAGGGCATTCTTCAAAACATGACTCCTGCTTTAGGCTCTATCAATGAACTTATCAACTGTCATGACAAAATCAAAACATGTAGGACTCTACAGTGGTACCTTGGGTTACGAACTTAATTCGTTCCGGAGGTCCGTTCTTAACCTGAAACCGTTCTTAACCTGAGGCACGCTTTCACTAATGGGACCTCTCGCTGCCACCACCGCACGATTTCCGTTCTCATCCTGGGGCAAAGTTTGTAACCCAAGGTACTACTTCCAGGTTAGCAGAGTTTGTAACCCGAAGCGTTTGTAACCCGAAGTGTTTGTAACCCAAGGTACCACTGTATTTGACATCAGAGGAATGCTGCAACTCAGGAATGATAAGGTACATTCCAGACCTAGGGCAACCTTCTTTCTAGTGGTTAGGCAATCCTTAATATTTGGGTCTGTAAAATCCCAAGTTCTGACTAAAAAATTTTTTAAAAAAAATGTTATCAGAACTTCTCAAAATAGTGTATTTTCCAACAAATACAATATTTCTCTTAAAAGATAGTAAATTGTGCTCAAACAAAAACTGATCCACCCATCCAAATGTTTAACAAATGTATAGACAGTTGAAACTCAATGACATATAGAGAGAGAAACAATTAGGTGACAGGTGAATCAGTTTGCTTTTATTCCAGTTGGAGAGGTGTGTGCTTAACAAGTGCAAGAGTTAAGATACATTAAATTAGGAATGAAGGATTTTATTATTTGAACTAAGGAATTAAAATATAACTGAGATAAGAATATCATATACAAGAATCTTGAACAAAGAAAATTATATTCACAGTGCGGGGGATTTCGGAATGGTTCATTATAAAAAGTGTGGTTTTTTCTAAAAAAAATGTTTAGGGATACTCTCATTTTCCTACTCATATTGAAATACTGCTCCTCAAAAAGGCCAAACTTAGATTCACAAAATGTTTAGGGATATGTGTACCCCAGCATCCCCCCAGAAAAAAAGCACTGATTATAAATATAAATGTTCTTAAATAATATGACTGAAAAGTTCTATAAAACAGATGTCCAACCACTGGGAAGAAAAAATTCAATAGCTTTATAAAACATTTGCTAATTTTTCAAGAGAATAAAAATGTAAAGCTTGTACTGCCAATATTTATTCTTTCTACTATGGTCCCATTGCTAGCTATGGCAGATTGAATTCAGAGTGCATGAGACACTTTTCTCATTCATAGCAGACAATAGGAAAACCCACTCACTCACCTCTCCTGCCCTCCACAGGAGTCATTATGTGTATTTACAGATTACTTTAATGTGCATCATTTGCTAGCAGGAAATGGATCTCTCTCTAGATAAATCTATTGAGTTAAAAACTAAGTATTTTAATTTAAAATACTCACTTTAAACTGCATTGGACTACATAAAACAATGCAAAACTTTTGTTGCAGTGGATCTCTTCAGTGTGTAAACTTTGTCCCCATCAAGGCTGACTGGTATAACATTTGTACACATTTACTCTAGCCCAGAAGCCTTGGGGAGTTTCTGTCCAACTCAGCAAGGTGGGAGGGTTTGTTATTTTAACTGCTGGTTGATAAGGGCTTATCTCTACGTACTCAAAAGGTTGAATTCAACACACTTAAGAGATAGATCAAAGAACACAAGGTAAGCCCAGGAATTTTACTTCCTTATGCGAAAGCTTTCCGCTCTTTTCTCTGCTCAGGGCTTGTATTGCAGTAGTTAGGCTCCACCATGCTACCCACACAATTCATAGCCATAGTTTGCTTGGGTTTGGACAGGCATACCGCTGGGTGGTATATAACCACACTCTGGTTCCCAAACTGATCCTAGGCAATGTATTGATACATCACCCAGGCCTAGCATAGAGTTTAGTTAGCAACCAATGACGCATTCCTTAAGGAAATGAAGATTACCGCATTTTTTGCCCCATAGGGTGCACCGGCCCATAAGGCGCACCTAGTTCGGGGGGGTGGGGGAATAAAGAAAAAAATTCCGGGATGCTTCGGGATGCAGGCAGCTCTCTGCAAGCCTTGGGAGACCGGCTCCCAAGGCTTGTGGATAGCTTCCTGAAGCCTGGAGAGTGAGAGAGGTCGGTGCGCATCGACCCCTCTCCCTTTCCAGGCTTCAGCGAAAGCCTGCATTCACCCCATAGGACGCACACACATTTCCCCTTCATTTTTGGAGGGGAAAAAGTGCGTCCTATATGGTGAAAACTACGGTACACTCTGGATTTTGCTTGAATCCAGCATGCAGAATGCACACACACACACCTGCCTCACAACTCTTTTCTCCTTACAAATCATTTTACTGGTTTCTTAAAACGGTCTAGACAAACATAAGTGAACAGAGAACTATTACTCATGGTAGTTTTCATGTTCAAGTGGCAATATACTTTGCAGTACGCTGGTGACACGCAACAGACAAAAGCCATGACCTGTGTGTGCGCTTCCAAAGACATTTGGCCAGCCACTGGTGGAAACATAATGCTGGACTTTGGTCTTCACCAGCAAGTAAACTCTTAATCTGAAAATCTGTTGATAAGCATTTCTAAGTATACTTAAATTTGTCTGTCTGACTAGAAATGTTCCCCATGTAGGTTAACAGCCCAATTACAGGCGTGTTTACTCAGAATTCCCACTGAATAGTATCAAACTTGTGTCCTATGACACAAGTGAATATGAGAGAGGGAAGCAAATTTAAAAAGTAGCGGGCAGTCTCATCACAGCACCTAACTCAAGGGTAGGGAAGCTTTGGCCATCATCCCAAACCAAGCAAGTATGCTGGTTCACAGGGAGAAAACTGAAACTAGGTCACTCCTCCCTCACTTTTGAGAGCTAAGCCATGGTTTGGTGAGTTATATTCGAACCTGGGCTTCTGAGTTACATTCGAACTTGGGCTTGTGATTTGCCCTACTCCCAACAAACCAAGCGCTGTAACTAAGGCATGTTCTTGATGTACCACTCCTTGTCTGTTTGGGTGGGGCAAATTACAATCCCAGGTTTGGACATAAAACAAAGCTAAACCATGACTTAGTTCCTGAGTGACAGAGGTGTGGACAAGCTGCACGTTTCTGTCTGTGAATGCTTGCTTGTTTTATGGTAAGTCATAGTTTGCTTGGGTTTGGACAGGACACTAACATGTGGTTAAAAACAGAAGCAAAAGTCACCCCAGAGTAGTGGAGGAAAAGGTGAAGATGACATGTCTGAGGCTCATTCATGTAATACTAAGGTTTAGCAGTTCAAACACAGCCAATAATATTAATGCTGCCAATACAAACTGGGACCCTGTGTCCAGCAGTTGAAAATGTTACTATGTGTAGTTCCCCACCACCACCACCACAGATCTACAGTTTGAGAAGTGAATTTGCCAAAATTCTCTCTTCTAGCCAATTATTTGAGGCATAGTTGGCCTTTCGTTTTCAAAATCTAGTAACCTTAATTGCGACTGTCACAGCCTAAGTAACTCTGTGTTTTGATCTGTGCTTCATTTTGCAACTTTCCTTATTTATATATAAATCCCTGTTTATATAACCTCTTTATATAACTATGAACTAGAGCACACTGTGGCAGCTAGAGCTACAGTTGCCTAAAGGTAATATGTAATTCTTGCTTCTATTGCAGCTATTCAAGGCACAGAAGCTCTATGCCATATGGAACCTGGCAATCCTACTAGAAAACTAGACTATGGAAGAATTTCAGCTATAATTCCATCTTCTTTCTAAATTGGAGCCTGAAGCAACATACACTGGAATCACGCTAGGAAAGGCCTACAAGAAAAAGGTGGAAGACCATTGGAGAGGTTAGAAACTTATCCACAAAAAGTTATTGTGCATATTGTACAATAGTATATTAGCTTTCTAAAAATTTCCTGTCACTGAAGTTTCAGCCCAGTTTATTGCTGGGGAAGAAGCTTGAAAAACCCCCACATATAGTGATACTCTTGACAGCTGTAATGCTTCTTGACTTAACTGGGGCAAAGGAAATTGTGAAAAGCCAGTTCTATATTAACAATCCTGGGTGCTGAGAAATCCTCCTTGCAGAATAAACTACTTTAACATCCCTTTCAAATGCATGCTTTGTCATAATTTTTGCAGAACACAGTTCTGTTCAGTAACACAAACATGCATAGTACAAACAGCAGCTATAAACTGAAGCTTACATTTTAAATTACCATTTACAGTTGCTTTACAGCTCTGGTTCGCATGTATAATAGGGACTAGACACATTCGATGAATACTGGCCATATCTGGAGAATTGTCCATAGTTTCATATACTACTTATGATTTATGATGCATGGCCAAACCTCATGACCACATACACCTCCTTTGCCTGTCCTCCCCTTGCACACCAACTTCAGCACAGAGATTCTAATTTACATTAAGTCAGAGTTCCCCAGTAAATCCAAACTGGAGTACTCTGGCTTAATCTTGGTAAACTAATCAAGACAGGAACCAACAGGAAAATGGTTGAAATCTTAAGCCTTCTTTTAGTCAACTCAGCTAAAGGCTCAGCATTCAAATATGTCAAATTCTGAGCCATTTCAATAAAAATGTGGCAACAGTATCCATTAAAATGTACACCTTAACCCTAAACATCTTTATCAGGAAGGATTGCAGGTGAAAAGCTGTCAAGCTATAGTTTTACTAGAAGCAAGTTAGTGCATATAGTAATAGTATTGGTTTAAACTTTAACCTGAAATGCACTTCATATTATGTTCTGGATGCCCATTATATTTTGAAAGCATCTTGACTTACAGTTTTCCAACAGCAAGGGTACTTGTCAATTCACATTTAGCAGAATATTTTCTATTAATCCAAACAACTGTCCCTCACATTCCTCATTATACATTTTGGCTATAGAAACCCTAGCTATTGTAACTAGAACCAACCACTAAGTGAAGATGAAGATTCCCCTTTTCCCTATAAGAGTTTTTATTATTAAATATACCACATACAGGGGGGGAAGCCTTACAAAATGTTAACTCTATGTTGTGGAGCTAGACAATGGCCTGATTTACACATAACAAAAAGTCATAATTTTGTTAGTCTATGCTTTATTTGAACTACCGGTATGTCTTGTTTGAACATGTGAACCTAGCCCAGCAGACTAAGCATGGTTCTTTTCTACCAACAAACCATTATGTGACCCCATGGTTTACTTTTGGCATATGAACCAGGGCCTGTTTTAACTATAGTTTGTTTGGACACTCAACCCCAAAGGCTAACTATGCTTCAAATGTGTGAGACAAGAGCAACTAGAAAACAAAGAAAGAAAGCTTTGTAAAAGCAGACCATAACATGCTTGTTAAGATGATTTACTGAACAAATCATGGCTTAGCGATAAATGTGAACACAACCATAAAGATATTTCAATGCTGTAACATTTTGACCAATTTTCTGTGAGTTATATATCACCCGCCCTATCATGTCTAATATGCATTAGTTCTTATGTGTACAGGCAGCAACCAATTTGTGTGGGGGTTACATTCCACGTTGGCAGGGCCTGCATGGGGCCACCCTACCCCTTTTTGTGATGTTTTGGGGTCACTTCTGGGTTCGGATCAATGCACACATGTGTAGTTGCTCACTTATGTGGCACGCCTAAAATGGTCACTGCCTGCCAGACCTTTCCCCAAAACTTACTCTGTTCAAATACAGCATTCAACTTACAATGTCTTTTGAAACTACTAGCTAGTTCAGAACAGATCGTTTTATGCTTTACTTTAATAATATGGATGTAACCAAGCAAAATCATTCTTAAATATTTTCATAGCTTTAAAGTTAACAGTAAAGGTATGATTCTGCCAAAGTTAAGTACTTTAACTCCACATATAATGGGACTTGAAAATCCTTAGGATGATTTACACCCTCATGATGTACACAGATTACATAATTTTAGAATTTTCCAGTACATTTTCTATAGCTAATTGAGAAGAATAGAACTATATCTGCCTACAAAGTGCATAGATTTATTCACTGTTAGTATATGTCTCTGTTGGGGATAAGTCCAACATTCTCACATTATTTGATAGAATAACCCTGTTAGATGTTTGAGATTAGACTTGTGCAAGCCTTATCACAATTATAAAATAAACTATGAAATGAATATTCAGAAAATTGAACCATATAGTTGTTAGAAGGTTTAATTTGGATGGCATATTAGGAGCATTTCCCCCAAACAACAAAGATTAAGATATGATTATTATTGATAAATTCATAACATAGGAAGAGAGCAGGTTGCAAACATGGGGCTGGGTATTGCTATTGTTAGAAACTTTCAGTATTTTTAGATCCAGTCATTTTGTTGTGTAAAAATTAGGAACGGGAAGCTGGTTCAGAAAAATAATAATAACTCAGTGGAAGAGAACACAAGGAAGAACAATAAAATGCTGTCCCAAATGTATTAGTTAGATTAAAAGCTAGAGATAAAAAGAAATACATATAAATAACAATGAACTATCAATGAAGTAAAAATTAAACTTCAATAAAGCAATTTTCTTTCTGTACTGAGGGAACATAAACTATTGAATCTAATGCTAGCGTGTTAAATAAAATATTTTATCAAATGTATTCATTATTAATTATTGTTATCAACTCAAATTTTACCCACCCTTCATCACACAGGGCTGATCTTAACACCCAAGAGGGTCTGTAGGTAATGAGACAGTCTTTCAGATATTCAAATATTGAAAATGTCAAACAGATCACACATACATTTTTTCCATCTTTAGTGGAGATTTCAATATATTCAACGCTATTGGATATAGGTGATAAGACTATAATTCTAATGATGAGCATTAAACTGAATCTTGATATGATAACTTTAATAGTGAATCATTTGGAAGGAGTCTATTAACGGACAACTGAGTTACAACAAAATCTTGTAGCAGCTGTACAGCCTGTTCTTCCCTGGCACTAAAAATCTGGATCAGCATCAACAATGATGGATTGGATGATGATGGTTCTGAACAGAAATGGATAAAGTACATTGAAGGAATGGACCAGCAGTGCCAGGGGATTCAGTGGAGAAATTGACAGTTTATTTCTTATTGGAATTTTCACTACATTTTTTAAGACAAGAGAGATTTTCTTGTAAAAACATGATAAAAATTGGAAAAAAATAAAATATTGCTAGAGCACAAAGGTATCAAAGAGAGACCAGAAAATATATCTTTAACTTTCATTGGGAAAAAACAGAAAGGACTGTAAAATCAATACTATGTATCAGGATATTTTATTTCAGGACCTGACATTTAATGCAAAATATGGTTCCCTATGATTCTTAGAAAAATGTTAAAAACTAATGTCTAGTTGTCGTACTTTTGGAATGTAAGAGTGCTGCCTAACTCTGAAACTTAAATGGGATTAGTCAAATATGTGAAAGTTAAAGAGTCCTTTCGGCTGTACAAGCAATCCAACACCAATCTCTCCCTTCATTCCTTTCCTTCTTTGACCTTTGCCTACCCTGATCTTGCCAAAATTATTTGGAAGTCCAATTTGGAAGCAGATTTATGAAAAATATATGAAGACTCATCACATCTACAGTTAATTCCTGCAGATCATAGAGCTTTTCCAGCCATGTTCTGAAACATATTTTTTCTTTTTTTAACTGAACATCTGTTGTTTAGTCGTGTCCGACTCCTCGTGACCCCATGGACCAGAGCACGCCAGGCACTCCTGTCTTCCACTGCCTCCTGCAGTTTGGTCAGACTCATGTTTGTAGCTTCGAGAACACTGTCCAACCATCTCGTCCTCCGTCGTCCCCTTCTCCTTGTGCCCTCCATCTTTCCCAACATCAGGGTCTTTTCCAGGGAGTCTTCTCTTCTCATGAGGTGGCCAAAGTATTGGAGCCTCAGCTTCACGATCTGTCCTTCCAGTGAGCATTCAGGCCTGATTTCCTTCAGAATGGATACGTTTGATCTTCTTGCAGTCCATGGGACTCTCAAGAGTCTCCTCCAGCACCATAATTCAAAAGCATCAATTCTTCGGCGATCAGCCTTCTTTATGGTCCAGCTCTCACTTCCATACATCACTACTGGGAAAACCATGGCTTTAAATATATGGACCTTTGTTGGCAAAGTGAAGTCTCTGCTTTTGAAGATGCTGTCTAGGTTTGCCATCGCCTTTCTCCCAAGGAGCAGTCGTCTTTTAATTTCATGACTGCTGTCACCATCTGCAGTGATCATGGAGCCCAAGAAAGTAAAATCTCTCACTGCCTCCATTTCTTCCCCTTCTATTTGCCAGGAGGTGATGGGCCTAGTGGCCATGATCTTCGTTTTTGATGTTGAGCTTCAGACCATATTTTGCGCTCTCCTCTTTCACCCTCATTAAAAGGTTCTTTAATTCCTCCTCACTTTCTGCCATCAAGGTTGTGTCATCTGCATATCTGAGGTTGTTGATATTTCTTCCAGCGATCTTAATTCCAGCTTGGGATTCATCCAGCCCAGCCTTTCGCATGATGAATTCTGCATATAAGTTAAATAAGCAAGGAGACAATATACAGCCTTGTCGTACTCCTTTCCCAATTTTGAACCAATCAGTTGTTCCATATCCAGTTCTAACTGTAGCTTCTTGTCCCACATAGAGATTTCTCAGGAGACAGATGAGGTGATCAGGCACTCCCATTTCTTGAAGAACTTGCCATAGTTTGCTGTGGTCAACACAGTCAAAGGCTTTTGCATAGTCAATGAAGCAGAAGTAGATGTCTTTCTGGAACTCTCTAGCTTTCTCCATAATCCAGCGCATGTTTGCAATTTGATCTCTGGTTCCTCTGCCCCTTCGAAATCCAGCTTGCACTTCTGGGAGTTCTCGGTCCACATACTGCTTAAGCCTGCCTTGTAGAATTTTAAACATAACCTTGCTAGCGTGTGAAATGAGTGCAATTGTGCGGTAGTTGGAGCATTCTTTAGCACTGCCCTTCTTTGGGATTGGGATGTAGACTGATCTTCTCCAATCCTCTGGCCACTGCTGAGTTTTCCAAATTTGCTGGCATATTGAGTGTAGCACCTTGACAGCATCATTGTTTAAAATTTCAAATAGTTCAGCTGGAATATCATCACTTCCACTGGCCTTGTTATTAGCAGTGCTTTCTAAGGCCCATTTGACTTCACTCTCCAGGATGTCTGGCTCAAGGTCAGCAACCACACTACCTGGGGTGTACGAGACATCCATTTCTTTCTGGTATAGTTCCTCTGTGTATTCTTGTCACCTCTTCTTGATGTCTTCTGCTTCTGTTAGGTCCTTTCCACTTTTGTCTTTTATTGTGGTAATCTTTGTACGAAATGTTCCTTTCATATCTCCAATTTTCTTGAACAGATCTCTGGCTTTTCCCATTCTATTGTTTTCCTCTATTTCTTTGCATTGCTCGTTTAAGAAGGCCTTCTGGTGTCTCCTTGCTATTTTTTGGAAATCTGCATTCAATTTCCTGTATCTTTCACTATCTCCCTCACATTTTGCTTGCCTTCTCTCCCCCGCTATTTGTAAGGCCTTGTTGGACAGCCACTTTGCTTTCTTGCATTTCCTTTTCACTGGGGTGGTTTTAGTTGCTGCCTCCTGTATAATGTTATGAGCCTCCATCCATAGAGACTGAACATCTAGTCTTAGGAATGCTTCTACGGAGCCTGAAGTCTTGCTCAATGTTTTGAGAAATTTTAGTTAATCCTAATAATGTTGTTCCAGGATGCTTTCTAATGGCCCAGGATTGCTACCTGCAATTTCTTCCACAAAACACAATGACTGTTAAAACCTACAAATAAATATTTAAAAGGTATCAACAGAGGAAAACTTATGTTCCTAACATACAAAAGCCTTTATCAGCAAGTCCTTTTGGATGACACCAACTAAATGTCAGTGTGATTTCTCTCTCTCTCTCTTTTGATAGTTTGTTTGTTCACTTGACAGAATTGCATCTCTAAAACACCACACAAAGCAAAAATAACTACTTACTGTCCTCAAATTGTGGATTCCAGAAGAAGGGTAACAATTCACGACTCATTTTTGGAAGCTTTAATTATCCATGCATTCCTGCTGATTGGATCTGTTTGACGCTATCCCCAAAAATCTGGATTTTAGTGCACTGGGGGGGAAATTCAAACAGTTAGTCAAACATATGCACATTTTGTGATTTATAACATTTACAAAAGAGATCACACTATGTAAATAAACTATGTTTGTTTCCTGCCAAATTCTAGGGAATGTTCTTGTTGGATATATAATCCAAGAGGGAAAACTTCATTTAAGGTGCAGAGCTTAGGCACAAGACTAGGACAACTTAAAAATACTACAAGAAACAAATGCAAAATTGAGTAAATTCTGCTTTTTTGTGCACAGCATGGGGGGACTTAACTCTGCACTATTACATGAACCTGCTTATTTGCTCAATATTGCATAAAAATATTAAATAAAATCATGGTGAAATTTAACATTTTTCTTTCTGGCAGCCTGAGGTAAAAGCAGAAAATAATTTCTTGAGAAGTGTGTTTTAACTGTTCCAAAGAGAGTTTATTCTCACCTTCTCAGTTACAGCTTCTGAAAGGTTTATAGAGTAAGTGCATTTGTCCAAACTTTGTTGAAACCAATTTGATTATAAACAATAAGGTGATTTAATATTGTTTTTGACAAATTGCTTTTGTTTTTATTTTAAATCCACTTTAGAAGAAAAATATTTTTAAAAATTGTATATAAAATAACAATAATAAAATAAATAATAATAAAATAAACTTAACTATTCCAGAAGGTTGTACCACTATGGGGCACTGCTATATTAATAGGGTTTACTTCCTGATAAATTAGTGTAAGACTGCAGAACTCTTTTTTTTTTAAGCAAAAATAACATCACAGTAACATTAAAATATTATTGTCAACTTTTAGAAGTTGACTATGGACATCAAAACTGGCATTTTCACTAATGCATACTATTTTTAACATTTTGTTTATTTAGATATTTATTCTCTCAGAGTCAAAACATACAATGGTCATAAAATAAGATAATTGTAAAACAGGTTAAAAATCACATCTAAGATTTACAATAATAAAAAATCAAATAATTTCAAAATCAGCACTAAAAAAAATAGCAGCAATACTTAAACATTATAACATTAAGAACCTAGATAGACTAATATCATTATCACTTAAAAGCAGAAGAAAACAAAACCAGTCAATGAGAGAAACACACATCCAATGGGAGGGAATTCTGTAACAATGCAGTCAGCATTGAGAAAGTCTTCTATCTGCCTATCTCTCCATAGGACAAGTTCATTTAAGCTGGTGGTACAAAAAGGGCACAGACTGTAAAAACTTTAGACAAATTTGTATCTACTAAATGCTCTCCGTTTTATAATAAACACTCCATTCAGTACTCCATTCTGGGTTTGCTTGCTATTTCCCCACTTACGTAATTGCTGTGCAAGACAACAACCCTGTGGTGGGCCACAAATCTGGGGGAAATATATTGATAAGCATGCTTTCATTGATGGCAGGTGTTTTCATGTATGTTTGCATGTAACATGTGATCAGGACACCATGAGCAAATACCTAAGCCTAAAAGATATGGCACGAAACAAATTTACATTTAAATGAACTTATTTGTTGTAACATATCTTACTAGGAACTCTTTCTAGAATGTAAATCCTTCAGCCCCTTTTATTGCACTCCCTGTGCATCAAACATGAATAGGAAGGTCACAGAGAAGCTCTCTTGATGATGCAAAAATTAGCTCTGCAACTCACTTCCAAGTTACAACCATATATTATTTAATTTATATCCTACCTATCTGGCAGTATTCTACTTTACAAATGGAAATACCAGCTGCAACATTTAATCAGTTAAAAGCTTAGTCAGTTAAAAGCTTGCTTTTTTCAGAGCTGTTGTTTTAATGCCTATGCAAATTTAACAAACGCATTATTCCACTCATTAATCAACTAAGAATTATTTAATCACACGACAGCCCTAAACAAATCCTCGTTTTTGATATTATAACAAGTAGTTAATACATTACAGATTGTAGCAGCATACTTAAAACAATGTGCACAATCAAGTGTTCTGAAAGAAAATTCAGAACATGAGCTAGTCTAAATCTGGAACCATGTTAAATCATTTGACTAGGCAAGGACAACATCTCGCACATGCCAAAAAATCTGTATAAAAATTATGGTGTTTCAATTGGCCCTAAGTACAGATAACCTAGCAGCTCGAAAGCACGTCCGAGTGCAAGTAGATAAATAGGTACCGCATTTCCGTGCGCTGCTATGGTTCACCAGACACGGCTTAGTCATGCTGGCCACGTGACCTGGAAGCTGTACACCGGCTCCCTTGGCCAATAAAGTGAGATGAGCGCCACAACCCCACTGGAGCGGTACCTATTTATCTACTTGCACTTTGACGTGCTTTCGAACTGCTAGGTTGGCAGGAGCAGGGACAGAGCAACGGGAGCTCACCCCATCGCGGGGATTTGAACCGCCGACCTTCTGATCGGCAAGTCCTAGGCTCTGTGGTTTAACCCACAGCGCCACCCACGTAGCAAGCAGTAAACTCTGCAACAAGGCGTTGCAAGGTGTGGGCCATAGCTGGTATCCACTGGGTGCCTTCCAACTCTACAATTTTGTGATTCTACAAAGGATCACACACAAACCACACGTGTCGTTTCCAAACACATCTTTATCAAAAGAACAGTGATTCACTTGACTTGGGGAAGTGGTAAAACATATGTTTGGCACACAGAAGGTCCCAGGTTCAATCACAAGCATCTCTAGCGAGGGATGAGAAAATCCACTGTCTGAAAGACTAAGGAGCTGCTGCCAATCAGTGCAAACAATACTAAACGAGATGGGCCAACGGTCTGACCCAGTGTAAGGCAGCTTCGCATGTTCCTAATCGATGGAAAGCAGAATGGAGTGTGCAGCTGGTGGTGAAGAGCATCCAGCCATGTGAAATGGTGGGAAGGGGTTTCAGGGAGCGATTTTGGGGGAATCAGAACAGGGTTGTTACAAGCGCGTCCCTGTTTCCATCTGCCAAATATCGAGGAAGAGGATACGCCTGGTGGCGCGGATGTGCGGATTGCGTGCCCCCAAGACAACAGCGATGAGCTGCGGTCCTGCCCGCACCACGTAGCCAGGAATCCGTGTCTGAGGTGAGGGAAATCCCCTCAGCCGGCGGGGCAAAGGAACCGGCAGGACCCCCTGCCCAAAGCAGCGCCCTCTCACAAGGAAATGCTGCGAGAAACTCCCGCCGGCCAAACCCCGGAGGTGCCTCCGCGCGCCCAACCGCCGCCACGCCGCGAAACCGCGGCCCGAGCCAAGGACGCGCGTCCCCCCAACTAGCTCGCTCGCCTCACAGCACCCCGTTACTCACCGCCCAACCGCCGTCCTGAAGCCACTAGCGGCCATTGGTCCTCCTCCCACCTGCCGGGCCATCAACAGCGCGTCACTTCCGGCATCACCTGACACTAAAGCAAACGCTCTCGGCCGCCAACCTTGTGTTTTGGGTCCTCGACTTCCGGCTCCACGACGCCTCCGGAAGCTGCGCAGTGCTTGGAAGGCTTACATAAACGCGTTTAATTCGGGATGCGGCTTAAAGCGTGTTCAGCCTAAATCGCTTTTAATGCCAATGTGAACTTTGAAAGGCCAGAGGCTTGCGGCTATTCCAAGTACCAATTTCTCCCTCCTGCTTCCTATTCCGCAGTAACCTATACAGCGCTCTCGTTATAGATAAATAGCGCCGCGGGGTTCGACGGCAGTTGCAGCAGAGATGGAAGCTGGAATTCTATATACACACTTACCTAGGAGTAAGCCTTAATGAACCTAAGTGGACTGACTTCTGAGTAGATGCACACAGGATTGCATTGTGATCAACTAATTCACACCCATAGGAGCCAAGGTTCCTACAGCCCTCCCAATAAAATATTTGAGGGGACCGCTCCCTCCCCTCTAGGATAATGTGCATTGCTATTCAAATAGGGTTATGTGATCGATTTTTATTTTTATATTTTCACACCTAAGTGAAAAAGCTATTTTCGTTTTGTGAATTCATCTCAGGTGCGTACCCAGGGGGTTGGCAAAACTGGCCTCCGGGGGCCAAAAATCCCCCCAGAAATCAGTCTCCAGTTTTCTCTTTCTCTCTCTCCTTGACTATGCTGGAGATGGACATAAAAGGGGACCAAAAACAAAAAGGTGTGGAAACCTCTCATCGACATCGCTAAGCAACGATTATTTGCTCTGCTATGCTCCCGCAATGGTATCCGGCTGCCTGTGGAGCAGCTGATCCATTGTTTGGGAAAGAAGAGCGGGACTGGCGGGGTAGGCGGAGCAGCTTTCCCTGCGCCTGTGTATGTGAGTGACTTGAGTGGGCATGAGGAGGAGGAGGAGGAGAATGAAATGAATGAAATTTGCTTTCACAGCCAGACTTCCCCGTTTCTAAAAGCGAGCGATCCTTCTCTTTTCCCTTTCCCCGGTGGGTTTGGGTTAAAAGCGGATCTACACGGATCCTCATGGATCCTCCACTTTTAAAAAAATAACTCCAACCAATCCAGTGTCAAATCACATCTGGAAGGCACGCCTACAGACTGGACTATAAAAAAAGTGGATCCAACACTTAGCCGCGCTGCAGCACCACAAAAACATGGATCCTCATGAATTCATATGATTTTTATATTGAAACAAAATAAAAACACCATGATACTCTACACCTCGTATTTGTCTGTAGGCAGAACCAAAAAAATCACGCATCCACTGTTTCATGGTACCACAATGGCGCAAAAACATGGTTGAAAAACACGGATCCTCATGATTTTTGCACTAGATCAGCCCAAAGTCATCATCAGATCAAATATCATGGCCATGTCACAACCTGCACCACAAAAATCACAGATCCACAGCTTCCTGGCGACACTGTGGCCCAAAACGTGGTTTTGAAGCATGGATCCTCACGCTTTTTGCATTGGGCCACTCCAAACCCACCGTCAAATCACACATCATAGCCAGGGGCGCAGCCTGCACCACAAAAATCACGTATCCACAGCTTCCTGGCAAAATTCACTGCAAGTTAAGCCCTAAAACAAAATTGGTACAGTGGAACCACGGGTTGCGGACATAACCCGTGACGGAGGCACATCTGCAACCCGCAGCGTTCGCATCCTGAAACGCTGTGTCTGCGCAGGCGCCGGCACAATTTGGTGCTTCTGCGCATGCACGAGCGGCGAAACCCAGAAGTAACCCTCTCTGGTACTCTGGGTTTCCTGCAGTCCGCAACCCTAAAACACGTAACCTGAAGCGGCCGTAACATGAAGTATGACTGTACAAAAATTGCTGGAAATGTCATAGATCTCAAGGAACCTTCTTCCATTTATGGCGGACCTGTGAAAAGACCAAAAAGTTTTGGAGGAAAGTTCATTTCGAAATGAAAAAATGTAAAAAAGACAAAAATTTGCATTGGACCCCAAAACTATGCCGTTGGGAATGACTCCTTCAGCTACTGTATTGTGAAATCGTCAGTGGAACTATTTAGTTATATGACCACAGCAGTCAGAGTGGTGTTGGTTAACATATGGAAATCTGACATATGTCCTGGAATAGATGCATGGAAAGAGAAACTATCAGAATATGCAGTAATGGCGAAACACGCGAATTTAGTAAATGATAGACTCACGGGAGAACATAAAAAAACTTGGAATCTTTATAATTTGTATACAACTTAACAGAACTGTAACAAAATAAACATCTGTATGGATTTGTATAATAGACCTTAGGTTACAAAAATATTTCCTGTTTAAAAATAGAAGTTTTGTGTGTATATGATAACGAAAGAAATATGTAGCAGAAGAAATCTTGTCTGTCTGATCTAGAAATGAAATCATATTTTTAAATAATCTTTGCTTTAGATTTTTATAATCATATATGGTATTTCTCCAATAGCAAACTACCTAGAATTGGAAATAATATTTAGTACACTAACCCTTTTTTAACTCTTGATAAATGTCAGCTTGCTGAGTTATTTTGTACCATTGTGATTCAATGTTATATTTGCCAGCAGGCAGACCCAGCAATACAGAGTTTTGCTGCTTAGCAAGAGATTTGGGGAAGTTGCTACCATTCTTCACTGTGATAAGATTACACACTGAGTACTCGTCTCCCGTTTACTGTGCAAGCAAGTCAGCCAGGCCATAGCATGAGTACCTGCCAGCCATCTCATCCTAGGTCACCTCCTATGCAACATCAGGCAGGTGAAGTCACTAACATCCATGAAAAAATACACTTAAGGCAAATTCTGGGACTCCAGAATCCACAGATACCTGCAGAGTCTCTAGCTCAGGTGTGGGGAACCTCTGGCCCTCCAGATGTTGCTGAACTCCTGCTTGCTGGAGTTGACGGGAGTTGCAGTCTAGCAAGAGCTGGGGTGGCCAAAGGTTCCCCACACCTCACAAGAGGAAAAGGATTCTGCATATGCTCAGGAGCACATTTGCCCTGCGGTCTTTGAAATGCTACATGCCCCTTGGAGATCAAGGATTTCTGTGCATGCTCCAGGACACTCAGCCAAGGTGCCAGAATTTTGGACAGCCCAAAGGTAGCTGCTGCACTCTTTAGACACAATGTCTGCTGAAATTGCTGATAAATTTGCACTGGCTTCCTCGCACTTCGAGACTATCTGAGGTAGGGACTGGAACAGGCCTGCTTCTTTGAGGACTTGTTAATTTATTTTAGCACTACTTTGGAAACAAGCAGGTATGTGCTCTTTGCGACTGGGCATATTTCCAAATGTGAATTCCACAGAAAAACAACAGACTGTGGAGCATTCATGTGCCCCATGTGCCCATGGCTCTGGAATTTATGTGCTCCCATGCAAGAGAGGTTTTATGAGCGAATTTGGTGGTTCCTTTCCCCACTTAGGCCAGACAGGTCCCCCACGTGTCTGCCTTTAATGTTATGGCCCACCATTAAACTTGCATGCACCACGAAATGTGACACCCACATATGGAGATGAGATGAAATGGAATTACAAACAATATAGAATGTATACAGAAAAGGGGAAAGAGAAAATTGAATATATGGTAATTCACACAAAATCCAGTAAAATATGACGGAGCGAATGATTAGCAATTGGATATGATTTGCATGCTTATTAGCAAATGGCAAGCACTGGCAAAGCAATAAAAGGGACTAACATATTCAATAATAATTTTTTTATTAATTTTCAATTTCAATCCAATAATAGCCTCATTATAACAATACCAAACTATAATACAATTACAAACACCTATTGTTCAAATACAAAATTATATAATTTAGGTGGCCTCCCATTTGCTAGAATTGATGGTTGATTATTTTATTTCTGCGTTCCAAAATCTTACGGATTTCAATTACATTCCAGTAAAAAAAAAATCCCTTATACAATTGCAATATTCACTCCATAAGTAATAAAGGATGGGGAAGAGTCAGCTCTAAGTCCCCATTGTAAACCTTTTGCAAAATAGAGTTTCCCTCCCTTTTTCCTTTTTTTTTTTTTTTTACATGCACAGTTCTCTTTGATGTTATCTTCCATATCTATAATATGGATCAGGCTTGGTTTCTAACTGCCTCTGAATTCTGACAGAGGAGCATCACCACTCAGGAGGGGCCAGGTGGGGTTGCCACGGTGACAAGTGTGGGAATGTTCAGGGATGCAGGAGAGGATATATTGTCTGATAATACCCTTTCCAACTTGGGTTAACAAGTTTACAATTTTAGCAGAGTAACAGTCCCCCTTTTAAACTTGCAGCGGATGCGTTTGCTCAGGCTCGCTAAAGCCTCTATAATAACTGTTCTGGTATTTCCCCCCCTATTCCCTCATAAAAGATAAGACACTACACAGTCTTCTACATATCATACTCACATATCATTCTGTTCACAATCGGATCCCAGAAGGCAGACTTAGCTTAGAAAAGTAACATACACACTTGGAAACTATTCCATAAGAAGACAGTCCCTTTGTCCTCTCTTGGCTGGAGCCAAGAGGGCATCTTTGGCTGAGCAGATGTTGCTTCTTCGATGCATGTAATGAAAGAGAGAGAGATGGCTGCCCTGCCCTGTGCTTTTGTCATTACCTGTACAGGTGAAGCCACACCCACCTCTAGTCACATGTAGAGGAAGTCTGTCCCAGCCCAGAAGGAAACAGGAAGTTTACCTGCTGGCTGGACAAACATTCCTCCCCATGTGTAAACATGTTCACTCTAGGAATGTTGAACTTGACTGCTCTTGTGTTTCACATCCCACAACAAGGACCTGCCTTCCTTTGTGACATCTCTTGCTTTTCCTTTAAAAGCCACTGACATGCAGGCGGCCATTGTGGGTTAGTGAGGAGAGGTCAGAGGAGAGAGGAGGTGGTGGTGGCGGCGGCAGTTGGTGGAGAGTAGGCGGAGGGTTAGTGAATAGTTCTTTTTTCGTTTCCTTATTTTGATTTCATTTATTACTTTTATTTTATTTATTTGATTTGATTTGTTTTTATTTTATTATTTTCTTTTAACACTTTTATTTATTTTATTTTTTGTTCTTTGTTTTAATATTTTTGTTTTTTGTGCACATCTGTGCATATTCTGTATATATTTTGTTTTTTGTTTTTTTACATAGAGTAGTAGTTAGGGTTAAGTGTAGGGTTAGGGCGGGGGTTAGGTATAGACTTAGGGCAGGGGTTGGGGTCAGATTTAGGCTTGGGTGGGCATTTCAGATAGTTAGTTACTTTAGATAGGAGGGTGGGATCTTTCGTGGACGACATGGGCAGGCTGTAAGTAGCATCCCTTTCTCTTCATTTCCGGGAGGTGGGGTGTGAGTCTGTTTCCCAGCCAAGTTGTCCTGGCCAAGTCCCCAATCCATGTAGGTTGGATCCACTCTTGTCCTTGAGATGGCTACCTGTCTGGCACTCAGAGACCAGGAGGGCAGTGATTATCTCCCAAGCAGAAGGGTTGCTGTGTACGTGGTCTCATGCATCAGGGATGATGGCTGCCCCTAGCCATGTCCCAAGTGCCTTCTCTGGTAGCCATCTTCCTTCTGAGCTGAACAGCATTGGAACGGTGTCAATCCAATGTTGGATTGTTTTTATATGAATATTTGAAGGTTTTCCCGCTGCAAGAGTAGGAGAGTGCTACGACCAGATATTATTTTCTTCTTCTTCTTCTTCTTCTTCTTCTTCTTCTTCTTCTTCTTCTTTCACTCGTAGCCGAGTAAGATTGACTTCCATGAACACTGAGTTTTAACAGTGAGTCCATAAGTGATTGTGGAGGCCAATTCTGAATCCACACATCCTTCCACAGTGGGGACATAGTTTTCTGGGCGGGAGTTGATCACAGTGAGGGTTTGCCAAGCGTGGCTTCCTCTTAGGTCATTTCTCCCTTGTGTCCTGAGTTCAAGAGTCTTCAAAGCCCATTACACCTTTGGTAAAGGCTGTTCTCCTATTGGAGCGCTCGCAGGCCAGTGTTTCCCAGCCATTGGACATGACCAGTCCAACGAAGGTGGTGTTGAAGAATCATTGCTTCAACACTGGTGATCTTTGCTTCTTCCAGGACACTGGTATTAGTTCGCCTGCCTTCCCAAGTGGTGTGTCACATTTTTCGGAGATACCATTGATGGAATCTTTAAAGGAGTTGGAGATTGCGTTTATATGTGGTCCATGTTTCACAAGTGTCCAGCTGGGTTGGTAGTGCAAGAGCCTAGACTGAAACTTAAAAGACTAGTTTCAATGGACCAAGAATGGTTTTCATGGCTGGTTCTGACTTTTCCCTTTCCCCACTGGGAATTCCGACTTGTAGAGCAGAGGCCACGGCTGGTTGGCAGCTGCAGTGCCTGTGTGTTTTGTTCTGTTGTTGTTGTTTAATCATTTAGTCGTGTCCGACTCTTTGTGACCCCATGGACCAGAGCACACCAGGCACTCCTGTCTTCCACTGTCTCCCGCAGTTTGGTCCAACTCATGTTGGTAGCATTGAACACTGTCCAACCATCTGGTCCTCTGCCGTCCCCTTCTCCTTGTGCCCTCAGTGTTTTGTTCTAGAGGGTGCTGTTTCATGGCACTCACTGGTTGCTATTGGACAGTTCTTTAGATAGTCTGAGTGGATTGGTTGAGTGCCTTGCGAGCGAAAGGCTCAGCCTTCATTAGGGCAAATGTTCTATCCTTATTTATGGGAGCCTTTGGAATAGAAAAAGGAAAGGACTGTGTCAGGATGTGTTTTGTGGGGACATTTGCAGAAGTGAAGGTATTGATTTGGGGTACAGTCGGAGGGGGGTATGGTGCCTGCTGGAGGGGGAAACCCCCGCCACCCTTTCCAAAAAAATCCGGTTAAGAATGTTAAGAATGACCCAAAGCTCTCCCCTCTCCCTATTTCTTTCATTTGCTTCATGAAATTTATACCATGCTTGACTGCATGAATGAGGGGACCAGGCTCTCTGGGTCCTGGCATGGACATAGCTCTTGAACCCAGAACACTTGGGACCTCCTTTCTCTCTCTGCCAGCCCTTCATGCTCTGGGCTGCCTCTTTCAGGCTCTGATGATGCCCCTTCAGGTCACTGAACTGCAGAGAGATGGAAGGAATTGGTCATGATGGGCCGTGTTATGTACTGAAGTTCTCACCCTGGGCCAGCAGGGGGATACTGTAGATAGTTATGCAAATGAAGGATCGAAAAGTGACATTCAGTGATTGGATAGTTTTGTATGTAAATGAAGGATCGAAAAGTGACGTTCAGTGATTGGATAGTTTTGTATGTAAATGAAGGATCGAAAAGTGACGTTCAGTGATTGGATAGTTTTAGAAAATAGCAACAGTTGCATTGTTCTGGAGCTCTATATAAGCAGGCTGACTGAGCTCCTCAGCCTAGTTCTGTTCTGGCATCTGAATAAAGAAGAGCTGTTTAAAGAATCGCTGTGTCGTCTGACATGTTCGCCCACAACTTAACAGGCCGGCAAGGATCGATTAGGCTCCACATATGTATTTCTGTTCTGCCAATTTGGCAGTGGTTCACTGTTTTCTCCAGACGCACCTCCTCACACACAAACACCCCCTAAGAATTGGGGCTGCTGGCGTCTGAGTCGCTCTCTCCGCTCATCTCTTCTAGGACCAGGTGCTTAAGGCGCCTGTTCAGGCGCTGCCACAGGGTGGCCCCCCAGCAAGACCCAGAGCAGCCCGTGGCGACAGGTGAGCAAGTGGGCCTCCTTTTTTGGACAGAGAAGGGCAGGAATGGGCATGGGGGGCAACTAGTCCAAGGATGCAAAAGAGGACTCACCTCTTCCCATGTCCTTCTGTTTGCAGTTCTGCTGCGGTTCCGCATCCCAGCCCCAGGGGTGATTATTGGAGAAAACATGAGCAGGGACTGGATCCCTCAGACCTGCCCCCCGCTGCCTGGGCTCTTTGCCCCCCACTCTGCACTCTCAGATGCGGAGAAGCCCTCCCCTCACGAGGAACTGACAGCCTGACTTTTGCATTTCAGCTGCTGGAGGATGAACAGCTCTACCTCCTGGGGGTCATCCAGAGCTGCCAGGCAGCTGAGCTCAGGGGGTCTGATCCCTGAAGTGCTCCAAGCAGGAGACGGCCCAAGCCATTCTGGTGAGTGATGGGTGGTGTGGGGGGAAGGGGTTGTGCATCTGCGGAGAGGAGGACCCTGCCGGCCTAGGGCATGGGGTTGCCATTCTCCTGCAAAGCCAAGCCTGGTGTTTGGGGTCAGAGCTGATTTTCCTCCTCTGTTCTCTTCCAGGACATCTTGGGGCCCTTGGAGCACTTCAGGGATCGCCCCCTGACCCTGGTCCTTGCCTTGGAGGCCCTCCTCCAGCTAAGGTGAGTGGGGTCTTTGGCGTGGACGGGGTTGTGGGTGGGGTCAGAACTCCAGGGGGAAAGAGCAGGTGGGAGGGACAAGGGGGCAGGGGAGACTCTAACCCTCTCCCTTTCATCTCTGCAGCACCATGAGGCCCAAATTCAGCTGTGATATGATCAGTGCGATCCTGCGCAGGACGTTGGAGGCCGTGCTGAATGGGGCCAAGGAGGAGGAGGAGGAGAGAGAAGTATGTCCTTTGTTTTGACTTCCCTTCACAGGCTCTTTCTTCTTCTTCGTCACACACTTGGAGAATCCAACCCAGCATTCAAACTCTTTTCCTGCAGGAACTGAAGAGGCACTTCTGGCTCCTGATGGGGAGTCTCCTTATGGAAGCCCCCAACCCTGGCACCCTCCTCCACCTTCTCAGTGTAAGTGTCCCGATGGCATCGGGGTGGTTTTAGGGCTGTACCCCCCCCGTCCCTTACCCAATGGACTGCCCCATTTCTGGGGCACACAGCCTGTTTGGCCCCCAGTTTGGTCCAAGACCAAACCTGGCAAATCCTCATGGTGCCAGGGACTCCATGGTGGGGGCAGTGGGGGCTGCTTTGGCCCAGACTGGCCCCTGACTCTGAGACGCTCTTTCGTCCTGCAGGACCTCCGAGGATACGCCCTGGGGGAAAGTGGGGAGGCTCAAGAACTAGCAGCCAGCAGCATTTCCTTGCTGCTGGCCGTTGCCCGGAAATACCCCACCCTCAGAGTAAGTACCTTGCCTTCTTCTATTCATTTTTTTGGTTAATTTTATCCCCCCAAGATCACACCCCCAAGTGATCTTTAGTGCAGATGATGCGGGGTGTGTCCCTGGGGGCCAGGATGAGGCCAGAGGCTTTTCCTGCCCCCTTTCCTGCTGCTGCCCTTCCACCTCTGCCCAGGGGGCTGCAGGGCCCAGAGAGGTCCTCTGGAACAAGGGATTGGGCCCAAGACAGAGGGAGACCTGTCCTTCCTGATTTGGTGCTGCTTCTGTGCTCTCTTGCTCCCATCTGACCCTGATTTGTCTTTCCTCTGCAGATGACAGTAGTTCGGCTGGACCTGGCTTGCTTCCGCCTGAAGCCAAAAGAAGGTAAGCCCCACACCTTGGAGACAGCGACCTTTGACTAAAGGCCTGTGGGAAAATCTCATTTTCATTTTCATTTTCTTCTCATTCTCTTCCATCCAGATGACATCATCATTGAAGATTTATAGGTAGTGCGAATCTTCGGCTCCACTGGACACTAGAGAGAGGCCAGCATCCAAATGCACTCAGCAGGTAAGACTTTCTCAAAAGCCCATCTGTAGTTAGAGATGCCGTTTCATCTGTGAGAGAAGCAGGCATTCCTTGCGTCCTGCTTACCTTTTTTCTCTTGCAGGTGACAGAACGATGCCAGCAAGACCTCCTTCTCCATCTTTTCATGGCGGCAGAAGGGAAGCAGTGGCTGTGGGACCAGATCAGGTAGGGGGAAGCTGCCTTGTGGGGACAGAGGCCAAGGGGTGGAACGGTGTCATGGACTGGTTGGGCACAGAGGAATGGTGGGAGGAAGCAGCTGGAGAACCAGGAAGGGAAGATGTCTCAGAGCCCAGGGAGTGGAGGGGGACAAGGATGAGCAGTCAGAGGGAGAAGAGGCCGGGGAACCAGGGGAGGGGAGCCAATGGGTCCTTTGTCAGTGAGTGAGAGCCAGTGTGGTGTAGTGGTTAAGAGTGGTAGTCTCGTAATCTGGGGAACCGGGTTCGCATCTCCAGGCGAGTGCACTGAACTGTGTTGGGAGCCAGCGTGGTGTAGTGGTTAAGAGTGGTAGTCTCGTAATCTGGGGAACCGGGTTCGCATCTCCGCTCCTCCACCTGCAGCTGCTGGGTGACCTTGGGCCAGTCACACTTCTCTGAAGTCTCTCAGCCCCACTCACCTCACAGAGTGTTTGTTGTGGGGGAGGAAGGGAAAGGAGAATGTTAGCCACTTTGAGACTCCTTAAAGGGAGTGAAAGGCGGGATATCAAATCCAAACTCTTCTTCTTCTTCTTTCCTCTGTGTCAGAAGACAGGCTCCGGCAGATGGAGCAGATGAGATCCAGAGGAAGCTGTTTGTGCAGGTGCTGTAGAGGGAAGCCAGGGGCCGATGGGGCTCATCCCCCCGGAAGGGAGCCCATCGAGGAGAACTCTGATTCTAAACCTCCGCTGCCTCGTGGTGGCTTCAGGAGAAGAAAAGGCTCCTGAGTAAACCCTACACAGATGGAGAGTGGAGTCCCTAAGATGGTTGGGTGGCATTTTGTAGGCCTCCTTCTGGCAACTCCTGCAGCCAAGCTGGTGCCTTATGCCTTGCTCTTCTTTCCTTTGGACCACCTCAGGGAGGCGGATCTCGGCACAGGGTTGACACCTTTGTTTTGCAAAAGACAGGACAGGGCAGGGGACAGAGAGAGATCCAAAAATTGTTAACATTATTTTGCCTCAAAGATCTCACGGAATCTTGGGTTTTTCCATTCCTTAGGATATATGATCTACTCCCTGTGTAACTCCACGTGTCAAGAAGAAAAAGAACTGGAAGAGAATGGAATAAAAATAAATATTTTTAATGGATTTTGAATAAATGCACAATAAATTGTTACTGTGACTAGCCCAAGGTCAAAGAAGTGTGACTAGCCCAAGGTCACCCAGCAGCTGCATGTGGAGGAGCGGAGACGCAAACCCGGTTCACCAGATTACGCGACTACCGCTCTTAACCACTACACCACGCTGGCTCCCAACACAGTTCAGTGCACTCGCCTGGTGACAATCCAGCTGGTGCCAGTGACCTGAGATCTAAGATGTCTCCAGGACACTGAGTGTTTTGCCTTGGTAGAGCGTACCACGTTCGTGACGCAAACCCTGTGGTATGAGCAGGAAGCTGCGGATCCTAGATTTTTGTGGTGCAGGTTATGCCCATGGGCATGATATGTAATTTGATGGTAAGTTTGGGTTGGCCCAATGCATAAAGTGTGAGGATTCATGAGGATCCGTGCTTCAAAACCACATTTTAGGGCCACGGTGTTGCCAGGAAGCCGTGGATCCGTGGTTTTTGTGGTGCATGCTATGCCCATGGCCATGATGTTTGATCTGATGGTGACTTCGGGCTGATCTAGTGCAAAAATCATGAGGATCCATGTTTTTTAACCATGTTTTTGCGCCATTGCAGCCCCACGAAACAGTGGATGCATGATTTTTTTGATTCTGCCTACAGACTAAGACATGGTCTACAGTATCATGGCAGTTTTATTTAATTTGAATGAAAAAATCATATGAATTCATGAGGATCCGTTTAAAATCAGCTGGATCCGCCTTTTACCCGTTTCTTTCTGAGGGCAGCAGCAGTATGCCTCAGGAAACTAGTTGCTGGGGCTGGCAAATGGGAGAGAGATTTTGCAGTCCTGTCATGGTGCAGCTTCCTATAGGCATCTGAATGGTCCCTCTGGGAACAGAATGCTGGACTATATATATAGCCCTTTAGTCTGATTCGGGAGGCCACAGCGTGTTCACTCTCAACTTGGTCCTACTGATTTGAGCGCGACCTGTTCTCTACCAAGCTTGCAGCTCTTACCTGCTGCAAGTATTTTGCCCTGAGTACGCATGCGTGAATGCAGCCTCTGTGAATTCTCGCCCTGAAAACTGCTCGTCGTAGCAGAGAGTGAACGGTTGTATAAATTGGAGCAATTTCAGAGCGAAAGCGTAGCCAGGAGGGCAGGGGGAGGGGGCAGCTGCCTCCCCTGGATCAAGTAAAAGAATAGAAATACTAAACAGACCCATCACGTCGGTTCTGCCCCCCCCAAAAAAAACCTTGGCTCCGCCCATGTTTCAGAGCATGCATCTGGCAAGTGTGGGTCCAAGCAGGCGCGAATTCACGATTTGGTGCCCCAGCTGGAACCTCCCCCTCGGGTGCAAACGGGGCCAGCCTCCTCCCCAGCCCGTCATGGAGTCTGGTTAGTCCGGGTTTTCTGGTTCCCACAGGAGCCGCCTTCTCCTCGGTGCTGCTTAATCCAGCTCGAAGCGTCTCTTGGGCTCGTGGGGTTCGTCCGCGCGAGATCATGGCTCTGTACACGCGGGGATCGGCTGCAGTGGCCGTGATTCGACTGTGTAATCCTCCACTCAACACGCTCAGGTAATTTGCAAGGGAAGACTTCTTTCTCCCAGGCAAGGGATTCTCGGGCTCCTGGTTGGCGGGTGGAAACTGCTCGTCTGCAGATTCGACCCCAGAGAGCGTCTTTTTGACCCCCGAAGCAGGCTCGGCCCCTGAAAGATACGCAGGCAACGAGCGAGCCTGCATGCCTCGGAGGGTCGCTTGCTGTCGCACCCAGATTCTGCTTGCATGCTTCCCATAGGCTGGCCACTGTGAAAACAGGACGTTGCACTAGCTGCTTCTGTTTACATGAAAGAAAGTCCCGTGGTACTCGGTGATGCTTCCTCTTAGGTGCATTGGATTGTAAGCAGAGCCTTTGCACCCTTACTCGGATTTCATGGTGTTTACTTCCAAATAATTGTGAATAGGACTGCAGCCACAACTAACTTCTTGCTTGCCAACCCTAATTTTCCGGCAGTGCATAAGCCAGCATGATACTGAGATGTTTTAGTTTGGTACTGCAGAGATACTTTCACCCTAGTTGGGTGGTTAGCTTTGTTCTCAAGTTTAACAAGCACACACAAGCAGCATTGGGGACCCTGAGTTATGGCTTTCCCCCTGCACTTCAGAGTTTCAGCCCTGAATTTTCTGATAGACGAAAGATACCATATATACATGAGACATGTGAATTACAACTGTTTTCCAGCCTTTAATTCCAGACTAATATAAACATTTCCCTATTCTTAAATACTGTTTCTTGCCTGCAGCAAAAGTTAGTTCAGATCAGCATGGGAAATCAGTACTCGCACACTCTTCTTTTCTTTTTTCTTTTTGCCTTCCTTTATCCCTTGTGGGATCAGTGACAGTAGAAATCATTAACTGGCAGATTTCTCCCTGTCAGGATCTGGACTTTAAACCTACCACACTTATGCCCTCTTGGCGCTCTGCCCCACAGTTCCTCCCCCTCCAAAGCTTTGCTTACTTTCCTGGCTGCCAGTAGTTTACAGCCTCAGTCCTGTTTTCCCTCCCTTCCTTCCTTCCTTCCTTCCTTCCTTATTTTTATTAAATGCTTTATTGTGTTACAAAGGTATGTCCTGTTTTCTTTCTTGGCTCTTCTCTTCAACTGTTTGTCTTCACCATGCTTGCTTCTCAGGCTACAGAATTAGCTAAATTCCTTTTGCTACTCTCTTTATCAACTTCCTTAGCACTCAGTTGTCCTTTCATTATACAGAGCCTCCTGGCTTTGTGACTGAGAACTGATTAGCTTCATTTTGTCTCAATTGTCTGTCTCCTTAACCCTTTTATTCCAACCTTGTTTTCTGGCTACCTTTCCTTCATGGTTCTGTTTCTCAGTCCATTGCCTACGCTGCATCCATCCTCTGGCTGACCTCCCCTTTCCTATGTCATAGGGCTGCTTCCCATATAAGGTTTTCTTCATAGCCAAACTAACAACTTTTCCTACCCTCACAGAAGCTGGACTACAAACTGGTCAGTATGCCTTGAATAACTGGACATTCTGTGGCACCACACCAGCCCAAATTGTAAACAATAGAAAACTTACTGCCACAAGTGAAAGGCAATATAGACAGTACAGTGGTACCTCGGGTTAAGAACTTAATTTGTTTTGGAGGTCCATTCTTAACCTGAAACTGTTCTTAACCTCAGGTCCCATTTTAGCTAATGGGGCCTCCCGCTTCCACTGCACAATTTCTGTTCTCATACTGAAGCAAAGTTCTTAACCCGAGGTACTATTTCTGGGTTAGTGGAGTCTGTAACCTGAAGCGTCTGTAACCTAAAGCGTCTGTAACCCGAGGTACCACTGTAGTTGAGAACTACAGTTTCACCTACAAACATTCGTTGATCAAGTAGAGAAACTCTCCTAGCTGTGCAATAAGATGATAGAAATATGTAGGATAAGCACTAATAACTGGGAAACACTGGCCTGTGAGCGCTCCAAATGGAGAACAGCCTTTACCAAAGGTGTCATGGACTTTGAAGAAGCAGGAACTCAGGGTGAAAAGGATAAACAAGCTAAGAGGAAGGCACGCTTGGCAAACCCTCACTGTGATCAGCTCCCACCTGGAAACCTATGTCCCCACTGTGGAAGAAGGTGTGGATCCAGAATTTGTCTCCACAGTCACTTACGGACTCACTGTTAAGACCATTCCTTGGATCACATTTTCCCATTTTCCTTCTCATTACAGGAAGCAGGAAGTAATCATCTTAATTCTTTAAAAAAATTATTATATGTAAAATTCCACTTTTAATGGTAAATTGTAACGTTGGCATGGTAAAGATCATCCAAAGAAAAGGAAAAAGTCATGGGCTGAGAATCTGGTTAATATGTAAACTCAAAAGTCTTGTGTTTTTCAGGACTTTGGATACTATTAGGTTGAGCCAGGGTCGTGATCATGTTATAATATACTGGGTTACTGTTTGCTATTAAATAACCTGTTTTTCTATTCCATGTTTAGCAAAATAGTTTCAGTATGGAACCCAGACTTAGCCTTTTTGTTTTCCAGTGGTAAGATAGTTCCCTGAAAAATGATATATAAACAGATAATTAGCTACAATGCATTGACGACAACGGTGTTTCTGTATTTTAGCTATAAACTAGTTACTTCACTGGCAGTGTAAAGACTGTCAGAGATGACGCTCCATAGAGAATGTAAAATGTCATCTTACTGAGTTTGTTCAAATGACTCCAAGAATACAAGGCATAAGGCATCATTGGTCCATCTAGCTCAGTATTGTCAACACAACCAGGCAGCGTCTCTCCAGGTTCTTAGGTATATATCTATTTCCAACTCTACCAGGAGATGCAAGGGACTGAACTTGGGACTTTTTGCTCCACCACTGAACTATACAGCACCTCCCCTTAACTCTGGCCAATGCTGGTAGATCTCTGGGCAATCATCTGTGTGGGTTTCCGACCCACAGTAGTTCAATAACAACAAGACTCTACAGCTCAGTATTAGACTATTAAAATGAAGAAAGCTGGGGGTGGTATTTTTGTGAGAGGACTTAGCCCCTGTTCTGGTGAAAGCAAAAAGTTAATAAACGTATTAGTAAGTGTAAGAGCTCCCCTTCCTGCCTATCTTGCACCTGACTCCAATTGGTAGATCTTGGAATTTAAGTAACAAGCAAGGTAGATCCTGCAGTCTACATATTCCTGCAATATAACATTTCTGATATATTTTCTGTCACACCACATTTTGAAATGCTGAATATAACAAATAGTAGCCTAACAGCCCTCTCCTATGTATATTTGCTTGGAAGTAAGTCGAACTGAGTCCACTAAGGCTTATTCCTAACTAAGTGTGCATATGATTGGAACCGTAAGTCATATTACCGGTATCCCTGACTATTTTTGCAAAAACAATTTGGCATTGCTAATGCCCAACCATGTTATAGGATTTGCTTTACGGTTTCAAACTGACTTGCCGCAACTGCTTAAATTCTCCCACACGAATGATCATGGAGCCATGGTATGGAATTGTATACAGTGGTACCTCGGGTTACAGACGCTTCAGGTTATAGACTCCGCTAACCCAGAAATAGTACCTCAGGTTAAGAACTTTGCTTCAGGGTGAGAACAGAAATCGCACAGCAGCGGCAGGAGGCCCCATTAGCTAAAGTTGTGCTTCAGGTTAAGAACAGACCTCCAGAACGAATTAAGTTCTTAACCCGAGGTACCATTGTATGTTGCAAGAAAGAACCACACAGGTACATGCTCTATGCTTCAGAAGTACAAGAACAGACATGCAGTAAGGGAGCTGAGATTCTAATTGGGAAGGTGTCCAAAGCACAACATATAACTAAAGAAATTAGCATTGAACTTGGGAAAAACTCCCTTATCTATATCAATATGTTGAAATGTTCACATGATGCAGTAGTGTTTTTAAATTAAAGTTGTGCAATACCTGTCTACAAAACACACTTACTCCCCGTTTACTCTGGGGCACATCATTATAAAATAATCTCTGTGTAGGGTGTGTTATGTTTACTGTGATGTGAGATGTGTAGCACCAGTGTTTTTCACGTAACAAATCAGTCAGCCTGGGTTCAAACTGGTGTGTTCAAATGACTTTAAGATTACTGTATCTTCAGTTTCTAATTATGACTTTGTGCTGGCCTTGAAGGTGGAAGAAGTAATGGGGAATCGCCACAGTTTTGAATTTATTTCAAAGTTTTTGCTGCCATTCTAGCTCCCTCTAGAGGTAGTTCATATCTTTTCAGGCTTCATACTTTATCAATGCACATAACAGTAATCCAAATGATGGCTTACTGTGAACAAGAAAGTGTAATAATAATAATAATAATAATAATAATATTATTATTTATACCCTACCCATCTGGCTGGGTTTCCTTAGCCACTCTGTGTGCTGGTGCCCAGGGAGAAAACTGCAGCCGCTTTGTTTCCCTCCAGCTCTGCTGCTGCACATTGCAGAGCACAACCACAGCACTGTCTAGGATACATATTTATGTACCTATGTTGTTTGTATTGCTACTGTTTTTCCCGTAAAGGGAGGTCTTTGCAAAATCGCCTTTTCACTAAATACTCTAGAAACAGCTCTGTATCAGTATAGTTACTTCATGTTTCTTTAGAGTATATTGCCTGCTGTTCATCATCAAGCTTCTATGAGAACAAAAATTCAAATATTCTCATGTTCACTCACACCTTCTCACTCCTCTCTTCTCCTCATACCCAATGACTTCTTTTTCTGCTTTGACCATTTTGTTGGAACTGACCAACTACTGGCCTCAGTCTACGCACAGAGAAGAATGACATGGTAGAATACTGAAGTACTAGACTGGGTTTTAAAACTTCAGAATGCAGATGCTCCTGCTGCATATTTGTAATGTCCCCATGCTTAAACAAAATAAGAAAATGGTTGCAATTTAAAACAAACAAACAAACAAACAAACACCACTGCATATCAGGATATTCTAGCCCAGCCTACTTCTTGTGGTGTTAGATTTTACTTACCAATAAAGTTTTGGGTTGTTGTTTTTTTACATAGGAGCAGCATTCAGAAATGGTATCCCACACCTCCACCATGAAGTAATATTATCACTTTTCCATCTCAGGTCATTATCACCTTCAACCATCTCTTTTTGCTTATGTGCGGATCAGGCCTACAGTTAACTTCAGACTATGATTAGAGGGAGGCACATGGAAGAGCATACAATTCTAAGGCTTGGCCATCTAATTGCCATTATTTCTGAACAAATACATTACATGCACATTGGTTTTACCCGTGGACTCAACATAACATCTTTGTACAGTTCAGGTCAGGTTAGAATGGTTAGAATCCTCCATTGAGAGTTCCCAAATAGATTCCACACAATTTTTAAAAATTATTTTAGAGATTTGTTTTATAACAAATCAGATATTCCCCTAACGCTTTCAGTGATTATTTTCTTTATTTTAGCCCTGCAACATTACTGGCTTTAAAACGAGATGTGAACCATGCAAATACTGATCCCACTGTGAAAGCTGTAGTGATTTGTGGAGCAAATGGGAAATTCAGCGCAGGTAAGAGCCTTTGAACTCATGATTGTGTATCACCTTTTTTCTGCTGCTGTTAAAAATTAATATGTTTTGCAACTCTGCACTGGTACCATGGATTTGCCTGGAATCAACTGTATTCTTAGTATTTACTGAAAATAATCCTGGCTAATTAAATGCCAGTAGACTTATTCTGAAGACACGGGTGGCGCTGTGGGTTAAACCACAGAGACTAGGACTTGCTGATCAGAAGGTTGGTGGTTCGAATCCCCGTGATGGGGTGAGCTCCTGTTGCTTGGTCCCTGCTCCTGCCAACCTAGCAGTTCAAAAGCACGTCAAAATGCAAGTAGATAAATAGGTACCGCTCCGGCGGGAAGGTAAACGGCATTTCTGTGCGCTGCTCTGGTTCTCCAGAACTGGCTTAGTCCTGCTGGCCACATGACCCGGAAGCTGTACGCCGGCTCCCTCGGCCAATAAAGCGAGATGAGCACCGCAACCCCAGAGTCGGTCACGACTGGACTTAATGGTCAGGGGTCCCTTTACCTTACACTTATTCTGTACTAGCCATGCTGTACTAACAAAAGTAGAGTTTTGGGTGCCTTTCCTTATATCTTGTGATATCTATTGATCCTTTAACAGACCATTATTTTTAAAGGACCATAAAGTGATTTTTCTGTAACTAAAATAGAGAGCCATTTCTCAGAGTTCCAAGAACTGAAGACTCATATTCATTATAGTCTCTGATGACATCAAACATTATTGTTTTCCTCTCATTCACTAATCTAGCTGTTCCCAAATATTTTGGTATGATGATTCATAACCCTAATTTACTTGGTAAGGTGACCCATCAGTTTATTGTCACATGAATTTTGGACCATTTGTCTTCAGCAGCCATCAATTTCTGGCATTCCAACTGTAAATTTGTGTATTTTGTAATTATAACTTGAGGTATCCAAGCAAAAGTGTACTTAACATTCCTGATAATGTGGATTTTGTTGAAAAGGTTAAGGAAAGTGTAACCCCATCCAAAGCAGGCAACTTACAAACTCAGGAGTGCCAGCTTGGCCCCACAACCATAGGTGCCCGGGGCTGTGGCTGCCATGCCGCGTGTATGGCCCTGGCACCGAAATTGGTGAGTGCTTGGGCCTTTCATGGAGAATTTTGTGGGTGCTCAGGCACCCAGGGCCCCAGGGAGCCAGCACCTATGCACCATCTCATATAACCCTGCTACCACATTGCATCTTCATAGCCTGACTCACAAAGATAGGTACTATCAAATCGCAATAGCACAGGCATTGCCTCATCAGCTAGCTCAGGATATTCAGTAGCTAGCAATTGAGTAATGTGAGTAACATGAAGCCAAAATTCAGATCACCTCACTTCCCCAAAGTTATCTTTGAGAATCATGTCACGACAGTTCACTGAGTTGTTGTTCATTTTGCACAGACAAAGGCAACCTTGTAAGATTAGTTACACATGGGTTTCACATTCACCCAAACTTCTGCTTCTTCAGCAGAAAAGTAGCGGACAAATGTTGGCGGAACAAACTTCAGATCACCCTTGGCTAAACTATTACCTAACCCTGGCAGCAGATCCGGTGATGGTTTGCCAAAAGGTGCTCATCAGAGGCAAGCTGTAACAGTCACTCAAAACAACTCCCCAAATGAGCACTTTGTGGCAAACTCTCACTGGATCTGCCGCCAGATGCCAGAGCAGTGTTTTAAAAAAAGTAAGACTCAAGCCTTTCCTACATTTGTTTACAAGTGACAACAGAGCATTATAATATGCCAACAAAACAAAATGCTGTTAGAGGTTTCATCATACCAGTTAAGTATTGAAAGCAATAATTAATTTGGGTTTGCTTATAAAACCCAATGACCCACTTGCACAGGTTTGGAAAACACTGCTCTAACCTGCCTTTATCTTGACCTTGCTTATAATGGCTACATTTGCCTATGTTAAAGTTTACGTTTTGTTGGCCCTTTTGTGATTAATTGGATCTGTTTGCATCATTGACTTAACCCTAGAACTTGCTAACCATCTAACCCTTGTATCTGGTTTTGTGTTAACTTCACTAGTGATTAAATTTTCCTTGATTGTCAGTAGGGATGTTGAATGTAATTGGGCACAGCAGATCAATGCAAGATCCTATACTAGAGACCCATAGTGGGAATTCTTATTGACTTGACACCTGCCTGTATATAATTTATGGAATGAGTTCTTTGATTTTGTCTCTTAAAAAGCATTACGAATGTCTCAAGAGCAGGTTCACTATCCGCTATGCAAGTGTAGTTCCATTGCTTTGAAAGACTGACCACACAACTGAAAGTGAACAAAAAGCAACCCTCGAAACCCACAGATAACCTTCCATGGAGCAATGCCAGTATCCACCCTTAATAAATTACCCACTAGATATATTACATCTCAACACAATTTTTGTAGGCTGTTTTTCTGCCATGAAATTTTGCTTTAAACGGCATAGTTTTCTGCAAAGTATGATTCAGCTAGGCTATTTTCTTCTAATTTTCATACATAAGTTTTTCCTAATAAAACAATATGGGAATTTCAGTGGTTCCACAATTACAAGTGTGTTATTTGTGGCTTCTCCATCGCCAAAGTTCTGCAGAGAGTCCCAAAGACAGAAAATGTAGGATATGCTTTCAGGAAACAATGTTTGTACACCAAATTGAATCTTTATACTTTTCACCCTTCTTGAAGTCTGTGAATCTGCCCTGTTGTTGGTTGTCATCTACCAATTTGAAGAAGGGCTAATCTGGATAGTTTATTTGAAGGGATTGTATATATATTCATGGTTTTGTTCAATTTCTTTAGGTGCTGATATCAAAGGATTTCCCAGGATAGGTCAAGAAGACATGCCCAGCTTGGGAGCAGTTGTTTCTCTGATAGAGAAGAGTGAAAAGCCAGTGGTGGCTGCTATTGAAGAGGTGGCTTTTGGAGGAGGCCTGGAAGTAGCACTGGGCTGTCATTACAGGATTGCAAATAAGCAGGTACAATGATTTTTTAAAAAACAGCTTAGATAGGTCAGCTTGTTGGAAGGGCTCCTTAATATATGTTCTCTCCATGAGTTTGAACTTGGAATATTACCTCCAACCCACACACCACCCAGAGACCTTAGAGTCATAACCCAGTTAAAGGATACCTATTTATCATTAAAGACTATGACATCATTGATAAATGAGAGTGATGTAGCTCCACATCCCCGCCCCCTCTGTTTTCATTCAGTTTTGTTTGGTTTTTTGTTCTTGGGTGCTATTGAAGTGTATGTTCTTGTTTAAATAAATAAAAAATATATTATAAACCCCAGTAACTCTCTAAACAAGCATCACAAATATCCAATCTTTGTTCCAGGCTAGGGTAGGTTTACCTGAGGTCACAATAGGCTTACTACCTGGTGCTGGCGGGACTCAACGACTTCCCAGACTGATTGGAGTACCAGCTGCACTTGAAATCATCACCACAGGTAAGCTCCTCCAGATGTGAATGCTAACCATACAGGTGTCAAGTATATTAACAGCTGGATAACTATACTGACATTACAAGATAATGAATATCTATGCAAGTAACATGTTAGAAAATGGCCGTGACAAGCACACACTATGTATGTATAAGGTCCCAAGTTTGATCCCTGAAATTTCTAAGTAATAAGATGTATATAAGGTCACAAAATTGGACATTCAGACTGTTTTGGGTGGAGTTGCACTCCCCTTAGGAATCCCTTCACAAGTCCCATCAGTGGAAGGATTTGAGCTTGCACAACAGGGCTTCCTGACTCTCCTCCCCCATGCCCCCCCCCATGACTCTGGGTTAGGGTTAGGAGAACCCCCCAGAATAGTGCATGGGGAGAGGAGAGGGAGTGATGATTCCATCTGCCAAGCTGCATTTTTGTGCAGACAGAACAACTGGAAGAGCGTGGCATTGCATTGTGCCCTATATTTCTATCCCACTTTTTAGCTAGAGTCCTCAAAGTAGCTAACAACATTTATAAATGCAACAGATACACAAAGACGCACATACTTAAAACAAACAACCAGACCCACTGGAACTGGAACTGGAACTGGCTGCAGATATTCCTTCCTGCATGGCAGTTGCTATAAGTTGGCTCAGGGTGAGGGAGTCCAAGTGGTATAGGTCCCAATCTTGTCGCTGCCTGCCTCCCTTGTTCAACTGGAGCAAACCCTGATGTTGTCTTGTCTGCTTTCCTCACTCTCTTCTTCCTTCCCACTTCTTCATGCCAGGAAGACATGTGCCAGCAACTGAAGCGCTGAAACTGGGAATCCTAGATGGGGTTGTGGAAGGAAAAACGATCGAAGCGGCCATAAACTTAGCAGAAAGAGTAGTAGGTAAGAGTTCTTAACTGTATTGGGCAGCAGCATAACACATGAGGCATGACCTGAAGCCCAGCCTTAATATAAGCCATAGACAAATATCAGTGAAAATATTTATTTAGCAGAGCAATCCTATGCATGTTTATTCAGAAGCGTTGAGTGGGGCTCCTTCCCTGGTACATAAGTGTGCATAGGACAGTAACCTTACTAAGGTACAACATTGGAATGGTACAAAGCCCTGATACACAGCATAGTTGGTGGAAAATAATAAGACTGTATTACCAAATCATAAATGTCCATACAAAAATCCTTGGTTAACTTGATGCCCTGCCAATTAACTGGTGGAGCTGTTTTATGTTTTTGTTTTTCAAATAAAGCTATAGGATTCTGAATATCGATGATCAAGGGATTCCAAAAACATTGCTTTTTTCAAAATAATCACATGACTAAGGTAGGAATTCATGCAGCCTTGGTTGCCCTTAGTTAATATAACCTTGTTCTCATAGGGGTGGAAGAGCGTTCCCTGAAGTGTTACTCCAGTTGTTCGCATTTATTGCTGATCATGGAAAATTTTTACTGGACCTTTATTGCCTTATTGTTTATTGTGTTTTTTATTTTAACATATTCAATGTTAGGTAGTATATAAATGTTGTAATTATATGTCTGAAAATAGTAATTCATGTCAGGTGTGGGGAACCTGTGGCCTTCCAGATGTTGATGGACTACAACTCCCATCATCCCTGACTATCCTTGGCCATGCTGGCTGAGGCTGATGGGAGTTGGGAGTCCAACACCATCCGGAGAGCCATAACTTTCCCAGTCCTGTAATATTTGCCATCATAGCACTGAATGTCCTCCTGTGTTCCAGCAAGGCTCTTTGCCTGGGTCTGCTAAAACATAGGAGTTACAATACCCCTGGCAAGCCAAAAAACACGGCTCAAGGCTTTGGAGAGTGTATGAAACCCACTCCCAAAAGAGGTAAACACTCCCCAAGGAAGATTGGGAGCCTTCCAAGCAAAGACTTTCTATAACCTGCACAAAACCATCTGCTATGCTGCTAATCTGGTTTTGCAGTTATGAACTTCTTTCTAGGGTTTAACCTAAATCTTTCTGTTTCCACCATTTGCAGCTAAAGCAGTTTCCATATATTTGTCTGTTTACTTCTTTGTTGATATCCAGGCATCTGCTGTGCAGTGAGTTAATGGACAAACGCCAGCAGAACCCTACAGGAGCACCTGAGGCCTGTCTGAATCACTGAGCAGCACATTCCTTGGTGCACATACCTCGTGAAAATGTGTCTATGCGGAGTCAGTGTCAACAAATGGCTGGCCTATAATTTTGGAGTCGAGCATCATTACTGCCAGTCGTAACGAAAACACATTTGGTTATAAATTTTAAAACAGAGGCACGCTTGTGACTGAGCGGGTCTCACACAGTCAAGAAACGCCTATTTTATGAAACACAAGCAAGCTTAATGCGACAAACATAACATGGCCAACCGCTGACTTGCAGCACAATCCTATACATCCCTACTCAGAAGTAAGTCCCATTGAGCTTAAGTGGCGCCACTGGCACTTACCACAGTTGGAGTAGCACAAGCACCAGATTGGCTTGGTAGCTCTGATCTCATTTCTGCCTTGTCCAATACCAGTAAGTGACCAGTAAGTGACAGCAACACTGTTGTGGGGAGGGAGGCTGTACACTCCTGCTCTGCCATGCTGGTCATTCCTGGTAAAAGAGTATAAGATTGCAGCCACTGGCTGTCATCTTGTGCATGGTTCCCTGCAGAGAACCTTATTGAGCAAGTAGCATTTACTTCTGATTAAAATATTCATAGAATTCTGCTGTTAATATATTTTTAAGCACCAGAAAACAAATTATTGAACAACTAGATCTTTCCACATTTGGCTACCCATAAAGTCGTCCTTCTTCTCTCTACCCTTCTGAAGGCAATAGTTGGCGAGACATTTCCAATGCACAGAGGTTCCAATGCACAGAGCAGGGTGACTTCAGGGTGCTGCTGGCTGAGTCACTGAGGCTGCTGTCCTATACGCACACTTACTAGGGACTGGGAGAGCAGTTTGATTCAGTTCACATTTTTAGGCAATCCTACTAACTTTGCACTTTCTGAAACAGTATGTGAGTTGAAACAGACGTTCTTCAAAATCTGCAGTTCTCTACATTTTGCCATGCAGCTCTCCAGCCAAGTAATGTTTACCAAAATGCACATGCTAGGGTAAAGCATGCATTCAAATGCATATATTCAGGAAAATATCATACAAAAATTCATTATATAAGGGAAAATAGCTTTGCAAAAATGTGAATGTTAAACAAAATTGCATACAAAGATTGCCTGTGAAGTGGAGGGTTAAAAGTCTTTTTAAGTCTTTCATGAAGACTTAAAAAAACCAACCACTAACTGACTTATGAACTGATGAAGAAAGGTGGTGAACTAAGCTAAAGGGTGGGAAAATGAGAAACTAGGAGAAACCAAAATGGACAAATTCATCTATTCCTACTAGGGAATAAATCCCACTGAAACCAAAGAGGCTTGCTTTTGAATAAACATGCACAGGGTTGCCCTGTGATCCTGTTCCACAGATTACTCAAGTGGTGTGCAACTCGCACCTCTGTAAAAAGGAGGGAGGAGTATTTTCAGTTCAGCTAGATGTCTCGTGAGTAAGGAACAGAAAATGTATTTGGGGAGAATATGTTTGCATCAGCTGTTTTTAACATCACACTATTCGCTTTGTCCACCTGATGGCACTAAAACCTGGAAAATAATGCTGCTTTCAGCATACAGCAGCAAATACCGTCAATTTATCAGAGCTCCATAGTTCTTTGTGTTCATGGAGGCAGCTACTGTGCCATTGTTCAGATGAAGTCTGAACAGTGGCTGCCTTTTAATACTAGGCTTTTTGAAGGAAAGATGGAGCACAAATGTAAAAAAAAAATAATGGTTACCATTTAGCTGTTGGTAATTCTACCCGTGACACAACAAAGTTCGGAGAGTTTCAGTGCCCAGTAATTTGTATGTCTGAGGAAGGTTTCCTGCAAAGCAGACCTTACTGTAATTATGTTGCCATAATTTTTCAATGGCATTTCAAGCAGAGTTTGGGGGAGGTGAGCCTCCAGCTCTTGTCTGGGTGGGTCCCCCGCCAAAAACCCAAAAACCTCCTCATCTCCTCTTAAGAATCAATTGGAAAAGATCAGTAATTGCTGACAAAGAGTGTGTTTGCATCGGGTTTGGGGTGGGGCTCTGATGCACTCCTATGGTGCACATTTCACTACCTACAGTCCACAGATGGTCCAGATGTCACCTATGGCAGGTAGGGACAAGTATAGGTTGTGGTATCTGTGGAATTTAAAGTAAGTGGTAGACTGTCACTTTGAGAGGATTACCTCCTGAACATTGATATGTAATAGATACGATATGGCGTAAAACAGGGGAGGGAAACATCTGGACTGCAGGCACCGGTCCCAGTTTGGCCTGTGAGGCTGTTTCCCACAAACCATGCCCACCTACCCTGTACATGATGTCAGGTATGGGGCAGGTATGGCCATGGATAGAAGGGACCACTTGGGAAAGGAACGATTCTATATTATAGAATAGATGTACTGAACTTGAAGCAGGAGAAATCCCACTAGAAACACTTAACTGGTTTTTTTTTTAATCTTTTGCCAACACCACCACAACAGGAATCTCTCCATCAAATTAGGCAAGTCCAGACAAGTACTTTTCTTCAAGGGACCAGATGATATATGGCACTTCCTGGCCATTCTTGTGTTCTCACTTTCCAGTTTCTTCGGCTTCCAGGGACTCAGTTTCCCTATGGATTGCCCTGCCTTTACAGGGAATCCTAAATAACCAGGTGTTTGCATGTTGTAAATGAGCCTTTTGATATATGCGGTTGAAGTCCTTGTACCATAAGGTGGTATACTAAAATACCTGGATATATTTTCTCATCTTTCTTTTTGTAAAGGGAGTTATGTCACATAAATAATACAATGTATATTATCTTGGCTTTTTCTATATTGACAGTAACATGAACTACAAAGAGATCATCCTCATTATTATCAACAATCATGACATTATTTTCTCCCATCTCTATCTCCTAAACAAAAGAAGAAAGAAACATGCAGGGTGTTTCAGAGACTGCTGTTTTGTAGAACACTCAAAATATGTGATCTAGGATTGTGATTGGAATTTAAAATGTTGTGCATTTCTTAGGTCAGATTTCAGGGGAGATGAAAATATTTAATATGGCTCAATTTAGATTGCCTCCATTTTTAATATACTTTTGGAAAATGTAGGATGCTTAAATTCTTTACTGCAGTGAGGTTTTGAAATTCCTCTCTGCAAGCATAAGGGTTAGAATATCCCTTTTTACACTTTTTTAAAAAAGTGTAAATAACTATTAAATACTTTTAAGTTGTAAGTTCCGTTGAACTTAGTGTTTACAAGTAAACATACTTTAAAAATACTTATCTGGATTCATTTCAGTCTGGGTCAGGCACAGTTTTAAGACCAAAACAATCTTGGTCACCCTGATGTATCCTATGTTGAGAGCAGGACATGGAGAATATGGCTCTGCTTCTGCTTCTCAATCTGTCAACAGCTTTTGATTCCATTGACTATGGAATCCTTGTAAGGTTAGCAGTTCAAGTCTGTGTGACGGGGTGAGCTCCCATTGTTCTGTCCCAGCTCCTGCCAACCTAGCAGTTTGAAAGAATACCAGTGCAAGTAGATAAATAGGTACTGCAGCAGCGAGAAGGTAAACGGCATTTTTGTGCATTCTGGCTTCTGTCACGGTGTTCTGTGCAGTTTAGTCATGCTGGCCACATGACCCGGAAAGCTGTCTGTGGACAAACACCAGCTCCCTTAGCCTGAAAGTGGAGTTGAGGGCCGCACCCCATAGTCAAATTCAACTGGAGTTAATTGTTCAGGGTCCTTTACTTCTAACCTTTACCTCCTGGACCAACTCTGTGGGATTGGCACTGTTTTACAGTGGATCCACTCCTACCTACAGGGCTATGTCAAGAGAGCTGCGTTGTGAGACTGTGTTTCACCTGCAGACGGACAAGAAATTAATTTTAGTTTATCAGGAAAAGATATGGACTGACTAGTTTTGTCATCTTGATTTCTCCGTCCCTACAGGACAGCCGTTGGGCCCTCGCAGGCTCTGCCAAAAAGAAACTCCTAAGCTACCCAACATGGAAGCCGTTCTTGATGCAGCTTTTGTGAAGGTGAAGAAGCAGGCCAATGGGTGCCTCTCGCCAGAAATGTGTTTCCATGCTGTAAAAGCCTCTGTGTACCTGCCATTTGCAGAAGGAATTCGCAGAGAAAGGGAGCTGTTCATGTTCCTCTTGACTTCAGGACAGGCTAAGGCACTGCAATATGCCTTCTTTGCACAAAGGTTGGTGGAGAAGTGGGCATTGCCCAGTGGAGCATCTTGGAAAACTGCAGTCCCTCAGCCAGTCCGGAGAGCAGCTGTGATAGGTAAGACTATAGGATTCCATGAGTTAAGTTCATTTCTTGATATCTTGTTCTCAGTAGCACTTGTAAAGTTCCTATTCATTCTTAAGCGTCACCTAATTTGCATGCAGGAGATCCAAAATTGGTGTATCACCTCTTCAGTCCTGGCTTCCCTTCTCAGTAGCTGCATCTCTGTTTAAAGATCCTGGAGCTCAGCCTTCCTTTGAATCTCGTTGCCTTGCTTCTAATTAAGGTTGCCACCTCTAATTCTGGACAACTTGAGATGCCTTTTTGTAAATCTCCCAATACAGGGGGAGAAAAGGAAACCTATGGCCCATTATCCCTTCCTCTTCTGTGATAAGTTAAGTAGAGGGAGATTGTTTTGCTCAGCCGGTGTAATAATAATGTATTGACTCTATGAGATTCTTGTGTTTGGAATGTGATCTTTGAAAGTAGGTCTTCTGCAACAGATGCAGAAGGTATTTTTGTCAAGTGTCATGCGGAGGTGACAGAAGGTGCACCTACACCTACACAGCCCATAGAAGCTCCTTTGCTTCTGGCCACCATGGGTAAAAGTTCAGCAAGAAAAAGGGGCTGTCAGGCTTGGGTTTCAAAGACTGCTTTCCCCTTGCACAGAGGCTGTTTACTGAAAAGTACTTAATCATTTGAGGATGTATTCATCCCAATATGTTTTGTTGACAAGTACCTTTTAAGAAGCTTTCATCTCATTGTAGCGAGCCACTCTTCCCATTTTGCCGTCTCCTATTTCTCTCACACCCCCCCCAAATAATGCCTTCATTAATTTTTTATACAGGCAGCTGAAATAAAGCTCTTTGATGCACTGCACAGATCTCTCAACAGTCCTTTGCTGTTCTGCATATTGATCGGTATACTCAGTGGGAGACAGCTCTCTAAGTAGCCCAGCCCTCAGCAATGCCCCTTTGATTTTTAAGAGACTGCCAGCCATCTCATCCCTCCTCTATCCCTCCCTCCCTCCCCAGTTATTAGATACAGGATGTGCTTTGCTGCAGTGGGTGCAACCTGAGCTCTCTGCAAGCTCACCTCAGCACGAGGTAGCCTTGAGGACTGTGGCTTCATATGCCCCTTTGCTTTTTCCATTTTGCAATCTTAATTAACATTCTCTGCATGAGTCATACCCCTTTAGAGCAAAAATCTCTATGTCGTCAGTTACATCTGCCAACAAGCCTGAACTCTCAAGTTGCTATGAACTCATCCACTGGAGAACTGACATTCATGTTAAGCAGCATGGAGCCTGAAGCTCAGCACATGTGGGAGGGATGTGGTTTATTGTTCAGTATGCAGACGTAAATGTGTGTCGACCTGATCTGCATTACCACATGGGCTTTGGTGGGAACAGTCTCCATTTTGAGTTTCATGGGAAATCATAAATGACAGGTTTGCTGCTAGACAAGTGACAGATATGCAAAATGGATATGTCTGTTATGGAAATACAGATACAGGTCAAAACAGAAATATTAATTCTGAATTATCATTGGAATGGAATGCAGCAAGAATAGCTTGCCCAGAGGAGGATCTTACTCCAAGCTGATATTAATCTAGAGAATATGTAGTAGAAACACTAGCATCTACCAACATCTGTTCCTCATGTTGGCACCTTATTTGCATATTCTTCAGAGACTACAAAGAACTTTGAAATAAACCAGCACTTTAATTGAACATTTACAATCTGAATATGTTTCAATACATTTTAAGCCTACTGAATTTTCTGTAACAAGTTTTCCATCATTATACATGGGTCACTGTGCGTTGCTACAAACTTGCTTCGCTGCTTCGAGCAAACTGAATCTGAAATGCTTTTAAGGCAGTGTAGGATGAATTTTGCATGACTGACTGCTGCTTGAGCATATCTGGTGCCCAGCTACCTAATAAATTGATTTGGTCCTCTTTTGCTGTAATATACAGAAGCAGGGTGTGGGTGTTAATTTGCAAAGATAGCATTATCGAAATGAAGGTAACGACACTTGTCTGTGGTGGTTGCAATATATATAACACCGCCTCCCCTGCCCCTGCAAAACTTGAATGTGATCCAAGTCTTCTCTTCATTGCAATGGGTAGTGCTTCATTTGAGTCTGGGCTTCAGTATTAGACCTAAGGCTCTCTTTAAAGAGCCAGTGTTGGGCCCTGCCATTTGAATCTCCATTAATCTTCTGCATTAATTAGAACTGGTTTTCTCAGATTCTTCTGAAGCTAAGGTTCTTCTGCGTATAAAGAGATTTTTCATCCTTCCCCACTAACAGCCAAATCTGGAGAGATTCATAAACAAGATCTTGTGTGTGTGTGTTTAAATAAGGCGGAATCGTACCTATAGATATCACTATTATTCAGATTTGGTCCACAGCAGTGGGCGGCAGAGTTTTTTTAAAACAATTTCCCCCATGAGCTCCCCCCACAAAAAAGCTGTTGTGTGCCCCATATGGGGAAGTATACAGGCCCCATGCATACAGGGATCCAGCTGGAAATCAACCATACAACTAGAAAATAACTACAGTGGGAACTGAGGTCAGATCAACTACGTAAGATGACTTAGAGGGGGAAAGGACTTTCAGAAGTAGTAGGAAACATTTAAATAGAGACAAACATGTTCCAGCTTTTCTTTTAATTGTCTCTCTGATCTTGTAAACTCTTTATTCAGCTATTTTTCATCCCACAGTATACTAGAGGACTGAGCCAAATTGCTACCTTGTTTGACCCGCATTACTAGGAATTGATCTTGTTTTACTGACAGCATAATTTCAGCTATTCTTCATAAAGCTGCTTTAGATTAATTTTTTAATCCCTGTGGTTTCTATTTCTTTGTCCAGCTAAAACAAGTCACATTCATAAACCTGATAATATGGGCCATGAGTTTTTAAAATAATTAAATCACTGTACAGCAAAAGTGTTAGTCACATAGTTTTGACCCTTTTAGCAAGCCTCAGACATTGACAACTGGTTCTAAATATTGTTTATTACAAAGTTTCCTCATTCTGATCTTTGGCCCCTGCAATACAAAGGGATTTTGATCTGATCCTCATCAGGTAGCTGTCCCAGAACACAGATTGAGTAGCTGTCCAAATATAAAATCAGTGGGCTGAAACTAGAATGTATTGAGCATTTAGCAGGCCAGCCTAGATAGCTGTGTCACTGAGGAAGCACCATGTGTAAGGCTCCATAAAGCTTTGAGCAGAAGGCTTTTGGGGAACATTGACTAATAGCAATTTGATGCAGCCTTTCTAGAATAAATGAAGATCAATAGGTTTTGAAAGCATGCTCCACATGCAAGAAGGTAACCACCACACTTCATGACAGAAAAGATGGTTAATCAGACAAAAAAGGTCACTTGATTGTGAGGAATTCCTATTCTGCTACAACTTTTTCTTGGATGCATTCTGATATGATGGTACACCATAGTTTGTATTATGAACACAAGCATCCAAGAGCCTTAGGCTTGCACATTTCCTCATCTTCTTCTTTCTATAGGTGGAGGAGACTAGAAGTATCTAGTGGGGATTTGCAGCCATTTTGTCCAAACCTAATAACTATGATTTGTGTAAAAATATAGTTTACTGGAGTTTGGCAAAACAGCAAATATGAATTGCTACATAGCTTATCTCCTCTACTCATGCATAGAGGAAGAAAAGGAGAAGAGTGCAATTTCTAGTATACTATTGAACAGACTTCCCTATGAAATGCATAATCCCAACTCACTTGCACAGACATTAACGTTGCTTTCCATCTTCAGCCTTGCAGTAGTTTCTTTTCAGGATGGTAATGTTAATTCAAATGTGGATCTTCTCAATGGTTTCCCCCTCAATTTATTTGCGTATATTGTAAGTTAAAAGATTGCCTAATAAGCTCCTCTCTGTGGAACATTTCTAATTATTCCTTCTCTTTTCTCTCCCTGCCCTTTTTATCACAAGGTTTAGGGACAATGGGACAAGGCATCGTGGCATCTCTGGTCAAGGCTAAAATTCCTGTAGTGGCTCTTGAACAGGATAAAAAGCATTTGGAGCTGGCTAGAGGAACCATCACAGCTCTTTTAGAACGGGAAGCTTTAAGAATGCAACAGAATGGCCAAACACTGGCTGCCTCTATGCCTGGTTTGCCTCAGTTCACACTGGATTTTGGTGCACTGAAGGATGTAGATATGGTTATTGAGGCTGTATATGAGGATATGACTCTGAAGAAGGAAATCTTCCAGAAGTTATCAGCAGTCTGCAAACCTGAGGCCTTTCTGTGCACTAACACCTCTTGCCTTGATATTGATGAGATTGCTTCTGTCACAAACCGCCCTCAGCAAGTTATTGGCACCCACTTCTTCTCACCAGCTAATAGAATGAAGCTACTAGAGGTAATCCATGGTCAGCGAACATCTCCCAATGCCATTGCCACAGCCATGAGAGTTGGCAAAGCTATGGGCAAAATTGGGGTTGTGGTAGGGAACTGTTTTGGTTTTGTTGGGAACCGAATGCTGAATTCTTACACTGAGCAAACATACTTCCTCTTGGAAGACGGCAGTACTCCAGAGGAAGTAGACAAAGCTTTGGGGGAATTTGGTTTCAAAATGGGTCCCTTCCGTGTTTCAGACCTTGCTGGGCTTGATGTGGGCTGGAGGTCTAGGAAAGGGCAAGGCCTTACTGGACCCAGCCTGCCTCTTGGCACACCTCCTCGTCAACGAGATGGAAGACGATACAGCCCACTCCCTGATATTCTGTGCGAGAAGGGGAGATATGGCCAGAAAACTGGGAAGGGTTGGTACCAATATGATAAACCCGGGGAAAGGGTAGCAAAGTCAGATCCGTGGCTTCATAGTTTTCTTGCTGAGTACAGAAATGCTCATGGTATTTCAGTACGCACCATTAGCCAAGATGAGATCCTGGAACGCTGCCTATATTCCCTTGCCAATGAGGGTTTCCGGATATTATCTGATGGAATAGCTTCTTGTCCAGAAGCTATTGATACCATCTACATCAATGGCTACGGTTGGCCCAGACATAGGGGTGGTCCCATGTTCTATGCTTCTGAGGTAGGGTTGCCTACGGTTCTAGCAAAATTGCAGAAGTATGCTGAGGATAATCCTGACATACCCAAACTACAGCCCAGTGCCTTTCTGCAGAAGCTTGTAGCCTTGGGCAGCCCTCCTCTGAAAGAGTGGTCATCACTTGTGGGAACTCAGAACAGCAAGTTGTAATTGCACTGCAAGCAGTCTGGTTTTCCCATTCCAATATTTTTGACTGTTCCAGTCCAGACTAAAACACAGCACATTGTAGAACACTGTCAGTGTCTCTTCTGATTCTAATACAATGTACACATCTATGTATCCTGCCTATGTGAGTGAAATATTGCTGCTTGCAGCGTGCTTTTTATCATACCTTCTTGAAATTTTGCCTGAGGGTCTCACTTGAAAACATTATACTTTCATGTCTAATGAAACTACTCAGTCTCTCCATGAGATCATCATGGACCCTGGCTTAACAGCTCAGAAAGGGAAGGACAACTGAGGGGGAAGGCACAGAGTTGAAAAATGCAGTGTATGTGACTTTCTGCACCCACTGTTTTTTTCCTCCATTTCTTCGTTGACTACATTTAAAGTCGACCAGCCCATGAGGCTGGGTGAGGCAGCCACTTCAGGTGGCCACCCCCTCAAGGGGTGTTACCCCCATTCTGCCGCCCAGCTTTGCTGCTGGTCTCCCTGGACTCTGGGGCAAAGAGGGACTGATGCCAAAGCTCTGTGGAAGGCTTCTCCCCCTGCCAAGTTGACAAAAGTAGAAGCGTTCCTCCACCCAGCTTTGCCAGTGGGCAGAGGTGGAGATTCCCCCCCACACACACCTGGTGGTGCAGTGGGGCTTTGCGCTGGCTTCTCCTGAAGGGAGGAGCTGATGCAAAGCCCCGCTGCCTGGCAGGAGATAGTTCCAAAAAAATTCAGAGGAGGGTATCTCAATTCCACCTGCTTCTGATAGCTGTCATTCTGACCTTTGCTCTTCCACAGTTAATGTGTGCTAAGCAAAAAGGACCACTTCAAAGATGAAATGCAGTGAAGTGGATAAACACTGCTGAGGAGAAATGTGGCTGAGGAACAGAACTCTCAGCCTTGGAAAGCTCAGTTCCACCTTCTTACACATTGATGGTGGCCAATGAATCTCAGCAACTGATGCTTCAAAGGCTCTTCAGTCTAGCGTAAACAAGTGCCTCGTTCTTGCTGTCTGCCTTTTCTAAACCAGTGTCTCCTCTCCTTTTCAAACCTGTGTGATCTCCAAATTCCTCAGTCTGTTTCTCTTACATAATTTGGAATTTCTGTATCAGCAAGTACAGAATAAGTGCCTTCAGGAACATTGATTTTAGGGCCTGCTGGAAATAATGTATCTCAGGGATTCCATAAGCACCAATGGTGCCAGCCAAAAGGGCTTCCAAGAGTGCTGTACCAACCTCTGAGTCTGAATTACAGTGCTGAGGCCATAAGATTGTCCAAACTTTTCTTCTCAGATTAATTATTTCTGGAATCCAGGAAATCAAAAGTAAAATCACCAAGATTCAGCAAGGATTTTTCTCCCTAAATAAAGCTATTTTAATTAAGCACATGTGCCTTTCTACAGTGTCCTTTCCTGATTTCACACTCAAAACTAGTATCACAAAGCACATAGAACAGGGGCTGGGAATCACCAGCCCACTGGCCAGATTTGGCCCACCAGGCTGCCTCATTTGGCAAATCACACCAGGGGCGAACTTGGGTCTTTGAAATTTCAGCGGCTCCTGGTGCGAGGCCAAAATTTGCTGCTTCCCTCTCGCCTTACATACATCATAGTTGCAACACCATGAGGTGCCCTCTGGGCTCAGCACCCAGTGCGGTGGAACTAGTTATGCTGCCCTAAATCTGCCTCTGGTTACTCCCAGGGCTTGGCCAAAGGGGGCTGTGCAGGCATTGCCAATATGGCAGGCCTTAAGATGCTGAATTTTCTATTCATGATTATTCAGAAGATCTGGTGACATGTATTGGTTAAGAACATTAGACCAGGAGACCTGGGTTCAAAACCCCACAGCCTTGAATCTTGGTAGGTGAGGTTTTAGTCAAACGTATCTCATGATGTTTGGAGAATAAAATAGAAGGGAGGGGGACTGTGTATGTTCCTTAGAGAATTGGTGGGATAAAAATGTTCTAAATAAATTCAAACAGTGGATTTCATCCTTCTCTCATGCCACTCAACCTTGAAATGACCACACCCTATTGCATTAATGTGCTAGCCACAGGATAGTAACTAGAACTAATATGTTACTTTCTCAGAAATAGAACCAAACTATAGCTCCTCCCTCCATAATGGGTTTCAGTTTTAAGTAGTTTCTGAAATTCCTTTCCTTTTTCTTAAACCTAGCTGCCTCCTTACGGTCTCCACATATAGCCTGTAAAAGGGTTCTTGTGCTTGTTAGACTTTCATGGAAGGAAGAATTTCATGTGTTGTGGCTTTTCCCATCATTGTACTCTGGTGAAGTGGGAATTTGCACCAGCTAGAATCCTTCTGCACACCCCTTTAAATTATAGACAGCCTCTCCGGGATAGACTTGGCAACCCTTTGCCCCGCTTGCCTGTCTGGTCCACACTTCTCTGACTTCCAACACACTTTCCATTCTTGGCAACAGCGCATAACCATTCTTAGACCTACTGTAGGTCCTGCATAGCTTGTCTGCAGCCCCATCTTTTTTCTTGCCCCAGTTTTGTTCACATCAATGCCTTTGCTGCCATTGTTTCAAGTCCCTTATTTTCCTGCCAGTGCCTAGTTGGTTCTGTCTCCTAAAAGCTGCCCTGGCTCTCAGTCAACATCCTGCATTGCTCAGTGTTTCGTTTGTCCCTGTTCCTCTCTTGCCAAAATACTAGAATTTCTCATGTCCTTAGACACTGTGAGCTTTTTCCAAGCTCTTTCCATCCCTGCCAACAGCTCACAACCATTCCTTGTCTTAGGCCTTGGACAGCTTGCCTGTAGCCCCATCTTCTTGCACGGCCCTCATTGGACATAATTTCAGCCATTTTCACTGCTTGTAGTTGAATAGACTCTGAAGGATGTTGGCCCAACAGAGAGTTCCCCACTCAGTCAAGCAGCAGAAGAGGAGCTTGAGGTGAAGGCTGAGGTGAGGTAGGAGTTTAGGAGTGCGTTTCTGCTACCAGTGAAAGAGCCTATGATAACAGCTTTCTTGGATGTGGCATCGCCATGTGCAAGATAGTGCTGCATATGAAAAATTCACTAGCTATTGGTACCACAGACTCTTTTCCTTGCCAGCCTCAGAAGAGCAATGAGGCAGTCTAGGTCAAGGCAGTACAGTGGTACCTCGGGTTAAGTACTTCATTTGTTCCGGAGGTCCGTTCTTAACCTGAAACTGTTCTTAACCTGAAGCACCACTTTAGCTAATGGGGCCTCCTGCTGCTGCCGCGCCGCCAGAGCACGATTTCTGTTCTCATCCTGAAGCAAAGTTCTTAGCCCGAGGTACTATTTCCGGGTTAGCAGAATCTGTAACCTGAAGCATATGTAACCTGAAGCGTATGTAACCCGAGGCACCACTGTAGTAATGGTTAGGTGAGAGGGGTGAAATTCTGACACACATAAATCCAGATTTCCTGCCGGATGCAACAGCTTCACCCTACTCATGACTGAGGGCCAGTATTTTGCACTAGCCACACAGTTCCTCCAGAAGTCACAATATATAAAACCAGTGCTTACACCTCTAAAAGAATAATTGCAACTTATATTACAATACACAGCTAAGGCTTTTTAACAACACATCACAGTGAAAGATTTAGGCAGACAGCAGTGTGGTTTAAAATGATGCCGTACTACAACAGCTCCAATAAGTCTGTACCACAAGTTTCCTCAGGCGTTACTTTATTTGTTAATGCTATAATTTGTTTAATGACATATTTCTCCAAGTGGTGGGAACTTTTGCTATTGGCATTGAAGCTCCTAGATTCTCTCTGCACAAATACACAATATTTATGCAAGCTGTTGTGGGGTTTTTTAAAGATAAGAGTTAAGCCAGTGCACTCTTCTTCCATTAATGGACTAGCCCACAGGGATCTTTCCAAAGAGTGGAAGGGGGGAAGGGGGGAATCACATCAGCATGCTAGGGGAGAGGAAAGCCTTGACTTTTATTGCTGTCCCCAGCAGTACTAAATCTCCAGAGGGAACCTAAGTATTACATTCATGATGGCACAGAGACGAGTTTATACTCTGAGTATGAGGGAGTACAGGAAAAGGCCGTTCAGGTTCTGTCAAAAAGAGTTTTTAATAAATTCCTTTTAGGCAGTGTTTATCCACCACTTTTATTTTCTCTCAGCTCTGAAAGGAGTCTGGCAGCTGCACAGTAGTGCTTGCAAAGGAGCAAGTGGAAACAGCAATTTAAATGACTCTCTTTCTCTCATCTGCACACAGCAGGATTGTATTGCGCATCTAACTCTGGCCGTATTGCAAACTGCATGCTATTTTTGCTGGCCTTTAAAAGGAAGGTTAAAATCATGCCTGCACTGCAAAATATTTAATGACGAGAACATAAAATGAATTGCTTGTATTTTGACATCTTTGCCCCAGCTGTGACTGGCTCTTACTAATTATCTATTTTCCTCTATGAAATCTGTCCTTGAAAGCAACCTTCTTAGAATACCACATGCTTGGAAACGATGGGAAATTCTTTCTGTTCATGCTGTGATTTACGATTAGGTGGATCTGGCAAAAACCTGGGCTCACATATTGAATCTGTTAACACACATATGCCTTGTTCTAGCTGCTCCAAGGAAAGAATGTCCAGCATATTATCTGCACCACAATCCAGAGACTGGTGGTAGATAACAAGCTCACTTTGAAACCAGCAATCTTCCTTAGCACTCTGGTTTTGAAGAATCTAGATGCAAGCTATACATTTAAAGCACGTTCAATGGACATTAAAAGCACACGACTTCCTCCAAAGAATAATGGGAAGTGTAGTTTCCCCCACAGATTTACAACCCCCAGCATCCATAATAAACTACAGTTCCCGTGATTCTCTGGGGGAAATCATGTCCTATAAATGTATGTTGGATGTGCTTTAAATGAATGGGTTGGAGATGAGGCATATAATCGCAGCTCAAGTACTATTGTCTTTTCAAGTACACAAGCCTATTCACGTTCCTTCCAGGAATAGGCAGCATCTATTCTCCTGACAGTTTAATCTTCATAGATGCCTCTGTCACATGCTTGCTGTTTCCTTTAACAATACTTATTACCTATATGAGTGGTGTGGAATTAGGAGTATGAAAATGTTGATTCCAACCAATAAGTCTTCATTGTCTTATACTGTACTGGCATAAGATCACATTCTCTGTTGCCAAGTTTATCTTGGAAAAAGCAAATATATGCATTCACAAACACAAATGATGTGATTACTTCTACTACCTCAAAGAAGCATCTGCTTTAGTGCTTTTCACAAAAGTATGATTACCGAGGGAGAAAAAACCTCTCCCCAAAAAACCCTTTGTTATATCTAGTGCATAACTGCATTTATTTTGGATGCAATATTGAAGGCATTTTGAGTAAGCTAGGAAGGAGATGTGATAGAAATGTAGAACTGTATAGCAATTCTGCAGTAATCCTTTAAAATTACTACTTCTATTCATATTCATTGCAAATTTTAAAAAACTGAATAAGATGGCCAATATAACCCAACCTCTCAAAAGTGGAAAGAAGAAAAGAGAGAGAGATAAAATACTGAAAGTAAGCAACCAAGTTTAGTAAGAGGCTAGGGACCTGGTACACAGTGTTGTGGAGTGGAATTTTCCTGTTTCTAGGATACTCCATTCCATTTCCCCTCCCACTCGGATTTTCTGTTCTCTCTGTCCCTCTCCCCCCAAACTCAGTCTGCATTCCATGGCTGCAGGGTTATTTTGGGATCCTCTCCCTAGTTTTTCTTATTTTGTATGCCTGCAATCCTTAGGTTCCCATAAGATTGCTTTGTGTGTGTATGTTGATGTTTTAGCTATACTTGGAGAACTGAGATTGCAGATAGTATAAGAAAGAAGGGAAAAGGTAAAGTATAGTAGAAGTTATCAAAGAAAAAGAAAAATAAGATACAGGAGAGAAGTAAAGGGAAATGCAGCTGCATGGGTACCCAGATACCATGTGGAACTATTGCTCAAAAATATGAAGATGATCTTAAGAACATAAGATGGGCCTGATGGATCAGGCCAATGACGCATCAAGTCAAGCATCTTATTCTCACAGTGGCTAACTAGATGCCTGCGGGAAGCCTGCAACTGTGGTGTAAAGGTTAGAGTGTTGGAGGATGACCTGGGAGACCAGGGTTCAAACCCCCACTCAGGCAGAAAGCTAACTAGGTGACCTCGGGCTAGTCACCATCTTTCAGCCTAATCTACCTCACAAGGTTGTTGTAGGATGAAACAGAGAGGAGACCCAAGTACACAACCTTGAGATTTTTGGAAGCAAAGATGGTATATAAATGTAATCAACACAATAAGCACATTCTGCCCACTTGTGGTTCTCAGCAAACAGTATTCACAGGCATATTGCTACTGGCAGTGGAGGCAGCACATAGCCATTGTGGCTAGTAACTGTGAATTGGCTTCTCCTCCATGAATTTGTCTAGTCCTTTTCTAAAGCCATCCAAGTTGGTGGCCATCACTGCCTCCTTTAATGCCATTGTATGTACAATTGGGTTCCGTGATACTTGCTCCAGGTAGGCATCCAAGCTCAATCCAACCTCAGTTAATTCCTGAGAAAACGTTCATAGAAGTGTGCTGCAAGAGTAATAGGCCAGCCTGTGATACCAAATCTATTAAGAATTTAAAAGTGGCCAAATAAACATTAAGACCTAAGGAAGGCAAGCCTGTCACATTATTAGACACAAACAAAACTGCATATGTGCAATTCGACCTACTTAAATTGATAGCTCTACCACACAGCTATGTGAAGAAACCACATTTAGGCAGCTCCGAGCCCTGTGGTCAAATATGCTCCCACCAATCAGGAGTGGGGAATCAGTGGCCCTCCAAATGTTGCTGGACCACAACTCCTATTATTCCTGACTATTGATCACAGTGGCTTGGGCTGATAGGATTTGGGTTCCAACAACATCTGGAGCATGAGGCACAGGATCAGGCAATCTATCACACCAAAACACTGCTCTCTACAATGTACTATTAGGACCAAGACAACCAGCATTGCATAGTTGTCCTTTAAAATAATTTATAAGAAAGGGTAATAGATTCTACCCTGTTATTAGAAGAGTAACCAAAAGCCTTCTGGCATTTAAGAAATTAGAGAGACAATCGACCTATGTTTCCCCTGCTCTAGCCTCAGATCATTTACACAAAAGAAGAGGGTTTCATGTCACAAGCAAGATCCTTGTGGTTGGCTGTTGCTCACTGGCAAATAGAACTTAATGCCAACGATCTTACTGAACAATGAAAGACAATTGTGAACAACTTCTGTGCTCTCTCCATATGTCATATAAAAAGTTAATTGCACATTACTGTCAAAACTAACTCCTTTTTCTTCAGTCCTTTTTATCTCATCTGTATTATTTTTGAAGTGGTGCGATCAGAACAAAACACTAAGTACTGTATCCTTAATGTGGATTTATTTGCTGACCTATCATTTGCAACTTGCCTAATAATTCCTAACACTGCATTTGCCCTTTTCATTGCTGCAACACCACCAAAGGCAAAAAACTCCCTTAAAGTGCTTCACACCTCCCCCCACCCCGGCATTAAAGATACCATAGTCTTTCTGCTCCATTGTATTTTATATTTAACGTTGATTTTAATTATTGCTTTATGTTGATTGTATTTTCAGTGGTGGCTGGTAACATTTTTACTTGTTAGTACTGCAACCTTGCCATTTTTATCGCAATAGCACTACCACAACACTTATGTAGGAAATTGGACCATTACACACATTCTTAATCCAAAAGTACAGTTATGGCAAAGAGGTCCCTCCAATGTGTCTCTAAACAGAAAAACTATGGGATTGAGCAGACTGCCAGAAAGGCAGCCCTGGCAGGAACGCTCTTTCTATGAGGCCTGTCCAGAACAGCCATTGGACCGATTGGACAGAGTACAGGAGATTGACAAAAATGCCTCTGTAAGTTCAAGGAAGTAAAAATGTGGCGAGGACAGGAAAGAGTGCGTGGCTTTGAGAATCTGAGAATCTGACTGTGTTGCAGTCAGAGGCACCAAACTGTAAAGAAGATTGCGGGGGTCAACATGAGTGACATTGCATGTGCGATGTCCCAGAGGTAAAAGGTAAAGGGACCCCTGACCATTAGGTCCAGCCGTGGCCGACTCTGGGGTTGCGGCGCTCATCTCGCTTAATTGGCTGAGGGAGCCAGCATACAGCTTCCAGGTCATGTGGCCAGCATCACTAAGCCGCTTCTGGCGAACCAGAGCAGCACACGGAAATGCTGTTTTACCTTCCCGCCGGAGCGATACCTATTTATCTACTCGCACTTTGACGTGCTTTCGAACTGCTAGGTTGGCAGGAGCAGAGACCGGGCAACGGGAGCTCACCCCGTCGCGGGGATTTGAACCACCGACCTTCTGATCAGCAAGTCCTAGGCTCTGTGGTTTAACCCACAGCACCACCCACGTCCCTGCCCCGAAGGTATTTGGCTTCTAAAAATGTTTTGCCATTAGGAAAGCCAAAGAGAGGGGGCTCTGTGCCAAATGGCAATTGAGAGGAGCCCCCCCCAGCTCAGAATTAGTTAATAAGACAAAGGCAGAGTTCAAAGAAGAGTTTTAGGGTTGGCTGTGATGTGACCTAGAGGGAAAAAGGTGACAGGTGGTTCATGGTTAAAGGAAGCAAGCTGGAGAGAGGGTCAGAGCAGGATGCCTGATTTCCATTTGCATCCAAGGCTGCAGCTATGGGAGAAACAAGACCCACTTGGGATGTTAATGCTGAGAATCCCTCCATCATAGGCTCATGTTTTGTGTGTGTGTGTGTGTGTGTGTGTGTGTGAATAAACCATATACTGTATCATAAAGATATGCCTCATTTTCCAAAAGAAAACACAAACCCTGGATAAAGCATCTGGAACCCCTGGAATCTTGCACCGCTGAGAGACCGGGGTGGCATGCAACAGTAGAAGGGAGCTTTCTGAATGCCATTGCATGGCCTTTCGGACAAACTCCTGCTTTGCCTTCCTTTTATTCTGGAACGCACTGAGCCAAGGAGGGAGCAATTATCAACCCCACGCAAAAAGAAGCTTCATTCATACACGCTTATCAGCTTATGACATATTTATACGAAATCAGCTTGATTCAAGCCACCCGCGTTTATTATTTAGTGTATGTCTTGCAAAGCCGACGGGGGAGCCCTGCTAGGAGCATTTGCACGTCTATAACAGATGTCCTGTATCGCCACGTTGCGGATTTGCTGCTATATACAAGCCCGCAGGGTCCCGACAGAGGGGGTGGCGAGATCGGAGCGGCGTGGAAAGGTTAGCCGGGAAAGCGGGGCCGCCGCTAGGTACCAGAGGGAGTGTTGTCAGGAGAGAAATGGTTGCCTCTGACTAAATAAAATTAAAAAAAAACCAAAAACCCGCCCACCCAAAGATTCCCAGTCCGTGGTTGTGGAAGCAGCTGACCACGCATTCGCTATGGCTTCCAGCAGCAGGGGGTCTGCTGGAGCCCAGGGTGGGGGTGGGGGCTTCCTCTCCCTCCCTCCCTCCCCAAGGGCAGGTGAGGCTCCTTGGTAACCGGTCCTTCGAGAGGAGAGAGGCCCACCTGCCGCTCTGACTGGCTGCCAGGGGGTGGGGAGCGGGCCCCGGGCGCCCCTCCCTCCCTCCCTCCCTCGCCTCAAGCAGGGGCTGCCAGCCCAGGAGCCGCTGCGCGTCCTCGGAGGGCTGGCCGGTCTGGGTCTCTCGGGAGGATTCCGCTCCCTCTCCCGCCCTGCTGCCGCTCACGAGGCGTCTGGCGGAGTCCCCACGGCAGACTTCCCTTCTCTCCCTCACTCTCCCGCTCATTCCGAGCCCCACCCTCCCGCCAACCCACTCACCCGCTGGAGGGGGCGGGCTGTGGCGGCCGAGGCGGAGCCGGGCGCCAGGCCAGGGTGGCTCCAGGCGCGGCCGGGCTAGCCCGTGGCGTCGTCCCTGCTGGCCAGAAGCGCCGCTCGCCGCCCCGCTGCGCCTTGTGTGCGCGCAGGCGGGAGTGACTCGGCGGAGGTGCGCGGCTCGGCGCGGGCTGCAGGTGGCGGCGGCGGGGAAAGCGGCGGCAGAAGCAGCAGCAGCGCCATGAGCGGGACTGGGGCGGCGGCCAGCGCCGCTGCCGCTTCTCTGGCGGCGGGCAAGAGCGAGAAACTGGACGAGGCGCAAGCGCTGGCCCGCAGCTGCGCCGGGAGACCCGACTTCCAGCCTTGCGACGGGCTGTCGATGTGCACCACGCACAGCCACGGACGCTGTTTCCGCCTGCACTGGTGCTGCCACCTGGGCTGGTGCCACTGTGAGTATTTTGGGGGACCAGGAGGAGGGGGAATGGCGCGGGATGGGCGGGCCGCCCGGGCGAGCAGCGCTCCTTGGCCCCTCGCAGGACTTCCAGAGGCTTCCTTCCTTCCTGCAAGCGCAGGGAGCCCCCTGGCTGAACGCTGCAGAGATCCCTGTCGAGGCGGGGAGTGGCGCGCCGTTTGGGTGGTGGTTTGCTAGCCGCGAGGGAGGAAGAGCAGGCGAGCATCCCCAAGCCCCGGCGGGGGGGGGGGCGGTGAGAGAAGCACACCCTATTTGCCCCCCTGGGATTCGGATCCTGAGGGGGCAGGCAAGCTCTTGCCCGCCTTCCTTCCCTTCGCCTCGGTGGCTCTGTGGTGCCCGGAGGGCAGGATTTGACGGCGAGATCGATAGTGGCTGATCGCATGGCACCCGGAACACGATGGATTTCTCCATCCTCCCAGCCTGCATGTATCTGATGAGGCAAGAAAGGGATGGGATGGGCTCGCTGTGAAGCTGTGTTAGTGGCAGTAATGGGTAAAAGGTGGAAGGGAAGCAGAGGGGTGCGCCTGCCCTTCTTCTCTGTTGGCAGAACAGAACCACACTCCCCTCTCTCCCCGCTCCACGTATCTTTTTTTGTTTTAGGGGGGCTGAGAAGCAGCAAACCTCCCATATAATCTTAGCCTCTGTCGCTACAAGAAGGCGCTCTCTCTTCTATCTCTGATAACCGCTGGAGTTGTAGATGCCTTGTATGTGAACACAGATGTTCAGGCAGGAAATGGAGCCAACATTCCGTGGGATGGGCTGCACTATTTGTAGGTTTTCCTTACTGGATTCTGTACACTAAGAGTGGCTCTCATAATGTGTATGAAGTCGAAGTTACATCAACGTATAAACACTAGTGGTTGAAGCAAGGCGTTTAGTTTGGCTGTTATTTTTATTGTATTTGTTAGCTGGTTTTCTTACAAAGTGAGGCTGAGTGACTTAATGCTAAAATCAGTTAAGAACCAAAAAAAACAACAACCCCAAACCCTAAAAAGACAGTAGTGCAAATAAAAGGCTAAAAACACAGCTGAACAAAAAGGCAGGACTACAGGTCCTGTCCTACCCAAAGAAGCCATGCTACCCCCTTTCAAATCAAGAGCCAAAAACCTCGGTAAATAAGAGAAAATTCTTTGCCTGGTGCCTAAATCTGGATAAAGATGGCACTAGGCGTGCCTCCCTGGGGAAAGATCAGAAATACCCATCAGAAATACCTTCTTTTGTAGGCTTGCTGTCTCAGGCTAGGCTTGCTGATTCATAGTGGTTTTAAAAATTGGTGGTTTCTGTTATTTATTCTCTTATAGTATGGAGCTGCATTTAATAGAGCCTGTAATCTTATTGCTATCTCGTTTCCAAGCTATTAAAGGTTCTTCCCTGGCAACCTGAAATTTAATCTATGTCCAAAGAATGCTTCTAAAATGTACTAAGGAATGGTTTAGTTCAAATGTATTCATTCTCAATTAAGGTTTTGGTTTTTTGCTTTAGTCATACACAACCCTCCCTTGTCCAAGCTAGAAACACCTTATTGAATGATATGAGGTGACCCAGAGTGAAGGGCAGGCCATGCAGAAGAAAATAGATGATAAACGATTTGCTCTTTCTTCCCATTTTTATTGGTATAGTTGTCATGAAACTCAGTGCCACACCATCTATCTGGAACAAGTCACACAGCAAATCTCAGTTGCCTGATGTGGCCATTTCATTATCTACAGCAAGAAAACTGAGAGGTAGATGCATTGGACTTGTTACAACAGAGAAATTGCATTTCAATTTTCTGCTTCAGCATCCTGTTGTTCCCATCCAAGTCTCTGTGGGGTTTTCTCTCCACTCACAAAGCATCATGACTCATGTCCCAGTCCTTGTGACCTGAGGAAATTTATATATTAGGGTAGGATTCGTTGTCATTTTCTGTTTTTAAACTATATCTCATTTATAAATTTAGAGGATTGTTGTATCTCCTTTTGAAAACTGCTTGCTCCACAATAAATTGTCAAGCTATCAACTAATGGTGTGTACTTCTTGTCCAAATCTATATTTTCATACGTTTTAATGGCCTCACCTTTCCCTTTCTTTGATCTCATTGGGTTTTGCTTTTCATCCCTTCATTTTGGAAGCCCTAGTGATGCATCAACTTGCTAACAAATGGCAATAAAATTAAAATTCACTTGGGACTGTGGACATGGTTAAGATGAACTACAACTCCATGCCCTGAGTTATATGGACACCACCATTCTTAAACCCACCTTACCCCTTTGTGCTGTTTCAGCCTACAAAATTAGGCTGTTGCTGAGTAGAACAGTGCTCCACTAAAGCTCTAATGATGTCATACACATTAGTGTTCACTAAATGCTCTCTAATAATGTTTTTGGTTTCCTGTTGGTAAAGCACACTGTTAAGCCTTTTTGAATCTGCTGCTTTAGTGCTTCTAATCAAGTGGATAAGTTGATTCTCCCACTTGCACATCACTACGGTCACAGCCTGATCAGGTGCTTTCTCCGATATCAGGATTGACCAAGATTTTGTGAAAGCATTCAGTAGAAATACTCCCGTCTGTAACTGATCTTAAAGAGCTCTTAGCAATTTCCAAGGACTCTGTGCAGATAACCATTAAAACAATGCACTCCTTTCCATTTGCAGTGGAGGGAATCCAGCCAAAGTTATATCAGGATTGGACAGAATGGCACTCGGAGGGCCAAACTGAACATTATGTTAAATATATATTTGCATTTGTTTGAGTGTTGTGTTTTTTTAAAAATACTGTATTTTTTCAGTGTATAAGACGGGGACTCAAAATTCAGAAAATGGGGGGAGATTGCCCCCCATGTATAAGCCCCCCTTTTAACATTATTTTTTAGTAAATAAACCTAGTCTTATACACAGAAAAGTAGAGTAATAGCTCTGGGCCTCCTAATTTGGATTGCGACTATAGCCCTGGCTTAACCCTTTCCCTCTGCTCCATGATCCTAAAGAAAATTCCCTCAAAGCTATTTGTCCCAGGAAGACATATCTGCAGTTGAAGGGTTTTGTCCCTGCAAGTCAGAAGGTAACAGCACTCATCCTAGACATGGAGAATTAATGAGTTGGTACTAGTTGCAGAGTGACACGGGTGGCGCTGTGGGTTAAACCACAGAGCTTAGTACTTGCCGATCAGAAGGTCGGTGGTTCAAATCCCCGTGATGGGGTGAGCTCCCGTTGCTCGGTCTCTGCTCCTGTCAACCTAGCAGTTATAGCTGCAGTCCTATTCACAATTATTTGGAAGTAAACAAATCCGGGGACGCGGGTGGCGCTGTGGGTTCAACCACAGAGCCTAGGACTTGCCAATCAGAAGGTCGGTGGTTTGAATCCCAGTGACGGGGTGAGCTCCCGTTGCTCGGTCCCTGCTCCTGCCAACCTAGCAGTTTGAAAGCATGTCCAAGTGCAAGTAGATAAATAGGTACCGCTCCGGCGGGAAGGTAAACAGCGTTTCCATGCGCTGCTCTGGTTCGCCAGAAGCAGCTTAGTCATGCTGGCCACATGACCCGGAAGCTGTACGCCGGCTCCCTCGGCCAATAAAGTGAGATGAGCGCCGCAACCCCAGAGTCGATCACGACTGGACCTAATGCATCTCCAGGTAGGGCCAGGAAAGGCACCTATCTGCAACCCTCAGGAGCCTTTTGCAGTGAAAGTGAAACACAGGTAGGGCCCCTCTGTCTGGCCTTCTGAACTCCCTATGCTACACCTCATAGGGTTCTCCATACTCCAAAGGTCCTTGACCTCAGTCAATGCCTCTTGCTTCTCTGGATGGAGGATGTGAGTAAATATTACATGAGTTGTTTCACTCACTTTTGCCTCTGGTTTTGCCCACCACTGGCATGCAGCCCTCCAAAGGTTGCCCAAAAAGGAATGTGAGCCTAGGGCTGAAAAAGATTCCCCATTCCTGGTGTAGGTAGTGCTGAACTGGATGGCACAGTGGTCTTTTAGAAGGCAGCTTCCTTGCTTCCAAATGGACCATCTCTCATTTCTAGGAGATTGCCCCATTTATTAGTGCTAAACCAATGATTTCTTTGTTGACATACTCTGAGCCTGCTGCGATTTTTTGCCAATGGAGAAACAGGGCTGGAAAGGAAGTGGAAAGCAAAGTTCTTAGGGAGAAAATTGAGTCATTATTGAGGACATAAATATCATAGGAATCCATAAGATCACAAAGGCTTGGCTAGACAAATTATATATTGTAAACCACCCTTCAATCCTCAGATGAAGGGCAGCATAGAAATGTATAAAATCAAATAAATACAAAATTAGGCAGCTGAACGTCCTTATCTAGGGGTATTGATGGTCCCGCTGCTCATCAAGGATTCAGTCCCCACCTTTGGAGTTCCAGAATGAGGTGGCATGTTTATTTTCAGTCTTTGGTGAAGGAGCAGAATTGTGACACAGCAGTGGGCACAGAGCAACAAGAGTTCAGTGGCCTGCAGAGTTCACCCCACACAATTCTTCCTGAACCTGCTCGCTTAGCTGATTAGTCCCTAAGTGAAAATTGGCAGTTTATGATTACAGTATTTAATGAAAAGTTCCACCAGTAGTAGCTGTCGTTTTCCGTCTTTCTCTACTTTGATGCCAGCATTTTTTAAAGGTAATTTAAGGTCCACCCTGGATTTCTTCTTTTTTACCTCCAGGAAAACCAGTGCAAACAATTATAAACTCCTTATTAATTTAGCACAGGCTCTGTATTTGTTTCCCCTTGGGAATATTGCATATTTAAATATATTATTACCTAAGAAATGGCTTGTAACTTTGAGATGTGGGAAATGGGTAATCAGTACATATATGTACACTACTAATGTATTAAAATTAATTGGCAGTCTTACTTTCTCAGATTGATGTATGAGCAGATTTTAGAAAATAAAAGCAATTTTCAGTATACAACATGAGCAGCCATTTTGCAATTATTATTTATGGCAAAATTATAAATATCAGTTTTTGTAGCTTCAACAGACCACAATTTTTGGGTCTCAATATATTGTTTTCCTATATATTTAATGACAAGCAGTATCATGCCTTTCCATTCTAACCTCTGGCCTTTATGTATATACAACCTTGGCAAATAACCCATATTGCCTACCCCTAGTTATGTGAGCAAGGAGATACTGAGCATAGCTAATTACAATTGTTCTTCTTGGTAAAAAAAAAAAAGTGACTGTTGCCTTGGGAGCAATTTTATATTATTGCAGAGCCTCTCAATTTTATTTTTGTGTGCTTGGGAACAGTAAATGGTAGCTATGATCAAGCTGGAACATACTTATCTTTTCAATGGGCAATGGAAAGAGACTTCATAGGTGGACCGAGGGCTCATCCACACTCCACTCGTCCCATGCCTAGAAAGCATAGGGCCAAGCAGTATTTTAGATTGGGTCCAGATGTTTGAGATTTTAGTCTTGAAAACATGATTTTCTGGATAATGTACATTTCTGCATTATTATGAGGGGCACATCAAATTGTCTCAGTGCCACATACACCTTCCAAGATTGATTGATTATGTAATATGGTGTGAATTTTGGTAGCATTGACATTGACTCCCATAGCTCTTTATGCTTGCTTAAATAACAGACAATGGAAAAATACAAGTCTGTTAAAATGTTTTTGTATTTTTCTTCATTTTATTCCTCCTTCTATCCCTTGGGCTCAGAGCATCTTATAGTATTTTTTTCTTAATCTTAGTAGTTGTGTCCCTAAGGCGTCTAAGAAAATCAAACAATTTGGTGATAAACGATACCAACTGAAATAAAAATAACATTGTACATAGATATCATACCATATAACCAAACCATTACAACCAATTTATCACAGACATTCTTAGTATGTGAACATAGTTGTTAGTGGCAGGCAAACTGAATGTGATAGCTATCATGTGTTCACTATCATTTCCACTGGTTGTGTAAATTGGCCCTGAGAAGATCTGTTCCACAGCTGACATCTGTTTCTTTTATCTCTATGATGAAGAGAAGGGAGGCCTGGATTGCTCAAGTGGCAGGCATGAACAGATGTGGAACAATATCAAGGATTAAAATCAAACCTTCACATAGAAGGATTAATTTTGCACAGTGCATTGATTTTTGCTTCAGAACTCTGTAATAGTTTTTTTCAATTAAGCTCTCTCTTTTTTTGTAAATGCAAAACAGCAGGATGCATCACACACATTATACATCTGCTGAAAAAGCTTTTTGAAATATTATCTGATATTGACCTACTGGTGCTAGATGACCTTGGGAAAGTCAGCTAAAGAGTAGACTTCTAATTCTGAACATATGACTGAACTCTGATTTTTTTAAAAAAAGAACCCCTTTTTATTTTTGTGAGGAAAATGGAATGGCCAAGTGAAATCCAGTCATTATAGACATTTGCCATTTTTATTAGACCATAGCTCATCATTCTCTTTAAGTTTCACAGGCATCAGATAGTAATAATTTTCTACCAGTGGTACACTAGTTGGTAAGGGATATTTTGAGGACCGATGAAGGAGTAGCTGTGATTACAGATGGTGTTATGCATGTGCAACATTGTCTGAGTTGATAATTTTCTTGAGAGTTTATGGGCTTTGTCAGAGTTCATGGTTTTCAAGGCTAGCAGGGACCACTCTGACCACATAGCCCAACCCAGAGAGCATCACAGAGTAATTTATTCACTTGAGGATATTTATTACTACTAGCCAGCCTGACTCACTTGTAGATGAATTATAGTGATGCTTCATTCAGGCTGCAGTATAATATGCCACCTGCACTTCTTCTTAATCTTTTCCGGTAGTTAATTATCCACACTGTTCAAAAAGTGGCATTTCATTTCTATCTTGATTTTAAAAAATATATAATTTCACATTCCGCTCCTTGAATGTATCTTTAAATTTTCTGTTTGATATGTTGAAAGAGCCCTCTACAATCAAATAGCATCTCCTGGGACAAGTGTTTAAAGTTTTGTAATCAAGTTGCTTCTTCTCTTGTGATTAATCTGAACAGATTGAGGTCATAGTCAACCCTGTTAAAATTGTTAGCAGAATCAATCACAAAACGGGAGCTGATAACTTTATTGTAGAATATGAAAAGAGGGGTGGGAACTGTGAATTAGCAGAAATATATGGATTTTCCACTTGAGAGAGTGGCACATCATCAAAATCTTAATTCAAGACAAGTTTACATGCCTTTGTGTGGATAAGGGTGCTCTCAAGAATTCTTTGGCGTATTTGTATACACACGTTTCTCAAAATTGGACAAAAGTGCAAGTTCTTGTATTACAAATTGCAGGGACACTACTGTCATTGAAAAATGTAACCAGGAAATATGACCTTGCTCTAACCCTCCTTTAAACTCTCAGAATTGGTCTTGGCTTTTGGGAAAGCATTTTCTAATAGAGTAGAAAGGAAGCCTTGGGTTTAAATTGCAGTAACATGGCTTGATATTAAATACCACAAAGAACTTCTGAACTATAAGAGAGGCTAAACGATGGAGCGAGCATTTTGTGGTTATGGAGTCTTCATACTTGGAGGTTTCCAAGGAAGGTTCATCTAGCATTCTTTATATTACATAGAGTATTCTAGCTTGGGGAAGGGATTCTTGACTAGATGACCTTCTATACCCCCAATAATTTGTAACTTTTTCATGACTTCCTATTCTTCCTGTAACTAACTAACTTGAATCTCATTTGCATTCATTATTGGCAAATAATGAATATGGGGGTTGAAGACCTCAGAAAGGAGGCAGCATAAATTGTGACAATATGTAATGAATTGGAATTTACATGACATGGATGCCTCTTTGGATCCAAAGGGGGGGGGATAACAATGAAAATGGCAATGGGCTCAACATAGACAAAATCATTCCCTACCACAGGATTTTGGGATAGCCACTGGCATAATGGGCTTTGAAAAAAGGACTCTGCAAATTCATGCAGGATAAGTCCATCACACTGTAATGAAATATCCCATGTTCAAAGGCAATTGACTTCACGTTGCTAGAAGCAAACCTCAGGAGCATATTATCGCCTTCATGTGTAGGGTACACATGTATGATGGATGGTAACCATTGATAAAAGAATGTTGGATTAAGTGGACCTTAATCTGATCCAGCAAGTGAGTTCCTTTAACATGTGTGCCTTACTGAGGGGTCTGGAAGTTCCCAGGTCTACTTTTTCAAGCATTTTTTGCTATACAATGTTGACTAGACTGTTGTATATGATAGGAAGCAATATATCTTGTCATTATGCATATGAAAGCTCCATCTTATGAGGAGAATCCTATCCTCAAAGATTTGTGCACATAACATGGAAGCATAAATGGTGAAAATGCATAATACCTCAGTTAAAATAATGGCTAAGTATGTAAAATTTGGCTATGTGTATGTTTAGAACATGAACTTGTGGTTCACCCTCGGGCTAAATATTATAGCTATCTCAATTCTTGGAAATGAGCTGGAGACTTAGTTTGTTGAGTGACTGCTCATATTACAAATTCCAGGAAGCCTTAGAGGCCCATAAATCATCTGCTTACCTGTGTTTACACCTTGCTGCCAATTTAAAGCTTCATTTATAATCCATAAAAGGTAAATGGATCCTGGAAATAGGCAATACAGTACACAAACAAAAATAGTCCAGTGCATCATTACAATTCAGTTTGACTAAACAGATGATTAGATTAAGCATGTATTGAGCACCTATAATTTTGAAAGTTTGGAGTTATATTTCCTGGTAAAAGCTGGTAGTATTGTCCAGTTGTGAGTTTTGTTAATACATGTGTTATGGACCTCTTCGCTTTTTTCATTTGGCAGGAGATCAGCAGTTACAAGCTTTTCTATTTTATTTTGGAAAAGACCCAGATAATCTTTTCATCACCTAAGTACTACAAAACATGGCCAGTTCCCTAGGCTTTATTGAAATGCTGCCATTGCTAAGGGCATTTGTTGCAAAATGGTTTACACATTTAGCCTGTAAATCTAAATGCACCCTGCTAATTGAGAGATAAGTTGTGGAAATGTTGGAGCTAGCTCTTGAAGGAAGGGTAGCACAGAGACAAGCCTCAAACCTGCGCAAGTAATATGGGCAGAATTATGGCTCATTGAGATACTGACACTTTAAATTGAAGATCTAGTTTAAAATGCTGTCTCCCAAATATCCCCATCCATTTTTCTTCTTCTACCTTACACCTTTTACTTAATCTTCAATCTGTTCTGGTTTTTCTTATGTTGTGAACAATGTACCTTTTATTTTCATAAGTGTTAATGTAGCCTCGTGCATGTGATTCTGTTGGGTAGGGGGCTTAATTGTCCCATGTTTTGTCTGTGTCTTTTCTTAGCTCAACAGCGGAGTCTTCTCTGTAAGCTTTTCCCAAATTGGAGTGTAACTTTTATTACTTTGTAGCTGTTTTCATTATTAAGTATCCTTTTTGAAAAACACGAACCTCCAAGTTAATAAAGGTGGTGATTGGGGGGGGGGGGACAGAAGCTGAAAGCGCTTTTCATATGTGAGCAACATTACAGAGGTTCAAAGGTAAACTGGAATGCTGGGATCAATAGAAGCAGAAAAAAGAATGCTTAAGCAAATCCTCTGTTTATTTCACGGTTAGATACCTTCAAATTAGCAACAGAATTTGATGCTGTGAGGCAGGGATGCATACAGACTGCTCAATTAGTAAAGAACTCTTTTTGAGCTCAACCTATTGCCTTGTTTCTAACATGTTTTGCTGGGAATTTTTAAAAATGTAAATAAACTAATATTTTGATGAGTTTAACAACCAGCATTGCAAGGGGTTGGTCTAGATTACCCTTCCAACTCTTTAATCCTATTATTCAACGAAGACATTCCTCTCTTTAAAATCAGTGATGTGATTGGAGAGGATTGGTGTTTGATTTTAGGATAGCATAGACAGAGAGTTGTGCCCAAGTTTTATTGTGTAGATCCATTGAAATTAATGGAGCTAAATTAAGACATTTCCATTACTGTCAGTGAGTCTGCTCACTGGACCAACATTAGATACAATGCATAAGTTACAGATAGATTCTTACCTATCTTCATGCACATATTTGAGCTGTCACCCAATTTTTAAAAATCTGAGGCTACAATCCTATACTGTATATAAATGGAATTAAGTCTCACTGAGTTCACTGGGGCTTAATTCTGAGTAGACAAGTATAGGATTGCATTGTCTGTTAATTGTAACCTAATTGTATAGGTTAAATCTACTCCATCTTATAAGAGGGGATTCTTTCTTTTGGATGGTGTTTGCATATGACCTTCTTAAAGTATGTGTGTTGGCAGTGGGAACCAGAATCCCCAAGCTTAATATTTGCCATGATGGAAGGAAAAAGTTTCTCACTTAATATCTTCTCATTGCTTTAATTCCTAGGGAAGTTTTTATGCCTCCTGCCCCAGTAGGTACAAAACAATAGTATCCTGTCCTCTGTACCACTCATGTTTAATCTGGTGTTAGAAAAAGCATAGATAGGAATACAAAAGCCAAAGTATGTGTTGAATCTTATATAAAAAAAAGGAACAAGCTGTTACGCTTCTACTGGTTACAGACAAAAAATATATCCTCCAATAACTGTCTAAAGGAAACTGGTAGAGATCTGTTTACAATAATGAGGTAGCAATGTAATTGCACATTAGTGGAAATGATTGATTAGGTTGATTATACCATGTAAGCAAATGTTCTTTTTGCTGCAAAAAGACCTGTCATGTCTGCAACAAATGAGAGCTATGAAAGTCAACTTCTTCTACTTCTGGGGAAAAAAACAAAAGCATTGTATGGAGCTCTTGATCCAAATATGGGAAACAAGTCTCTACCCTGATTTCCCAGAATGATATGTTGCTATCCGGTATGTTGCTCTTGTGAGGGCCAAGTCTTCTACTTCTTCCTTAGTATACCATTTTGCAAATGCAGATACTGATTTACTGCTCACAGTTCTCCTCCTTTGTGCCTTTGTGTATGTTAACTTCTTACAAGCACTGTAGATGGGTCTGGCCCACAAGAGCAACCATAAAATTGGTATCTTTTAAAGTGCCACAAGACTTCTTGTTTTCACCACCACTGACCTTTCTGGAATCTGAAAGGTTAAGCCTCTCCCTTGAGCCATGAAATAATTGGTAGAGTAGCTGACCAGCAAAGGCTTGGGTGCTATAGGTTTTCTGCAATGTGATGTTACGTGTTGCTTTCATTACAGAGCAGCTACTCCCAATTTTCTGGCACTTTAGTATGAGTTCTCACACAATGCATGTACTTACTTGCGATTGGGCCACAGTGGTGATATTGAATTACCTGCTCCTAATGGAAAAAGGGCAAATCCATTTCCCCCAAAGAAAGCGCAGCTCTGCTGATGGTGTTTGTGATGGAACAAAGCACTTTATTTCTTTCCTTAGAAATAAATGCATTCTTCTAATATAGCCATTAATGCTTACGGTTCCTTCTAAGCATCAGACAGTGTTTGAGTTTTCACCTGGTCAGGGTTAATTACCTTGGCTGCTTTTAAAAGCCTAGGCACAATTCATTTTTTTATGTCAAATTACATAAGGCTTGTGGGAGTCAGGTGTGCTTTGAACAAAATAAGAGTTTTCTGTATGCCTTTTTCAAATAACATTCATTTACAGATTATTCCACAAAGATTTGTTTCCTTTTATTATACTCAAGTACTAATAATCAAGTGACATTGGTGGGATTCATAAGCAAACTAAGTTTATAGAGGTGATATTTCCATAGCTTCACAGGATGCTGCCTTATGTCAGCTTTTTCAAGAATACTAGACCAGTGTGTTCTCAATGTCATTGTGCACAACCACAAGATATCATTAATGAAATCATTCTTATGCATTTAGCTCTGTCACATCTTTGAACATAGTTATTTAGGTGGATGGATTGAGCTCCAAAAGGGCTGGCACATAGGGGTCGTAGACCGTAAATCCACCACCAAACTGAGATTCTTTTCTGCATTGTATTAGTTAAGCTTTTTCTTTGGAACATGCTCATGCCTGTCTAGAGCTACTTGTACAGGACAAATGACTTTGTGAATAATCTTCTGTTAAAAGCTAAGAATTGTTTCTGTGGCTTAATTTGAGTCAGTCTTGCATCCTGGGACATTTTTACAATTCACGGGCATGTTAAGTTTAATAAAGGAGAGTAAATTGCAGCAGCTTACATTTCCCTTGCCACTCAGTAGCTGCAACAAGTCTCAACGCACCTGGAATTAGGAGACAGAGTTTCCAGGTCAAAGGATGCATTTTATATATATAAAATGCCTTCGTACGTCTCCTTTCAGAAATTGAACACTTGCATTTCCCATCATTCTTGAAATTCCTACTAGCATGCTTACTTTCATAGACATACATTTGGGGAAGTAGGTTATAATTATATACTATAGTATGTGATCTGTCTTGGACCCCTGCCATTTTCTGTGCATTTACTAGTAGAACATATGCCTTCTGAATAAACATAGTGATAGAAGGGGCCGCTGACAAAGCTGCAGTATTTCTTGCTCATGAAACCTTTGAGAGTTTCAAAGATGCTGTGTATCTGATTGTTTCTGAGTACTAAGCAAGCCTGACCTTGGATGCTGCCAGGATAGGAGACCACCTGGGGACCACATGCAAGTCATTCCGAGGCCCTTGGAAGAAGAGCATGGCAAATACAGTAGGCAAAAAATATGCAGAGGCAAATACTGAGAAAAGCTACCCGCACAAGTATCAGCCTACTTTGCTTTTTTTGCTTAAAATATTTATATGATGTGCTGAACCATTTTCTCAGGACAGTTTAAGACTGAGATAAAAAACAGATGAAAAATAAATAGATCAATAAAACGCATACATACCTAAAGCCCAGATAACAGGAACTGATAGAAGGACATGAGAAAGTAAGAGTGGCTTTACCTGGTGTCAGCATTACATCAAGCTAGGCATCCAGTGCGGCTCCTTGGGGAGAGCATTCGAGAGCTGAGGTGCCACTACTGAAAAGACCCTTTCTCCAGTAGTCACCTGTCACGCATAACCCAGCAGGAGCACCCAGAGAAAAGGGCCTCAGAAGGTTATTGAGATCTGGGTAGATGACTCTCCAGGTACTCTGGTTCCATGTCATGCTGGACTTTCAGGGTCAAAAAAACAGCACATTGACTTGGGCCTGGAAATAGACTGGAAACCACTGAAGCCAGGAAAGCACCAGCATGCTATGTTCAAGCACTCCAATTCCAGTTAGCAATCTTGCTGTGTTCTGATTTAACTGAAGTTTCACATTGGAGTATTGCAGTGTATTGAGCATGGGTTTGCCTTTGAAGACAAATGGGAGGATATCAGGACATGAAAAACTGAAGCTCGGTTGTCCCTGTCCAGATAGAGTCATAGTTAGTACACCAATAGAAACTGGAAAAAGGTGCTACGGAGACAACCTGCACTTCTAGGGACATAAGATGAACCAATTTTGTATGTAATACTTTAGGAGGAGTGCAACTCCCTCCAGAATGGACAGAACGCTGCTCACCTAGACAGATAAGCCAGTACTAGCCATATCCTCAAACCTCCACTGACATGTAACTTAACTGTTACATGTAAACATAAAACAGCATGGAGGATAGAATAGCACCCTGTGGAGACCCCCAAAATACAAGTGCCAAGCAGTCTAGCAGTCTTTCCCCAGCATCACCTAGAATTGTCTATCCAAGTAAGAGTAGAACTAGTTAGTCCCCCAGTCCCCAATTCGTCCAGTCCTGGGGTATGAATACAGCAGCTCTGCACAGGGATAGTTTCTATTTTGAGTCACCTTTGTGTGTCTTGGAAGGATGGGTATTATCAGCCTTCCACAGTTGGTGCGTTTGGAGGCACAGATGGGTTGGTTTCCTTGAGTAATGACTGTGAGCCAGCAAGAAAATCAAAAACATATCCCGTATCTCCTGTCTGCAGTCTCTAATCAAAACATCTTGATCTATAGTGTTCTGCAACATAGCAGGAGCCAGTCATTATTTTGGAGTATTTTAAATTTAGCATTTCCTGCATTGCAGCCCTAAATCTAATATTTGGAAATAAGTCCCACGGCTTTCAATGACAGTTACTTCTCAGAAAGTTTGCTTAAAAGATATTAGGAAATAAAACATGAAACATACATTCTGTGCAACCCAGTTTACTTGGAAGAAATAACAGGTTACGTTTAACCCACATGGCAAATACCTACATGTGAACAGAGTTGTCAGCAACTCAGTGTTTTACCTGCCTGTTTGGTATCATTGCATTGGTTTCAATATTAGGTGTTTGATTTTGGGTTTTTTTAAAATCCTGTATATTAATAGCAATCTCAGTTCTGCTTATGTAGGCAGCACAGCACTAGTCATGCACAAGAGGGAAGTAACAGCAGACGGGGGAGACTCCCAAGATCTGCATGAGTACAAAAAATATTTAGGAAATAAAACTTCAACAGGGAATTCACACCCCCAATAAGGACTGAGTATGCTTATTCCATTAGGATTCTCCTTGCACAGAGCACTTTCCCCCTCTTGTTTCGCTGTACCTCCACATGGCATCTGGAGCAAATTTTGGAAATGCACAGGGGAGGCGAGGTGGGGAAAAGTCCCATTGCACAAGCAGAGGTCTTGCTGGTAGTTCATGCATTCATTCATTTCCTCCCAGGCCACATTGTAAAGCACAGATTTAGCGACTGTTTCTGTTTTGATAAGAGCATCTGATACTGACGGTTTCATGTTCCTTAGACATCTTATTAGATTTTTGATGCAAATAGTTTTCGGTCCACTTTCTCCCTCCTCTAAAATGTTGCTGAGCGTCTCAAACAATTCAAGTAAGGTATATGATTAGCCTACACCATGCCTATGCAATGGTAGCGGCTTATCTGATGGGAAACAACATTTGAATAAGGATGAGCAAACACAACTTTCAAGTAGGATCTAGAAATAATCAAAAGCAAATAGATCGGTTTCTTGAATGTTCACTAGGTGTCCAGAATTATCATCCAAACTCCTGCCTGGAGTTCTGGGCTCTGCGTATATGGTGTAGATTGGAGACTTCAGACTCTGCTAAGGATTTCTCACCATGAATGAGGCCCTATGCACCCTCTTCACTTGTGTTCCTTACCAGTGGTGGCTGGGAGGCCTCACTTACAAAGAGAAATCTGTATTACAGCCTGAGGCCTTCAGACCCTGCCGTTTAGTGCTTTCATTTCCTCAAAGTAGGGCCTAAAGGCCCAATCTGAACCAGCTGGCATTCATTTTCTATGATTTCCCAGCATCCCTGACTGAATTATGCATGTATGATTTCTGAGCCTCGCGCCTACGTCCCTGAGGTAAGGGACTGGGAAGGCCTCAGCAGGTCTGCATTGGTAGTGCTGTAGCCTCACATCAGGGTCTAGAGGCAATAATAGGACTGCCCAGGAACGTGATTTTTACTTCTACAGTTTGTATGCCATTTGATCACAGTAATCTCTATGTGGCATGCAATAGAAATAAAAATGCATTCGAACTATAAAATCAAAATTTGGTTTAAAAGCCAATTGAAATGTAAAAGGTCTTCAGTAGATGCCAGAAGTGCAACAGGGAGGGTGGCCTGTTTCATAAAATAGGGTCCACAATACTGAACAGAAAGTTTTGGGAGTAGCACTTGCTTTATTATCCTGATTAATTTAGCACTTGCTTTATTATCCTGATTAATTTTGGAATGGAGGTGGGCTCCAGGTTGCCTTGACTCTGGTCTGAAGTGAATTTGTTGCCGGCAGGAGGGGAGCAACTCCCATAATCTAGCCACACATTTTATTTTTGCAAAGCATGCGCTTATCTCAACCTGAAGCTAAAGCTCAATTCCTGGATTCCATACGACCAAATGTCTGTCTTCTACTTCCCCTCTACCTAAGCGCTCTGCAAGAAACATAATAAGGGATAACGTTATTGTTGAAAAATGTTTGTAATCATAGAATGGCCATTATTAGGATGCAAGGTCCACCCGCAACACTTGCCTCCAGATTCTGAAGCTCAAGTACTCCCTGTGGTTAAAGATAGGTTAGGGTTGTCAGGCATTTGCTTAATGTTTTTGCTCCACACTGTTTGTAGTGGTTAACGTGTGTAATTGACACAGATTAGCACTGAAAATAGATAATTGTCAATCATTTTGCATTGACTGGAATTAGGAGGATACATTAATGCATAACTACTGGTTTTCATAAGGTCTGCGCCTTGGGCTTACAAAATAAGAGCTTTGGAAGGATGGAGAAGATGGAAGATGTTAGCTGTGCTAGCAAGTGCATATATGGGAAAAGGAAGCAGATGCTAACGAAGGCATGGCTGCTTTGTTTGCCAACTTGTTTAGCTTGTAATTCATTACTGAGAACCTGGAGAGTCAGAGAAAGAAAAGCGCTGTCTCAAAATAGAGCCAATTAGTTGTGGGCCAGAACAGTAGAAAGTTTTCACTGAGTGTTTACCACAGTGGCATCTGAGCACAACAGTAGTCCTCCATGTTTATAACATTTCTGTCACACAGATGCTCATGATGCATTTTAGAAGACATTTAAATTCTATTCTTTTGGGTTTTTGAATTGGGCTCAGATTTCTCATTCACTGCAACAAAGCTCTGTCTTTTTGCTTTTTAAAATTCTATATGGCTTCCTTTAGCAGCGCTTTCAAGCTTCTTGTTCAATACAGCATAAGAGCCCATTTTACAGCCAGCATAATCCTATTTTCTTCTTATTTAGCTGAATTATCAGAGTGCCAGTGGCAGTCACAGCTTTGGAGTCCTTTCATATCCTGCTTTAAAACGTCTTCCGTTGCCAGCTGCAGCCACAATTGTGTCCAATACTACCAAAGGGGAAAATGCAACACCCTCCCAAAAGACATATTTGTGTAGTAGGGAAAACAAAATAAATGCATTGATGATTCTGGAAATATCTGCTGATTGCTTTTCTGTAGAAGAATTATCCTAGAAAATGGCATTTATGGAAAGCTTGCTTTCAGACTGTGAAGAAAAATAAGCCACAAATAAGAATGTGGAAAGAGCCCAGAGGGATTAAACCAAGAAACCATCTAGATCAGGGTTGTTTCCCACAGTGGCTATGCAGATGCCTCATAGAAACCTGTGTGACCATAGCGCAGTGGGTAGAACACATGCCTTGCCTTCAGAAAGTCCCACGCTCAATTTTTGGCTTTTCCAGGAAGGGCTGGGAAAGACCTCCGAGGGCTGCTGCCAGTTAGTGTGGCACAGAGCCTTCAATGGTTCCACCCTCCTCCCAATGGCCTAGCAGTGACATACGTTGCTTCTGTGCTAGACTGGGAGAAAAAAAACCCTTTCCCTCATCCAGCGAAGGAGGAAAGTCAGCTGCCACTGGAGGAACAGATTGCTCTGTTCCTGCTCTAGCAGCTCACTTCCCTTCTGCGCTAGGCTGAGAAAAAGAAAAGCCTGCTCCCGCACCCTAGCATAGAAGGAAAGTGGCTGGAAGGAAATGGTGTCAATATGGTGTGGGTGTGAAAGAGAGGAGAGAGAAAAGTGGGGTTGGGTAGAGAGGAGTGTTCCCACCCACCACCAGTATGCAGCCCCTAACCACCCCTCGATGGGAATGTAGCCCTTGACTTTTTAAAAAGGTACCCCACTCATTTTGTAGACAATGCTACTATTTTAAATGCCTTTTTCCTGTATGCTGCCTAGATATTAGTCTATTAATCACAGTATATAAATACTTTTATAAATACTCAACTAGGTGAACGTACTGGTACGTCATATAAGGCAGCTTCCTATGTTCCTAGCCTTCTTGTTACGTTACTTCTCAGCAACTGATATTCAGGGCCTAATACTCGTTTTGTTCCTGACCTAGTTCCTACACAGCAGAATGTGGCTTCTAATTCATCTTTTCATATCCTTCACAGGCAAATACGTCTATCAGCCTATGACTCCAGTAGAACAACTTCCAAGCACAGAAATACCTGTTCGGCCTCGGGGAACCACAAACACCATTCAGATATCTGTCTCGCTCACGGAACACTTTTTGAAGTTTGCACCTGTCTTCCAGCCACCACTACCCCCAGATTCCCCACGGTTCTGCACAATCTCGGACCTCTTTATTGACAATTACCGTGTGAAATGCATCAATGGGAAGATGTGTTACGTGCAGAGGCAACCTCCTGCTCCCCCCAATAAAACGAAGCCTCAGGAGGTCACCACACGCAATGCCTTAATTTTGAGAGAGAATAATACACCAAAAATAGATCATTGCTCTTCCCCCTCCAGCTCTGAGGACTCTGGGATCAATGCTGTTGGGGCTCACTATATGGAGTCATGTGATGAGGACACAGAGGAAGGGGCGGAGCTAAGTTCAGAAGAAGATTATAGTCCAGACAGTAGCTGGGAACCGGATGAGTGTCCCCTCCTATCACCCTCACAATGCGAACTAGAAGTGATTGAGACCATAGAAACCACAGTGTGAAGTGCTGAGCTGGAAACTAGCTAGGCATACTTAAAACAATACCGGTTTTCTAGCATTTATACTAGCTTTTTTTCTGACAGGTCCTTTTTTCCAATGCACTTGACAACCCACAGAGGAATGTAGTTAACAGTATTTAGTCACTTGTGAATTAGTTGTTTGATCCTAATCAAACCACTGAATTTTCAAGAGCCCTATTGTATATTTTTAAAGTTACAGATTTGACGTATTTTTTAGTTCTAGACTGTGCCTGATTTTGGTATGGTGCACTTAATTTGCAAAAATCAGGTCAAATTGTAAGCTGTTCCTATTAGTTCCAAATTATTCCTTCAGAGCAAGGAGGCAGCCTTTCATCAGCACACCAAATGTTTGGGTGAACAAAGCCCTTCTTTAGCTTTTTTATTTTATGTAGGAGACCAAGACCCACAAGTTCTGCAGTCAGTGTACCCCCTTTTCAAATAACCTGCATGCACACCACCCTTTTGCAAGCTGCAGAGTAACTCAGGGGGTTCCCAGAATAAGCACAATATACACTTATTAATCATAATCCTGTTGGAAAAGAATGATAACGATGCCTGAATTTAAAATCTTTTTAGGGTGAGTTGTTACACTGCCAATTGACCAACTTCATTTGGTCTTCAGTCTGACTTAAATTGATTCATGTGTTACCAACTGAGGCCAAATTGGATTGGGTTGCAAAGGTATGGCATAGATGGAAGAGCTTCTAACCTGAAATAGGTTCATGATGTCAAACTTTGTTTTTCTCTCTCCAAACCAGCCAGATGTTTTTGCCTGGGGTTTGAACACACCCATGGCAAAACTGATTATGTGAATCTCCCCTTGCCATCTGCTCATGGCAGACAGCTGTCATGAGCCCATTATTTAGAAAAGTCTGTCCAGCTGATCAGTGGTATAGCAGCAGCTTCTGTAAAAATAAATAAATCACCCAACCCTTTCTGCTGTGCATATGTTCAATACATGTACACCTGAACTTAATTTCATAAGTCAAATAATTGTGCATGAATTGACATGGATGGTAGAAACCAGCTCAGTACTGTAATAGGGGTGTAAAGGTTTTGTTCGGCTTACTACTCTATTGATTTCTTCTTACTCTGAGCCAGTAATGGTTTAAAATTTAAGTTTAGTATTGGGTCCAAATTAATATCAGTTTGGAAAAGGGCAACTTTCCTGCTGGGTTGGACTATGGCTCCTCCCATGGTGATTAAGGCAGGAGAGAAAAAACTTGTCCAGACGTGGTTGGCTTAAAAGCCATTTCCATGCCTGTTAGGTGTCCAGCTAAAAGATACTAATTCCAGCTGCTGAAACACTTTGGTTTAATCAAAGTCTACTTGAAAAAGTCACAGCTAATTGGTCAAACTTTTTCTTCCTTTCACTGTGTCCTTCCAATTCACATTGAAAGTTCTCATGTAACATATAGAACAGCTGAAAAGTGTACAGTGAGTAAGACAGGTCTTTAAACCCCCTCATGTATTTGCATCTCGGCTTTAGTTGTACAGAGGCAGGTTATCCTCTGGGGAGAGATGCTCTGTGAATCAGTTCAAGCATGGTGGCCCTTTGAGTCCTAAGGGTTGGGGTGGGGGGAGTTTAGTCTTAGTCAGAAATAGATTACACTTCAGGGTCAAGTGCCGATGGATATATCGAAGACCTCCCCAAACAATATGCTGTGACCACATCGTTTTTCTGACATTGGTTAAATCACTTTCCGTAAGTCTTGGTGAGAATGAACATATAAATATGTACAGATATAGCTCTCAGTATTAGATTATTTTATGCTGTGTTGTCGAATGCTGCTCTTTAAACACTATCCTAACACATTACTAAGTTTTCTACACTCTGACATAGACACTTTTTAGAAAGCGTTTAGATTACAATGTGTATTATGAACTATATAAACTGATATTGTACTTTAAAATATAAAAATAACACCCTGAGAAGAAAAATGAAATATTTATTATGATGAATTATATTAAAATGCATTTCTTGGCAAAATGCTGAGGAACTCAATTCTGGGCATCACAACTGGTAAAGCCTTTCTTAGCATTTCTGGAGATATAGGATATTCTGCTAATTTTTAAAGAAAAACATTCTGTTTTATAAATTTAGTAAATTCTAGTTCATAGAGTTTACTAAAAAAAGTATTATTTGGGGGTTATTAAAGTGTTTTCTCAGGTGCTGTACTGTTAAGCATACTTATGGCTTTTATAGCAGGAAGACAATGCATAAAACGAGATTGCATTACTCTAGCTAGGGGTTTGAAATGCATCGTATACATTTGCTGTTGGCTTTCTTATGCATGAAAGGAGTAAGGATCTCTGGCAATGGCAGATGGGGCTAGAAAAAAATGTGAATTACACTTGAGGGCAGAAACAGGGCAGCTTCTGAAAGTACACCTTAGTTTCTTTCATTACACTTAAGAATCATGAAACCTTCCTTGGCAGACTAGCAGCCACCAAACCAGGGCTAAGATTACAGAAATACATTCTGAACTGAGGCATGAGCTGGGTTAAATTCAGTACAGATTTACTTATATGGGTACACTCTTTATCAAACTGTTAATTAGCAATAGCCGCATACAATGTTAATCTGTTAAACTTGTTCTGTTCGAAAGTCTTAAGCACAATGGGCAAAGTCCTGTAGTGCCTGGCTTTCCTGGAGATTGCCTGGGTGCAAGCCATGGCAGGATTTGGTTAGATGATTTAGCACATGATGCTGTGTCTCAACGTACTCCCCCAGGGGTACCCTATTGTTTCATGTAAACTTCTCACAAAATAATAAATGTGAAGACTGCTTTTGCACAAGCACAGCGTTAAGGCAAATTTATTCTCCACAATTCTGTACTGCTCCAAAAATGCTGAATTCTAAACGGGGTCTGGTGTCATTCGATGCTATCTTCAGGTGTAGCTGTGCATTATCATGAAATTGCTGGAGTGTAGCTGAATTGGATGTGGCAACTATCACCTGGGAAATAAAGATGACACCACAGTCTCTGTTAGCTTCTTGCTACACTAGCACCACTCTTCATTCCTTTGTTCCAGTGTAGTTAATACAGTTGTCTTTCTACAGTTAAGTTTTGCTGTAAGTTTTTCTGTAAAACTACTTGAAAGGGACAGCAGATTTCCCTTAGTAAACTCTGAAAGTTCTTTACCATTCTTGTCATAGCTAGAGAAGAGAATTTATACTTTCTTCTTTGACCAAACGTCATTTTCTGCTTTCTTGTAAGTTAGTCAATTAAGACTTGAGTAATAAGAATATATTCCATTGAGCATCTGGCCATTAATTCTGCCCCCCCCCCAAACTGAACATTTCTGTTTAAGGAATGTGCCCTCTCTTGTCTTCTTTATTTCACTTCCAACTGTCTTGCAACAGTTTAACAGATACCCATCTTGAGTTTGAAAGCAGTTGATAGTAGACTTCACCTGATCATGAATTCTGTAAATGGGACAAAGATTGCACCTCATCTTAAGAGTTGTTGTTTTTAAATAGGACACCATGCAATACTATCACTGTGACATCAGAACATTTTAATGGGTTAGCTTGGGGATTGAACCTAAGACCTGCTGCATATAGAGCATCCTTCATCACTTGAATTATGACTCTTCTCCATGGGTACAAGTACACAAAGACATATTACTTATTTGCTTATACCAATCACAGAACAGAGTATAGTCAGGGCAAACAGATCCTACTGCTAACCCATGCTGATACAGAAAAGTTTAAGGAAATACCACAGCAAAGGTAATATAAGAATAGGATAATTAAGAGTTGACTGACTTATCTGAACACTTGTAACTGAAATGGGTGAATGAGAATGACATAAAATAGATGTCTCCCACACCATAGATGTTTCCCAACTTCTGCCTACACAAGTCTTTTCTTCATCTATATTCCAAACATTGTAGCCAGAAGGTCATAACTGTGTGTTCATGTACAAATTTGCTTTGGGACATGGCTGAAATTGCTTTGCTGCAGCCTCAAGAAAGGGCATTTTTTAGATTTCTAAATGCAACAGAAGGTAAAAGGGTATTGTGCTGCTCCCAGTCTCAATAGGGCTTTTTAAATCTAAAAATTGGTTGAATTCTTAATACTCTATTGGATTGGCTAATCTCCTAGCTCTCTATTAGCTCACCTTGCTTCCACATCCTGAATATGAAAGCGCCCTCCTCTAGCACAATTAGCAAAGACCTTGGGCAGCTTAGCAAAGTTATTTTTATCAGTAGAACCTTCTCTTTCCTCTTTGCAAGTCATTTACAATGAAATAAGATAGATGAGTTCTTGCTTATTCTGCCAGTTAATAGAGCGCTAGACATTAAACAAAGATTAACAACCTACAACGAAAACATATTCAAATCAGCCTATCCTACACAATCAGGATTGCTTGATCATATTTGGCGAAAAGGTTCTTTTTCTCGTGGTTCTTTTTTTGGGGGGTGGTGGTTATGAGTAGTGTGAACAGCACTTTCTCAGAGACAATACTAGAGAATGGTAAGACAACCTGACTGCTAAAAGAGAGCAGGGGAGGGGGCTTTGTAAAGGCAGGAAACAGGAGGGGACATGAGAATCATGCATTGCATACACAGAGGCCAGATTACTCTTCCTTCTATACATGTAAAACCAATAAAGTATTTTCAGCATGATTTAGGCATTAGAATCCACAAGCTCAGGAACTAGTCAAAATAGATGATTTATAATGATTAAAAGGCAGGGGATTGGCACTGCTAGTGACATCAAAGACTTGAGTTAATGCTACAGAAACTGAATAGACTATCCTTGTGAATTATAAGTGGAAGGAAGCCATTATTCCACTTTCAGAAATACACACAGAGTGATCAGTAATAGTAATAATAAATTGTGTGTGTGTGTTTATATGAATGAGTTTAAATAGTAGTTACATTCTGACAAAGCTAGCCTGCTAGTCTATAGCAAAGGCTCAGAGTGGGAAATACTTAAAAACTAGTCCCAATAGGGAAGAGTTTTAAGGAAGGGTGCAGAGACCTTCCCCATGTGCAGTTTGGCCCAACAGGGCATGAAATCTGGAGTCAATGTCTGCAGCTTAAAGGTGAACACTGAGAAGTGCGAGCTTCCCTAAGGACCTCCAGCATCAATAAAAAATTTCAACCATTTTCCTTTTGCTTAAAAACACTCTTCTCTTGTATGCAAGCTGTCCATTTCATGCTGTCAGCTTGCTCCTGCCCTCTATCCTCGCTCTTCCTCCTGAACTTCCATTACCAAGGTTGAATAAATAAAGCACATTCCCACTTATAAGGGACAGTAATCAAGCCAAACTCTTGGCTGCTGGGGCAGGGGAGAAGAGGCACAAAGAACACACAACAAAGCCTATTTTTTGAGGGATGCTTAGAGAAGTAGTTGACTAGCACCTCAAATCCTTCCCCTGCCAGCACATTCTGTTGCCACGACTGTCATTTCCTCCACAGTTCTTTTGGCATCTAGCCTTGCAACTGAAAGAACAGTTGGCATGACTTAGTGGGCCAGGGGCCTCCAGTTGTTAAACCTTCTGCTACACAGTCTCCAAATAGCAATATTATATTTGGCAGCTGGTTTTGATCCAAGTGCTTGGTTGAACAAGAGTACTAACAAATTTAAGACATCACACTACTATGCCTTAACAGGGATAAAGCTCCATTGAACTGAATGGGCAGGATTCACCTAATGAGCTCATTCGGTGGAAGCCTTGCACAAGGATTTCTGCTTGCGCAGCGGGGCTTTTCCCCTCTCGTCTCCTGGTGCGTCACCTGAAATTGGCTCAGGGCAGGAGCACAGTGCATAGGTGGGAGGAGAGCTGGGATCACTCCATTGGACTGGAAGAGCCTGGTGCTGAATTCCACTCAATGGATCCTGCTTATGAGCATTGCCCTGTAAGAACGTAAGCGGACCCCTGCCAGGGAAAACTAAATGACTATCTCATCTAGCATCCTTTCTTTGTACAGTGGCCATCCAGATATGTCTTGGGAAGCCCACAACAATCTCTTTTCATACAACCATATCGAGTTGGAAGGGTCCACGAGGATCATCTAGACCAACCCCCTGCAGTGCAGGAATCTTCTGCACAGTTTTACAGTGTGGTGTAGAAGCATTTCCTTTTGTCAGTCCTATTCAGCATCATTTCATACATCCAGGTTCTAGCATTATGAAGGCGCAAGTAAAACTGGTTATCTATCCACTTATTATCCAAGCATAATTTTATAAGCCTCTGTTATGTTTTCCCCTTACTGCCTATCTTCTAAACCAGAGGTCAGCAAACTTTTTCAGCAGGGGGCCGGTCCACTGTCCCTCAGACCTTGTGGGGGGCCAGACTATATTTTTTGGGGGGGAATGAACGAATTCCTATGCCCCACAAATAACCCAGAGATGCATTTTAAATAAAAGCACACATTCTGCTCATGTAAAAACACTAGACAGGCCCCACAAATAACCCAGGGATGAATTTTAAATAAAAGGACACATTCTACTCATGTAAAAACAGACTGATTCCTGGACCGTCCACGAGCTGGATTTAGAAGGCGATTGGGCTGGATCTGGACCCCGGGCCTTAGTTTGCCTACCCATGTTCTAAATTAAACTGGCCTAACACTGTAACATTCTCTAATTTGGGAGCTGGTCAGCTCTTTCTCATTTTGGTTGTATTTTCTGAACCTTTTCCAGTTCTCCAATATCTTTTTTGAAATGTGGCAACCAAATGTGTGGTCATACCATACATTTATATAATAGCATTTGATACTGGCACTTTTATTTAACTTACCTACTGCAGAAGCATTTCTTACTAGAAATGGTAAGCATATTTTGATTAAGATCAAGAAAACCTGTTTACTAGGAGTTGATATTCCTTTACCATAAAATCAGTGGTCACCTAGGTGCCAAAGATCTTGCTTGATTATATAGCATGGACAAACATAAGCCAGGACTAAGAGGCATCAGTTCAAGAGGAGGCAGAAGTGTTCATACATATTTATACCTGAATACTTGCACAAAAAGAATGATATATTCACAGCATGATTACAACCCCCTTTCCATCAAGGGTGCAATCAAGGATGATGCTGAACATTTAAATAGGTAAGCTTTAACTGAAGAGGATTAGATCAGAAAATGGGTACCCAAGGCCTCATTTCATAATAATCCCACATCAATGAATGTTTTAAATAAATAAAACTGTATGCATATAACCTTTTCTCAATTTGTGCACTCCAGATGTACATACCTCTAGCATACGAGTAATCTGCAGCCATATGTGCATCAATTTCATTAATGCATAGTGGAGAACCATTTACATCCTGAGAAAAGATGAGGGAACACAATACACACTGCAGTAACCTCTGGACACGGCAGTCAGTAGCAGGTCGCGTGAAAAAACTGCTTGATGTGCTTTTTAATCTGCACTTGTTCTCCCTTTAGACAGGTTATCACAAAGACAGGAAACCCCTTAAACAAACAAGGGAAAACTGCCAACTACCAGCTTTTGGAGATGTAAGGACATTAAACAAGACACTAGTGGGAAGCTTATGCTTTACCCTGTAGGACCAGGAAAAAATCACCTTAAATTCATGTTAAAACCCATTCCTGTTGCAGGCTGCTAATGATGCCCTATCTACACAGAAGAGAGCGAGAGCGGAAGTGGGGTTGGGTGGGAATCATAAACCACCATCTGAAGCCTTTCCTTTAATTCAGTAGAGAGTTCATAATAGATAAATGAGCTGGGGTGGGGTGGGATACAATGAAAGAGGATGTCCTTTCCATGCAGCTCAGTAACTCGGCAGCAGCAGCCGCCATCATAATGATGAATGTGCTGTTTTCTTTTGGTACACTAGAAACAGTGAGAGCTCTGTGGAAATGCTGGCACACAGCTAGTGCAGGCCTTACAACACACACAAGCTGGCACCAAATATTTGCCTCTCTCAAGTTGGCTGAGTGCTACATTACAATGTGCTTGGTTAGCAAAATTTCTGGTTCAGGATGCTAATGAGTGGCACTTTCCTGGAACAGCATCTGTCACAGCAAACCTTCTTGAGCCACTAGCACAAGGGCCAACAGAGATTTACTGCAATGGCTAAAATCAGAGGAAGAGCTAAAGCAATTTCAGAAAAAATCATGCAGTTGGGGCATCCTTGGCAGTTCTGTCTCGCTTGGGTTCAGTTGCGATACTGACTGTAGAGTTTCACAGCTTGTTCTAAATTAAAATGAGAGAAATGTCAACTTTGGATGACTGACATTTGTTGTATTCCCTTGGTTTTCTTCTCTAAGGGAACAGACTCCAATTATTTAAATAAGCTCTGGCTGCAGACACTTTATCCCTGGGGCTTAGTGCAGCTGCCCCAAGTACTGTTGTGTTCAGCTCCAGTGACGAACAGCATAGGTTTGACAGAGTAGTTTATAGCTTTCAGCAAAGCCCAATGGAAACAAGACTGAGAGATATTTTTTATGTCCCTTCTGCTTTGTTAAGCAAGTCACAGAGGGAAAATAATAGCTGGTCCTTACAAAGTTTCCGCATTGTTGCAACCTCTCATCTACTAAATACAAAGTGAAGTTCTCGGCAGCTTGTTCCACCATCAGGAGTACTGTCAAGTACTTTTCACGGTGCTGTTCTCATGCCCTGGAGCTCCATCAAATAGAGATTAGTCTTCCACTAGAGGAGGAGGAGTGAGGTGAAGTTGGAAGGTCTCATTCTGGAAGACACTATTCAGTGCAGAATCACCCTGGGAGATATGGAGGAGCCCATGTTTTTCTCCACCACGGTCCCGTGAGAGTTCAGTCAGAAGAGCCAACTACAAAACAAAAGAACACCACTTGGTATAGTGTAGGTAACGGAAATCATGTGAGGAACATATATTAGAGAGTGATGTGGGCAGTAAAAGCACTGACCTACTCAAAGGGGCAAACAATAATTTAGTACAAATAAAAAATAGCACAAGTTGCTAATCAAAAACTACCAGGTCACAACCTCATCTACTGTGACAGCATTGACCAAATCACAGAAAATGCTCCAGCTGAGTTATAAAAGTAGGGGAAACACTCTTTTCAAAAGTCAGCTGTGAAAGAAAGGTGTGCTTTGAGGAAACTAGACTCTCTTTTGAATAATCAAAAGAAACACACACTTCCAGTGGGTATGATGAACTTACTTTACCCCTGAAGGGGATAATACCCTTTCTTCCCTCCCCAAGTATCATCCTTGTGGTATATGAGAACACACCTCCATACTAGTTCAAGTTTTACTTCATTGAGACATAAAATTATATTACCCTTGATGTTCCTCGGTACAGACGACAAAGCTGGTCAAAAGCTTGAGCTTGCTGTGGATCCAAGATGGCCTCAGAATTGGTCTATGAAGAAGTATTACAATGTCACCAACACAAAACATGTACATCAAACAGGGCTTCTACACTGTATGAATGAATTTATTAATACGGTCACAGACCAGCGCCAACACACACCACATCACAGATCATACAAAAAAATATATCAAAAATACAGAGGACAATATGAGTATTTAAATATAAAAATATAAATTTAAATATAAAAAATTAAAATTAATTATTAGCATGCCCCTGCAATTAACATTTGGGGATTTGGTCACCATGGGATACCACTTGCTTCCTGCGACTAATTGCAGCCGCACAGAATTTGGCTACATTTAATGTAGTCTTGGGATTCTTGTCCTCTAGCAGTGGTTCCAAACCATGGTGTTCCGACTCTTTCCTGGACTTCCGCAAAACAGGTGCAATAAAAGTCAAACGTATATCCTCATAAAGACGGCAACGTAACAGTACATGTGAAACAGTCTCAACCTCCAACGAGCCACAGGGGCAGACCCACGCTGTGTATCGTTTACCCTCAAATCTGCCCTGAAGTAAGGCAGAAGGGAGAACGTTGAATCTGGCGAGGGTAAAAGACTGTCTGTATTTGGGTACCTGAAGACCTGACAGATAGTTAGCTGGAGAAAAACCTCTCCCATAGTCCCTTATTGCAGGATGTTTGATCATTTCACTCATGTGGCATTGTAATTCTACGTCCCAGATACGCTGGCGAATTGTAGTCCTAGCTTTCTCGAAGCCTGTCGCTATCAGGGTCTGCTGTGGGATCCCCAAGCCTTTAAGCTTTTCCAGCAGTGTAGCTTTCCATCTGGATTGGTAGGTATCCAATAAGGTCAAAGGTGCCAGCCCAACCGGGAAGAAAATAAGCTTTAGCCAGTAATGGATCTTCAATATCCATATCCGGGTACTGATAGGAATTTGCCCAACCTCCAAACGGACCGCTATGTTGGATACACAAGAGGGGATCCCCAGCAGGCAGCGGAAAAACTTAGTTTGAAATGCCTCTAAGAGAGTAAGGTTTTTAAAACTGCAGATCTGGGATCCATATAACAATTGTGGTAGTATTTTGGCAGCAAAGACCTGGGAGGCTGCCGGTATGTACTGGCCTCCTTTCCCATAGAAGAATCTTATTAACGCTTTGGTAGATCTTTCTGCATTTGCAATAGTATTATTAATCTGAAAGCGCCAGGAGCCCCTTTCCTGGAAGGTTACACCCAGGTATTTAAAGGTTGCTACCTGTTCTATTAAACGGTTGTCTATTCTCCATTTGTGCCTCCTCCTTTTTTTGGAGAACACCATAACTTTGGATTTGTTGTAGTTAATTGTTAATTGTTCGATGCTGCAGTATTTGGTGAAAGATCTCAAAAGTTTTCTTAATCCAACACAAGAAAAAGAAATTAAAACTGTGTCATCCGCATATAAAAGGACCAGGAGGGGCGTACCAGCCAATTTGGGGGGATGGGCATTTTCTTTCTCCATATTTCCTACTAGCGAGTTGATATAGAAGTTAAATAAAGTAGGCGCAAGGACACACCCTTGCCTGACCCCCTGATGGATTTGGATTTCCTTGGATAGGTGGCCCTGTCGGTCACACCTTACCCGTATCCGTGTATTTTCATATAGACTGTGGATGAGATACAGTAGGCGTTTGTTTATATTTGCGGCGCTTAGCTTTCCCCAAAGCCTGTCCCTCGGTATTAAATCAAAAGCAGATTTGAAATCTATAAAGGCCACGTATAGGGAACCTCCTTTTCTTGATGTATATTTCTCCGCAAGATGTTGGAGAACAAGGCCCTGGTCCAAGGTTGACCGATTTGCCCTAAAACCAGCCTGTGCTTCTGAAAGAATGTGGTCTTGTTCCAACCAGTCCACTAATTTGCCGCATAGGTGGGCAGCGTACAATTTGCTAATGATACTTAGGAGGCTAATTGGCCTGTAATTAGCCGGGTCTGATCGGCTCCCTTTCTTGAATAAAGGGATGATGATTGCTAATCCCCAATCCTCAGGGATAGTGGCCGATTGGTCTATGCTGGTAAATAGGGCAGCTAGCACAGGGGCCCACCATTCAACATTAGCCTTAAAGAGTTCTGGTGTAATGTTGTCTACGCCGGGTGCTTTTCCAGGTTTAAGGGATTGGATGAGCCTATAGATCTCGTCAGTTGCTACTGGGGGCCATTTGGCGCCAATATCACTCGGAGCTGGGGGCAGGGCCTGCAGATGTTGATTTGATGTATATAAAGATAGAAAGTAAGCCTCCCAAATCCCAACTGGTATAGTATAATCAATTTCAATCAGGGAGTCTTGCCAACTTTTCGCGACTATTTTCCAAAAGGTGGCTGAGTCTTTCCTTCGAGAGGCCTCTAATAAACGTTGCCACTCCCCCCTTTGGGCCTGAAGCTTTTTCTTTTTAATCAGATGTTTGTATTTACGTTTGGCTTCGAACCATTCCGCGGGAAGCAAGGGTAAGTTCGCTGATTTGTAGTTCCTGTACTTATCCAGCAAAGAACGCTTTGTAGCAATACATTCCTGATCAAACCAGGGTTTGGATTTGTTGGGGAATATAGGTTGGCGCGATGTCTTTTTTTGGATCAGGTGGGGTTGCAAAAGTGAGATCAGCTCCTGGAACAAGATTACTCTAGATTCAGAACATGGTGGGTTTAAGAGATTGTCTCTTCTCATGAGGAATGTGTCCGAGTATAGCCTTTCAGATGTTTCGGCATTCAGCTTTTCAGACCATCTAATACGTGAGTATCTCAACTCCATGTTGGAGGACCTGGGGGCTTCAAGTTTATCGTTGCAAAATAAGTCTTTTCTTGCATCCAGGAGGAGGCAGAGCGGTAAATCTTCTACACTGTAGTGTCTTATCAGACCTAACTGAGAAGTTCAATTACAGAAAGTTGGAGAAAACATGCTTCTAACTTTCACCCTGGACCAAACAAATATAGTTATTTCAGGACACCTTGCCCTATATATTGATCTAAACAAAGCCAGAGAATATCCCATTAAACTAAAAGATAAGCAAGTTTTAATGAAAAATGATATTTTATGTCTGCAGTAATAAATATATTCTAGTCAATTCTTGTAGTATTTCATTTTCATTAAACACTTTTTATTTCATGCTCAGAACAGGCAAGGGCAGGAACAGGAACTGTGCTTGCCTGATATACAAGTGATGCACAAAAACTGTTGCTCTAGGAAATTCTCAACTTGCTGCTTTTAGCTGGATATATAGTGTGTGTGGACTGGAATACAGCTGGCCAACCTCACTGGCCACTAGCCAAGAAACCTTCTGAGTCATATCAAGAGCTGGAAATATACAACATCTGGGTGTTAGATATGGAAAAATGGGTTGTGTTCCTCCTGACCTTCCTGAATCTAGCAGCTTGCTAGACACCCTTGTTATGTAACTGGGTGGACCACATCCAAAAAACAACAGTTAAGAGGCTCCAATATGCCATATGTAGCAGTACCTAGTGTTTTATGCTTCCTATCTTTTATATCTCCTTCATGGATCACTGCCTTGTCGTGCCGAAGGGGCTTGAATAACTAGAGAAGCTATGAGCTATGCTGTGCAGGGCTACCCAAGACAGACAGGTCATAGTGGAGAGTTTTGACTAAACGTGATCCACCTGGAGCAGGAACCGGCAAGCCACCAAGAAAACTCCATGGACAAAAACAACAGGCATCTGGCAAACAGAAGGGGAAGAAATGGAGGCAGTGAGAGATTTTACTTTCTTGGACTCCATGATCACTGCAGATGGTGACAGCAGTCACAAAATTAAAAGACGCATGCTCCTTGGGAGAAAAGTGATGACAAACCTAGACAGCATCTTAAAAAGCAGACATCACCTTGCCAACAAAGGTCCGTATAGTTAAAGCTATGGTTTTCCCAGTAGTGATGTATGGAAGTGTGAGCTGGACCATAAAGAAGGCTGATCGCCGAAGAATTGATGCTTTTGAATTATGGTGCTGGAGGAGACTCTTGAGAGTCCCATGGACTGCAAGAAGATCAAATCTATCCATTCTTAAGGAAATCAGACCTGAGTGGTCACTGGAAGGACAGATCGTGAAGCTGAGGCTCCAATACTTTGGCCACCTCATGAGACGAGAAGACTCCCTGGAAAAGACCCTGATGTTGGGAAAGATGGAGGGCACAAGGAGAAGGGGACAACGGAGGACGAGATGGTTGGACAGTGTTCTCAAAGCTACCAGCATGAGTCTGACCAAACTGTGGGAGGCAGTGGAAGACAGGAGTGTCTGGCGTGCTCTGGTCCATGGGGTCACAAAGAGTCGGACATGACTAAACAACAAACAAAATCTTTTATATCTTCACAACATTCTTGTTGGGAAACTCATTATTATTCCTGCTTTGGAATTGGGGATGGAGACTGAGTGAATTACTACTGCTTCGACTAATCACTCTTTACCAGCAGGTCCCAGGGCAGGTTACAACAATTTAAAATTCAGCATTAAAAAGTTAAAACATAATAGTCACAGGAATAGGACATGTCCTAAAAATACACATTTCAATACACATGTCAAAGGCCAGGGTAAAAATGTGCATCTTCAGCATTTGCAGAAAGCTGTACACTGAAGTTGCCAGGTGTACCTTTGGGGAGGGAATTCCACAACTTAGTGGCTTGGCCAATACCAGGGAACTCAATTGCCCAGGTTGAAGCAGGAAGAAAGAGTGTTGCATTTGATTAACATCATCAAGAGAAGATCCAAGAACTCATCAAGATTGAAGGAAGAGCTTCATCTTACACAGGCAGAGGCAAACTTGGCCCTCCCTCCAGATGTTTTGGGACTCCAAATCCCATCATCCCTAGCTAACAGGACCAGTGGTCAGGGGTGATGGGAGCTGTAGTCCCAAAACACATGGAGGGCCGAGTTTGCCTATGCCTGATCTTACAGAATAAAACACGGTATTGTTGAGCTACTCGTCCTGTCCTGTCCTGTGCATGTGCTTACTCAGAAGTGAATCCCACTGCTGAATGGAGTTTTCCTCCAGAAAAAGTGTGCGCAGGGGTTGCAACCTTAACGTGAAAATTATGTACAATTATAAAGGAAAAAGAACATTTAAAAATCAGGCTGCAATTTCAGGATGACTGGGAGAAATTTACTGGTTTGGTGCAAAAGGTTCCTTGTCAGAGCACAAAGGCACTTCTATTTGCATAAGACAATCCCCAATTGCTGCTGATTCCTCCCTCCATCCTGCTGCAGACCCCCCCTGCTCATCGCATCCCACATTGTCTTGACCCTCCAGAACAGCTTTTAGGGGAGAACAAGTGGCTGAAGGGGGAGACCAGGCAAAGCTCCACTGTACAAGCGGAATAAGCTATTCTTTTCTGGATCCAACCCATCATTTAACAGAGCAATTCCAGTTAAGATTTATAGCCACAGATTATCAATATTATAATACTGACTAACAAAATTATGATCAAGTATTGGGACTCAACTGTTCTATGTCTTATGTATTTTCTCCCCTCTCCCTTCTCTTTTATTTCAGTTTAGTGTATTGTGAATATGAATAAGGACTTTCTTTTGAGCAATCTTGAAGGCTCTGCTTGATCTTTTTAAAATAGTTAAAATAAAGAATTCAACATAAAAAGAACTATCAAGGGCTTATTTGCTGACATTTACTTTCACAACTCTCCAGGTCCATTTTCCGCAATTTTTTTAAAATGGAGAGTGAATAAGAATTTGTACTACACATTAACTCTCCATGTGCCAGTAGCTTTCCAAATCACAGATACTAACAACTACAAATCTACTGCTGCTATGTGATCTATTGTCTCTCTTTAGAGACCTGCAACAGACACACACACAGAAGTGGAAGGTAATTTGTTATTATCCAAAGACAAGAAAATGTAACATAACTATCTCCCCTTTGCTGTTTCTTACTTGTGTGTAACCATCAATCAGATTGTTCTTGGGGCTGATGAGCTGATATATTGCGGGCAATTTTCCTGTTGTCATGGAAACGAGCACTGCAGGGCATTTTCTTCCTTTTAACTAAACGAAAGCTTTTTATTCAATGCTGCTGGAAATCTCTTAGCCAATCTGACATCTGTGTCATTACACAGAGTATAAATGCCGAAACCTGCATGCATACATTAGGCTGCAGTTTTCACTTCAAACGCAAGGAGCCAGCTAAGCAGCTAACAACAGGTGATGCAGATATATTAGCTTGCTCAGAATCAGGTTGAATTGGATTACATCCTATTTGCAAAAGTGACTTATCAGCCCTTTTTGTAAGTCATTCTAAAGAGGTTTTATTTGTTCGTTTGGAATCTCGCAAATGTGACATGTAATCCTTGAAACAGAAGTTCCCGCCTCAATGTTTCTAGAGTCTAGATTCAAAGAATCTGTTAGAGATAAGAATTTCTAATCCTACAAGTATACGCAAATCTCAAAAGATGTGAACACTTCTTTGTGGCTCCCAGTACATTTCCGAGCACAATTCAAAGTGTTGGTGCTGACCTTTAAAGCCCTAAACGGCCTCGGTCCGGTATACCTGAAGGACCACCTCCATCGTTCTGCCCGGACACTGAGGTTCAGCACTGAGGGCCTTCTGGCGGTTCCCTCACTGCGAGAAGCCAAGTTACAGGGAACCAGGCAGAGGGCCTTCTCGGTAGTGGCGCCTGCCCTGTGGAACGTCCTCCCAGCAGATGTCAAAGAGAAAAATAACTACCAAACTTTTAGAAGACACCTAAAGGCAGCCCTGTTTAGGAAAGCTTTTAATGTTTAATAGGTTATTGTATTTTAGTGTTTTGTTGGAAGCCGCCCAGAGTGGCTGGGGGGACCCAGCCAGATGGGTGGGGTATAAATAATAAATTAGTAGTAGTAGTAGTAGTAGTAGTAGTAGTAGTAGTATCCTGCAGTACATATCTAGTTTAGCAAGGCTAGTATTCCTTTCTGGACACACATTGTTTCTAGTTTCTATTTGCCTTTTAAAGAAATACAATAAGCAGTAAGGCTAAAATAAGGATTACTTGCCTATGTTTTTATGCGAACAGGTTTAAGTAACTAGAGCTAGATGTTACACTACACAATTCTAGTAGTGAGAACAAGAAATGGTCTACAGAGTCACATCAATCATCCTGAAGCCCAGAAGTCAATCATCCTGACAAGCAGCAGGTTCAAACTAGCTCACTAGTCTGTCAGGAAAACATTTTCCCAGTACAGCTACCAGCTTTTCTTAATAGCAAATGCCAGAGATCAAGCTGGGAATAGTAGCTGTTCCTCCGTGTACCCATTTCCTGGTTATGTGAGAAACAGTGCAATCTTACATATGCTTACTTGGAAATAAATCCCACTGGGTTCAATGGGACTTACTCCCAGATAACTATGCAGAGGATTACAGCCAATGTCTCATTTCAGTTCCAGTATCTTCTCTCCCTTTTCATTCATTTTTGTTTTCTCAACCACACTGTGTAGAGTGAGCAGAGTGGCTGCAGGATTTTGTTTATTCACACACCATTAAGGAAGGGTTGCACACTGATGATTTTATACATTGATACCAAGATGTGAAGAATATGTGCCCTATTATCACATGATGGGAACCTATGACTGACTGTACATTTCATATATGAATGGAGTGGCAGCTCACATGCATGAGACTTTACAATCTTATGTATTCTACAGAATTTTCTGCAGGACTTATGTTTCAGTCTTAAACTGCAGGACGTATTGGCCAAATATGAAGTAGTTCTTACCTTTGTACAACCATTATACATCAGTGTAGGTGAGTAATGAGCCAACAGCCACGTAAAATGTATTTCAGTCAAATAAATACCAAGACAGTCAAGCTTACATATTAAAAAATATATATCCAAGTGAACTCTTGCCTTCAGCAAAGGTGTATATACATACACAGTGATCTTCTTCAAGTCAAGATTGCAAAGGCAAACAAAAAATTATTTCAACCTAGAGTCATGTCAATTCCATAAAGATCAATGGCAGAGTTGAAAAAAACACAATGTTATTTGGCAAACTGCAGATAAATGGCAGACACAGTGACAGATGAAAGGCCTGGAATTTATACTCAAGGCAACAACTCAAGGCATTGACAAACTTATACTTCGGTTTAATCTGGAAAACTCTCCAAAGGCTCCTTTAAAAAAGAAGGCACTTTCACATAAAGCCCAAGAAGATCTGGCTTAAATTAACAATCAAAGGCCCCAGAAAAGCACAGAGAACTAGCAAAGTTTCTCATGCCTTTACGTTTTTTCTGTCTCAGCCTCTGTTATATCCTCTTCAGAAAGTGGCAGTTACCTTCAATTACTAGGATCAGTAACTAGGTTGAAATAAATGTTCTAACATGCACACAAAGCACAGATTAAGACGCCTAAGAAAAGAGACAGAAAGATCACTGCAATAAGTCACCATTGGTGGCCTCCAGTCACTCTAAGGGAATTATTGGGGAAGCTGCCTCACTATTAGCCTGTACAATCAGTCCATAAAGACTAGGTAAGCATTATCCTCTTCTAGATAAGTAAGTGTGTTTAGAGGGAGGCTGCCTCCTGTACCCCCAACAGAGATTTATGCTGCTGGCTAAGTTGCCTTGGTCTGTGCTGCCATCTGTCATTTCCAAAATTGTTCCTGCTGGCGGTTCCTGGCTGTGCGCAGCTCCTGCCTGGAGCAACCTGCTACAAACTCAGTCTGCTTTTCTATCTTTACTCTGCCCTTCCTCACTTGAGCTGGAGAGGAAGGCTGGGCAATGCTAGTACACTTGCGCCTGTTACAAAGTCCAGTTACGGTTATTTTCAAGAACAAAAGCTGCATCACATCCCAGCCAAGTGATCGGGAGAAAACTGCCCTAGGAATTAAGTTGGGGACAACCTCTTAGGAATGGAATGCGAGCTTTGGAAATACACTTAAAACGCTGAGTCCTTAAAGCCATTGAATGTTCATACACCCATTTCTTTAAACCACCCATTTCCTGGCATACCCATTGTTTTTCAATATGGCTGCTGAAAAGGATGCTCACAGGAGAGAGGGAGGGAGAGAGAAAGAATAGAGTGTGTTGGGTTGCTGTCAGTTCACATATAAATCTCAACACTACTTCAAAATTCAAGCTGACAGTCCATTTCGGAGGAGCAGAAATGGTACTAAGAAATACACTCCAGATGCTTGGTGGCATTTCCCAGCACTAATGCATTTTTGCTCAAAGCATTCTAAAGAAAATATAACACCCAAACTCGGAACTTTACAGGTAGTCCAAGAGTGCCCTCTATTTGACCATGAACAAACATACTTTAAGTATAAAAAGAAGCCCTGATGGATCAGACCAAAGACCTATCTAGTGCAGCATTTTGTTCCCATAGTGGCCTTTGGGAAGCCCATAATCCATAGAAAGGTATCTGATAGAATGACAACAGAAGGAAAATATAGCAGGATTATACATAGAATTCACTAAGCCCAAACAACGAAGGGTTCGAAGTACTGTACTATGTTGTAGGGGACCTACTATAGCAAATAGTATTATCTTAGACTGCTGAAGGACTTTCAAGTGTCCACCATGTTCTCCAGTTTCTAACAGCTGAAGTGCATTAATTTTAAAGCTGGCAGCTTAAGATGCATGCTACAAACAAATAGCTCATCGGAAGGAAGTTATTTGACCATTAGAGTGTTATTTGAATTACTTGTACTTCACTGCAAATGGAGTAAAGCAATGAAGTCACTAGAAGAATCATTGGTCTGGACACTTAATTCAATGCAAATCTGTTCTCTGTTCAAGTTGTTGTGGAAACAGAGTGCCGTCAAATCCCGAGGCCATGAGATCTTGTTGGATAGATACATCAGGCATTCCTTACAATAGCTACAAACATCGACTCCCACTGCAACCATCCTCTGGCTGCATTGTATATTAGTCCTCTCTCATCCAATTCAAGCGTATAACATTTATACTCTAAAATCAGGATTTTCTACTACTTTGCTTTAGCAGCTGGATTACTTAAAGCTTCTGAATTATCATTAAGCAGCTTGCAAACTGAACATGAGTCAGCATTGTGATAAAAAAAAGCCAAATGCAATTTTGGGAGGCATTTAGTAGAAGCACTGTATCTAAAAAGCATTTTCTACATTTTAATTTTTCAATAAGGATGTTGTGCTCCTTCACACACAAATAATCTGTGATGAAAACTGCACTACGGGAAGGATTTCTCTCCACTTGGAGTAATTCAGACATGAGTATGCACAGAATCCACTTTAACTTGACCCACATATAGAATCACAGAGTTGAAAGGAGCTCGAGGGTCATCTAGTCCAACCCCCTGCAATGCAGGAATCTCAAGTAAATCATACATGACAGATGGCTATTCAACATCTGCTTAAATCCCTCCAAGAAGGATGGTCCACCACCTCTTGATCACCCCTGGAGGAATGTTACACAAAAAAGCAGGACTGTCAGAAGCCATGCTGTCTCCAGAGCTTCAAAATCAATTCCACAGCCTCATCTCAGACACTGGTTCTTGGCCAGAGGAGCAAGAACAGCAGTTGCAGACCTCAAAACACACCAAAGTGGCAGTTGAGGGTTCAGTGCACATAATGATTCCTGCTGCTCCCCAGTATTTATTTTCATGTCTGCCTACAATTTGAACGAATGCCTTGTCTACTACGACACATGGAAGACTTTTAGGTTGCTAGCACGTGGGGAAAGCACTCATACAGCACATGGCAAGAAGCCATCATTTGCCTTTCATTGTTCCATAAATAAATGCATGTCCCATTTTTTAAAAAAACCTTCAGTTCAAACACGGCAGGAACTTATCAAGCCACACCAAAAGCTTCTTGAATGATGGAAGTGTAGACAAAAGAAGCTTCATTTTACTGAGGTGCTCCTAAACTCAGGTATAACTTCAGCCTTCTAGGAAAGGTTCACTTCTGCAAATCTTACCTGTGCCAGAGATACAGGAGTTCCCTTCTTCATTTCTAAGCAAGCACCGCTTAGTTTTCCTCCTTTGTTACTTGCATTGCATTTAAAACAAGTCCATCTCATCTGACCGTCTGTTTCAGTGCCACACTCTTTACTCAGGAGGCAGAGAGAATGGTACAAGTGGCCACAGCTGTTACAAAAAAAAGAAAGAAATTTAATTGCACACATATATTAACTAGATGCTCTGCACACCAGAGCACATTTGTTTTGTAAAATTAATTCTAAATAGGTTTCAGTAAACCAAATGTCACACTACTGTCAAAAGAAACAAACGTATTTTAAAAGACATTAATCCTGCAATCCAAAACACAGAGTAAGAAGACCCTTTTAATATAGTGGAGTAAGCATACTTTTGTCCATTTATTCTCTGTCACAAACATTTTCTGGATCTCTATTTGCCAAATGACCACCTAACGATTAAAGAGAAATTAGTCTCAGTCATCTATAAAAGCCCTTCAGAAATACTTGTTTCTGTTGGGCTAAAAGCCTCATAAGTTTTACATTCGGGGGGATTTTAAATTCTTGAGATTAGAATTCTGGAAGCTTAATCAATGTTTTAAATTTTCTATATTGTATGTTTTATTGTTGTAAGCCGCTTTAAGATCAGCATGATGAAAAGTGGGATATAAAATTTAAAAATAAATAAAAAATACAAACCCTGAAGGCATACAGAGCCCATTAAATCAGGCCCCCTCACAGTGCAGCAAGACAACAACCACCTCTATGTATCTTAACTATATTAAACTTCAGGACCTCTTGTTGCTAGCACCTCTTATTGCCTTTTCTCAACAGTTACCTGAAGACTATGATTTGGTCAGCAGTCTCTTGTCTTCTCTTGTACTGCTGTAGACAAATACAACAGTAATCTTGCTTGGGGTTCAGCCCTCTAGTCACAGATGCTTTCAAATTACGTAAGGACCAGTGGAGGTCATGGTTGAGTAGGTTGGTTGTAGTCTCCAAGAGAGTCTGATCAAGCACAAGGACAATACGAGAAAGACATCACTTAACCTGTTAGCCATGCTCCATAAATTCTGCATGCGGCAAAACATCTCATAGAGATTAAATGAGGGGAGAAACAACACTTTTAGGTATCTTAATGACAGATCCTGCTATTTTATACATAATATATGCTGTCAAATATCACTGTGTGGCCATTTTATAACAGGTCAGTCTATAGTACTGTAATTGGAGCTTATCCAATAGAATGGTGTCTTCCTAGCTCACACATTTTGAGCCTTCGGGCTAAACCAATTTCGTATTTGTGTAAAGTGGAGAGAAAAACAAGCTATTCTTATGTTAATGAGAAGGTGTTTGGGATTACAACAGAGCTCAAGCATAAATTGGACCCATCAAAGTGATACTCTAAAACAAACACACATAATGTTTAAATGATATAACACCACCACCAGCCACTTACAATATGTCTGCATCATGTGCAACACCCCATTGTACTGGATGGGCTCCAATTGTTGAACTTTGTGTGGTTAGGGCTATCATATTGAGGATACAAATGTTTATCTGTCAAACTTGCATGCTACCCTTCCCCATAGAAGTTCAGGCGGCGTGCATGGGATTATCCACATTTATCCTTGCAACCACATCCGCCAGGTGCATAGATGACACTCCCTGGTATCCAAACCATGGTTTGGCAACCAGGTCCAACCAGGCATGCTGTTCCCCACCTCCTTCCCCCTCCTCTCATTCAGGCTTCTCTCCATCAGCCCTCCACCTCCATCTCAATCTTTTTAACTTTTGGAGACAGCTTGTTTCATCTATGTGAATGAGGGTACAGCTGACTTACAACACTGAACTGTAACACGCCATGTAGGATTCCTTTGAGGGCAGCCATGCGCTCTAAATGCGTGGGGTATGGGTATGACCTAGTTAATGCTTACACTCACCATACAATCATAAAATTGTGAAAGGGACCCCAAGGGTCATGTAATCCAACCCATGCAATGCAGCTTTTTGAAGATGACTGCCCCATCCCATGCAAAACTAGAATATGTTTGTCTGATAGTTATTTGTTTCATACATTCCTGTGATTCATGTATAGTGCTACTGGGGTTGGCTCACACGCAGACACACCTATCCTACACAGAAGTGTGTATGCACAACAACAGCACTGGGGGGTGGCACTCCCACTCAGTCTCCTAGCCAGCAACTTTCTCAGACTTCCAGCTTAGTACCGGCATCACTGGGAGAAAGCAATATGGAGGCACCCTAAGCAAATTCCTAATTAAATGCCAGAGCAATGCAAGAGTTGAATATGGCAGAGAAGACTCCCAGCTACAGAACTTTAAATGGTACTGAAGTATGCCTTCCGATGGCTCATGAAAGCAAATTCCCAGCGAGGAAATTAAATAAATTCCTCACACCTCCTCATGCCCAGAGGGGCTGCGTCTGCTGATGAGTTAGTGCCATTTCTCTCTGTGCCTCTTCCCCTTCTTCAGAGCAAGCTACAAAGGTGGTTTTGTGCATCATACCTGGAAATCACAATTAAGAACTGTCTTGCTACTTTGAGAATGAGAGGAGAAGCCTAAAGCTCCCAAGGGAAAACATGACTGCAAGGGAAGTGAGGAGTGAGCTTTTCTTCGTTCTATTCTGGGCTCAAAAATGGCTACAAGACTCTCCTATTGAGAATACATCCAGGGATCAAAAGGCTAAGGTATAAATAGCAACTACCAGTAAACAATGTATTCATCTGAAAAAGAAAAAAAAGCAAGTTTCCATACTATCACGGTCATAGAGGGAAGATGATTTCTGACCAAAGAAATGGGCTCAAAAAACTAGAAGGATATGCTTAGATTTGCTCTAAGTGTGGTAAAACAGAACAGAATTTCTCATGTGATGGCACAAGCAGGGGCCTTCAGTAAGTGGGGATCTGATCTTTTATAACTGCCATTTTAATTATTGTATATTGAATTTAGTTGGATTTCATATTGTTAGCTGCCCTGAGCACCCTTCAGGGAGGAAGGACTAGGTATGAATTTAATAAACAATAAACACAAATAAACTGCATTAGATAAAATTTCAAAATGCAGTTCCCCACTTAGTGGGGGAAATTGAACGATGAGCTCATCAAAGCAGGGGAAATTAGTGGCAAAATTCTGGTGAGAGAAATATTCAAAGGTAACTCCTCAGCCCAAGGTGGCAAGATGTACTCCTCACTGCTACCACCACCTCACCTGGAAGGAAAGCAAGCGACAGAAGCACACCTGTGCTGTGAACCTGCTCCTTCAGAGAGCATGATCATGTCCAGAAGAAACAATCCTACCATCCCCAAGTCAGCTGTTTAGCAAGAACGGTACATTTGTTGCACTGCACATTGTCTACAGAGGCCTTAAGGTAAATAAAAAGCAAACATGAAGTGAGGGACAGACCTCTGCTTGTGATCCTAGGCAGCTTCTACCAGTCAGCAGACAGTGCCGAGTGAGATAGACCAGTAGTCTAAGTTAGTATAAAGGAAGCTTCATAGGGTATCTGATAACCTACAGGTACTGTCATGTCCAAGACAACAAAAACTTGCTTGTTAACACATGATTTCATCATACCTGGTGGAAGATTCATTTAATAGTCAATTAACTGTTTGGTTAATTAACACAAAGGGGATAATGTGGATAACGCCACTCAATTTCTCTTCCATTAGACAAAAAGCCCTTCAATTTTTAGGCAAGATCGCTTTACCTTAGTAGGATGAAAAAGCCCATTTTACTTACTTGTTCATAATTAAAGCTGTCTAGCATGCCCAGAACAAGACCCTGAATTTCTCCCAGTTTTCCTCTTCCATAGACTGGATCCTGTAAAAAGTATTGCAAGCCGATGTTAATCAACTTCAGTGAAAACAAACTGAAAAACTACTACACACACCAATGCCAGGAGGGGAGGGGCAGATAAGGGGAAATGTTTGGTTAATAGCTATTGACTTCTCTGGCTGCGATAAAAACATACAACCTCTTATCTAATCAAACTGCTAGTGCATGAGAAACAGAGAGATCTATATCTTCTAAATATAGTCAAGTGTTTGTTCACATAAATATTTCTCTGTGACTGAAGTAACAGCACATAACTCAGATAACCCCAAATTCACTCAGGGCAGATTCAGAAGACTATGTGGAGGGTGGTGCAAGCCCCCACATTCTGGATATGCAGTAAGCTTACCTGTCAAAGGTTCTCTTAGTTCGTTGATTCCAAGGTTGCTTCCCAACAAGGTTTACTACAAGGTTCCAGCCTAACAATGCTCCCTAAAAGACCTTGTCCTAGAGATGAATCTGTTTTGCCCAAAAGGGTTTTCCTATCCTTCCAAGCGACTGAAAGGAATGCAGTGAAGAGAATGGAATTTCCCTGCTGAACTCCTTGATTCAATAAGAATTCTTTTCTAAACAATTTTTGGTTTGGTCATGCATGAGATCTAATTAAAGCATGATGACATATTGCCTCAGGAGAGAAAGGTCAACAGGATTTTCATTATTTACAGTTTTATAGTAATCTTGTCTCATACTTTTTATAGCTCTCTGCTTTCCATTTTTTAAATCTGCAGCTCTTGCAGGAAAAAACACACACCCAAATATGTTATTGAAATATGTTCTAAAAGCTTAAAGCAATGCAGCAAGATTACAGTTTTAGCACATGGGAGCTGAACTCAGTTTTAAATTTAAAGTCAACACTTGGGCTTTTTAATGTAGCAGGAAAAGGCAGTGTAAGAACCAGTGGATGAAAATAAAATATGCAGAAATAAAATGTTTTATTCAACAGTAAGGACGAAAGTCCGTATAGTAAAAGCCATGGTTTTCCCAGTAGTGATGTATGGAAGTGAGAGCTGGACCATAAAAAGGCTGATCGCTGAAGAATTGATGCTTTTGAATTATGGTGCTGGAGGAGACTCTTGAGAGTCCCATGGACTGCAAGAAGATCAAACTTCTCCATTCTTAAGCAAATCAGCCCTGAGTGCTCCCTGGAAGGACAGATCCTGAAGCTGAGGCTCCAATACTTTGGCCACCTCATGAGAAGAGAAGACTCCCTGGAAAAGACCCTGATGTTGGGAAAGACTGAGGTCACAAGGAGAAGGGGACGACGGAGGATGAGATGGTTGGACAGTGTTCTCGAAGCTACCAGCATGAGTCTGACCAAACTGCGGGAGGCAGTGGAAGACTGGAGTGTCTGGCGTGCTCTGGTCCATGGGGTCACGAAGAGTCGGACACGACTAAACAACGAACAAAATCTTTTATATCTTCACAACATTCTTGTTGGGAAACTCATTATTATTCCTGCTTTGGAATTGGGGATGGAGACTGAGTGAATTACTACTGCTTCGACTAATCACTCTTTACCAGCAGGTCCCAGGGCAGGTTACAACAATTTAAAATTCAGCATTAAAAAGTTAAAACATAATAGTCACAGGAATAGGACGTGTCCTAAAAATACACATGGTGGAAGGTTTCTTTTAGATTGAGGGCACAAGGAGAAGGGGACAACAGAGGACGAGATGGTTGGACAGTGTTCTCGAAGCTACAAACATGAGTCTGACCAAACTGCGGGAGGCAGTTTGCGGGAGGAGTGCCTGGCGTGCTCTGGTCCATGGGGTCACAAAGAGCCGGACACGACTAAACAACTAAACAACAACAAGGACGATTACTGAGATGCGGGTGGCGCTGTGGGCCACAGAGCCTAGGACTTGCTGATCAGAAGGTCGGCGGTTCAAATCCCTGCGACGGGGTGAGCTCCCATTCCTCGGTCCCTGCTCCTGCCAACCTAGCAGTTCGAAAGCACATCAAAGTGCAAGTTGATAAATAGGTACTGCTCTGGCGGGAAGGTAAACGCGTTTCCGTGTGCTGCTCTGGTTCGCCAGAAGCAGCTTAGTCATGCTGGCCACATGACCCGAAAGCTGTACACCAGCTCCCTCGGCCAACAAAGCGAGATGAGCGCCGCAACCCCAGAGTCGGCCACGACTGGACCTAATGGTCAGGGGTCCCTTTACCTTTAAGGACGATTACAGACCATTTAAGGAGAGTTACCTTTGGTGGACAGGGATAGATATACTCTACAATACAAATTTTATGGAGAAACATTAGTTTTGCACAGCACGAGACTAAGTTGACTGGACTAATCTAGAAGACTCAAATACATGTCAGCAGTGCCTTATAATTAATGACCTAAAGGAGCTTATGCTACTACCTGTAGAGATTAGAGAGGAGTGATAAAAAAAATTAAAGGATTAGATGCCATATTCAGGATTCTTCCAAGTGCTGTACATGACAATTCAGAATACCTGAAAGCCACATAGATTTGTCCCTGTACTCTAGGGACTTGGGGACTAGCTGGATCAGCAACAGTGGCTTAGTCCCAAACATCAACTGTTGTTTTAAAACACTTTCCCTCCCTTTCTCTTGCTATCCTTGCTTCCCACACCTACAATATGATGCTAGATTGCTAAGACACGTGCAGTCAAAGCTGCTTTTTGGACAGGCTCTGAGCCGGGGCGTAGCTAAAAGAAACATAAATGATTATGAGCTACAAACGAGGCTACAAAATCCCCATACACGCCTGTTTGGTTGGGAAGCCTCTACATTAGGTTGTTAAGTTTCCTGTTTAACAAATGCACTCAAGTTATAATTTTTACTAGGTCAACCTAAACCTTCTCCCTGATCTGCAAGGAAGCAGTGGCGCATACCAATGATCCATTCACACAAAGGGAGCGGAGTCTTCTGGGGTCACATTCTGTTTTCAGTAAGTACTTTTCATTTTAGCATGCATAATTTAAAAGCGGCAGCATAGAAAGTGCATCATGCTGAGGCACCATATAAATTATGGAGAGTAACTGGGAAGTCTGGGCCCTTAGCACAGCATGTACGTGATCCATGACATATAGCAAGCTATTTTTATCTGTTAAGCGAGCCAGCTCCTCTTTTCTGAGGCACTCAATTCAAGAGTGTGCACATGTCAAGGGACGCCAAGCGCTAGTTAGAAAGGAAACTGAGGAGGACAGAGGAGCAAAGAGATGGCAGTGAAGACTGTGACATGTATGGATTGCTCCAGACATTAATCCCAGCTGACAAAATGATAACACCCCAGATGTCTTTTTAACAAGCTACAGGAGAGGTGGGGAACCTTAACACCCATAATAGCATGGAACCAGGTTACCTGAAAGACCCACTTCTTCCAAGGTACTTACCCAGACACTGAGACCCTTTTCTAGATCAAGTGAATTGCTACTGGTGGCTAATTGAGAAATGGCCTTTTTCATGGTGACACCTTAGTTAAGGAATGCCCCCCCCCCCCCCGATGCTTGCCTATCACGTTCTTTACTCTTTTCATTACCAGGTGAAGACATTTTTAGATTCCACTGAATTTTATATTCTGCTTCTAGTGTTGTTGTTGTTTATCTTGTTATACTGTTTTACTTGCTGCTGCTGAAGTTTTTTATTTTTATTTATTGATCGATACGACAATCTTTGTTGTCATTGTCCCATGCAGAACAACGAAATTGAAAAAATCTACATCAGACATTCAAAAACCAACAAGCCTGCTCTCCCAGCTTTCCCAGCCTGGTTAGCCCCCTAAAAACTCTGATACCCCATAATTAAATACAATAGACTCCCATAGAGACGATCTTACACTGTGTTTAAAACCAAAATTGCATTTGAATAGAAACTGCTTCTCAGGTGGCTAGTCCTAGTCTTTATAACCCTGTACCTTCTCTTCCAGAAGGCAGAAGCTGAAAGAGATCATTTCCGGGGTGCGCACTGTCCTGCACTATCTCTGCAGCTTTCTTACGGCACCTGGAAGCACAAATTTGATCCAAGGTGGGAAGAGTGCACCCAATTATTCGCTCCGCAGTCTTTACTAATTGTGACAGGGAACTGCCATCAGCTCAGAGGTGAGAGGTGGAAGGGCAGCTGGGTTACAGGGAGCCTCCAAAGATCGTGAGAAGCAGCACTTCCTCCACGGAGGAGGGAAGCCCCGCCTCTAGTGGGGAAGGGATGCAGGGCTCGGAGGATGCAAGAGAGAGCCAAGACACCGGGCATGAGCAAAGTGGGGGGGGGAGGCAGGTCCCCCTTTAGCCACACCCTCTCTGCGCAGTAGGTTTACAGGCAGAGAGGGGAGGCGTTGGATGGGGGTCAAGAGACTACTCTGCTGGGGAAAGTTTAAGGACCGGCCACTCTCAGATTCTGCTAGTGACTGAGCAAGACATGGAATTGAGACGTTCTGCACTGTAAATGTTTTTGCACCAATAATAAAGCCTTTGAAAAGACCAGTGGGGATCTTGCCTGTTTGCTCTCGAGCAACCTCCCCGGTAGGCATAACAAATCGTTTTGGGTTTTTTCATGTTTTGTTATTGTAAGCAGGTCAGAGAACACTGTTTCTGGAGCGGCATGCAGATGCTTCTTATAAAAAGGAAGCAAATGACCCAGAGGAGAGGTGCCTGAAAGACTCTGGGTTTCCCAAATGCTGCTGGTAGACCAGGAACTGATATTACATTTGAAACCCTCCTTTGAAAGCCCTTTAAACTAGGCAGGCAGAGAAGGTCTACACCCAGATAAACAAGCACATTCCAACTCACGGATCTTTAATTACTAGAGATCAGGTCAAATCAAGCTGCACAATATTTTAAAAAGTAGTGTGAATGAGTAAGTTAGCTAGAGGCCTTGCACTAACCAATTATGGTGCAAGGAAAATTGATGCCATTTACATGTTGTGTTTCTTTACTTCTCAAACAACACATGCAACAGGTTATATAATTATAATAATTATATAGCTTAGTGCCTAGCTTAGTGTCCTACTGGTTAGTAGTGGAAGTGAAATATATGCAATATGAATTTTAGCTTTTATACTGCTTATAATGATTTGCCCACAGTTCAATTCCAGCAGCTATAGAATGCTCATTATCACATTAAATAGATATTCTATGCTTAAATGTGCTCAGACACAGCTTTGACTTTCCTACAGGCATAGGGAAATAAAGAATCTTAAAGTTTCCTGCTTCTGGAACAGGGTATACAGTGAGAAACCACAAGATATCTGTTTTAAGAACATTCACAAGGGATTATGGCTTTGTGAAAGATTTAGCACTTTACCTTTCATCTCTATTTAGATACCACTCATCCTCTTAATGGGATAATACTTATCTTAATGTCCCCAAAATTCACTTAATATTGCCCCAAAGCATTTCTTTCATTTTCCTTTTGAATTAATGTTACTAAATCCTCTGATGAGTCAGATTTAGAATTTAAATCTAACATTAATCATATTTAACACTGTTTCAAATGAGTAACTGTAAAGTAAATGCAATGTGAAATCATAACCCGGGTATTTTTGCTGAAAACAGCTCTATAGTATTGCTATGGCATGTGGATTATACCTATTTAAAGCAAGCAATAAAAAAATGTTATTGCCTTTCTTAAAAAACAGACCATTACCAAATATCTTTCTAAGCAAAGAGACAGTTCAATAGTTCAGTCTGTTGGAATGTTCTTGCTATTTACCTTACGCAGGCAGATCTTCTACCCATAGGGCCCTCCTGTGGCACAATAGGTCAGTGCATCTGGCTGTTAACCAGATGGCTGGTGGTTTGAGCCAATCCAGGGATGGCGGTGGGCGGGATTCCTACACTGCAAGGGTTCCCTTCCAACTCTACAGTTCTATGATTCTAAGAAATGCTTACCCTACCCACAAAACTAATTCATTTCAGGGCATACAGAACAGCCACCCCAAATCTGGCACTCTTCAGAAGTCAATGGATTACAATTTTCATTTAGTGTTGCCATACGTCCAGAAGTTCCCGGACCTATGTAGAATACTGCAGTTGGCAGCAGAGTCTGGGCAAAATGTCCAGGAAACTGCTGATGTATAGCCCCCCATGACAGCAGTGGCGTTTTTGCCGATCTTCCATAAAAAATAGCTCAAAAACAGTTTCACAGATAGAAATATGGCAACCCTATTTCATCATCCCTAAACATTGGCGACGTTGGCTGGAGCTGTTGGGAGGTATTAGTCCAGAACATTTCAAGGACATCAGGTTGGGAACGGGTCATGTAGATGATATGCTGTGTCAGTCCAACATTTGCTAAGTGGGTCTGATATATTATTCAAGTGCCAGAAGTAATTATTTCCATCAGCATCTGACAACACCAACAGAAAGTGAGGCCCCAACCAATTGTGCCGCACATATGCAGCCTGACGCATGCCGTCTCAGGGAGTTATCATTAAAGCAAACACAAGATCAAGAAAAGACTCCTATTCTCAAAATGAAAATGGGGCATAGTAAGTAAGTTGTGCTGCTAGGTCTTTTAGGTCTTCCGTAACAAATAAGATCATTCTCCTGTAACGAACTGATTGGTACCAAGGACTTTTATCCTCATGTAAACGCTGTAGCTCAAACTAACAAAAAGCTTGTTAATACAGATTCTTCAGGTTTTGATTCTAGACCTATGCCACGGAAGGTATTTTACCTAGTCTATAAATTACAGTTGACAGCAAGACACTTTGGTATGGGAACTACTGTTCTGAGGTCCAAAATACAACTAAAACAAAAAAATCAATGGAGCTGGAAACTAGGGACAGGAGAGCAAAAGAAAGTAGGCATCAAATTCACACTTTGCCTTTAGAAGCAGAAACTAGAAACTGGTAATAGTGATTAGGATGAGGAGAAAGGCAGCTGTAATTTAGATGAAATAAAAGCAGTGCCAGTTTGAGTCCCCAGAGTAGTATTTCTCCCAAGAACTGAAGGAATGCTAGATAGCAATTTTACAAAAATATTATCAACCTAGATAGCATGAGATTTGGTATTATAAATCATCCACAGAGAAGCTGTAGTGCATCTCAGGGGAATCATGTGTCCAATATAAGGCAAATCTAAAAGCCATTATTTGATACACAACAGTAGGCTTCTGTTTTAGTAGAGGCCACAAGCAAGGCACATAATCTGGACATGGAGCTGCTTTTTAGGTTGTATCTCCAGCAGGGAGCATTGATTTTGTAAAACGTTTTCCAATAAAAGGACAGCAAACAAATATGGCTTTGGCAAAACTAAATATGGGGATGAGAAAGCCATTTAAAGTTAGGCTTTGTTGGATTAAGAGCTAACAAATGCATTGTTTCTTACATGGTTTATAAAATGCAAATGGAACACCCTGAAATGTGTTCTGTTTGTTTTAATTATGTTTTATTGATCTTCCAATACAAAACATGCAAAATACAGAAATCAGAACAAACCTCCTCCAGTCAGTTTTGTTCACCTATGAAGGAATGTACAGAGACCCTGTAACTTTCCCTAGTTACTTCTCAAGGGAGAAAAAAGTAACCACCTCTACTCAGGAGTGGAGCATCTAGTGGGGCAGAACTGCAGCCTTGCTGCCACTTGTACTAAGAGGGGGAAGACAGAAGTACACTCGGAGCTATATAAGTGCATCAGATTGGCTCTTCCACGCTCCCTGTGCAGCCCTGACCTTGCCACCACCTTACCTCTCCCTCTCCTAGTAAATGAAAGTGATGTTGCTGCTGGGAGACTACTGCTATGGCTCTGCCAAACTGGGCAAACCAGTCCTTCCCTCATGACCAAGGAGGTAGCAACTGGGAGAGGACACAGAGGCTTCATGGGTGCCATGGAAGACTTAAGGGTACCATGTTGGTGACCCCTGATGCAAAGCACGAGCTCCACTCACCAAGGTATTCATGTTTATAGTAACAGAAAGAGGACAAAAACTTGTGTAACATTTAGTTTGAACCTCAGTCCTTCACTTACTTCTAATTCTCAGATTCACTTTACTCCAAGTATGAAAGTCTTAGCAATTTTAAAATTATTTTCTACAAAAGGCTACAAAATACCCATCCCAATTCCTATTGGCAGCAGCTGTTTTAATAACGTCAATCCTTCTCACTGTACAACTTTGACTTTACTCAACACACCCTCTGCCACCACCCACAAAACCAGAGGTAATGAGATGAATTCACAGATATTAACACAACGTATCAGGCAAATAAGTAATACCACTTTATACCACGACTTAAGCATGCACATATAAAGGCATATTTCACTTAAAAATACATTATCAGTACATTATCTCACCTGTAGAATTTTCTGCAAGATCAGTGGCAGGGCAATGAATGCTGCCATGTTGTTCAACACTTGCATCGTCAAGTTCTTCAAAACTGGTAGAACAAATACATCAGAGTCATAACTAACAGGAGCAAATGCTATTCCAGTGTGTGTGTTTTTAAGTCATGATATCTAATAGAAAATGGATTCTCTGGTGCATGTGGATGGTGAATGGAGACAATTCTTTTCTGTGATTATTTAATTTCAGATGAATTTCTGTGGTGCCTTAAACAAATGCTCTCCAGTTTAGAGGTATTTCCACAGAAACTCCTCAATATTATATCCACAGGGAGAAGGGCAATTCAGTATCAACGTCTGAAGGCAAAGGAAAATAGAGCTCCTGAAGCTTTAATGTTGAAAAATGTTTCCCATGTCATACCCCACACATAATTCAATGCTCAAATTCATTATTGTTACTATGGAAAAGAGGAACAGAGAGAAATAACCAAGCTTCAGAGTACAGAAACAGAAGCCAATACGCAAATGCACTCATGACATAACAGCTGCGAACTGGAGGACCCTCCTGAACAAAAGGTGAGCAAAACCCTCCTGCCCTAGGAGTCTTCATATGGGAGCTGTCGCTAGAAGAACTGTGAGGGGGATTTCTGGTCTTTTCTGACAAGGTATACAAGATTTTGGGGAGGGAGGGAGTTGCTGGGCACCAGTGAAATCAGTTTTGGGGCTACTTTGAAGGTATTGGATGTTGTCATCTGGCCTACTGATAAGCTTTATGCTTACATTTTTGATGTATTTTATATGCACTGCCAATTATTGAATTGTTAGTGTTATGGCTCAGTGACAAAGCTATTCACATTCTCACTCTCAATTACTTGGCTTCAGAGAACAGGGTCTGAAGTACACATTGTTATGGATATTTTGGCGCTTACATTCAGAGTAATGACACAGCGCAGTAGAACTGGATAACTTTTGGGGAGACATCATTGCTTCTAAGAGTGGAAACCACAGTGCCTAGAAAAGAAACAAAATGGAATCCCATGAGTCCATACACCTGAATCAGGCAAGAGTTTGGCCCAGGAGTGGGCCCTGCCACTAGACAGAGTGAGGCAAATGCATCCGATGACAGAAGCTTGTGCAGGAGAGGATTGGCAGCCCCATGGTTATTGCTCCTGTACCCCACCCTGCGTCACTGCCCTTATTGAAGGACAAAGCTATATATGCCATAGTCTGTCCCGAGAACCTAAGCTAGCCAGGTGCCTCAGGTGCTGTGGAGGATGCTATTCTATTTTCAGTGGAAGAAAGATTCAACTTTCAATACAGTCAACTTCTGTATGTGGAATAGAGAAGGGGGCAGCCATCTTGTTCTTTGCCTTAGGGAGCAAAATGTCATTGGCTGGCTCCATCTGACCTCAGGTCAAACTAACTATTATTAAGTACTAATTATTATTAAGACAATTTATATATTTCTTACATTTAAGCAAACCTCTCCAACATAGATTAAAACATCTTAAATAAACTATAAATACAAAATATTCTAGAGAATAACAGTACAATTGCCAGTATTAGAACAATTAACCTTATCTGGTTTTTGTATAGGATACACCTGAATCAGACATGGGGAATCCTAGGGTGCTCCAGAGGTTGTTAGACTGAAACTCCCATCACCCATGGTCACTGATTATAGTGGCAGGGGTTGATGGGAGCTGGGAGTCCAGCAGCATCTGATGGAGCTCTGGTTTTCCATCCATGACCAAACTAGATGTTATGGTAAACTTAAGGTTGTCGCTGAGAACAACCACCACACAAGCAACCCCTTTCCCCCTCTACAATAACTACCAGCACTTCTCTTGAGTCATGATGTTCTGCTTTCCATATCCCCACCCCACATCATTGGCTGTCAATGGTGCTGGTGGGGTCAGGGAAACTTGGTGTCTCACAATGTCACAACTCAAAATACTGGATGTTATAGAGGGGGAGGGGGAAACTAGATGCATCTTTCTCACAGCAGCCCCCCAGTTACAATAAGATGAGCTTAATGGAAAACAAGCCAAGCACTTCCTAGACTTCTTACCTCTCGCTGTGGTTGATTTAACTTATGTGAATTCCTCTGGCAAAGTGCAATTGTTTTTGCTAAGCTATCTTCAATATCCTTTAATGAAGGAAATTCTATTGAACCTTGATTTAAGGAAGAGATAGCAATTAGATACTAATCTGGCAGTTAAATCAGACAGCTAAAATCAATGTGGGGGGAAATAATCACATAACTTGACTGTAAATTAAGTTTGTTCTATACCCTCACAACCATGTCATAATAAGGGAGCTTCCCATGGAACAAGTTAATATTTTAGAGGGGAAACATCAGGACGGGGGTGGGGCACACACACACTAGGCTGTTTAGGGTTTTATTTATCCTTCTCCAATATGAGCAACTTCACCTATACTGTTTATTACTTGGTGGTGATCTGCTGCCATTCTACCACATTGACTGGTAGAGCTCTGTAAAATAACCATACAGACATGCCTATAACATTTGGCTCAGATGCCACATAAGTTAGTTACCTCTTCATTGAAAACAGATGCTTTAAGCCAAAGTTCTTCATAAGTTACTATTATTGTTTATACAACTATTAAAACCATTTAATTCAATAACAAAGTCATAATGGTTATCCAAGCAGTGAGGGTCTTACATCCCCAAATTGTCCAGTCTGTCACAATATCCAAAAGATGTTTAGAAAACCTTACTTAGGTTAGGGAGATTATGGGATGAATTACATTACCCTGAGTTCCATGGCTGCTTATATTTGGTAGGAGGTGATCTTGTGTTGCTACGAACATTTGCTTTGAGCTGATTTTATGAAATACAAAAGAAAACACCCAAAAGGCCCAGGCAATCTTTTTAAAATAAATGTTCACCTTAAACTACCTAATTCATTTATGGTAGCATTCTGCCAAGTTACTACAGAGCAAAGACAAGCTCTAAGATATATTTTAAATGTGAACTGACTGACTACATTTGGCTTCTCTGACAAATTCAATCATGCTTTTCTCATTTATTTTTTTCTTTGTAAGCAATACAGTTTCTCATAAAAAATATATTCAGTTCATTATTTTCGAACAACTGTTTGACAGCCTGTTTTAACTTTACTTGTATGAGATGAAGACTGCATAGGAAGTAGGCACATAAGCCTGGTTCAGTCCAATCTATTCCCTCCCGCTTTTTGTCTTGTGAAAGGTAAGAAACATGCAAACCAGGTCTCCATGTGGATTGTGTGCCTCGTGCATTACAATATGTGTATGGTGGAAGGACGTGAACATACAACTCAGCTGAGAACTGCTGTAACTCTAAGCATATGCACCAGGCTTATACCGCTAAGTGACAGGAGCTTCCTATGGTGAAATTGGGTCCATGGTATAAAACTCTTGTCATCTAGAACCACATGGATAGCAAACATATGAGGTTTGCAGTAGAGAAGTCTGAGAAGTCAGAGTTTATTCTTCATTGCATGTCTAGATCAGACTTCCCTTTGAAATTAAATCCTAAGAGCATCTCCAAATCAGCCATTTATTTCCCTGGGCCATTTATGACATTTCTAAAATGCCTTCACCAAATGGTTCTAGTGTAGAAATTACCAGCAACAGATAATATTTGCATGATAAAAAGAAGCACAAGCCGGAACAACCTCCGTTTTTGTCAATGTGATCTACTTTTGTGATTTTTCCACGGCCCAATGGCAATGCAGACTGGAGTGCTAGCGCCATGTGGCTGGACCCACACATTAAATTCCGGGGGGATTAAAATGGTGGTGGGGTTACATAAAGGAACATGGGCCCTGGCCAGATCCAGCACCAGCAGTGCTTCTCCCCTGCAGGGGCATTTGGCAGTGTGTGCCATGTGTTGGTGCCCAGCCTGATATGATGCACGTGTGCAAATTCAGCATTTCTTACTTTAAAAACACATTACAAGCTCAAGCCCACTAATCCAGGAGGAGAGTGATTAGTAACACTGAAGCAAGAGATAAAATGCAATCATCTTTGTCAAGGGGACGTGGTCTAGACTTGCTCTGACAGAGCAATAAAAAGCTAATCAATTCTTCTATTATTCTCAGCTTGATATTATTTGAGTTTTACTCTCTTCAAAAAAGTCACATTTCCTGAAAAAAGGAGGAAAGCTCAATTTTAAAAACTTACTTTCATCTTCACATGTAAGTGTCAACAACTTGCTTTGTAGCCACTGCAGAAAAACACATAATCGGTTGAACTCACAAGGCCTTCATACAGGATTTTCTACTGCCAATTATTCTGCCCCCCCCCCTTAAAGTTTCCCTGACTTCAGAAGAGTTTACATAGTGGATAACATGGGGAGGGGTGCAGGAGGACCAGATAAGGTAGCCACCTTTTTATTTTCAATTGGTACAATCAGCATTATCTCATAGTTAACAGCAATTCCATTCCTTTCATTTTGGAATGAACAAGGGGCACAAGAGCCGTACTTTGGGATTTAGCTTACTTCCCCTAATGTCCTTCTAATACTGGATCATTACAGTCTTGGTACTGGTCTTAAGTGCTAATTCTGTGGCTAATTGAAGGCCAAGACTGGCTAGGCTGACTAGGCATGATGGATGCTGTTAAGTTGAGCAATATCTACATAGAGGGCCAGAGTCTGGTTCCCCGCACCTGCTTTAGAGTGACGTCCAGACATGTGTAGCTTAACTCAAGTGACAATGGCATCATACAGTAATATTTCTCTGTTCTTGCTCCTCACTGTTTGCTGCTGCTAGGAGTTGTGAGAAAACAATCAAAATAATGGCATCAGGTAAACTGACTTATTTGGCATTAGACATGTTTTTTGGGTTAAACCTTCCCTCTAAAGGTTTCCAGTTCCAAATCTAAAGTTATAATCAAACAGATAGTATTTATTATCATAAAAATATGGACTAAAATATGTAAGTGACTGTATATGGAGAAAATATGGCAAAATGTCTTCCGAGATGTGGAATAAGCTGAGGTAAATATAGAATTGTAGAACTGGAAGTGACACTGAGGGCCATCTAGTCCAACCCCCTGCAATGCAGGACTCTCAACTAAAGCATCCATGGCAAACAGTCACCCAACCTCTGCTTAAAACTTCCAATGAAGGAGAGCCCAACACCTTCTGAGGGAGTCTGTTTCACCGCCGAACAGGTCTTACCATTAGAAAACAGGTACTTGTTCTTAGTTACTAGGTCTTACTAGCAGAAAGTGACTGAAGCATTTCAAAGTAGTTTTTAGTCAACTATACCTCAAGCATAACTAGGAAGGCACCATGAATATCTCCTTTCTTCTCAAGTAGATAGGAAGAAGCTTCATGAAGTTGGTATTTCTGTGTGATCTGAACAAAAATTATACAAAGGTGATTTTAGTTATGGTCTCTATAATTAAAAGTTTGGGTATTTAAAAAACAGACTTCAGGTAACAAGCTCAGGACCCTCAAGTTGCTATACTATAAATATTCTAGTGTAAGTGATCATTCAGTGGTTCCCATATTTTTTTCTTCTGCCTGGTGAGTATAGCAAGAGAGAGAGAGAAAAAAAACCTTGAAGGTGGGGATTCATTAGAAACAGAATTGTTAGAACCCAAAACTAAAAATTTGTCAAGAATGTATAACTTGCTGTTGAAATGGAATACTCAGGATGAAACGGTGAAATCTGCTATGATTAAATGGGCACAAGATGTTGGACATAATATTATGTTCGCTGACTGGGAACAGTTATGGACCACAGGTATGAAGTTTACGGCATGTAATGCCTTAAGAGAGAATATTATGAAAATGATATACAGGTGGTACATGACCCCAGTCAAGCTTGCAAAAATTTATCATTTGCCCGATAATAAATGTTGGAAATGTAAAGAAACTGAAGGTACATTCTTTCACCTTTGGTGGACGTGCCCAAAGATTAAGGCTTTCTGGGAAATGATATATAATGAACTGAAAAAGGTATTTAAATATACCTTTCTGAAGAAACCAGAGGCCTTTCTCTTGGGCATTGTCGGCCAACTGGTGCCAAAGAAGGACAGAACCTTTTTCATGTATGCTACAACAGCAGCAAGAATACTTATCGCAAAGTATTGGAAGACACAAGATCTACCCACTTTGGAAGAATGGCAGATGAAGGTGATTGACTACATGGAATTGGCGGAAATGACTGGCAGAATCCGAGACCAGGGAGAAGAGTCGGTGAAAGAAGACTGGAATAAATTTAAGGACTATTTACAGAAATATTGTAAAATTAAGGAACTTTAGAAGGATGCTGGATAGAAATTAAGAGGTTTTTAGCTGTAATGCTTTAAGAGACATGGGGGGAAAAAAAAGGTTAACAATTGGGTAAAAGATTAATGGTAAGGATTTGCTGAACCAACAAACTGAATTGGAATACAAAGAAGGGAGGTATGAGGAGGTCTGGGGAAATAAGAGTAAGGAAGATAGGTTATGGAACATTAGTGTGTTTTTAACTGTTTTATTTTGTATGTTTTTTCTTACTTTTTGCTTTTTTGCTGTAATTTATACTTTTTTCTTTGTTTTCTGTATTTTTGTGAAACTTTAATAAATATCATTTAAAAAAAAAAAAAAAAGAAGGTGGGGATTCAGTGGAGAAAAATGGTAAAAATGGAAAGTGCAAAGCACATCATCTCCACCTACCTTCCCTCCCTACCCAAGGAGCTACTCTTTCTTTGTAAATTTCTTTTAAAAAGGGGAAATTTCCATAGAATTCTTGAGTAATGCACTTTGGCCCCAAGAATTTCAAAGGCCTTTCCCATCATAAAAGAGCATTCTAGTTTTAAGAATGTATTATGAAGCCTCATCAGTTGTAGTCTTGTGTGATATATGAAAGTGAGATTGCCATAGCAATAGCTTCACCTACGGAAAAAATAACGGGGTCACATCCCAAACAGAAGAAGCTCTTGCTAAAACCATTTGGAAGCTAAACCAGAAAACTACTGATTAACTTGAGTTTAGGTACAGTGTCAACAACCTAATAGCACTACAGCATACAGGACAGCATGATCAAGGCATGCATAAGTTAGATTGGCTCCCACTAGTCCCAGACAGAAAACCTCCCACTTATGCTTAGCTGTAAGAACTGGTCCAGGTTTGAGCACAGTTAGGCATAGGAGAGGACAGAGCAGGTGAAGGGGACTGAAAGGGCATCACATGAATAAAAGGGCACCTCGAGCCCTGCAACTGGTCCTGCCTCTGAAAACCAGCTTTCTCTGCCCCTGCCCTTTCTCTGCCCCTGCCACCGGTGTTGATGCATCAGAGGTCAATGTCTGAGCTGGGGAAGTCTACACAAGTAGGCTATCTTGAGAGTCAGAACTCAGATCACACAGGATTCCAGCTCCCATAGAGGTTCACACAGATCGATTTGCCTGCTTCAGACATCTACACCTCATGCATGGAAATCAGGAGTAAGGCTGGGGGAAGCTGCAAGACTGCGAGTGGGGCCAATGAGGCATCCTTGAAACCCCTTTTGTCACCGATGCCTGTTCTTCCACATACCATGTGAAAGGGCCTAGCCAACGAGTGAAAACAACTCTTGCAAAACTTCTATTTCCCTCCAATTCCAGCCCAATTTCCAAGCTTTCCTACTTTACCTGAATTGCCTCTTCCAGCCTGTAGGACTCCAGGAATTGCAAAGTCTCTAAAACCTGGTCAGGATCATACTGACACAGCAACTCAATAAACTGCTCAGTAACGAAGGGAGAAAGCTGAAGCAACTCTTGATTGACACCTTCCCTGAAACAACAAATGGCACATTGCATTTGGGATCTGACACATTTTAGACAAACACAGAAGACTGTGCAGAGTAGGCAACAAAACAGAGACTGACACTGTAGGAGGTGGGGCAGTCATCCCCCCCCCCCAATCACCTGAATATGGCTGGGGCATTGCCTGTGTCAGGGATGTGTTTGTGCACTGGCAGGACCACTGATCTGATGCTCCCACCAGCACATTCACACAGCCTCTGCATCACCTCTGCCCTGCTAACCAAAAGAATCACCAGTGCCAGGAAGGTGGCTATGCTCCACCTGCCCCCACTGGACTGGACTAAGTCTTATTGTTAGTATTCATAGCATAAAGTATGACTGGCTTCTACCAGTTCATGGAAAGCGATTTGGGTCCAAACAGCAAAGCCAGGAATAAGAGAAACAGAAACAAGGGAGATCATAGGAGATGGAAGCAATATATATGGACTTGAAAGCTGAAATATAGCCAATGATTTCAGCATGAACAGAAAAATCTTAATAGGTTTATTCACTGGAAAACTGTGGAAAGTCACATAAAGCAGGGCTAAAGTGTACTGCATTACCACAAGGGATAGAGGGCATATTAGTTGCAGTGCACAAACAGGGTTGTTGTTTTTTCAAAACAGGTTAATATGTTGGATATCATTTGATATAGAGGCAAACTTGAAAACTATCAGAGCAGAAAGTATATCCACAAGCTAAACATTTGCCTTCATATCAGTGTGCATGTTCATCTTTCACCCCAGATGGTGATTTTACTAACATTTTACTAAAACTGAGATTTTATCCTGAAGAGAGTAGCCTATTGTCTGAACTAGAGAGGATTTCGTGACAGCGCATTTGGGCTAGATTCCTTGCTGTGGTGTAACTACAATGAAGGGACTGGAATTACAGAGGGGATTAGTCTGGCACATTTAATTTAGCCAGAGATTTATTCTAAAATTGGTACAAGGCCAGTTGACTGGAGATGGGGAGGGGGGATGTGGAGGTATAAAATTGCCTTGGGAAATAAACACAGCCAGGAGTGCTTTTGCCCATGACCAATGAGCAGTTGTACCACAAAGCATATTGCTACAACTCCCACAAGCAACCCGCACACCGTTTAAAATGTACTTTTCTCTGAAATGACATTTCCTCTTACAAACAAGTGGTACACAAAATGGAAAGTTGTGTTACTTGATTGCACAGAGGCCCCCGGAAAGGGCTTCCGTGGGATGACTTCCACCGGTGATCATGGCATCCTAGTTCCTAGCAGAGATTTAACGCCAGAATCAGCCCCCTCTTGGATGTGGCTGTGCTGGCACAGAATCTCTGTGACAGGAACCAGAATGAGGATGCAGATGGTACTATATGTTTCAGTCTCTAGGGAGGCAAGTCATCACAGAGAAGCCTTGTCTAACAGACAATCTGATGAAAACAATGGGATGAATTCAACACAGCCCTAAGTGAAAGTCTCTTAGCAGTGGACCAGCTGCTTTAGTTTTGTGCAATGAAAGGTGCAGAAAGCCAACATGGTTCTCATGGCTGGATGCACAACATATTGCTGTAGCCCCAATACTTCCTGCAGTGCCAACTTTTTGCACAACATGCTTCTGCTAGCAACTGTTGTGCAGTATGAAATCCAGTGCAAACATTATCCTTGCCCCTACACTAGCGCAACAACCCTTGCAACAGCAATTAGAAAACACTGAATCTGGGTCAATGTCTTCTGGGTGGATAAGTGGGCGATGTAGCTTCTATAACTGCCCATGTTTCAATAGACCATTTTGCTTCAGTACTCTGATTTGATTTTTTTTTAAGTGCTGGGGCAAACAAGCTGGACCATCAGCTAGTAATGCACTAGCAACAACAAAAATCTGAGAAGGTAGCTAGAATAGCAAAATCAAAAACAACTGGAGGCACAGTCTTGTCAGGCTTGCAGCTTATTGCTCTGTGCTTATTGAAGCTATCCTTTTCAAGCACACAGGCTCATCTCCCAGGAACTATTTGCATTTACTTGCATGCATTTAACTTGTGCACATTTAACTTTATGTGCATGGCAAAAAATCTAAAAATTAAAAGAGGAGGCAGGGTTCTGGGGAAAATGACTTTGGCAGTCCCACACACCATTGAGCCCAATGGGTTTTGTATACATGATTTTGGCTGTAGGTGTAATCCCCGGAATGTAACCCCTGTGTAAATTGTGGGCCTACTGTATATCTTTGCTTCCTACACTACAGTCCCCTTAACAGGCATTTCTTGCCAAATCTGGTTCCAGTTCTCTTCTACAAACCCACTGCCTTGGCCCTGCATCTCTAATACATGTGATTTCCCAAAGTTTAAGCAGAGGTTTTCAAAAAGTATAAAGAGGGATTTTATAAATTACAAAAGCAGTATGAATAACTGGAGTACCCAATTAAAGCTACTTTAAAAGAATTAAGAAACTGCTTTTTTAAAAAAGACACACAGGCAAGAGTTCTTGGACTTGAAGCCACTCTCCCCCTGTTCACTGTAAAAAGAAAGAGAGACACACTTAAGTAGGCTTATAAACCATCTAAGAACTTAAGAACTGCAGGGCCAATCAATGCAATGGTTTTGAAGTTGAAAAGGCATCCCATGAATTGTGTTTCTTTAAAAAAACAAAAACCCAGAATGCTTAGCAAAGTGCTGAATGGCATGGCACTGAAGTGGGTAAGGCTTCACATATAGCTGGGGGGAAGGGGGCAACAAGCAGGCCCAACCCCTCTTTAACAAGGGAATGAGTGCGAATGTGTTTCCCATCTTTGTCTTCCAAAGCCCTACACTTCACCAAATGCATAAAAATACTTCAAAAAAACCCCAACATTTCCCAAGTAAGATGACCAAATTTAACTACTTTAGAAATGCTGATTCAGTTAAAACTTGGCACTCTGTAGCGAGTGTTGCCTGGTGGTTAGAGGATTTGATAGTAAGGAAGAACACTATCAGACACTAACACAATCCCACTCAGCGGGAGAAAACTGTTGCCTCGACAAGAAGAATCTTCTAAATTTTCAGAAACAAATGTTGCCTCTGTTCATTAACATCTGCAACAAAAGGTTAATGGAAATATTTTGGTTCCAAAAACTAAAACGGAGTAACCTAAAAAGGAATAAAAACATTTTAAAAAAATCAAAATGGAATCTGCAATCTGTATACATACCTTGGGTCAAGTAGGCTCCTCAAAAACTGGAAAAGCAAACATTGATCCTGACAAACAAGGAGGAGAAAAAGTTAATGGAACATTTGCAACTGATATAGCAGTTGTTTTAAACTGTATCAGATGGAAATAGGGATTCACCTTGGCACAAAAAATACTGCATATCATGCCCCCAGAAACTAAAAGAACTAGGCCTGCTGTGTATATGAATGAAAATAAAACTAGGATTTGCAAAATAGCATGTTTCAGAGGGTGAACATCATATCATAACCTTTTGTACTTTTATTTAAACCTCCAGGTGAAACATTCAGGCCAAACAATCTAACACTCAGGAGACGTCTCTTAATTTCCTACATCATTTTTTAAAGTTATTAAGATGTTGGTAACAAAATTATCCAAGAGCTGGACTGTATTCAGTGGGGGACAAATTAAGTTAACTGGTTCAGCAAAAAATTATTTGCCAGCTGTTTCAGTGGCTCAGTGACAAGTTCTCCATCGATGAATGTAATGAGTGTTTAGAAAAACAATTTTAGACACCTTGTCTTGGCTGAACATTTATATTTGTGCTGCACGCTAAAGAGTAAGAGGAATTTAGCAGGATATTTCTGAAAAATAAATCAATGCCTGGCCCAGAAAGTAACTTTCAAATGATGAACAGATTCCTTCTGTCCAAACCAGATAGAATGAGGACAGACCTTCATATCCATTTTTTTTAAGAAGCTTGACTTTTACAACAATACTGTGATGAGAGAAGCTAAATTCTCCATCTGCCCATTTCCCCAGGGACTTTCACCCTAGTCTAGCTCAATATGCCTTCCATCCCTTTCCTCGAAGGGATTAAATAAAGAAGTCTGGAGCAATGGAGTATGGTGGAGAAAGGCAGGGGGTCAACTTAAATACAATCCTGCAAAGCATAACCTCATTCTCCCCATCCATTCTCCAGGATGTCTAATATATAATTAAGGATGTAACCCTATGCACGCCTACTTGGAGTATGCCAGTTAAAATTAGTAGGACTTACTGCTAAGTCAACAGGCATAGGATCAGGCTGAAAGAGAGCTCCTTTGCCACTACAACTTTCACAAATTGCCCAAGAAGCTGAAAACTGCTGCAGATAGGAGGACACACTGTGCAAATGCCCTACTACAAAAACGGCTTTTCCTAACAGGAACACTTCAGGACCACGAGAGAGGAGCAGGAGGTAATGGAGGAGGAGAGGAAAATGACTTTGAAGTGGCTCAGGAAAAGCTTTTCACTACAATAAAAAAACCAACCTAAAAGTGGCTGATAATTTGAGGGATTTAAAGAAGAGGGTAAGACTTGCTCTGAACATGGGGAAAAGGATTAGGTAAGCAATACTGTCAAAGGGGTTGGTATCTAGCCTAGTGACTCAGAAGTATAGCCATGTATGCCACACCGGTTGAGCAGATACTGGTGCAAACCCAAGAAAATAAAATTTAGAACATTTCCCCAAAGAGTACAGTCATTCTGTCACTGCTCATGCATAGATTTTGTGCTCCTTTGCGAGACATGCTTTCTCGGCAGCCCCAGTCCTAGTTTGACAATTCCTAATTTTTAGGCAACTGCCCAATGCAGTAATTTGCAGCCCTCTCTTAATAGAAAACTTCTTCTCAATTTAAAGACTGAGTTGACACGTTACCTGAAGGTTCTGAATTATTTGTTCAATCTGCTCACTGAAGTGAACTGAAATCAGATCGGCTGCTTTAAAGGGACTCACTGACAGCAGCTCCTGTGCAAAGGTTGAAAAAAATAATTGTTCTTTTATCCCTACTAATGCAGAGATTATACATACAGTAAAATCAAATACCATAGGACACACTCAGAAATCAATTCTGTTTGAAATATGTTCATAAATCAACAAGGTGATAAAGTGACAGCTAAAAATAAGAGGTTGTTAACGCAGTGGTAACAACTGTTTCTTCAATGAACAGACATGGAAGCTGAAAAATTCAGGTTTTCTCTATTCAAAATTCCTACAACCATCTCACTGCCTTCTATGTACATTCAAGCAATTTAGCTTAACTTTGTGCTGAATAGTCAGGATGTAACCAGTATGATAATTGTTTTCAGAGCACATAACGTATAGGATAATGGTGTGAACTGGTTTTCACACACAACTTAATATTTGACTACAGCAGGCAGGCAGTCTTGTTCAGCTAGAGAATTTGGATGTAACATTAGTTGGGGTTGTTTTCTTGAGCACATTTCGACAGGAACAAAGTTCCTCTAGAAAATCAGTGGGCTCAATGCAAGTTATTTATATATAAAATGTATTTAGGTGGAATGTCACTGACATCAACAGAGTTAAATCCAGTTTGAACAATTTTGCTTAACTAGTTTGTAGGCCCAGTTTTCGGGATGTTTTAGAAATAAGCATACATACATTTCATTCAACATATTGTATTATTTTAGTAGATTAGCTAGCAGCTTATACTTCCATGCCTAGTACCTGAAATAATACTGATTACATGTATAGAAATTAGCCAATGAAAGACAGTGGAATTCAAATTAACTCAATCCTGCTTTCATCTTATGAGAACATACCCAGAGGCTAAAAAGCAGCTCTTTTCCCACATGCATACATTCCTTTCTCATCCTTACTCTTAATGTTCTCCTCTGGCTGTACTCAGCAGGATTCACAATGAACCATGCTGATATCTTTATGAATTTTCTTCTCTTCTTATAGCTCCCAAGATGGAAAAAGTCATAACACGGCCTGAAGTATAGCTGTTTCGTTCCTTGTTGTAATATGTTGCAAATTCATACTCACATAACTAGTTTCCAGGTTCTATTTCTTGGTCATGCTGAGCTTCAGGTATAGTACATCCACGGAGGATGTGCACACATTGGACCAACTGTTACATTTCTCCCACATAACAAGAAGCTAGCAGCAGTCCTGCAAATAGGTCTCCATCTATCACTGCCCCTAGACAGGCTGAATTCCTGACAGGGAAAGGAGGAGGACCCCTACTTCCCAAGCAGAGGAACCCCTCCTCAATGTAGGCAAGGTATTTCCCTGATAAGGCCAGTCATCTTCCCAGGGAAGAGTAACAGAGATAAAACTCTGTCATGTCAAACTGACAGGCACTTAACCAATGTATAAAAAGCAACACACTGGTGAATATATTTTTTCCCCAACTGCTTTACTGCACATCGACTCTGTTGACCTTAACAATGGGATTCTTTCAAATGAGTTTGGAAGTTCATGGAAATCACGGGCCTAAGTTACTCACTTATACTTCATGGTATTATTAGGACTAATAAAAAGTAATAATCTATGTCAAAGAGTTCAGAGCAATTTCCATGAGGATTATTCAATTGTGTGTGTGTGTGTGTTTATATTCTTAACTGCCTTGTGATTTCCGGATGTAGGATGGTATAGAAATTTTAATTTTATAAATAAATTTCTTTCTGAAAGCTTATAAAGCCATACTTTTTCTATACATTGTTACGGTCACAGTGGTAAGGACTAGCTTCAAGCTCTAGGCTGAGAGCTCTATGGGATTTTCCAACTGATCTTGATATGTGAAGGTAAAGGACCACTGGACAGTTAAGTCCAGTCAAACGCGTCTATGGGGTGTGGCGTTCATCTTGCTTCAGACCGAGGAATCAATGTTTGTCCATAGACAGCTTTCCAGGTCATGTGGCCAGCATGAATAAACCGCTTCTGTTGCAACAGAACACTGACAGAAACCAGAGCGCACGGAAACAGCGTTTACCTTCCCACCACAGTGGTACCTATTTATCTATTTGCACTGGTGTGCTTTCGAACTGCTGGGTTGGCAGGAGCTGGGACAGAGCAACAGGAGCTCACCCCACCAGGCAGATTCTTGATCACTGTGCTAACAATGGCTTTGTTGACCTGAGGATGGCCGATTACCAGGGGCATTAAGCTGCTCTGCACGGTGAATGGCCTGAAGGACCCAAGAGGCCAATTCATCACCTGCCAACTCACTCTACATCCAAGCTTACTATTCACAGCTAAAATAAATGCTCTTGTTCAGATTCACTTTGAGAACTGCTGGTTTAGGTACAGGATCAGAATTGGGAGTATTAGAAGCAAAGGCTTGTTCCTTTGTGTAATTCAGTTTTCACTAATAAACTCTTCCTGGGAAGATGGTGTTGGAGGGAGCATGAATAACAAAGTGTGTACTGAATTAAAAGATATTCTGACTAGTGAAAGACAGCTAGAACAAATGGGCCAGTTTGAGTAAACAATTAATATCATAAATCCATAATAGCTATGTCTTTCGTTCCATAATGACTGAAGTTATTATCTAGAGTGCTTTAAAAAAAATACAGCTGTAACTATTTCTTTTAGCTGTTTTTTTTTTTAAGGTTTCCATTTTTGTTTTTAAAACCGGGCAGAGAGTATAATTTAAAAATATAAATAACCCAAAAAGGGCATGCCACCCAACCTGCCTGCCAGATCCCTAATTAGGCAGATAAATTAGGTTTACCTTAAAATGAATAATCAGTTAATCTAAATCATACCTCAATGTGTTTCATAGCTTTTTGCCACACAGACTGTTTTTCTTCTGTGTTATATCCAGGAATGGAGAGTATATTGTGGATATAAGTGAAAACTTCTTCCTTTAAAGGCAATAAATGGGAAGGATGAATAAATAAATAAATCACACACTAATCTGATGGATGTACTAACCCAACAAATCTAAAAATCAATTCCTGTATAATTCATTGCATGCTGAACTGCCTTGTAAATGCAAAATGGCAAGGAGAATGTATTTTAGGGGTTACTCCCAGATCAAAGCCTCCTTGAAAATCAAGTACCTCCCCCCTCACAAAACATGCAGAAGTGAAGATTTCATCTGGATTCTCTCAGTGATTACTTTTGTGTCCATTCAGCCTTACCTTTCTCAATGGATCTCGTAAGTAGCAATCAATTATCTTATCATAGCGATGTTCCCGTTCATACATAAACTCGCAGATTTGATAGCTGAAATAAAACAATGTTATTTATTCATTTCAAGATGTTAGCTCTTTTCAGGTGTCAGAAACTGAAGGGAGCCACGTGGCTTCCAGGCATAACGCATCTTCTGCAAGCAATACATTTTCCTTTTTCTGTCTTAATACTTTAAGGATAGACACAATTCATAAATTTCTTAGTATACATTCTACCTATGGTCAGTGGAAGCCTGATTGGGTTATTAATATGAGAGGCTTTAGATTGTTGTTGTTGTTGTTGTTTTAGAGTGAGCTTCATGGCTGAGTGAGGATTCGAACCCTCCTCTCCCAAGTCCTAGTCCAACACTCTAAGCATTAAACCACATTATTTTTTAAAGGAAAAGGCAGAACAAGGTATGTGAGATCTCCTTTTAAATCAAATTATCTGACTAGGAGACAGGTAATGAGCTGGACCCCTCCAGGATATGGGTGGCCTAGAAGATATGCAATCTAGTAACATCTAGATCAGGCATCCCCAACCTGTGGCCCTCCAGATGTTTTGGCCTACAACTCCCATGATCCCTAGCTAACAGGACCAGTGGTCAGGGATGATGGGAATTGTAGTCCAAAACATCTGGAGAGCTGAAGGTTGGAAATACCTGATCTAGATCAGTGTTTCCCAAAGTTGGGTCTCCAGCTGTTTTTGGACTACAATTCCCATCATCCCTGTCCACTGGTCTTGCCAGCTAGGGATGATGGGAGTGATAATCCAAAAACAGCTGGAGATCCAACTTTGGGAAGCACCAATATTCCAGCAGAGATTTAACAGGCACCCTTACTTAGTAGGATTGGCCTTGTAAGCCAAATTTGACAAGGATCTGGGCCCATGTAACCAAAAGAGGTTCCCTACCGCTGCCTTAAAGCATTTCTTCCCAATGGGAATTGTGCTTACCTTTGGGGTTTCCAAAGGACTTCTAAGACTTTTGGATTGGCGGTAGTTTATTATTTATTAATTTCATTTAAAACTTGCTGTTCCACAATAAATGTACTAGAAGCAGCATACGAAAGTAACAAACGATTAAAAAAAGAATAGTGACATTACTTTAACTAAAAGCAGCAGCAGCAAGTGGACTAACAAAATAGTGGTCCAGGCAGATAACAGTGCAAGTCTATACATATCTTCTTAGTCAAATGGGGTCTACTCCTCCTAATTAAATGTATATAGCATTGCAGCCTAAGCCCTCTTACAGGTTTGAGCTATGTGTTTACTCCTGTGATAATGTCCTGGGATGGGTTAAAGATAACAGAAGCAGCACTTACAGGTACAATATTTTCTCTATGGCACATCTACTCCAATGTTTCCCAGTATATGATACCAGAATCAAATCTAGCAGACTGGGACTGGATTGATCTGAAGCACTATATACTTGCAAAAATTTGGCAGCAGAAGTCAGCTTAACATGTTTACTGTTTCAGGCTGTAGGCCATGCTAGAAACCTTGTCACATGGTTAGACTGTTGTGCAAAGGACCCAGGTTTAGCCGCAATGCTAAGGCAACTTGAGGATGAACAGAGGGCTCACTGAAAGCAGTTGCCAAGCAACCACCTCATGTGCTTTTCCTAGTTCCATCCATCCATTTCCTGCAGATAATGCCAGCCTGGAGCTTTCAGACTTAGCCAGCTTGGATGAAATTACAGGAGCAATAGGCCCCATCCCCATTAGGCACCCTATTGGGATCATCTGTGTAGAACTAGAGAAACACAAAAGAATGAAATTATAGCAGGAACAATACTAAGGAGCACCATCGCACACCATGGGTAACAAAGGAGGTTTATACACACACTCGGGGAGGCCAGAGATCCACTGCAAAATCCAATAGGATCTACACAATATAAAACCAGATTAAGTTTATGCTCCACATAAGGCTGTAACAGTGTCTGGATACCCATAAGGATGTGGCTTTATGATTATCTGAAAGAGCAAGACAGGTGACAGGATAAAAGGGAAGAAAGTGATCGGAAATGGTTTAAAGGGAGACAGAAAAACAAAAAAGCCTTACAATTCAGCTTTTTCTGCCATGTGAATGAGTCTGTTCTCTTCAAACTGTACTATGCCTCCAGCTTGGAGCAATTCTAGAAGAACCTATAAGCATTAAATAATTATTAGATGCTGTGTTTATACCTGGACAATCAAGAGTTCCCAACATTCTTGAGCTATAGACTTGCAGATTGTGCCCATACGTGAGCATTTTCAGATACTGAGAGCTACACGGAGTGCCTTCGAGCTCTGAGCTAGCGTTGCAGTAACACGTGCAATCACAATTTTATGTGCTTGTCTACTGGCCAACCAATATCACAACAGTTAAACACATGCAAGGCATGGGAAACACTCACATGACCGTTGCAAGATCTTGTACTAGCTCAGAATGGCAAGACCTCTCCTCCTCCCAGAGTGGAGGGGTTGTGAGCGGGAGCCGGTTCCCGCACCAGCAGGGGGGGCCCCGTGCCACGCCCCTGCTGCCAGCCAATCGGCCTGGCTCGGGGGTGGGGTTTAGCCACACTTAAGCGGCCGCGGCAGCACTGCGCCCTCACTTTGCTGGACGGGGTTGAGTCATGTGTAGATTGTTTGATCCAATGCCTAAGCCAATACCACTCACATGCTGTAACCAATAAAGTTGTGGCCTTATTTAGCCCATTAACCTAAAATACATGTGTCCTTGTATCTTATTTATCCCTAAGCGGGTGGCGGGTCCTCAACTCACAATATTGCATGGGAAATTCCAGGGGGTTGTTTTGACTATATATGATTTCAGCTTTACACGCTACCCACTGGAATATCACCCCCCTCCCCAAGATGTGATCCTACTGTACACATTATTTTCATTCTAGTTGGGGCCCTTTCCTCCTCCCCCACAAAAATATTTCCTTTCCTGTCCTTTGATTTTTAATAAGAAGCCTAGGTTAGAACCCTCCTCCCTGTCACCATGGTTTTATATATGCATACACTTTCCTTATGGGTAAACATTTAAACATGTCACTTCACGTCTGCAATCTGAATTAGTACAGCTTGGCAATAGGCACCTCTCCCAAAGCTTCCGATCATGTTTTGACTCAGATAGCTGTCTTGACCAAAGCCCAGCTTGTTTGCAAAATGGAAGCTATAATGTAGTTTTGTGGTATCAGTGTATTTTTGGAGGCTTGGTATCAATATTTTTGGCTTTCCACTTCCAAGCCTGATCCATCTCTTACCTCGTTCACTTGCTCCTTGTAATTCTTTCTACCACTGCACCTTAAGGTTAGCATATATCCTGCCCCATAAAGGTAACTTTCCTCTACTCTTCCTCTCCACCTACTCAGACACAGCCTGCCGTGCTCTCAGTGGCAGAGCATCTGCTTTGCAAGAAGAAGCTCCCAGGTTCAATCCCCAACATTTCCAGGTAGGGCTGGCAGAGACCCCCATCTGAAAACCTAGGGGGAGGGGGTCTTGTCAGCCATTGTAGACTATACTGTGCTAGATGAACGGATGGTTATCCTGTATTGCAGCGGTTCACAACCCGTGGGTCCCCAGATGTTGTTGGACTACAACTTCCATCATCCCTGAGCTCTAGCCTTGCTAGCTAGGGGTGATGGGAGTTGTAGTCCAACAACATCTGGGGACCCACAGGTTGAGAAAGGCTGCTGTATTGCATGTGTCCACTTCTTTCTGAACTGCCATTGGACAATCAAGGCAGGGGACAAGTTCTCCCCATAACTGCTGCTGCCCCTTTCTCCCCACCCTCCATCCCAAACTGTTTTTCAAGTTGGTGGGGAAAGTAAACCATACAGAGACGTCATCTCTTGGCAACACACTCCCTTTTCTTTCCAATCAGCTTCACTGGTATTATTGGCGGCAGCTGCCCATGCATTATGGGTGCAGTTTTGAGCTGCATTTGCTCACACCGCAGATTGTGCTTTCAGTGTGGCTGATCTGCATTGCTATAAAAATATTCAGCTATTGTTCATCTAACGATCATGCAGATATTGCCCGTTTACATTCATAAACATACAGGTTGTCCGTTGCTCTCCAGCTGCTGACTTCTTAATCTGTGAGGTGCCAGTTTTACTGTTGCTGCTCAATAGTCTGATCATACTTAGCAATAACCTTCCCTTCCCTAACCATCCACCAATCTAACAGCATGAATTATTCGTCTAAGGATTCATACCTGCTGTCTCTCAGAGTGCCGTGAATCATCATCAGGACTGCAGAGAAATTCAAGGACCTGGACGGGAAGCAAACATGATTACAGAGATAGGGATATAGATGTGCATCTTCTTGTTGTATCTCAGAAATATACCTTATCAAATGCTTCTGGGAGAGAAAATTCTCTAGATGACTGGCACTACTATACCATTTTGGAGAAGTAGGCCCATCTCCAGAGTGCCTGGAATTAATTTTCTGATGTATGAATTCAGCAAATAGAGAGCAATATAGCAACCACTTAAGTCTCAGGTTCTACTTTTATCTTCTGTAAGAACAGGAAATCTTTTTGGGCTCCACAGGCCAGACTTGAAACCACAATGACTTCAAAGCACCGCATGCTTTGTGGGGATTTCAAGGCACTACATACAGCTAATACAGTTAATACAGTAGGTTTCAGCTCTACCACCCATCTGTTGATCAGCGGTAGAAGAAGAAGAGTTTGGATTTGATATCCTGCTTTATCACTACCCGAAGGAGTCTGAAAGCGGCTAACATTCTCCTTTCCCTTCTTCCCCCACAACAAACACTCTGTGAGGTGAGTGGGGCTGAGAGACTTCAGAGAAGTGTGACTAGCCCAAGGTCACCCAGCAGCTGCATGTGGAGGAGGGGAGACGCGAACCTGGTTCACCAGATTACGAGTCTACCGCTCCTAACCACTACACCACACTGGCTCTGGTAGGAATTGAAGTCTGCTTTCCTTTGTCAATCCACACTCTGGAGCACACTTTAAGGCTCCCAACTATGCACTGGCAGGCGGGTCTCTACCTGCCCTGCTCCAGACATCACATATGATCTCTGGTGTGGAGCAGGTAGGCGTAGCTTGGAGGGAATGGCTTTAAGGGCCAAATTTGAATCCCTGGTGGGTCAAGTCTGGGCTGCAGACTGGATTTTCTGATATTCTCTAAATCCTCCAACATGTATCTTGGTCTCTGTTGCCACTTAATCTTTATAAAATCACTGCCATCAGATTTCTCATGCTTTATATCCCATTTTTTGCACTGTTAAAGAAAGACATGATACACAGTCCCGTCATTTTATATTATGGCATCACATAATGTGAGATTTTAGGCACTTTGTAAACAAAATACTCATAGTAATGAATATTAATTGCTTAATATAGGTATTATGCAAAATAGTCCTGGAAAAATGATCTTCTAGTTGTCTGTAAGCATATATACTTTGTTTTATTGAGTAATTTAAAAAATGAAAGAAAGAAAAAACAAAATCAGCAACAGTCCTTTCCCCTTTATTTGTGCCCCCCCCCCCTTTACCTGGTCAAATAGCGTCCTATTTACAAACAGTGTGTTGTTGGGCTTAGCAAGCTGTCGGGCAAGGAAAGTAAAGAGACATCCAACTTGTGAGGGGGTAAAATCAGAATTCTCCACCATAACCTAGACAAGGGGAAGCAGCTCAATTAATTAGGTTATCCCATGTTATCTCTTAACATACATGAAACAGAACAAATAATTGGATACAAACTGTATCCAATTCCAATGTGATAAAGAAAATCCTATAAAGATTTCCAAAATATATTACTAGAAAAAGGGAATATAAGAAAGCTAGATTACTAAATTGGAATATTTAGATTACATAAGCACAAGGCAAGCACATCAGTCATTTCAAACAAAATTCATATGACTTTACTTGCATCGCAGTGTCCATACTCTGAAGGAGAGCAATTTATCATTACACTGCCATAAGAAATTCAGCTCATCATGGCCTAGATGTAAGTATCAGCTCCGAAACCTTATCACAAGAAGCAGATATAGCACTATCACTGAGAAGTCATATTACACTGCCTTGCAGTAACAGCCAGCGACATTGTTCTGAACTCATCAGTGGATAACAGTAGGCATAGTTTGTGCAGTCTATGAAACAACTCGGCAGCTCATCAGAAATAGTCGTAAAATGGGAGAGGGCAGAGAGAAGATGTACATAAATCAGGGGGTGGGGGGGTGGGGAAACAATTCCATTTTCTCTCACCAAGGAGCAGACAGAAATGTTAACTTGTGAGAATCCTCTTCCAAAAGCTATTTATGATAGGTTTCTAACAATTAGCATCTTAAATTTTGCTATTCTGTACAAAAAGAATTGCTAATACTCCCAATTATTCCTGACTATGCCATGTTACCTATCCATGTTTTGCACTTTGGAAACATTTCTGTCATGGAGACAGTATAGTTATAGTGTCTTAAAACAAAGCATTCCATAAATCCATATTAACTATTTTATCTACCTTTTGTAAATCTAGATTTATCATATCTAGCCAAGCGCTAAGCAGAATCTGAGTACCCCTTTGCTTGGACACGAATGTGGCTAGGATTAAAATTCTCCTCATCACATGAGTGAATGTTCTGAACAACCTGCTTTCTACATGCTTAAAAGCACACTGTGTCAAGAACCACTTGTAAATGGACACCTGTAGCTACACTGAATTTTGCTGTGCTCCTTAAGATCTTAAATAGTTGTGCCCTGAAAAGAGGAGGGTCAAAATAACAAGGGCATTTTGAGATGCAGTGTCATGCTTAGTGTTCTCGAAGCTACAAACATGAGCCTGACCAAACTGCGGGAGGCGCTGGAAGACAGGAGTGCCTGGCGTGCTCTGGTCCATGGGGTCACGAAGAGTCGGACAAGACTAAACGACTAAACAACAACAACAATCATGCTTAAAGGAAAAAGGGAAATACTACTCCCAACTAAATTAAGTAGTTTCTCACATGGTCTAACCAAGATACAGCTAAGATGGCAAGGTTGATTGACAACTGCACCATTTCATCCAACATCTTCAGAACATTCTGGTGGTACTGCAATGTTTACAGAACCGTACACATGTACACACACACACAATGGCTAAGCTTTAGCAGTATTCAGAAGCTTCTTCACAAAGTATGGGTGGGAGTCTGAGGAACTGAGAACAGTAGTTACAAGAGACAAATTAGAAACTGGCAAATCTGGATTCAAACAGAATCTACCCCAACGTGGACTCCCTGATCTAACAGGGAGTATGTAACTTGTCCCTAAGATTAATTTCCGTACCCAAGGACTAGAAAGTGGCCAATGTAACAGAATTTATTTAAAAGGGATCCAGAGGAGATGAGGCAAATCGCAGACCAGTTAGCTTTATGTCTGTTCTGAGGAAAGTGGTGGAAAGCATTATTAAAGCTAGAATTACCAAACGTATTGAACAGGTCTTGCTGAAGCAGAACCACCATGACTTCTGCATGGTTAAACACTGTCTCACCAACCTATTAAAAATAATTTTGAGTGTCAACAAGCATACAGGTGACTCAGCTGACACTATGTACTCGGGCTCTCAAAAAGCTTTTCACAAAATCTCTCAACAGATTCCTGAGTAAGCTCAGCAGTCATAGGATAAGAGGAGAGGTAGACCAATAACCAGGTAAAAAATAGGAAAGTTGAATCCCCCAAGGGCCAGTGTTGGGGCCTGTGCTTTTTAACTTGTTCATTAATGATATAAAGGCAACACAGTGAAGTAGCAAAATCTGCTGATAAACAAAACTGTTCAGGGCGATTAAAAGAAAAAAAGAGAATGCAAGGCACACCAAAAGGATATATCCAAAATGGGTGAATGGGCAGTAAAATGGCAAATGCAATTCATTATAAGCAAGTATAAAGTGATGCACATTGCAGGAAAAAATATTAACTTTACATATATGTTAATGGTGTATAAACCAATGGTGACCAACTAGGATGACAACCTTGGGGTCATAGTGAATAGTTTGATGATGATGAAAATCCAGTGTGCAGCAGCAGCAGCAGCAGCAGCAGCAGCAGCTGTGAAATAAGTGAATTCTACATTTGAGATCATTATGAAAGAGGTTGAAGATAAAACTGCCAATATCATAACACTATTCCACAAATCTATGGTGTGACTGCACATGGAATATTATGTACAGTTGTGATTGCCTCATCTGAAAAAGCAAAAGGTAACCAAATGTATCCTCCTATGAGGAATGCTTACAACACTTAGGGTTTTGTTGTTCAAAAAGGAGGTTATGGTGGGGACATCTCCATGGCAGAGAGGTATATAACGTTATGTATGTATGCTGTAGAGTATGTGGCTAAGGAGAAGTCCCCATCCCCCTCTAGAACTCAGGGCCATTCATTCATGCTGAATACTGGATGATTCAGAAAGACAAAAAAGCACTTCATACACTCCCATAAGATGTAGTGGTGGCCACCAACTTGGATGGCTTTAAAATACAAATGAATGGAGGCTAAGGCTATTATTGGTTACTAATGATAGTTATATTCTACTTCCAGTGTCAAAGGCAGTATGTGTCTGGATATCAGTTGGTGGGAATCACAAGTGGGAAATGAGCTGTTGCATTCAGATCCTGCTTGTGGGTTTCTCATGGGCAACTGGCTGGTCACTGGGAAAACATGACTACATAGATGGGCTTTTGGCCTGATTAAGCAGAGCTCTTATGTCTTTAATGGTACAAGGAATGTACAAATTGGAAGGTCATGTAACAGAGAAGACATGCTTGTCTTCAGACCAAGTGAGTGGAGCTTTAGAAAGGCAGACTGGATAATACCTTGTTCCATTGCTTACTCGTGGTTGTTTATTGTGAGCCTTGTTGCCTTTACAACATGGGTACCTGATATGAATGAGTCACGCCCTGTGGCCAAGTTTGCTGTCTGCTTCCTACTTTGCTGCTTTTCCAAGTCTGAGGTGATCTATTCAACTTCTCCATTACACACCAGCCAGCAGCGCTCGGTTTCAGTTTACTCCATATGACAAATACATTAACCATTAGCAATATCGCTAGTCCGGTCAGTTAGAAAATATTATTTCTTCTCTCATGCTCCTGTAGATTGTTCTGTACTCGTGTAGTCCCTCATAAAACACCAAAACTGCCCCAGGTCCCTCAGATGATTTATGGGAAAGACTGCCTTTCACCTACCAAGATCATTTAGAACGATATCTCATCTGTCAGCAAAGACTGTCCCCGACTCTCCTGCCACGCTAAGGCTTATACAACCTGACAACATGAAACTATGTTGGACTAACGAAGCATACAAGCTCAGACATACCTGTCTAGAAAACCTTAGTGTCCTCAGTTAATAGGGTTAGCCCACAGCACAGGATACTCAAGATCCTGTAGTCAAGTGAAATGTAGTTGATTTTTTTCTTTTTACAATAATCTCAGAATATGCCCCAGGCAATGTATCTGTTATACAGTGCTGGACACACAGAAGTTACCAGAGGACAATAGTAATATTTTGCCTTCATGCATTCTGCCATGTGTAGAGACACATTTAAAGAAAGTGTAGCTGTGCATCGTCTTGTAGGGACTAAAGACACTGCAAAAAGTAGACAGAGACCTTCTTAGCTTATTATTTTAAAAAAACTTATTTATGGCAAGAGAGCATTCAGGGTTTACTACAGGTTGACAGGAGTGGGGGGCAAGCTCTAAATGCGGGTTGCACGTATTTGCAAAATCACAATAATGTATTATATATTTAGAAGAGCATAATGTGCACATTAATAAAGAGACATTCTGCCCACAGGATCGTGATCTATATAAAAAAGATGAAGAGAACAGAGAGGATATATGGAGGGGAAAACTTTGCTCCTTTACTCTCTAACACAAGGAGTTAACAGAATATAATGAAGACATACACAAATACCATGGCTGCAAACTCCTTCCCTTGCACCTTCTACTGCGTACTTGCTATTTTCTTTCTTCAAGTATTAATCATGTTACATTTCTATAGGTTTGCCTTTAGTGCCTTCCCGTATTGTTCTGATACTTAAACTTTTAAACTCTTTTAACCTTTAAGTCAGTTCATGATCCTGCCCTTCTCTCCTAGTGGCTCTGGCCACATTCTGACGTTTGTCCATGGCTTAATAAACTACAAACTTCATTTGGTGCCACCAAATTCCACATGAAACAGAAAAAGAGAATGATCATTTGTCTCAAAAGCTACTGAAACACTGATGAGAATAAGAACAGAAAGAGATTACTTAAAATAGGAAAGATATAATCTATCAACTAGGACAATTAAACATCAACATACCCCTTGAGATTCTTTTTTGGGTTTCAAAGCAAGAAAGAGATGATTAAATAGTGGATAAATTATTACAACGACTACTACCTTCAGTAATAAGGAATAGCAAATTTGTTGAAAGGATGAATATGCGTCTTTGAAAATTTGGAAACACATTTAGGAGCAGATACTGAATGCCTGGCGTGCTCTGGTCCATGGGGTCACGAAGAGTCAGACACAACTAAACGACTAAACAACAACAACTGAATGGACAATTGTTAAGACAGAAATTGTTCAGAACTTGGGAGGTTGGAAACTGCTTTGGTTTCAATGCTTTCAAATAAGGAATTTTATTTTAGAGGTGTTGGTTCCTACATACTCATTATTAAAGAAATGAATGCCCTGGGAAACTTTAATTACAGGTGAAGAATCAAGGGGTTTGTTGGCAAGAATAATGGTATAATTAAAAATCTGGGAAGGAGGCACAATGGAAAACATATCAGAATTAGAATCCTACAATAAAAATGAACGTGGTATGTCAATCTGCTAAACAGGTACTGCTAAATGAAGTTCAATATAAATTATTATTAAAATGGCATTTTATGCCTTCTAGGGTTAATAAGACATACTCAGATACATTATTTAAATGCTGGAAATGTTTAGCTACTAATGCAGACCTTACTTCAGTTCTGGTGTGGTGGGGTTATCACAGAATTTTCTAATGCCTTTTCGAATTTTATTTAATTGAACAGAAGATGAAATTCCAACTGTTATGAAATCTTTAATAATTTATAATATCTGCAAATGTTATGTGGGTTTGAACATGGAAAAATATGAACTCCCCCTCAAGGAGGGAGCAGTTACTGAAATGTTTAGATATAGAGAAGACAAACAAGTTAACTGATGCAATTAGCAGGAAACCCATCTCTTCTTTTCAATACCCTTTCAGTTACAAAATGTTATTTCTCTATTATTTTTTCCATCTTTGAATTTGAAGTTTTTCATCCTTCTAGCAGAAATACTAGGATACAAGGCTCAGTTCCTGAACCTATAACAACAACGTATTTTCTGTTAAATGTTATGACCAAAAGAAGCCTATTCTGGAACAGTCCAAGGCCACACACAGAGGTAAACTTAGTTGCCTCCTCTCCTGTATATGACATACATCCATTTTGCATTAACCGTTTACAACAACACTGCGCTAACAACTTATGTCTGTAGTTCTTTGTCCTCATTATGTTTCAGTGTATATTATATTCAAGATAAGGATAAAGTCCATGAATGAAACCAACATACATCATCACTTATGTATTAAGGTAAGTTAGCTTCATTAGGCACTTCAGTGAAGCATACTGGATCAAGAAAGAGATGGCACTGCACGATTATTCTCTCATGAAACTGTACATTCTACAGGAAAATATTTGTTTAGTATTTTTAAAGAGCACCATTAGTTTAAAGTCAGGAAACATTTCTCATTCAAGTACCTCAGAGTACCTTGCAAGAGGTGCTAGTGAAGCCAGTGCCATTCACTTCTTACCAATTAGCAAGGCACACAAAGGACACGTTTATTCATTTCCCAAAGAAAGCATTCCAACTCAGTGACAGGATTAAAATAAAGGAATATATAACACCGCAGAAACAATCCATCTTTTACTATGGCCACTAGAAACAAGGTGAGGAGGGAGCTTACCTTCAGAAGGATGTCCACAATTCTCTGTTGGTACTCTACAGCTTGCTTGTCATTCTTAAAGTCTTCAAATGTCTTTGTTAGATAATGGTATTGGGAGAGAAAAGAGGGGGGGAAACACTTTATACCTTTATCCCCATATAATGGGAAATACGAAAAATGCAGCAGCTAGCAGTGGGACTTGTTACATCCTTCCTTCATTTCCTCACGCCAACTGTAATTATCCACTAAACTTGTTACTTTACTCTACTTGTAAATCTTGTTGCAAAGACGTCAGAGGCCAGTTAGACTACAGAAACTGGAATAAAAGTACAACAGCACTTTGCAATGAAAGCTTTTTCTGATGGACAGTATCATTTGGCCTCTACCTGTAACACAACTCACTCAAACTATAATTGTTTTCAGGTGCCTGCAGCATCTCAGACAGTAGTGTGAAGTGGAGAAGCTGACAGTAACATGCAAGCTGTTAAGATATGATGGCTTATATTGTGGCAGAAAGCTATGGGGTCCCGAGGCAGAGACAAGTGCAGTTCATAGATGTAACAGTTTCCAGAGGGGGTAGCAAGGCTGTAGCAAACTCAAAACCAAGATGTTAAGCTCGTGCGCCTATTATAGCAGAGGGTTAAGAACAGGTCCTGAAGGAACAAAGGGAGAGGTAAAAGCAAACAAAACTTTCCTGTTGAATGGATTATTAGACAGGGAGGAAAGGAGCAAGATAAAGAAACCTGGAGCATTAAGGGAATCAACCAGGAGAGGAACATCAACTATACTAAAGACAGTAGAGAGGTCAATGAGAGGCTTATAAGTCTGGAAATGAGAAGATAATAGAACCACCCAGAGTGGCTGGGGAAACCCAGTTGGATGGGCGGGGTATACATAATAAATTTATTATTATTATTATTATTATTATTATTATTATTATTATTATTTTGATTACTAAAGTTTCAGCAAGTGCAGGAGCCAGATTGCAGAGTCAGTATTATTTTTACAGAGGCAAACTTCCCCACTTCCAATATGCAAATGAAACTAGAGCATCAATACAGGCAACAATGTTAGCTCTAACAAGAGGCACAAAATAAATTACTTCTCAGCATAAAGAGGCATTATTTACACTGAGCAAGAAGAAGGTATCCCTGAAGTGAAAAAAGTACCAATAATGACAGGGTGTATTGTGGCTTGTGGGTGTCCAGTGTGAAACTATTAGCAGCAAGCACAAATGGAAAAGCAGATGAGCATCCATGAAAATGATGGGATTTTCACAGTGCCATCCTTCCACTCCCTCTTCTTCAGCCCCCAAACCCAATCTAGTATTGTGGGCTTCTAACCCCTAAGCCTCACAGATACATCTTCCACTCTCCTTGGATATTAAGAATGGCAATGGAAATAAAAGTAGAGTCTTCTGCTTCCCTGAATCTAATAGTAGGGCAGCCTCTGGCTTCCAGAAATAGCAACTGCATGGTCTTTGTAAAATAAAAAAATAAAAAGGGCAGCTTTTCACATGTTGCACTACACACTGAGCAAGTGTATTTATAATATCTGGCCCACCAAGGGTAATGTAATTCATAATGGTGAACAGATTTATCACCAGCATAACCTGGCCTGGAAACCTGTTAACTTGCTGCAAAACTGCATATGCAATACAACAGCATTTTAAAGACTATTCCTAATAAAATATGCATTTTTAAAATGCATTGAATACATTGGTTCATGTTCAAGAAGTAAGACCCCCGGTGTTGGTGGAATTTGTGCCAGTGGCTCCCAAATTCCCTTTATTCAGAAAGGCCTTCCAACAGTAAATGGGATGGTTGGTTCATAAAGATTGAAACTCTACACACCATAAGGAGAGTTTGTAGTAACAAACAGAGAATATTCAGTTGCAGCTAATACTGGAAAAGGTTAGCAAATATTATATTTGTCAAACAAGTAAGTTTTTATAGATTAGTGAAAACTTGACATATATATCTTTAATCAAATGAAGGAGGTGATGGGATTTCTCCCCCAATATCTTTGTGGAAGTGGTGTTGCCACTTACCAGTGCAAGAACATTGAGGAACTCCCGCGTATCGAAGTGCAGCAGTGTGCGGACATAAGGGTAAACTTCTTCATCGGTGGGTGCCTCTGCTGAGTGCAAACGAATGAGGAATTCAAAGACCTGCCATGAAAGATTAATAATCACTGAATACCTGAAGGAACTGTTCAAAGCTTACCAGCTCCTTAAACCTCCTTGAGAATACAGAATGGATTTTCAACAGCATTTTCTGTTCCTTAAATGCCATCCGCTGTGCTGGACGTTTATTTCCTGGTACAAGTTCAATGATTTAACAGTAGGCAAACTACTTCTGTTTAACATATCCCATGGCTTCTTACATCCACTTTCACAATTATTGACATTTATTGCTGCTCACTGGCATCTGAGAGAGATTATCACCACAGGTTTCCTAAATAATGAATTCTGGCAAAAGACACAAGCACATTTGCCTTCGAGATTACTTTCCAAAATGCACCAATTCCTAATATATCGAGTCAATTTATTGGGACATAAAAGATAAAGGAAAGATTGTTAGTAGATTTTAAAATAGGAGAGTGATTATGAAAATCTATGAACCACAGGCCAAATGCTGGGGACAAATAACATGGACAATTTGAGCAAGAATAACTGGGGTTACCCCATCCAATCACTGTACTTAAAACAGAAATCCCTGAAGGAGCCTTGGGCTATTGGCGGAGGAAGAGTGCGGGGGGAGAGTACTGCCACTGGCAGCGCGATCCCGGTGGGGTGCCATCGCGGCTGCCCCCCTGCCCACGCTGGGCGCCACGTCCCCTCAGGTGGCGTGCCCTATTGAATTTCAGCTCCGGTCCTCCGAGCTGATAAGGCTCATCTTCTTTGAGCCCACCCAGCAGAGCATTAAAACAACAAAGTCCACAACGGAAGGATGAGGCAGGTATGGGCTACATTGCTATACTTTATTACTAAGCTATGCAGAGAGCAAAGAAAAATACATCTTGTGTCTGTGAGAAGCAGAGAGCAACTGAACAAAGAAAACGAAAGGAACAAAAGAAACAGGAAACCAGTAACATCACATCCCGTCTCCCTTTCCCGTGAGAATCCAACAATATCTGGACTGTGGAATGTAAACAGTCCTGTGACTGCAAGCAGCTGCTCAGTGAGGAAACAGAAACTAACCCCCACCCCCAGAAGCATGCCACGCCCCCGTGACATGCTCCAGCCCCGCCCCCGCCTGCTCTGCCCCCCGCGGTGCCGGAGCATGAAGCTCCAAACTGCTTTGGACGCAGGACATCTCTACACGGACCACGCCTATGGCTGTCCATCACAGACTATGAGCAACAGGTATATCAGTTAAACATCACAAGACCAGAACAGCACAGGAGAGTTGCAGAGAGCCACAACTGTGCAACTACTTGGGATAAGGAGTGCCAGTTCAGTAAGGAGGTTATATGATCAATCTGTACAGTGAGGCATGAGACACAATGCTTTGCTGTGGTTTAAATAACAGTTCCCCGAGGTGCTTTAGCAACAGGAACACAGAAGTGATGCCTGAAATTTACTGGCAGTGATTTAGATGCACCTGGCCTACATCCAAACTATCTGCCACGCTACTGAGCTGAGCACAGCTAATAAGCGCTAATGTCTTTGCATACAGAGCAAAACGATCAGATATGCTTCAAAATGTTGCTTCAATGTGGATATTAAAAGCTATTTTATACCATTATTGTGGCTATTTAACAGAATAGTAAGTCACTTCATGATCAGGGAGATAATCCTGTGCGCACTGTACGGTGGGGTACGGGTAGAGCACGTAAGATTGCACTGTAAATGTATAATACTTAGTGTAGAAAAATCTGGTAGATTTACTTGTTAGCCCTTATCCCCAACAACTCAAATGAAGCCTGCATGCACAAAACAGCCACACTTTGTCCCCACCCTTTTCCATTCTGCATGTTCCCTCCCATCATGTTTGAATGCAAAATTAGGCTTTTTAGATCAATGACTTTTCTTCATCTACATTGCTTTGAAAAATATCATACATAAATACAAAAAGTCACATAAATCCTTCATGGCAATCCTATGGCCTTTTAAACTGGGTGGGGGATATTGCTTTTGTTTCTTGCTAAGATATATATGTTTGTGTTCTTACATTGTAAACCACCCCGTGATCTTTGGATTATGGGCAGTATAGAAATTTAATTAAAAAATCAAAAAATAAATAAATCAGGTGATCTACTTATTGGCCATCCTCCCCGACAACTGAAATGAAGCCTAGGTACATTTTATCATTTGCATGTCTACTCAGAAGCAAGTCCCACAGAGTCAACTTGAATTACTCCCAGGTAAGTGAGAATAGGATTGCAGCCTTAGCCTCTAGACTAGTGGTGGGGAATCTATGGCTGTTCAAATGTTCCATCAGTCCCAGTCAGCCAGCATGGCCAATGGTCAGAGATTATGAGAATTGGAGTTTTAATAATAATAATGGCTGGTTCAGCAATATCTGGAAGGTCTCAAGGTTCCCCATTCCTGCTCTAGACTCCCATGAAGTCCATAATGGACAAAAAAATCCAGAAAAAAACATAGCACAGCTCCCAGCTGACTGTATCTTCACTGAAAGAAGGGCAGGGGAGAGAATCAAAACGTGTATGAAAAAGTGCTCAGGGACAATCACAAAGAGCTGTGGCAGACAATCAAAAGGCTACCGTTATCCAGATGATAGCAACTTCTTATCGGATATCTGCAACGTAACAGCTAAGCACAAAAGGCATGTCATTCCTATCACATTGTTACATGATTGCTATAGATAAACCAGGTTCCATGATGGGAGTCATCTGCCAACCTTAATAAATTTAGTATCTGCACATAGTCTTAAAGAATAAGACACAGCTGGAATGTAGGGGGGGAACTATCCTTTTGAGTTTTTATTTGCTCGTGTTCCTGCAATATTGCCTCTTTTGTTTTGTCTCAAATTTTCTACACTCTCTCTTGTTTCCTCTATAATAAGACTTCCAAACATGGACCAGCAGTCTGTGAAGTTGAGCTCAGAAAACTTTGGGATATTGCTGTGGCAACCGTTGACAGAGTGGGTGGCTACTATTCAAAGATGGAGGGAAGGGAGTTCCACAACAAATTATGCCTTTGATAATATTATTTCTTATCAAGCACACCTACAGGAGCAGCTTCCAAATTTTTCAAAAATGCAAAATTATTCTGGCAGAACTGCCTCATACGAAGCCGGACCATCAGTCATTCAGCTCATTATTTTCTACATAGGCTGGGTAATACTGAGCCACTGGCCTTTCCAGTGAATTTTGCAGTTTATTTTTAACTCACCTGATTTTTAACCAAAGGTACCAGATCTTCAGGGATATTGCCCAGTGGATAAGCTCGACCAGCCAAACAGCAACTGTTAAGAAAGGACAGATGGAGTTAAAACAGTGTCATAAATTAAGAACTGTAACATAACAAAGACCTAAATGCAGCTGGAAATGGCTCCCATTTCCTTATCTAGGTTCCTACTCGTATAAAAGTGGGGCCCTTCAACAAACAGCAGCAGTCACTCTGTTCTATACCCCTGCAGTTTCCCCACTCACCCAAGGCAGCCTATCAGCATTAGAATTTAGTTTGCTTGCCTCTAATCACTTCAGTGACTCCACTTTTCAACCATGCAGGCATCCACGGGGCCCTGATAATACCTTTCCTGATCTTAGGTCTACATTCCAGTCAAGCTTCTGTTATGATGGTACTGAATAGCCTCTCTCCTGCCAAGTGTTCTGAACCTCTTGACTTTCCCTTTCAATTTCCTTTTTATCTAATTTTTATTAAGTTTCCTCTTTTGAGGAAGTCAGAACAATGTTGGACTTTCTTGGCAGTTGTCCACTTATATGCTGGATTTCATAGCACCATGGTCACTGTTCTAGATCGGTTCAACAATACCTACATCTTGCACTAGGTCCTGGATTCCATTTAAGATAAACTCTAGGGTTGCCATCCCTTTGGTCAGCTCCATGGCCAATTGTTCTCATGCACAGTTATTTAGGGTATCTGGAAATTTTACTTCTTCACTGCAACTGTGCATGTGTGTACCCAGTCGATGTGAGGGAATTTGCTACTTCTACAACACTTCGTCTTTCAGGAGCCTCCTTGATTTCATTCAACATCTCAAGATCACCTTGTGCATTTGAGGCAGTGAGATGATAGGACATCCCTAGTAGGGGCGCCAGCTTGAATAAAATATGGGGGAGGCAGATAAGCCCCGCCCCACAAAATAGATCAGATGATGTGGCATGCACACACCATTTGAATGGCAATGCTCATCAACTGAGGGGGGTGCTGCCTGGGGTGCAGAGAATCCTAGCTAAGCTATGGTATTGGCTGCTGGCATGGCAGAGCTGTTGGGTTTCTCTGTCCCTATGTGACAAAAAAGATTATACTACAGTGGTACCTTGGTTTACGAACTTAATCCATTCCGGAAGTCCGTTCTTAAACCAAAACAATCTTAAACCAAGGTGTGCTTTTCCGTAGCAGCAGGGGACTCAGTTTACAAATGGAACACACTCAACATGTTCTGCTTCCAAGGCAAAGTTCACAAACCAAAACACCTACTTCTGGTTTGCAGCGTTCTTAATCCAAGCTGTTCACAAACTAAGCTGTTCTTAATCCAAGGTACCACTGTACTACAGAAAGCAAAACATAAATAACTATCTTATAGATGCTAGATGTACCGTACCTTATATAGACAAGCAGCTTGTTGCCCATGATGACTTGCTCGTCTAAAAAACAAACAAATAAACCACACACAGAGAAACAAAAGCTTTGTATTATCTTCTGGAGATGAATTTACTCAAAGTTCATAACCTGCTTTGCTAAAAGGGCCTCAGGTGACTTACTTGCAATAACCAAGTGATTTGACAAACTCAATGTTCCATTTGCTTCATAATCTGACATATGGACAGATGTCTACACTAAATACATTGCATCTGGATACTAAGCATTTGAGAAGGTTCATGAAAGGCTGAAAATGTCCAAAAAAACACTATAATTTTGACATTTAGTAAATAATAGTCACTGTATAAAACAAAGGAATGACACCATGCTTGCTCGGAAAGTTCAGGGTCTTGGCGGTGTATTCCTATCCTCTTATAGGATATTGGCATCAGCTAGAAGAATGCATAAGTCCCCCTTCATCTGAGCTATGGAACATAATGAGCTGCCTTATATCAAGCCACACCACTGGCAGTGTCCCTCCAGGGTTTGTAGCTCATTTGGGTACACAGAAGCTGAGTAGGATCAGCACATACGTTCATGTGAGATTCATGTGAGTTTGAACATGAAAGTCATTTCCAGAGAGGAAGTTTATCAGTCATAAAGCAGATCTCTCCAAGGGAACAAGCCAATGAGGTGAGCTGAGACTAGGATGACCAGAGGTGGGTAGGGTAGGCTATAGCAATCCCTCACATTCAGATATCACAAACCAAACAAACTTTCAAAAAGTGCTCAAAATGCAAATTTAAACGATAAATACTTATCAAACAGAGTACCTGAGAGAGACTTTCCAGCACTAAGAGGATGAGCAATGACCTTGAACAATTTCTGGGGGTGGGAGGAATGAAGAGAACACAAACAAGGTTAGCAGATGTTTCCTTTGTTGCTCTTCATTTTCGTTCAACATATTAATAGTGGATTTGGCAGTAGTAAAAAGACATCAAAAAGGGAGAGATTTCAAAAAGAGAAAATTGCCAGGTAGTCAAAGGGTGCAACTGTAGTTGAATGGGTAGTTTTGCCCGGGGCAGTTTGGTTTAAATAGCTGCAAATTGTTTTGGAATGGCAGCATAATACAAAGGGAGTGTGCCCCAGGCCCATACCACATGAGGTAAAGCTTTACTATGTGGGAAAGTGTACTTAAACACTCGCCTGCTGCCTTCTCCAGTCTCTTTCAATGCCACAACAGCAGCTCATCTGTCCACTAAGAAAATGAGGGAGCAGTACATGGTACTACTAAGTAGGTGACACTGAAGTTCTCATGGGAGACCAGTATGGGATTGGCTGGTTTCCTTTCAAGGCTAAAAAATATTTTGATTTCCTATCCAATAAGAGTAATAGAGAAGGGGTTTTTCTTCATCTATACTGCAGAGGGGAATATCCAGCCCATTGGCCAAACTTGGTCCACCGGGAGTTTAAATTTGGCCTGGAGGGCCATTCCCCCCCAAACCACTCCCACCTGCCCCAGAACTAATGTCATATGTGATGTCATCTGTGAGACAGGTAGAGGTATGGTTGCCGGAACACAGTTGGGAGCCAAAGCCTCACGCATTTTAAAGCACCACACAGGGCTCTTTGCAAACCCTGCATGATGCTTTGACGTCCCAACTTCAGGACTTCAAAGCACACAATTGCCTGATGTCACTGTATTGCCTAGTGATGGACAGGTGGACAGCCCACCTGTCAAATTTGGTCCAGAAGCCTAGGATCTGATAAGAATCTGGCCTATACTAGATTGCTGCCTCTGTGCATTCAAACATCCAGGGGATTACTGGTTGCAATTAAATGCAAGGACCAGTACAGGAACCAGTGTAGATGCAAGAAAGGGAGAGACTATAAAAATATATCACCTGGGAGGTAGCAAATCCAACACACTCTATACGGAACTGCAGATTTCATTCTACCCATCTTAATATTAATTCCTTTGCATAGGAGGCTGCCTTATAACAAGTGAGATCATTGGCCCATCTAGCTCAGTACTGCCTACACAGACTGGCAGCCGCTTTCTCCAGTATTTCAGACCAGGGTCTCTCCCAGCCTTACTTGGAGATGCTGGGGATTGAATCCTGAACACAGAAGATATGGCACAACTGATGAATAGATGTTTCCAATTGGTGATGAATTACTCATGGAATTGATGACATTTCCAGTGTATAAATTACCTTGGGTGGGAAATGTGAATTGTACAAAGTGACCTTTAGCTGCGCTGCCAATAACAGTTATTCAGCCAGCTATAGTGGCAAAACCGGCTCATGCAGATGGCCTAATACTGCAGTAGTTACCACCATCCTTTCGAACATTTTCAGCACTAAAATTTTCAGGCTGAAAACTGGTATCAATCAGTACACTCAGGCTGCTTAATAACCACTGCTACCGCCACTGAAAAAACATACTTATTTCCCTATAAGACGACTGAAACAGCATCATGGTTGCTCATGCAAATGAAAAGGAATAGGTGATGAATACTTAAGATCACGTTATAATAAACAAACCAACGTGCTGCTTATTTTTTTACCTGGACCAAAAAAACAAACAAACAAACTTAGAAATGATGTTATTACATTTTGGGGATACAAGGGATTTGTTCTGTCCTTAACAAAATGTCAGTGCAATTATGTAGCTGGTAGTTGACATTATGAATGTGTCACTACATGATCTCTCTAATTCTCCATGACAACAGCTAAATGTTGACCTTTTCCACCATGCAGTCCATAGTGGCACCATCTTTCCAGTAGTCCTAGACTTGCCATGATATAATCTGTGTCCACACAGGTTTGAATGATTCATCAAACAAGGAATTTAATAGAGAGAAGGAACATATTTAAGGCACCCATGTTTACAGTTTCTCCAGCGGCCTGTTTACTTGTTATTTTCCAGGAAGCAACCCCAAACTACAAAATAAAATTCTGAGTGCATGCAATGCCTCCCCACTCACCCACCATGTTGGGATCTAACAAGTAAAACAATGCTCTCTGTTTATTTAAATGCAGTATCTCTCCCTGGGAAAAGGAGAGGTTTTAATCCAGTGGTTTAAATAAACAGTACAGTCTAGCTGACGCACTTTCTCTTCCTGCAATGAAAACAGGTATGCAATAAGAAGAGGTCCCCAGAGATGGGAAACATGTAGTCCTCCAGAAGCTGTAGGATTCCAATTCCCATCAACCTCCACTATTATGGCCAGGGGCAAGGGTTGATGGGGGCTGCAGTCCAATGACATCTGCAGGGTTACACAGTACCCTACCAGTGCTCTTATTTAATTGAATTCTATCTCCAGAAAGGAACAAGAGATAATCACAATGTTCAACAAATGATGTTGGGGAGGCAGAACCATATGAGAATCTCATATCCATGAGTTCTTTCTGGAAGGCTATTGCATATGACCAGTTTATTAAAATGCACCCTTAGCCTCAGCATCAGTGATAATGTCACAAAGCTTTTGCATAAGAGCCTCCAATAATTTAAAATCTGTTTCAATTCTGTTATTGCTTGCTTGCACTTTATCGGAAGAAAAATAAAATAGTGATTTTTTTTCAGACATCTTATGAACAGTCCATGTTGGCTACATCCTTAGTAAATAGGTTGCTACTGACTTGTTTATTGTCAAATGTTGCATAGTTATGTATTTGGTCTGGGAAAAAACAACCACTGGCTGAAGAGAAAGTCCTTGAAATTACTTAAACCAGCTCCATGTTTAGTGATGCTTGATAAGAACCATGAGACTTATTGCTCCCAGCTTCAAAGAAAATGGCTGTGGCCAATGTCACCCAGGGAATGTGTGTGTGGCTTCTCCATAAACATGCACAATGTTCAGAAGAAATAAGAACTGCAGTTAAAAGAAGAATAAAAACTGGACTGCTCCAGTCTAAAGCTAAAGAGTAAAGGAAACCAATGTGATGGCCTCCAGACCATGTTGGACTCTAATTCCCTTAATTCCTAACCATCAGCCACCCTGGCTGGGGCTGATGTTTAGTTAAGTGTCTTGCGGAAAACTGATGATGAGCACAGAAGGTACTTAGTATGTGGCTCCAACCTTCCTACCTCCATTGGTGTAATATAGTCATTCATGCCACTGTTGTAGACATAGATCATGGCATCATACAAACGATTCTCCCAGCACATGAGGACCACCTAGGAACAAAAAAATATGCCTTGAGACTTGAAGATTTATTCAACACTATAACAGACAGTAAGCAGCATGTGGACTCAGAAGAGAATGTAGAGCAATACATATACAAAAAGCTGAAACTGATTTCCTTAAATGAGGGGGAAGGGAGGTAATTTGTAGCAAAGGGTTTTCGAACATCCACATGCTGTTTTTGGAATTCCTGGCTTTTCAAAGGGATGTTTAAAGCCCTTTTACAAATACAACCATGCTGCTTCTTAAACTGAGGTATGGAGCTGCTTTGAAAAAGCTTTCAAACAGTCCTGTGCTGCTCTTTGAACCTCCAGTTTTTTAAGGTTCAAGCAGCACTGGAAGGGAGAACAATTCCCCCTCCTTGAACGAGCCACTGCTCATAATAATAATAATAATAATAATATTTATTTATACCCCGCCTTTCCCGGTTTAAAGACCGGACTCAGGGCGGCTAACAGCAAATATAAAACATTGATTAAAATGCGACTTAAAAGCAGCATAAAACAGTATATAATACAACATAAAATGCAGCATCAATATCAATAAAATTCAAAAATTCAGGGGTCATTTTTTTGGGGGGGGGGGAACCTAGTCAGTAGACATCGAATAATCACCAGGGCTAACTGGCCAAGTTGGTCCTACTAGGGCCAGCAAGGAGGTGTGTGAATAAGAATTTAAATGTGGGGTCCAGAAAGGGTTTCTTCATAGAAGAGGAAAGGGAAAAGGGAATAGCAGATCAGGCTAATTCAAATGGAAGGCCAGACAGAATAGCTCTGTCTTACAGGCCCTGCAGAAGGAGTGGTTAATGGGTGCTGGAAGTGCTTCACCAAAAGAACAATTGGGAGCTCATTTTAAGTGCCCAATTTTTCCTTTGAAGCCCCGCCCTTACCCATGAGACACCTGGTGACATCATACATGACAAGAATAGGGTGAGTGGGAATGGACTCCTAAAAATGGCTTTGCAGGTCAAATGGGGAGGCCTGGTAAAGCCTTATTTGGCTTGCAAACCAGAGATTCCCCACCCATGATTTACCCCAAGTTTGAAACTGGTATTAATCCACATAATAATAAATAATAATAATAATAAATTTTATTTATATCCCGCCCTCCCCAGCCAAAGCCAGGCTCAGGGCGGCTAACAACAATCAAATAATCAAACAATCAAATAATCCAACATTCTAAAACATTTCATTATAAAAATTAATTAAAATCAATTTAATGGCAACCGTTAAGCAAAGTTCTGTGCAGGTTGCCCGAGGAGGGAGTCAGGCTGGGCCCTGACCAAAGGCTTGGTGGAACAACTCTGTCTTGCAGGCCTTGCGGAAAGATGTCAGGTCCCGCAGGGTCCTAGTCTCTTGTGACAGAGCGTTCCACCAGATTGGAGCCGCAGCCGAGAAAGCCCTGGCTCTAGTTGAGGCCAGCCTAACCTCTCTGAGGCCTGGGACCTTCAGGATGTTTTTATTTGCAGACCGTAGGTTCCTCTGTGGGGCATACCAGGAGAGGCGGTCCCGTAGGTACGAGGGTCCTAGGCTGTATAGGGCTTTAAAGGTTAAAACCAGCACCTTAAACCTGATCCTGTACTCCACCGGGAGCCAGTGCAGCTGGTATAGTACCGGATGAATGTGATCTCGCAGCGAAGACCCCATAAGGAGTCTCGCCGCGGCATTCTGCACCCGCTGGAGTTTCTGGGTCAGTCTCAAGGGCAGCCCCACGTAGAGCGAGTTACAATAATCCAGTCTGGAGGTGACCGTCGCGTGGATCACAGTGGCTAGGTCAGGGCGAGAGAGATAAGGGGCCAACTGCTTAGCTTGGCGGAGATGAAAAATGCCGCCTTTGTTATAGCTGTAATCTGCGCCTCCATAGAGAGGGAGGTATCGAAGATTACACCCAAACTCTTAACGGACGGTGCTGGCACTAATTGCACCCCGCAAGAGATGGGAGTTGCCCCCCCAATCCCATATCGTCCCGTCCCAGCCAGAGGACCTCTGTCTTCGAAGGATTTAACTTCAACCGGCTTCCACGTAACCATCCAGCCACAGCTTCCAAACATCTGGTCAGTGTGTCTGGATTAATGTAGATTACCCTAAGAGATCTTGTCTGGTTCTCAAATGCTTTTTAGAGTTTTACAGAGCCCAGGGGCATCTCTGTAGCACAAGGCAACACAAAACGTTTTAAACATCTTGTTCGTTAACTATTGAAAACATTCATACTTAAATAGCAGCAGAATGATATTACATCCATGTCAAAATATGAAGGTTACCAATTATCACCTGCTGTATGTCTAGGCTGGTGATATCCATATGTACAATGCAAGCCTCCATGTTTGCCATTAAATTCTTATCTTGGAAGTGAAGCAGCAAATCTTTCATAATTTGTGCTGTAATTCCCATCAATTTATCACTTAAAATGTATGGCTCAAGACACTCCAGAAAGACACCCTTCGCCACAGAATTTTCACTCATCTTGTCATACATCTGGCTAAACAACAGATCCCTAGAATGAAGATGACAAGTGAATAAGTAATTATCAGAAATTAAAAACTTATTTTAGCTAGTAATGGTTGATTTCTACAGCATACACAGCATTGAAAACACTTCCTGCATTCATATTATGGATGGGGGACTGGTTAATCTATTTCTGCCAGTATCGGTTTTGCATGTGTTCAGACAGTAAAGCTGTTCTGTCCCAGGTTTAAAATACACATTAGTCTATAAATACGTATTTCCCCCCTCCCCACAAAATGTCATTTAGTAACATACCTTATATTAAAATAAACATTTTGGTACTTTTTTTTTTTAAGTGAGAACTGCCTTGTAAAATTCAGATAAATGTGAAATCCAAGAGGATAATTGCATTCTGATCTGCATATGAGTCTAGAAGGGACAGATCAAGTCAATTTGCACTGGAATTCACAAAGATGAAATTCCTGAAACATCTGTCATTCGGACCAAAAACATTAAAAGGTGAGGCCTTAAAAGGAAAATCCATTTAGAAACCCGCCATTTTACAAATAAGCAATTGCGAATGCAGTGCTATAATTCAAGATCATTCAGACAGGAAATTTAGAGAAAACCTTCCCCTATGGCTCAATTGTTCCATCATTGTCAGCTCTCATATCCCACTTTTCTTCTGGGACACCTGCTGTTTGTCATTAAGGCAAGGAACAGCTATAGGTGGCAGTCCTGGTGCAGTATGTATGGCAAATCTATTGAATTCAGTAAGCAAGTTTCTCATGCTCTCACTTACATCCGCTGAAGCAGAAGGCAGTAATCAACAATGACAGGCACCATATCCTGCGAAAAAACCACACAGAAAGTGTCACTAACAATCCGCAAGTACTACTTGATCTCCTATTACTGCTCTGTAGCTGTTATCCAGAAAAGATTACACTTGCACTGATACAGAGAGATCACAAAATTAGGAAGTCACTATATTGCTTGCACATTATCCTCAAGACTTGAAATTTTTTCCTGACGAAGAATCAACCCTGCGTCTACCACAAGATGCCCAAGAGCGGCATGATAGCAGCCTATACAAGAAAATATTATTTTTATATAGGTGCTTCCATTTCTCTTGAAACAATTCATAACCGTTTTAACCTCTGAATTTTAAGTGGAAATAGAAAAGAAAAGAGAAATCACTGCAAAAAGCATTGTACCTGAAAGTGCTGCTCCATCACCTGGATTTTACCCTGATCAGGACATTTCTTCATCGTTCGATCAGCAAAATGGATAAGAATTTCAACCATCTGTGAAACAGAAAGATTACAGAGGTAAGGAGTGCCGTCATGCTTCATATGAAAGGAAGGTGCTTAATGATGGAAGGAGAACATGCAATGCACATGTTCTACCACTGATCTATGGCCCTAGGAAGGAGTTCAGAAAGGGATACAGGGGCAAATTGGGGGTGGGCTGTCCAGCTGCCAAAGTTCTCTCATAGATGCTGGGTTTCCTATCCACAATCCTTTGAATCTAATAGGAATGGCCTTGAGCTTGGTGAATCAGCAGCCAGTGTAGAGGTGTCTCATTCTAGTCGGAAGCCATGCTACAGCATTCTGCACTAACTGCAGCTTCCAGATCAAGCGCAAGAGAAGCCCCACATAGAGTGCATTGCCAAGAATCCAAGCTTGAAGTCAGCAAAGACTGAACTACTGTGGTCAAGGCTCTGCCGGTTCAGGAACAGCCATAGCTGTGGTATCAGTCACAGCTGCTAAAGGGGCCTCGAACCACTAAGGCTACCTGGACCTCCCACAAAGTTTGGACCCAATATCAGTTAATGTACAGTGTCAATGTTTAATCATTGTGGAGGTGTAACTATATACAATGGTACTTCTAGTTAAGAACTTAATTCATTCTGGAGGTCCGTTCTTAACCTGAAACCGTTCTTAACCTGAGGTACCACTTTAGCTAATGGGGCCTCCCACCGCCCCGTGCCGGAGCACGATTTCTGTTCTCATCCTGAAGCAAAGTTCTTAACCCGAGGTACTATTTCTGGGTTAGCGGAGTCTGTAACCTGAAGCGTCTGTAACCCGAGGTACCACTGTACTCTGGTATTTGTTAATAAGGATGAGCATCACTTATGATGTAAGAGAACAATTTGCATTGATGGCAAGTATGACTTTTAATTGTCATTGCTTTTACATTCAGACATATACCAACACACACCCCCCCCAACTAAGCTGTTTGTTGGGAGAACAAAAGCGAAATCGTACAGGAAAAAAGATAGAATGTAGCTCTATATTTGAAAAAAAAGATAAGATTAGGAAGAGGAAAAACTCACTCTGTCTGCAACAACAGCCTTTCGTTTCTGTTCATCTCCAGATAACCCTGTTTAAAAACAAAACAGAATACCAAGACTTTTCCAGGTCAGACTGCAAATGAAAAAGCTCCTCACTTATTGTAACTCAGAGTAGGCAATTTTTAAAAAATTAAATGTCTCAAAACACAACTTTAAAGTGTATAACCACCACCACATATACTGTAGAATTAAAACACAGGCAGGATTATTTTTAGCATGGGATTAGACAAATTTATGAAAGGCAGGTGTACCAACAATGGCTTTTAGCCAGGACAGAAAGCTGAAAGTTCCATGTTCAGAGGTAATATACCTCTTAAGATCAGCTGCTAGAAGGTAAGCAATTGGGGGGGGGGGCTTTTGTTGAAGCATTTACTTAGGTGGTAAAATAACTAAATCAAACTTACCTACAACAGCCTTGGCTTTCCCTTCATGAAAGGACCAAGCAAGAGCCAGTGCTTCATTAAGGCAGTCTTGTTTCAGAAGGTGATCTATTCTCTGAAGTCAGATACACAACAGCAACAACTGTTACAGATTGTGACCAAAGGCAATCTCCAATTAAGGATTTAATTCAGGAATTCTAATTGTTCTGTTTGTGTTTTAAGACATTTCTAGAAACATTCAACCCCTTCCCCTCAAAAATGCAATGTGCACGACCCACACATATACGTGTCTCAGATCGATCAGCCACTCAAAAATAGTACTCCACAAATCCATTCTATAAACAGGCAGCACTGAAAAATGGTTAACATCATAACATCAAAACAACTGCCCTTTGAATAACATGGAGCTGGGCAATAATTAATGGCAGTTAAAATAATAAGCCAATGCATTTTATTTGCCATCCACTTGTCAGTTTGGAACAAAACGAACTATGGGGTTTGCTGATGGAAGGAACATGATACACTAACTCCCTTTAGCAATTTCTTCAGATTTTTGTAAGTTTCCCTCATTGCTGATAGACATACAGCATCAATAGTACTGAGGTAATCTTTCAGTGCATCATGAATAATTAAATAAATAAAAAAGACACTGCAGTCTAGATTAGCAATGCTTTATTGGTGAAAATATTGCGTTCAATTAACAGGACACCAATGTTTTCTGTCCATAATGTGTATATTTACTCTGCAAAGGTTTGTCTTGAAGGCAGCTCATTCCTCCTGTCACCAAGTCATGAACCTAAGCTCTCTACAGTGTCATCCTATACATGTCTACTCAGTTATAAGCCAAACTTACTTCAGAAAAGCTTAGTCCTATGTAAGTGAATTTAAGGTTGCAGTCTTAATAACACTAGGGCCTTTCTCTTCACTTACCTCTCTCCAGCTTCTCAGTGTCATCACATGGACAGACTGAAAGTAGAGGAAAGTAAAAGCGCAAGTAAATGCAGTTGTCTACTTAAGCATTCGTTGGTAGTAACTATGAATTCCCATACTAGCTCGCAGGATGCTTAGGCAACATTTATTCTAGGTGCTGAAGAAACATGAATCCCGCAACTTAAGATCAAAGGGCTATCTAATCCAGCATCCTGTTTTCCACAGCGGCTAACAAAATGCAGATGAAAAGACCACAAGCAACATCTGAAGACAAAAAACCTCTCATGCCATCTCTGATGCTGGAGGTAGTATATATAGCCATCATGGCTAGGAGCCATTGATAGCTTTATTCTATTTATTACATTTATATACGCCACCCTTCTGCCAAAGAACACAAGGTGCTTTACAAGTACTAAAACAAATGACAAATAATTCTATATTGAGGTAATAATAATTTAATCGATCTAATAGGCAGAAAAAGAGGCCTAATAAATAATAAAATAGTTTTAGAAGAACCTGGTCAGACTTACCTTTGTACCTAAATAAAATATTTGACCACCACAGTTGCTGATTGACTGGTAACAAGCTTTCTCCCCCACCAGCGCCTAAAAAACATGGAGTGTTTTTATTTAGTACAAGAGTACAGTAGTGGTGTTTTCATTAGTAAGAAAATATATGAGGAATATAGGGCAGTGGAAAAAATAAGTGCAGCCAGACAAGCTTAATTGTTCAGTCGTTTCTCTCTCTCCTTTGTGCAGTAGCAGGTGACAAATTCAAAGTAGAGCATTTAGTAGTCATTTAACATTCATCTGTGATCCACTAGGAGTTTTAATGATGTGTTATGGGTCAACAAGGCAGCTAATATTTACCAAATAGGTTGAATATATTTCAGACGTGTAGTTTGCAATGCAGAAACTTGAAACAGAAGCTAATTTCTGCTGAAATTTACCAAATGGGCAAGACACAGAACAAAACTATGGTCAAGTTTTAAAATCTGGATATGAGACTGTGATTGCTATGTAAGCAAACAAACAATTTCTGTGTGCAGCAAAGTGATGGCAGAGTTTCAAGGTATCTTTTGGATGTGTTGAAGTGTATATAGTTGGAAAGGAGAGGAAGGTCCTTTCTGTATGTCTGCCCTCATCATTGTAGAATGCTTTTTCTCTCTATTGCTACCTGCAAGGCCATACTGCAGTACATGCTAAAATTCAAGCAGTTATGCCATAAAGGAAGAATACAAAACCCAATTGTACAAAAACAGAACTATAAGAAGAAACGGTGGAGCTGGGGAAGAGAGAGAGAAGTTATTTAGCTGCAGTTTCAGGACACACCAGATGTTAGACAGGAATTCCTAACAAACCAACATGTTCATTAAGTAAATGTCTCATTTGGCCGTACCAGTGCTTGGCTGACATTGCCTCCTGTAGCCAATGATTTGAAATGGCTGCTGTTGTACACCAACTGGACTTCTGAGATCTCCACAGTCTCAAGTTCCTCCTGCGTCTGACGATCTATCACATGCAGTTTCTCCACACTATCCAGAAGCACCACTGTGCGTGAATTTATCCACTAGAAATCAAGCAAAGGTGACAGGTACCAACAATTAATGACACAAAAGGACAGGGAATATTATTGGGCACTAAGAGAGCCAGTGTGGTGTAGTGGTTAGGAGCGGTAGTCTCGTAATCTGGTGAACCGGGTTCGCTTCCCCGCTCCTCCACATACAGCTGCTGGGTGACCTTGGGCTAGTCACACTTCTCTGAAATCTCTCAGCCCCACTCACCTCACAGAGTGTTTGTTGTGAGGGAGGAAGGGAAAGGAGAATGTTAGCCACTTTGAGACTCCTTCGAGTAGTGATAAAGCGGGATATCAAATCCAAACTCTTCTTCTTCTTAAGTAAATCTTATAAAGCCATAGCATCCGAATTATATAGCTGGTGGCAACATGACTAACTTTAGAAGTTGGGGTCTCAGTACAAATAAGTAAGAAAGGAATGCCATGTAATTTTCCTAGGAATATTTAAAAACCAGCAGGACTAGAAACATACATTTTAAAGTGGAAAATCTCAAGTGTGATGTACAAATCCCCACAATTATATGACAAACTTTTTCTTAATATGATGGTCTCCACAACCATTGGGAGCAAATCTTGAAGCACCCCTTTAAGCCCCAAGGCACAAAACTAGAATGAAGTTTTTAAAAAATGCATATTTGTAGGTTATACATTTATACTTTAAAAACCTCCAGGTTATTCAGTCTTAAACACCCTTCCAATAATAGTAAATTTTAATGAGTTTTCTACTAGAATCAAACTATGGCAAATCAGAAGAAATTAAGATCGCGGCTCAAGAGACAACACAATGAGAACTACTAAAGTGGCAACCATGTATTTAAGTACGTTGAAATTCACTAGCAAATAACAGAGCAATCTTAAATGGAGGTGGGGAGCAGAGGAGCCATTTCTGCAACCAACACCTTACCAGCTTGCATTGGTCATGTCAGACTGTGGGGTTGTTTTTTTTTATTATTTGCTAGAAGGATCCTTGAGCCCCTGGATCCTGCTAAAAAAAGGTGAGAACAATTGGAAGTAGCTTAGCTGAGTGACATCAGTCACAGCACAGCCCCTTAAATGGTGGTGCTCCTCTCTGCCAATAGAGGCCAGCAGGGAGACAACTACATAAACATCTGACACCCCTCATCATCATTACCCAGATAAGGTTCATGTTCTGAAGAGTTAAGAGCCTATTAAATGGAAGAAATGCCTATTTCTTTTTTAGCAACAAAATTCTTCGCATTTCCTACTAGAAAATAAAACATAACAACTTACTGTAAAATTAATGAGGTCATAGTGCAGATGTAGCTGCTTCTGCTTTGTAACATGTATTGCTCCAGATTCATCTCTCTTAACCTGGTGATGAAATTAGGTAATTCATAGGAACATAATAAACTACATTATACAGAGTCAGACCATTGGTCCATCAAGCAATTGGGCTGCTTACAATTGTGCTACCTTCAGCTGTGTTTTCGTCTAACGCCTGCAGAAAACTTTTTAAATTTGCCAACATTTTTCATGATAGTCAGCTGGTGATCAGCTTGTGTGTGTTTTACTATATTATATTTGTTGAGAACAACTCTGGTATATTTTTTAATGAAATTATGGTATACAAATTATTCAGGAATTAAATGAAGAGTGATTCCCACTAATCCCAACGTACATTCAAGTGAAAATCAAACTGAACAATTAGATACTTTGGCTTTTTCAACAGACTAGTAAGCCGAGAAACTCATCTACAACAAAACTGTTGCCATCCTACAGTCTGAGCTTCTGTAAGTTAATGACCAACTACTCTGAGGGAAAATGTATTTAGAAAGCAACTCTCCAAAGCTGATTGATAAAATGAACCTTACCAGAAGGAAATGGACAACATCTCCTCGGCAGAAGGCAAGCACGGGATTCACAGATGTCTGCACAGCAACAAAATGCCATGCTAGCAATGGAACACTGGATGGGTCCATCTGAAGATGAAAATAGACTAGATTCTTAGCACCAAGTAAATGAAAGAAAAAGTACTGGCTGTAGGGGGGGGGAGAGAAGCACTGGTTTGAAAGTGAAACATACTGGTCTAATTTAAATTCAATTTACAAAAAGACTTGTTGATTCAACAATGCTATAGTCATGCTTTTTACTAAATATATATAAAAAATACTCTACTTTCCAAAGCTTTATAAAGATGCAATCAGCTTGAAATGTACAACATTAGCATTTCCAGTCCTTGCAGAGGTGGGTGCACTTAAGCCTACTGATTTCAATGGTCTTAGGCATTTGGGAAAGAATTACTCCATCGGCGCAGTGTGTGTTGTATAAAGTTCTTACAAGACAATGGAAGGCTGTGTTAGACATCCAAACTAAGGTTCTCCCCAAATAATCCTCAGGCCTGGCCTAGTACAATTTTCTGCCTTAGGCAAAGGACAAGATGGCGTTGTGCTCTCTAGTCACATGTACAGAAGCAGACTAGACCAGAAGTTGATTCAAGAAAGGAACATTCTCCACTATATGTGAAGGAGGCAGGCTAATTTTGGGGGTGCAGGACAAGTCATGTGGGACACACAGCTCTGTCCTTCAACAGAGGGTAATGGCTAGGTGGAATGGGGCAGGATCAGGAGAAACAGTCAGAGTGTGGGGGGCATTACCCAAGGTAGTTTCCTCCCTCTGCTTCATGGTAGGGTTGGTCCCAGTAACCCTCATGCCCCACCAGAGCACTTTGAACCATCATGAATTTGTCAAAATTACTCACACGACCGTATGGGAAAGTCATCCACACTTTCAAAGACGGTTTCAAGCCAATGACAAGAATCTGCAGGTAGAAGTGAAAGTAAGTAATAAATATTCGGCATTCGGCAATATTTCTTCCATTTTAAAACAGGATGTCTTGTGTAGAAGTCACCTTTGTTAAGGAAGCCATTGCAAGCAGGGAGTACTGGGTGATGGGATGGTCTCTCAGTTCAGTCTTTGCATGTAAAGGCTCAATGCAGCAGACTTCTCCCTTGGAACCACTGAACAAGCAGCGTGACTCACATGTTCTCACACCCATGACTCTCCTGAGAATAAAGTAAAAGGACATAAACGAACAGCAACAATTTACAACGCTGACTTGTGTGTATAGGAAAATGCATATACAATTTAGCTTTCAAAAGTGTTGCATGTAATTCCAGGAATGGCTTTTAACAACTACATTTGCAAATCAAGCACAAATGATACTGACCAGGATACTCAAGGGAGAATTAGGCCTCTAAAGCCTCTAGTGTTTTTCCTCAGCCTGTTCAACTTGAAATCTTGAGCACAACCTGGTGTTTGAAATGCTGCACTTCAAGTTCTTAGAAAAGATTTCATTATAAAGGGTCTATTTCCAGCAATGCTGTCATCTGACAATAAACCCACAGATTCTTACCTGAAAGAGAGTTCGAATACTGAGCCTCCACTGTCGTTGCAAATCGCTAGCGTTGGATCATCTGTAAACTGAACAGAACATTACTTTTCCCCCACACATGTATCTTCTCAGCAACTTTTAAAACTTTCTTTCATTAACATTACCTCACTTGTTAATGGACACTACCCTAGACCAGATGGATGGGGTCATATTCCCTCAGAAGAAGCGGTTACACAGCTTAGGGGTATTTCTGCAACAACTGCTGTCGCCTGAGGCTCAGGTGGCCTCAGTGGGGCAGTGCGCCTTCTATCAGCTTCTGCTGGTGGTCCAGCTTCACTGCTATCTGGACAGGGACACCCCAACCTCTGTTGTCTATGCTCTGGTAACCTGCAGGTCAGATTATTGTAATGTGCTATATGTGGGGCTGCCTCTGAAGACAATTTGGAAAGTTCAGTTGGTGCAGAATTTAGCAGCCAGGTTGCTTACTGAGGCAAGACAGTTTGAGCATATAACGCCAAACCTGGCCTGATTGCACTGGCTGCTAATTAGTTTCCAGGCCCAATTCAGAGTGCTGGTTTTGACCTATAAAGTCTTAAAGGGATCAGGACCACGGTTCCTCAAGAATTGCCTCTGGCCCTATGAATCAAACCCGGACATTCCAATCTTCATCTGAGGCCCTTCTTCATGTGCCTCACTGTTTGTAGAATGCTCTCACCTGGCACCATCATTATATATTGTTATGCACCAGGCAAAAGCTTTCTTCTATAACCAGGCCTTTGATCTTTAACTATCTGTGGCCTTTCAGAAGTGGGTGGGATATTTTTAATATACTTCTCTTTCCTATGCAATTCAAATTTTGAGGTAAGAAATACTGGTGCTGTATTAGGTGTGCACAATTTATTATCGTCAGAAAGATCTAACACAATTTCAGTGCAGCCAACACAGCTCACAAAGCAGAATTAATTAATATTTCTTACCTTAATGTGCAAAATTGCTGTTCCTGGAGGATGAGCATCTGTTACTGATCTCAAAAGCTTTCCACTAGCCAGATCCCACATTGTAATCTATAAGTAAAAGACCATTAATTTTCTCTAATACAAGCCTGAATTACCAAAGCATGAAGACATCTATGAAATATTTGCCAACCATCTTGTTGTGTAATCAAGCGTTATTCAGTTATTTTGTCCTAGTTTTCCAAGCACAGAGTGTACTTCACATTTTATAAAGTTTTAGAGAACAAAGGTCTAATTCAGACATCACGCTTCCCCACTGCCATGGTTTGGGAACTGGGAGCAGACTCCTCCTCCCCCAGGGGTGCCAACTTGAATAAAATATGGGGGGGGGGGTCAGGTAAGCAGCACCCTGCATAATCGATCACATGACACGGTGCTTGGACACCAATTGAATGGCAGTGTCCATCAACTGGGGGGGCAGCCCCCTCAAAAAAAATTTGAGAGGGCGAAGTCCCCTCGGCCCTTAGGAGTTGGCTCCTATGTCCTCCCCTCCTCAGCCCTCTCTCCTGGCTAGCAGTAACTATCCTGACTGCAAAGTCTGAGCTGGACTGATTAACAAAAATTACTGCTAAGCACATTTTGAGAGCAAATGGGGTCTAATCCTGGTTTCAAACTCTGGTTTGAAAGCTAATTATGGTTAAGAGAAATTAGGGTTATACTGGTCAGGCATGATTGTCAACTGCATTTAGTAACAACAAGAAAAGGGAGGGCTGTACGAGCCAAGGGGCGTGGAGCAAAAGGGTGGGGAAGGCCACAGAGTTTTCTTAATTGCCACATCACATCTAAAGTGCACTATGGCTTGTCCATCAGTTTAAAAGCAGAAGCTTCCTCCCACCAGCTTAGCCAACATGATTGAGCAAGACTGCCAAGATTGCTCACTCCCAATTTCCAAAATGATGAACATGACTATCTATCCATCTACCTATCTATTCTTTGAAAGTTTCGCTAGGAACTGAAATATAGAGTTTACAAAATAAACAAATAAAATGGATGATGTTTTCTCTCATATGACATTTTTATTGAGAAAATCAAAGCTAGACTTAAACAAAAGCTGAATTTTCTGGCATTAAAATAAGACCTCACAGAGTACAAAGAAGTACTGCATGGGATACATGTACTGCTTGCTAATCTATATCACATTTGGGGTCAACAGGTTTCTCCCAACAATAAGCCACAGTAGAAAGAAATTATCTAAGGACATAACAAAAGGTGTAAATAGAAAATCATCGCTCTCTAGAACCAAATAAGAAGATCCCAGCTAGATCAGGCCAAAGGCCCATTGAATTGAGCATTCTGTTCCAATAGTAGCCAACCAGATACCCATAGGAAGCCTGTGAGCAGAAACCAAGTGCAATAGCAGTCTCCTCACTTGCGATCCCCAGCAACTGGAATTCAGAGACACTGCCTTGGACAGCAGAGGTGGAACAAAGCCATCGCAACCAGTAGCCATTGATCACTTACGCACAACCACATATACACGTGGTGTGTTGGGATCACAGAATGCTGTGTGTGATAGTAAGTCTACAGGTTTGAGTTTACTAGCTGATGCAATACTTTCTATGCAAGTGCTGGGTCAGAATGACTCAGCAGTAAGGTGCTGACAGTTGATTGGCTGTCATCGGCTTAAAAGGGAAACCTATCCAGCAGTAAGGTGGTGGTGTAGAGGAGTGTGGTCAGAGAGTTAGAGGTCTTCCTATTTGCCTTAAGGTGCAGCCAGGTACTCTGACTATATGAACTGCTCATGTATTATAGCCTGTAGATATTTGTATAGCTCACAATAAATATACTGCACTGAAGAACCTGGAACTCTGAGCATTTCTGCTAAAGCGCCATGAAGAATTCACGACATGGTGCTGGGAGATAATAAAATAATTCAGTTCAAACCCAGAAATGGCAGGAGAGAACTAGAGAGTCCTCATAGCTCATGAGGAGACCCTCCCTGGAGCCCGAAGAGGATGACAGTGAAGGCAGAGGAAGCCCCAAAGAGACTGAAGGTGCAACGGGGCTTCGTTTACACTGCTTAGCCTCTCCGCCTAAAACAGCAGTTCTCAACCTGTGGGTCCCCAGATGTTGTTGGACTACAACTCCCACCATCCCTGAGCTCTGGCCTTGCTAGCTAGGGGTGATGGGAGTTGTAGTTCAACAGCATCTGGAAACCCACAGGTTGAGAAAGGCTGGCCTAATAGTTGATGTCCGGGGTGGTGCAGCAGATTTCGCATGCAGCCTCCAGCCTCCTGTCAGCCCCAGAGCTTCAATTCTAGTTGTGGATATTTTTGGATACAGTGTTTTTGGTATGGATTGAAAAGAGAACAGCAGAGAGGACATTTAAAGGGTGTTTCTAGAGGGTGCTCCACACTTTACCCGATTTCACTGAAACTTAACCCCTGGGTTTGCACATCTACCTTGGGGTAGACAGAACACAGCTGGACTTACTTCTGAGTAAGCGTGCACAGTATTGTGCCACATATCAACCTTACCTGTCCTTTTGCAAAACCACACAGAAGTCTTGAACAATCGTTGTTGATGCTAAGAGCAGATATAGCCCCATACTGTGCTCCAACTGCGGTACTGCCCAAACAAAGCCGAAGAGCCTGGTTAGGATCTAAACACAAAGCATGCCTAGTTAACATATGGGTGCATCAACACCACAGATCAGCACATCAATCCTAGAATCAAGAGTAATTCTACACATCATGAATTGGCTCATTTCAGACATCACATTTTCAATCATTCAACCCATGATATGGAGAACTTACAACAAACTGTGGTCTCTCACCCTCATCCTTCCTTTCCGGGTTTGCATAATCACAATTATTTGTGACACCTAAATTGGGCGTAACATGCTTACAATTCACCAGGAGGAGGAGGTGAAGAAAGCTTTTGTGGAGAGTGAAAAATGAGGAGCTTATGTGATTTTAAAGACAGGATTTAAAATTCTAACAGTGACGAGCTATGACACCCAATGAGGCCCACAAAACTCAGAAGCAACGTGGCCAGTGCTATAAAGGGAAGAATAAGCCATGTAAAATAAAAATAAAATAACAATATTTATTGCAGCAAGAAAAAGGGAGACAGAAGCAGGTCAATAATAAAGTCAAGAGATAACATAGCAAAACACTTCAGTTCTTTCAAGAGAAAGATTCTATTTTAGAAATTTAATACAAAAAGGCTAGAGAATAATAGAAAAATGGAGAGTAGAATAAAATCTATGCCTCATTTAAATGTTTAAGGGGAAGAATAGAACAGAAAATTATTTTGCTATGGCCTCCATGTTTTCCTCCCAAAATGCCATGGAAGCACATTGCACTGAGGGAATTTCAAGGTCACAAACCTGGCAGCAGGCTGCCAATGGACAATATCTGCTGTTGCCACTACCACCATCACAGATTATGTAAAAAATATTTTTTTTAAATGAAAAATACAAAATCCTATAGGTCAAGATAAGCAGTTCCCACTGAACCCCACACCCGTTTGGAAGCAAGATTACATACACACAAATATATGAGAATGAAGATCACCAAACTAAAGATTGCAACAATCCTCATCTCACACCTAGTTTGTGATATGGCATAGACAGTTATTCAAATAGGAAGGGAGCGGAAAAACACCTTCCTTATTTTAGTTCAGCAGCTCTCTAGAAACTGGTTAGACTCTCTAGTCAAAAATTGTAAGTGCCCCAAGGCTACTTGAGTGAAGTTTCTTATCCATTTTCAGTAAATGATACTAATGTGATCAAACTTGGGTTTATGCCCAAGTATTTTAATATTTAAATGCATGTTAAATAGTCAAACTTTCTTTTTTAATACAACAGCAGCTACTTTAAAAATGGATTGGAGGAAGTAAAAACTAGGTATATGGCTTCAAACTCTTTTGAAAAATAAAAAATTCATAGGCTGATCTTTGAAGGATGTCAATACAACAATAGGTTGTGAACAGGATGTTTTGCAACCTTGTGAATGCATAAAGTCTGTAGTGGAAGGATATGTTATTACCTATTATTTGTAATTATTAAGAACAAACAGCATTTAACAAAACCCGGATTCATTTACACTGTTGCAACACAGTAAAACACCACACATTAAAAAATAAATCCAGGAAGTATGGGCCAAACACATGCTGACAGGCGTATGCAGTTTAAAATTTCCTTGGGTAGCCAGTCACTTTAATGATTGCTCTGTACTGCTTTTAAGTTTTTTATGTTGCCGTACACACCCCTAATGTTTTGTGAGGAAATTGTATATAATTTTTTTTATAAATGAATTAAGTTAATTAATTGTATTTACCACAGAGCATGCTCTATAAAAATCAAATCATCATTTCCCACACATTATATCTCTGCTTCAAGTATTATTATTATTATTATTATTATTATTATTGATGTTTTTATTCATTCATTCATTTATATGAGTGAATGAAAGAGCCAGGGCAGCAAACACACCCACAATTTCTAAGAACAATTAGAGTTAAAAACATTATTTTATCCAGTCACTTCAGAGTTACCAGGAAGAGGTATTCTTCAGCCACCTAACGCCTAAGTAAACCAAAATGTTTTCAAATTCCTTCTGAAAAGTAACGATGGTGGCAGATGCACCTCACTAGGGAGGGCATTCCACAAATGGTGTACCACCACAGAAAGGGAGAGCTCAATCTCACATTGCCACCCACCCACCATCCTGCGAATGTACCCATGAATGATTTCCGTGCTCTTACCAGGTCACCCTTCACTAGTCATCCATCTCTCACCAAGAGGCTGGGTTAGGCACATGCACACCTTCCTAGTTGTTTCTGGCTCTCACCCAGGAATCAACCCAGTCAGATGTACCAGGGGGGTGGGGAATGCCCTCACCCATCCCTACTGCAGCCTTGGGCTTGTCGATCAGAAGGTTGGCAGTTCAAATCCCTGTGACGGGGTAAGCTCCCATTGCTCAGTCCCTGCTCCTGCCAACCTAGCAGTTCGAAAGCACATCAAAGTGCAAGTAGATAAATAGGTACTGCTCTGGCGGGAAGGTAAACGGCGTTTCCGTGCGCTGCTCTGGTTCGCCAGAAGCGGCTTAGTCATGCTGGCCACATGACCTGGAAGCTGTACACCGGCTCCCTCGGCCAATAAAGCGAGAAAAGCGCCGCAACCCCAGAGTCATCCGCGACTGGACCTAATGGTCAGAGGTCCCTTTACCTTTAAGGACATCCCAACCTCATCATTTTAATTAGCTGTGAGGTTCAGGATCACCCCCACCTTGCCAAAGCCTCTGGAGAGAAGAGTGTCCACGAGACGGATGGTGGAAGAAGAGGGAAAGGCAGGTGGGAAAAGCAGTAACACCATCAGAGGTGGCAGGCAGCCAGTTTCCTCAAACAAATGCCAGCAAACCTCAATGAACTGAAGCAACATTGTAAAGAAGAGCAGGCCAGAATTCCTCCACTATGAAGTGAGAAGCCGATAAAGCCACACAGAAAACAATTGCTTCAAGTTATTGCTGATAAAGGTGGTTCTACAAGCTGTTGAATCATAAGGTGTACTTAGTTCTTCCACACACGGCTTCCCCATTTTGGCTTTATTTTTGTTAAATAAAACGTGACACGGAGTAATATGTCATGTGTTGTTGTTCATCTGAGGTTGTATTTACCTAATTTTAAGACCTGTTAAGGAGGAGGTGACTGGTACCGTGCTGATAATACCACAGAATTCAAACAGGGTGTACTTTCTTTTCCCCGTAACTGTATAGGCGGTTATTGAATATGTTTTGTTTGAAGACCAGTACCTCTTGCCAGAGTGGTAATCAAAGCTATGATGTACTAAAAGCTACAGACAAAATATTTGTCTCTTCTTCAGAGGAGTTTCCCAACACAGGAAATAGCTTCAGGGTTTTATATGAACTCCTGCACCCTATGCCCTAAAATTACATTGTGAACATATTGCCCAGACCTTCAGGAAGCGGTATACGAATACCTTCAATAAATATAAATTTAATCTACCATATCAGAATTCAGAGCATAGTTGTGGCAGTTTTAAAATGTGGATCTGTTCATGCAAGTTACATGCACAATGCAGCGATACTATACCTTTGCCTTCTCAGTCCATGAGGAAAAAAGTTGAGAGAGAAAGAAAAGCCAGAAGTCAATAGGGAGGAAAAATACTCAATAAAATGTTTCTGTTCAGCAAGAGGCTATCACAAATCAGTTTCTGCTGGTGGCAGGGTGGGGAGCAACAGACGAAATGCCTATTCATTTCTTTGTAACATGAGGCCAAAACAGCATATCCAGACACTTCCTTGAAATGCAATACAGAGAACCGAGTAAAAAAAACAAACCCCTACCTTATTTGAACATAATCTTTTTTAATCCAGAAAGCCTGCAAGTCAACATCATTTTAAAATACATCACATTACTTACTTACATGTAGCACGTCCTGCTAAGCTTACTGAATCAGATGACCAGACATATTGGTACTACTTATGTAACAAAATACATAGAATATGCCATAGAAATCAAATTCAAAGTGATTTTCTGAAGTTTAAGTAGTTCAACAGGTACCCTTGCTTACCAAATATCAGTGCCAGTCCATGGGATGTTCCCACTGCTATGAGACTTGATGCTGCCTAAACAAAGCAAAGCCAAGGGAAAGCATTAAGACACTTGAAAACAAGGCAGACAATAAGCAATAACCCAAAAGCATCAATCAGATTATCAATGTTTTAAGTATGCAAAATTGAAACTAGAAATTAACCCTAAAAGGTTATGCACCCATGGAATAGGTTTCTATAAAGGACTCAAAAGAAGCCATATCAGAAACACTTGCTGACCAAATGATTAAAGATTATTTCACAAAAAGAACTGATCCAAGTGACCTTTATAATTGGAACAGGTGACTGACTGGATTATCATCATATACATTAGGTGGCAGGTTAGACTTCCTGATTTTTCATTAAGCCTACTCATTGGCCTGTGCACAAAAACTGGGCTCATCTATTCCCCTTTCCTCCTCCAGTGCCTCTACAAGGGAAAAGAAAGGATATTTTCACTTTAATGTAATCATAGTTTAGAATTACAGCCAAATCCTAAACTGTGATTAATCTTAACCATTGCCTGTTGAAACAAGCCAACTTCATAAACCATGGGTTGGAATAACCTAAGGAGCCCCATTATAGCAGAAGCCCTGCATAAGGACTTCCATTTGTGCAACAGGGCTTCCCTCCTCGCTTTCTTTGTGTGCCTGAAATTGGCTCTGGAGGTGTCAGAACCTCCGGAACAGCACACAGGGGAAGGAGAGGGGGGCTGTTCCATCTGGCAAGCTGCAAGGCTTGGGCAAACATTCATCAAAGCACAACAATGAATCCCACCCCATGATTTTAAGTTGGGTTGTTTCAATAAACTATGGTTAAGGCTAACTCCAGATTGACCAGGTAATACCAAACTCAGATAAAAGAGGTTAATTAAAAGCAAGAGTTTCCCATTTCTTTCTCATGGCCAAGGAGCCCAAGCCTGGCAATCCATAGCTTAGCTTTACACCCAAATGTTGCTTATCACAGCTACTGCAATGGTTACTGGAGTACCAGATTGTGTGCACTGCTTTGGGTCCTTTATTTTGTTACATGGATTATTCACATCTATTCATTCTATATAGTAATACAAATGAAATAGTTTTGGAAAGAAACAGGGTCTGCAAAAATACTGTATCTAGGAGCAAGGCTTTAAGAACGTCAAAAATGAAACAAGCATTGTATAATTATTCATAAACTTACAATTGCAGTGGGTAAGCCAGCATCCACTTTGGCCTAAAAGAGAAAGATATATTATGCAACTAGCATCAATAATCATAAGTGTGAAACACAAAATAATCTGCATGTCAAATATAATCATGTGAGGCTTCCCAACTTGCCATTTGAAATAACAGAATCATAGAATTGTAAATTGGAAGGGTCTTGAGGGTTATCTGGTTCAAACTTAAGCCTACACTTGCCATTAAGAAGCTGAAGCTCTGACTCAAAAACCCCCCACAACCAGATTAATTCCATATGGGAATTCATCAGGTTATGACTGTGCAGAAAAGGGTTCTGCTCACTCCAGAGTGGATTTTGCTTTTCCCACAGATGGAAAATACCCCAAAGCTACAAAATGCAGGGGCTAGAAGCATCCTCCTCCTGGGTTTACCATTATGTGTGACCATCACCAGTATGGAGTTAAAAGGAGCTCACACCCAGTCCTAAAATTACCCAGAGAATCGTTTTTTTCAGGATTCTCAAACTAACACCTGCGAGTTTACCAGAGCTCTTTTTAACCCACGTGACAGTCAGATACAACACTAGAACGCTTTGAGGGTTTTCAGTTTTTTTACAAATCAAGCGGTGCATAAATGTTATGAAATAAATAGAAATAAATAATAGAAACAGAACATGAGGCAGTGGAAGAGTGTGCTTGACCACATATCCAAATCCCTAAACCCCAGTTAGTTGTAGACTAGGAAAACAAACTTCATGTTTATCCTTTTCTACCCGCTGCATGAATATCGTAAGTGTACCACCTAACTATTGTCTCTTCCGACTTGTGTACTGCCCATGTTGTTCATCTGCCTCAGTGGAGAAAAGATACTTACCGCTGCAGATACTATCTGAGCAGAGATTCCTTTCAGAAGGGACAGCCGTATCACAGAGCCATGGATGGAGAAAGAATCACGAAGTTTCTTCTTCCTTCGTAAAGTAAGGACAATCTCTCAGAACTCTACATGTAGTTAAGAGCCCAGTGCTATAGTGAGAAACTGCTAGATGAGGGGCTAAAGTCCCACTGTGCCAGCAGAACACCAGATACACTACAGCCATGCAAATGCTACCATGACACATGTAACAGTGCAACACCACAGATACGTCAGCTCAGAAGGCTACTAGTGGAGTGGAGCTGTGAGGACATGAGTGGCACAGGAGAGGAGGGCACTTATGCCATTTCCTACACCCCCTCATGCAACTGCCATACCTCCTCTCCCATGGTGGGGCGCAAGTTACCAATCCTATGAAGTAAGTTCCTGGAGACTGTCAGTGATGGCATCGATCACAAAGGAGCCACATCAAGGCATTTGCCCACAAAGAGTTACCTTTTCAGGTGTGTTCTATCGCCGCTGTCAGAGCTTGCTACAGATGAAGTATCATATGAGTGAGCGTCAATGTTATCAATATTTAGAAGGGAAGGATCCTCAAGAACAAATGGCTCTTCTTCATCATCAGTCTAAAAAAGAGACAGAAATAACATAGTTGGCCAACCATGCTATATCCAGCCTTGCAATGCACTAATGTAACTTACAGCAGTACTGCCTGGGTTTGCCAGGTTCCAGTTAGGCATGGTATTAGACAGGGATGAAAGACAGACTTTGCTCAAAGATTGCTGAATAAAATCCTACTGGTGGGTTCAGAAAGGCACACACAGAGAGAAAAGAACACACAATGCCAATTAAACAGCTTTGCCAATTTTTAGAGGAGCTTGGTCCCATTTTCCAAGGTAGTTTAAGAGCAGTGTCACGTTATGATAAATTGGTCTGTGAGCAATTGCACATTTGCATTTTGCTCTTCCAGCACAGTGTGCAAATAAGGGTTTTGTACTACCCTGCTCAACTCACCTCATTTAAAATACTTTCCAGTGTTGGGGGAGTATCAACCTGAGGAATATCAAACTCCTTGTCATCTATCTATATCAAAAAAAGAAACATTTTTAAGCTTCATCATGAAGATGTTGGCTGACCACTTTTGACAGTGAAATGCTTCATGCTCCTAATCACTCTTCCCTGGGTGCTCTTTTCTGAAAATTGGTGCTTTCAAAAGGAAAATCTCAATTGGGAGCTACTGTACACACACACTACGAAAAGTTGGGAATTTGATCAATGTAATGATCTAGGGCTGAACAAAAGTTTAAACTATGTAAATACCAGATATGTGCATCAAAAATGCACAGATCATAAACACAACATAAAACCCAGGACTTTCTGGTAATGAAAACACCAAAGCCTGAAGGTGAGAACCAGAAAAAGGATGACCATGTCCGTCTTCCCCCTCTGTTGCAGCAGGATGGCACTTTAGGAATTGGAACTGCAGTCTCCATTGCTCAAATTGTCAATCCCTGTTTAGCTGCTGTATAAGCACTTCCAAAAGTCTGCATCTGAATACCCCTAAGAGCTACATAAAGTGGGATATGAAGGGGTTAAGAGAGTAGCTAGAACAGGGGTCACAGACCCTGTGAGACTGCCCAGCTGTCAAACACCTTAAGTCACAATGATGTCAAGTGATTGGGTGCTTTGAAGTTCTGAAGTCAGGACTTCAAAGCACTATGTACAGCTGATTCAGGAGGCTTTAGCTCTAGAGTCCATCAGCCAATGGTCAGTAGAATCAAAACCTGCTTTCCTTTGCCACTGAACAATCAGGAGAGCATTATAAGGCTCCTAATTGTGCTCTGACAGTTGCATAGCTATCTGTCACATATGATACCAGGTGTGGGGCAAGTGGGTGTGGTTTGGGAGAAACAGCCTTATGGGCCAAGCTTGGCCTGCAGGCCAGAGGGTCCCTACTCCTGAGTAATAATATCTGGTAGTGGAAGAAGGTATAATAATGCATACATCCATCCAGTGCCACCTTTAAGCAATTTATTATTTTGAGAACTGTTTTTAGCTTTGGTTCACTGAAAGCCACTTTGGGAACTGTTATGACTGAAGGAAGTCTGTACACACAATAATTATTGTTTGTCTGAAAACTACCCCCCCCCCCAGAATGAAAACTCCAAATCCTCAATTCCTATTTGCTTTAAGAACATTTTAATTATTGTTATAGTCCCCACTTTTTCCCTTTCATTTTAGGAATGTCTGGGACTTATATTGCGGGGTGGGGGTGGGGGGGAGTGTTAATCTTCCAGGACTCAGCCATCTTCATCCACATCAAAATAAGAGAACAACCCATGTGATGTAACAAATCTACCCATTCAGCTGCAAAAGCATCCCAAAACATACTAGACACAGCATCTTAGAACAGATAATAGATGACACAGTACAGTAGATGACTTCCAGTCACTCTGCAGTTTGTCTAATACTTTTCAGTGTGTGAAGTAAAGCACTGTAAGCTTGATTTCTGATGCTAAAAAAGCACTCTGGCCACAAACCAATGCCTCTTTTCCCTATAGTTAGAGGAGATACAAAGTGTGTGTGTGTGTGTGTGTGTGTGTGTGTGTGTGTGTGTATCTCTTAAGCAAGCTTCTGACACAAGTTTCTGGCAAGCTTCTGAAAGTATATTCATTTCTGGCACCACATCCCATACTATTCCAGAGAGTCCCTCTAACTCCAAGAGTGGTTTTTGGGGGGAAGCACAAGGAGTATGAGGAGGGGGGAAAGCCCTGTTTCCCAAGTGGAGTCCTGACTACACTTCTCTGGAACCAACCCACTGCAACTACATGAACCAAACAAGATATTAATGTATGATCCAATCCAAAAATCTGAAGAAATAAAACTCCCATTAAAATATTTTGTGCATGTGTAAAGAGGTTGTTATGCCATGAACTTGAAACTAGCACCTGCAACATATTTTTAAATCCCGATTAGCTAGCACTACAAAAGCAAACAGTAGCACATAACAATGTATAATGAACAACAGCAACAATTCATTCTTTAGACAAAAGACAGGCAGCAATGTCTTACCAGCTCACTCTTGGAGTCCAACTCTCTACTCAGTTCAGTCACAGACAGCTTGGGGGAAGAGGTTTCCTGGCACAATGGCTGCTGACTTGATTCATCCACCACAAAGGGACCTTGATCTTGGTCAAGGTTTTGACTCTCCATCTTGAGCTCATCTTCCATCTTTCTTGTTCCCAGCTGTCAAAAAGCAGCCACTTGATAGGAGGGAAGTTTAAAGTACATCTGCTTCCAGAGCCCAAACACCTGTAACTGATATAGAACGGTTCACATGCCACATTTACAATAGGGATACATAGAAATCATCAGAGAAAACCTGCAGCAGTGGACAATACGCAGACTACAAGTGAAAAGTCACAGCAAGAACTCCTACTTAAACATAAGAGTGAGATTTCCACACAACTGCTTCACTTTTGTACTAGATCAAAAACATGAAAGTAACAGTAGCTATGTGTTATCCTAAGGCAGGCATGCATTGACACCAAGATGTCAGCTGTGCAGACTAACACAAACCATACTGATCTCCTCCCTGTGTCTGGATAACAACTCGTACCGTTTAAGTTGCAAGCCATTTTGGAGGTCCTTGTTAGGGCCAAAAGGCAGAGTATAAATTCTTTTAGAAACATTACTCTCCCCCCAACCCCCACTCTTGGATCATAGAATCATTAGATCATAGAATCAGAGTTAGAAGGGACCATGAGGTTCATCAAGTCCAACCCCCTGCAATGCAGGAATATTTCACCCAATGTGGGGCTCCAACCCACAGCCCTGAGATAGAGTCTCATGCCCTACCACCGACTGAGCTATCCCAGCTGCTGCCCTACATCACCCACAAGCTAGAAGGTGCCTACAAGGGAAACTCTGGGACCTCGCATTGAAACATATGACTTCCTCACCCCATCATTCGCTTCCCGGTTCAATGACAGCTCAGAAGCCTGCCATTAAATCAGGAACGTCAGCCGTCCAGATGTTTTTCCCTACAGATCCTATCATCTCCGACCAGCATCAGCCACCTGACAGGGGCTGACAGGAGTTGGGAGAGTCCAGAAACAGCCACAGGTTCTCAATCCCTGCTTTTGGCGTACAACCACCCAAGCCTCCTCCTAAGGAAGCCTGAGGTTGTGTCATTTGCAGCAGTCAATGTAAGAGCTTGGCCGCTTCTCAACGTAATCACAATAAAGTTTCAAAGTGGGTGGGTGGGGGGCAAAGCACCCGAGAGCCCCACGGAGGCATGTTCAGTCACCCACCCGAAGGTGCCAGTTATGGGAGCAAAGCCCCACAGCAGCCACCCCACAGGCTGGGAGAGGAGGGGTTTCCGGGGATTCCCTTCCCCGCCCCACAAAACCCAGGCGCCCTCCTCTAGGACGCCGCAGCACAGAGCAGGAACGGGCCATGTTAGAAGCGGCAGGCATCGCCATGGCCAGGGACGGGGGTGCGGGGCGAGTCTGCCTTAAGGGCTGCGCCCCACACAAGGCCAGCCAAGCCGCCTGCTGGGAAACTGGGAGGCGCCCGCCCTCGGCCCCCCGACTCCTGAGCCAGCGAGGCAAAGGAACAAGGCTCACCAGCCCACATCTTCGGGGGCGCCCTCGAAACGCCAGCAATTCCGCACCCGCCGCCGCCGCCGCCGCCGCCGCCACTTACTTCCGCCCGGCCCAAGCGCAGCTTCTCCGCCCGGCGTCTGCTTTAAAGGGGACGCCCAAGCTCGGGCCAAGCGGGCCTTCGATCTCGCAGCGCCCCCTTCTGGCGCCGAAGAGAGATGCATCCGAGAGCGTAAATTCGCGGCTGCTGGCTGTCGTGGTTTTTAATTCAATACGATTTAAGGTTTCGGCGCGGGACGCGGTTTAAGCTGCTGCTCCGAGGTTCAACAACATCAAATATTAAATGGAGCGGGGGGCGGGGGCAGTTCATGTAACAGTGCATTATTAACAGCTCCTGATTCAATAGGTTCTGATAGAGCGGCGACGTTGGATCCGTTAGATAAATGCGGGGGTGGGTGGGGCTTTAGCCTGCAATCTGAGTAAATTAGATAAAAAGGATTTCCCTAATTGACATCTCATTTGCATATGCATAATAGATATGCCTCCTCTAACGGCAACTCGTGCTCATCATCTAAAAACAAATAAGAGGAGGAGGCTGCATAAGGGTATTTTACGCCATTTATGATGGGATGACAGGGAGCTAATAGTTGCCAATAGGTAACAGTTGCAGAAGTGCTGAAGGTCAGTGGCAGAGCATTTGCTTTGCATGTAGAAGGTCCAATAATAGTAATAATAATAATAATTTATTATTTATACCCCGCCCATCTGGCTGGGTTTCCCCAGCCACTCTGGGTGGCTTCCAACAGAATATTAGGTTCATTCCTGGCCATCTCCAAGTAGGACTGAAAAACAGACCCATCTGAAACCCAGAAGAGCCACTATCACCAGTCAATGTAAACAATACCAAGCTGGATGGACCATTGATTTAACTCAGTTACCAGGCAGGCTATCCGTGGTGGCTAATGCCCCCAGAGATTAAGGGGGTGGAAAACAGGAAGGAATTCTAGTTTTGTCACAGTCCTCCACCCTGATCAAGTCTACGAACTTCCATTCTTTTGCACAGCATATGACCGGAGCTTATTTTTGCTGACAAATCGAGAGAACAGAGGGCCCAGGGCATGGTTGGTTGGTTGGTTGCAGGGCGGGGTGGGTGGGTGTTGCTGGGTCAAATTAGCCATACAGTGGTGCCTCGCAAGACGAAAAGAATTCGTTCCGTGAGTCTTTTCGTCTTGCGATGTTTTTCGTCTTGCGAAGCATGGTCCGTCGCAACTGCGCCTCTTCAAGCGGCTTTAAAAAAAAAGTGCAAGACATTTTCGTCTTGCGAAGCAAGCCCATAGGGAAATTCATCTAGCGAAGCAACGCAAAACTGAAAAACCCTTTCGTCTAGCGAGTTTTTTGTCTTGCGAGGCATTCGTCTTGCGGGGCACCACTGTACTGATTTGTATGCTGATGGGAGGGGTTACAGTTTAGAACAGCACTGATGCTTCAGCAATGAGGCAACTCAAGCTGGGAGTTTATACAAGAGCTAAAGCTCCATTCCTTCCTTCCTGCCTCCAAGTCAGGCCCTGATCCAGGAATGTGCTTCTACCCACTTCCCCTTCTTCTCAAGTAGCCTCCCATGCAGCTAGCTGATATTCAGGCATCCCAGACAGCTGGTCCTGGGACAGGAATGTCAAGATACAGCAGCTGAATGCTCACATTGTTATGGATACTAACCATGTGAGAGGGTGGTGATGTTGCTCCATTCTGTGCTTTCTGGAGTGGCGTTTTCTTCTCTACACCTTTTATGGTAGGAGTGTACAAGACACCAATTAAGATACTGAGATACACCTTAGTATGTTACATTCTAAGGAGTGTGCATGGTATCAGCTAAGGTAAAGGTACTAAAAAAAAAGGTAAAGGACCCCTGACAGTTAAGTCCAGTCGTGAACAACTCTGGGGTTGCAGCGCTCATCTCGCTTTACTGACTGAGGGAGCTGATGTTTGTCCGCAGACAGTTTTTCCAGGTCATGTGGCCAGCAAGACTTAAGCCACTTCTGGTGAAATCAGAGCAGCACATGGAAACAGCGTTTACCTTCCCACCGGAGCGGTACCTATTTATCTACTTGCACTTTGATGTGCTTTTGAACTGCTAGGTTGGCAGGAGGTGGGACTGAGCAATGGGAGCTCACCCCATCGCGGGATTCGAACCGCCGACCTTCCGATCAGCAAGCCCTAGGCTCAGTGGTTTAGACCACAGCACCACCTGCACTAACTAGGGGCCAATTAACTGGAATTAAATCCCATTGAACTCATTGAGTCTTATTTGGTGGTAGGATTATGCAATGTCAGTTATGATGGCTCATCCTGGTTGGACTGTTGTTCTTTCCATCTGGAGACCTCTATGGTGAGAGTAAAAGTAAAGAACTCCTAGATGGTTAAATCCAGATGAAGGTGACTATGGAGTGTGGTGCTCATCTCACTTCAGGCCGAGGGAGCTGATGTTTGTCCACAGACAGCTTTCCAAGTCATGTGGCCAGCATGACTAAACCACTTCTGGGGCAACAGGACACCATGACAAGTGCCAGAGTGCACAGAAATGCCGTTTACCTTCTCACCACAGTGGTACCTATTTTTCTACTTGCACTGGTATGCTTTCGAACTGCTAGGTTGGCAGAAGCTGGGACAGAGCAACAAGAGCTCACCCCTCTGTGCAGATTCGAACAGCAGACCTTCCAATCGGCAAGCCCAGGAGGCTCAGTGGTTTAGACCACAGCGTCATCCGCTCCCTGCCTAGTGGTGGACCTCCTTTGCACAAAGGAATCCTCATGGTTTCTTTGCCATGAAGCATCTCATGACTTTCTGTTAAGGCCAGATAGCAGAGCCCTAAATTGTGGATGTGGAAAAGAAAAACAAATCTGTAATTACTTGAATTTCTTTATTAAAACAGTAATCAGGTACAAGTATTCTCAAAGAGAAAAGCAATGCCAGAAAATGCATGAGTCACTGATAGTAATAACCACAAGAAGCAAATGTGCGTTTAGTGGTTTCCCAGTCTCACAAAAAGTCACACTTCCAATCCGGCAAGTACTGCATGAGCCACCATATCAGAATTCAACACAGCCACTGTAAATTCACATGTTGATAAATCTTTCAGTCCCTACTAAGCTTAGAAAATTGATTCCAGTGACAAAACCAACACTGTGCAAGATCAATCATAACATTTCTGTTGTGAAAGTTTACAGTTTCTTCAGCAAGTTTACAGTTTTGCTCATTCACATATATCCAAAGGGTTTGCAGAACTGTTATATCAGCTCTGTTCTGTTTGGAAAGCCTTTAATCCAGGGTTCAATCAGAGACAGGCCTGACCCAAGACATTTTGCTGCCTCTGGCACAGGACAAGATGATGTAACCATGTACAAAAGCTGACTAGACTGACAATTGTACATGACAACAGGATAGTATTGCCCAGCGCACCTGAGGACACCAGACTAGGTACATGACAAACCTGTGTGACACACATGATCATCATGATGGAAGATAAATCTATCAGTGGCTACAGATTATGATGTTTGCATATTGCCTGTAGGATCAGAGACATCATAGCTCAGAGTGCCCATTCTAGGGGAACAACTGCAGCAGAAAGCTATTGTTCTCTTACCCAGCTTTTGAGCTTTCCATAGACACATATGGGGAACAGGATGCAGGGTTAAATAAGCCTTTGATCTGATATTGAATGAGATAAGCCCAGCAAAGCTCTCCTACTGTCCATATCCTCATATATGCTGTCTTGCATAGTATTAACCTGATAGTCAGATTTGTAACCAGGCTTTCCTAAACATCTGTAATTCTTTTCATAGACTACTCCAACCTGAAACACATTGCTGCTGCTTATGGCAATATGTAGCCATTTAATTTTTTACACTTATATTAGAGAAAACTTGTCTGTAACATTACTCATCAGCTCCAAATGATAGTGAGAAAGCCAGTTCCAGAAAGCATCAATTGGTGAATTAATCTAGGAAGAAAGCATGAGAGGAAATTAGCATAAGAAGAAAGCAGACCCTGGAAGAACATCAAAGGAGGGATATCTGCCTGATATTTACACTGTGAAATTGCTTCGGCCTTTTGGATCAGTATAAAACCGTAAAATTAAATACTCTTTCAGTTTTTCTGGGGTTTTTTTTTAACCATCTAAGCCTAGTACTATGATAGCCCAAAATATATCATAAGAATGGTTTTCTCAAGCATACTGGGAGGAGAGAAAGTGACATTTCCTAAGCGATGGAACCTAGTCCCTTTGACTTTGCTGCAACTCAGCATTCACAGCTGTACCACAACACAAGCCTCATTTATCTACATAAACCCAGAAGATGCCCCTTCTGGGGTGAGTAATATCAGTGACAAAATCTAAAGTAGAGCAGTGGCAAAAATCCAATCTGAGATTGCTTACCTTCTTGTGCAAGGATAATTTTTAAACTATATAAATGGTATTACCTATATGCCACTGAGTACAGCCAAATACCTGCTTCTTCTTCCTCCTCCTCTTCTTCCCCATCTTCTGCTTCCTCTCCCTCAATGGCAGTACTCACTTCTTTAGGAATCGCTTCATCCTGGATCTAGTATCAAAGCATACGAGGGTGTTGGTTGCAGACTATTTTAGAAAAACTACATTTTAATGAAGACTAGTGTTATGTAATAGACAATAGTTATTTTTAGTAACGGGTTTTTTTTGTTTCATTGGTGGTGTTTTTTGTCTATTTTTCCAATATGTGATCTATTAGTATTTTTTTACGGTTTTTATCTCTGGAGCTGGTTTTTATTAACAAATGGTTACAATCTGATGGATAATGAATGTGTTGTTGAATTCATGAATACTAAGGAGCTGAGGGAAGAAGCTGCACATGCTCTCACTGTTAGTAGAGGATGCTCAGAGGAAGAGATGCATAACATTCTCCACAGGTGCCAGAGATTCCTGCAGCCTCTGAAACCCATAACATTTATGCATACAGAGCTATCCCAGATGATCAGCAGTGACTTGGACACATGCAGTGGTACCTCGGGTTACAGACGCTTCAGGTTACAGACTCTGCTAACCCAGAAATAGTACCTCAGTTTAAGAACTTTGCTTCAGGATGAGAACAGAAATCACGCGGCGGCAGCAGGAGGCCCCATTAGCTAAAGTGGTGCTTCAGGTTAAGAACAGTTTCGGGTTAAGAACGGACCTCCAGAATGAATTAAGTTCTTAACCCGAGGTACCACTGTACTTAGAGGGGGAGGGGTCCCTGTAGAACACTTTCCCATCAGATGTCAAGACCATAAGAAATGGAACTCTGAACTCAATATCCTTGAGCCAGGACTCTCAGGAACTACAGCCCCAGTGCTGGACCCCACCGGGGAACACAGCTGTCAACCTTCCCTTTTTTTGCAGGAAATTCCCTTATTTCAGTGCCGTTTCCTGCAGCTTCCCGCTGCTATCCTGGATTGTTAGCTATCCCGTAGACTGTCCCTGGGACAGGTGAGGCTGCTGATCCCTTATTTTCAAGGCTCCCCGGGACAGGTGAGGCTGCTGATCCCTTATTTTTGAGGTTGCTGATCCCTTATTTTCAAATCTGAAAGCCGACAGCTATGCCAGGGAATCAAAACCTTCGCCCTTCCCCTGCTCAACACCAAAAGGCCACACACTTGACGAAAGAGGATTGAGTGCCAGGCTTGGGCCATAGGGTCACTCCTTTCAGAATCTCCATTCTCCAGCAAGTGGAAACTGGGTATCTATTTGAAGGACATGACTACTCTCACTTTTTTATTCAGTTTCTTTCCCTTCAAGTAGACACACACTAGGCAACATTAAAACTGAGATAATAATGGAAGCAGAGTTACGTCCCAGTCATGGTTCACTATCTGTTGAATTCTACACAGAATTTGGAAACAAGGACCTAGGAACATCAGCTGATAACAACAGCTGATGGACCAGCTAAGAGGCAGCAAACATTAGGAGAAACCTCTTAACAGTACAAACAGTTCAACAATAGTCAACCTTGAGGAGTGGTGGTCTCTCCCTTGTTAGAGGTGTTCAAGCAGAGGGCAGACAGCCACTTGCTTTGCTCTGGATTTCTTGCATTAAGCAGGGCTTTAAACTAGATGGCCCACAACCCCCCTGCCCACAACTCTAATCAAAGACACAACTTAAATTTAAATGAAATCGAAGAGGTTAGATTACCACCACTCTATCTGCTCCATGATCCAAGACCTTCTTTTCTGCCTCTAGCTGCTCCTGAATTGTTTTCTGTAGCAATGGTGCATTTGCTCCTCTTACAACTGCTACCAACTCTCCCCCCTGACAGAAAATATAAAATAATTGCCAATATAGTTTACAAACATAATTTGCGTCAACACAAGCATTAATATTACCAGTGGTGGAGTCTGGGTCTTCTTTTCCTGCCAACAAATGCTATGCTGCTACAAAGACAGCAAAAAATATATTAGATTTTAAGCATGGACTGATTTCCAACCTCTCCTGTTGTCAGTTGAAGACCCAGAATCACAGAACAAGAGGAAGGAGAGGATTGAAGCATGGGATGCCTCACAGATAGCAAGGGTTGCAAGGCTGAACCATTTCATTGGTTTGATCAATAAACAGAACCTTGTTTTAACTGGCTAGAAAGTGGTCCCAAGTAATGAGGCAGATTAGAAAGAATAATTATTTTTAATATAAACACTTGCAAAAACTGAAGATGTCAAGCACTATCTTAAAAGAGCACTATCTTATCTCTGCAATGCCGAAAAAACAAAGAGGAGATGCTTCTTCCTTCAGAAACAATGTTTTTAGGCACATGCAAATGTATGCAAATTTAATTCCTTAACTGGTTGGCAAACTCGTAAGATTGATTTTGGCTGCAATCCTAAACCCACTTACCTAGAAGTAAGCCTCATTGAAATCAGTGGGACTTACTTCTGAGTAGACATGTATATTATTGCACCATAAAATAATTTACCCAGAGATAATTTATTGCCCCCAATCCATTAAAGTCAAGTTATTTGACTTCCACACTACTTGGGGCAAATGTTTTAGCTGACTCATCCTATTAATTTGTAGTACGACCCGTTCCACAGGAAGCAAGCATATCATCCCCTTCCACTTCCAGTGCTTAGGTTGTGAGTGGCATTGCTTACATAACCAAAGGAACAACACTCCCACACAGGAAGGAGACTCGAGAAACCGTCTGAAGAAGTACAAGAACTATTTTGGGGGGAACCCTGCAGAGTGGGCCAATTGTGACAATCGGCCATGGAATGCTGTCCGACTGCAGAGTGATAAGCGTAGTTGTAATCTTGAACGGGGAACACGCCACACCACAAATTGTTTTGAAGGTCCTATGTGTTCCCTCAACTTCCCAGGAGCTACATACTCTGAGCAATGTTCTTCTGACAGAGTTTCCTGTGCATAGCAGCCACCTAGCAGAGCAGTACCACAAGGCCAACCTGTTTCGGGCTCGTCCACACTTCTGCATTGTAGGCAAGGATCAGAGCAGTTTTGCTTTGCCCCGCTTTTTAGAAATGAATCAGAAGGAATGGCAAACTGCAGAAAACCTGGTTGCTATTTGCACCAACAAATGGAGGAGTGGATAATTGCTAAGTGTGCTAATCTCTCTTGAAGGCTTTCCCCCCTTTACCCTAAGATGCCTAATTTATTCAGACACTACTAATTACATTCTTAATATTTATAGCATCCTAATCTCTGTCTTGTTTAATCTTATGGTCAGAAGCATATACATTTATATAAGCTACGTAAATTACAACTACTGTGGAAAGTATTTTAGGTTACCGTATGCATAGAGAATGAGGGGAAATACAAACTAGAGTAATATCTGAAATATAAAAATACGATTCCCAGCAACAACATATATCTCCAGCTGCCAGCAAGTTCAAATTCACTGATACGAGCAAAAACACGTGTTTAATACATAATACACACCAGAGCATAGTGGAGCAAGTTTAAAGTCAAACAGGTTTAAAAGACATCTCAGGTTTCAAAAGTACCAACTTACAGCATAAAAGAGAAACGTAGGTTCGCATTTTCCACGATATTTCTCTAGGGCATCAACTGAATCTACTTCAGCCTAAATAAAAAGTAAACAAGCAAACAACTTACTAAGAGCATTTATGTTGTGAACCGCCCTGAGATCTGTGTAAGAAGGGCAGTATTGTATACAAATTTAATAAGTAAAATAATAATAATAATAATAATAATAATAATAATAACAATAATAGGGCAAATGTTCACAACTACAGAAGCACCCTTTGGGTAGGCCAGAAAAACATCTAGAGCAGAATTGCTCTAGAACCTGGTGCTTCCCATTTATTGCTGGACTGCAACACACATGAGAGCCAGTGTGGTGTAGTGGTTAAGAGCGGTAGTCTCATAATCTGGGGAACCGGGTTCGCTTCCCCACTCCTCCACATGCAGCTGCTGGGTGACCTTGGGCTAGTCACACTTCTTTGAAGTCTCTCAGCCCCACTCACCTCACAGAGTGTTTGTTGTGGGCGAGGAAGAGAAAGGAGACTGTTAGCCGCTTTGAGACTCCTTAAAGGGAGTGAAAGGCGGGATATCAAATCCAAACTCTTCTTCTTCTTCTTCTACATCATCCCTGACCATTTGCCACACTGACAGGAATGATAGGAGCTGGAGCCCAACAATATCTGGAGGGCCCTCGGTTCCCTATACCTGATTGGATAAACACCTATTCAGATGCACATTTAGCTCTGCCCCCATAGCCCTGTGATTTCTCTGGCCTCTGCAAACAGCTACAGCAGAGAGCCTTGTATATCTGTTTGGGAAGGCTCCCTCAGCCAAATGAGAACCTTGGAAGATCAGGGCTTGAGCGGAGTGGCAGGGTTAAAGTTGCATCCCCATATCCCTGCTCTACTCATGGTCCCTCTTCAAGCAATAATTAATGCCTGAAGACTTGTGCTATTGAGATCTCTAACCACAATGTTTCCTAATTAGCCAGAGCAGGGGAGAGGAGCTCACAGGAAGGGGAGGCTGTGTTTTGTGAGGGAGAGTGTGGAGTATCTCCATCCACTGCCAGCTTTGCTCCCCCCCCCATTGTGGTCTTGCTCTGCTGACTGCTGGACCTGCTACGCCTGGAAGATTAGGCACAAGGAAATGCAGCCCCAGGACTGAAAAACTGTTCCCTACCTTAGTGTATAGAACTGCAGCTTTATTTAGCTCACTGAAGCAAGATGAATTGCCTGTTTTATCTGCTTGCCACATAGGCATTTATCTTTGCCAACTATTCTCGACGGATCCATCCATATGATTTTCCAACCATCCCTGAGCACTGGCTATGCTAATGGGGGCTGATGGGAGTTGGGAGTCTGGCAATGTCTGGAATGCATCATGGTAGCTACCCCTACTATATAAATTTGAAGCTGTCTCTTACCACAGCAAAATGAAGGAGGTCATCACCAAATTCATTCCTGATTTTCCTGAAGAGGTTTACTACTGCTTTACATGGTCCACACCAGCCTTGATAAACATCTACCACTACAAAGAGATTAAGCTAACTTAGCAAATCATGGCATTTCAGAACCTACAAAGTTTAGTTCAGCACATGCAAATGAAATTAGTTAACTATCACTACTTGTGTATCCCTAATCCCTGGTCATGCTAGCTGGGGGTGATGGGAGTTGTAGTCCAAAATATTTGGAAGAAACAGGTTTGGGTGAAAGGTGGTACATCAACAACAGGAACACTCATTCCTTTTCTAACCTGCCCTATAAACACTGTCAGTATTTATATCTATCTCTCAATATAAAAATAAATGTAAGGCTGTCATCATGCAGCCCTTATTGTAATGACTTATTACGTGTAATGCCTTATTACAATCCTGGATTTGCATGGAGTCAGAGTTGGGGAGGGCAGCAAGAAAGAAGGAGGGTTGCACAACAACAGAGGCTGTGGCATGGGATCTAGAAGGAAAGGACACTGAAAACAAAAAGTAGTATTCAGAAGGGAAGTGTTTGGGGTTTTTTAAGTATGAGAAGGGAGAAATCACAGAGATGAATACTACACAGAAGTTAACATCAAGAAGCTAACACAACAGAACCTTACCAAACTCCCTTCTTGCTGTACTGAAAACTTGTTTTAAACCACCACTTTTTTCTTGGTGTTGCTCCCCATTTGCTCTACTCAAACCTCTGGCATTTTTTAAAGTCACAATCTTCCTCCCACTGTCACCCTCTGCTTGCTCTACTCAAACATCTGTTGTTTAAAATCACTTTTCCTTTCATAGTTCTTCTCTTCTTGCTGTATACAAACGTTTCCCTCTTACTTTATTCAGCTGCTTTGTGTTTGAGAAGGTTCAGAGGCCTGAAATATTCCATAGTACTTTCACAATAATGTATCTAAATCCTAGTATTATATGTCATTTTCTGTGTAATGATTTAAAACAGAACCGTCCATTAATTGAACTGAACCTTCTCAAATGAAGTCAAGCTAACTGACAGGTTTGCTCTTAGATTCTGCTCATCTTAAAGATATGGTAACATAAAGCATCACGGGCTGTGCATGGAAAGGGGGCTGCAGATTAGGAGGAAGGAGGAGGCATAAAAATGAGGATGGTCTGTTTGCAAGGGACAGTGCAAATGGGAGAAAAGGGATAATAATGAGATATATTGACAAAGGGGAGACTGCAAAATAAGAGAGGAGGAAAAACAGAAGTGGGGGTTGTTGGCGGGAAAAGAGGAGGAGGGAGAGAGAAAGTGCTGAAGGTGAAAATGGGGGCTGCAAAAAAAGGAAGGAGCAATGGGAATAGGGTTGCAGATGAAAGCAGGGGCAAGAAAGAACCTGAAGAACAGGAGGGGATGGTGGAAGGTGAAAAGGATGCTTAGTACTTGCAATGTATGGGAGGAAGAAGATACAAAAGGTTACCATGGGAGCATTGTGTGCAAGGGGGTTGCACAAGAGAATGGAGGCCTGCGCATGAGTGGTAAGCTGAAAAGAAGGCTGCAAAGTGGGACTGTAGAAGAAGAAGCTTCAGAAATGGGGTTGGGAAGGTGCAAAACAAGCTTAGTAGCTGTAAGAGGTGAAAAGAGAAGTTCTAGGGGATTAATGGGGGAATGGAGGAGGGTTGGTGATCAGAGGCCACAGTATACTAGTACTAGTATTTATGAACAGCAACAGAGAGCCATGCCATATTTACAGCTAAGGTCTTACCAATCAAACCTTTGGAACCCAGCATTTCTTCCCAAAGTTCCTGATTATTAACAACCATCTGTGTGTAAATGAAATATAACTGAGAAAGCTTTCAATAAAGCAATAAAGCCTTTAAGAGCTACCTGAAAGGAGATTTGGTAAATTAGCAAGGGGGCAACTAAGATTTTTGTGTCAGAAAGTCAAAGTCACAAGTCAGTTTCATGAAAATACTTTCTTTAGGCAAAATGTATATAGAGAGGAAAATAAAAGACAGCACGATGCTCAAACATGGCACATAAGATGGTGCAATTTGTTTGTGCATTTGTTTTCTGTTGCTGTAGAAAGGAGGACTCAAACACATTCAAATTACAAGTCAAATGATTTTGGCTAAATATTAGGAAAAAATCCAATAGCACAGTAAAACTTTAGGAAGTGGTGACCTCTCAATTGTAGGTTTCTAAGCAGAAGCTAGATGACTACTTATCAAGGATGCTGTAACATGGGATTTCCTGTTTCACCTGTGGGTTGATTAGTGTAAGGAACTGGCAGGACAATGGGGAGGAGGAAGAGGATCCTGACGAGGGGTGTGGCTAGGACTGGGACACACAGGCAAGCAGGGGATGGCGGAGGAGAGGTCATAGCTGTCAACTTTTCCCTTTTCTTGCGAGGAATACTATTCGGAATAAGGGAATTTCCCTTTAAAAAAGGGAAACGTTGACAGCTATGAGAGAGGTTGGTGCAGGAAGTACTCACAGGGTGACAGAGGATGGCGAGGGGATGGGAGGTCAGTGCATAGGAACCAGAACAGCTGGACCCAGAGCCAGAGGGGCCCCTTTCTCCAGGAGCATGGCAGGCTCAGAAGCATAGGGAGCAGTGGGTGGAGCACTCTGGGAGGCTGAGGCAGGCAAGGACCCACAGCTCAGCTCCCTAACTTGGCCATGTGGGGCTCACTACCTCTGGAAGGATGTATCTGTTTCCTCAGCTAGAATAGGCTTGGAACAGCTGAGGGTCACATGACTGAAGCCCAGATGCTGCAATCAGCATGCAAAGTATAAAAGGGGCAGCAGAGCTAGGAGGCTGTGTCTGCTCATGTTGTTGGCCCTCAGCTTGGATGCTTCAGGATCTCTGAAGGATGGTGCCTTCGGTTTGGACTTTGGACATATGGACTGACGACTTTACATACTGACTTGCCACCAGGTAGGCCAGGAGTTCAGGGCAGTTAGGTGACTTCTGAAGTCTTTCCCAACTCTATGAATCTAATATTAAGATACCATTATGCTACCAACACACAGCCCAACGTGGATATTAACATTTTGGTAAATGGAAGTCTGCTTGTAAGACACGAATGCTGTAGATCTATTTAAACTCTCATTTTGACTCAAGAAAACCACCATTTTATAGTTCAAATCAGGGGAAATAAATACAGTAAATGGACAAAAGTACAATGATTCACAAAATGTTTAGGGGTATGCATACCCCTGTGTACCCCCAGAAAAAAGCACTGTTTAAACCCATTTGTGAATAAGCCCCACTGAACTGAGTGGGACTTACCTCTGAAAAGGAACATGCATAGAATCTCACTGCATGATTGCAGGCATCCCAGGAAATAATTCTCAAGCAACTCATTTCAGAGTAAATATGTTCTTGCTTCTGTTGTATAGCCCAGCATCTCAGACCTCAAAACGTTTAATTAACAGATGGCTGCACTTTGTTTATGGCAAAGCACTTTGAGGTCAGCCTATAAGTAGCTGACTTAGAGCCACATGGGAGCAGTTCCAGTGAAATCAATATGTCTACTCTAATGTAAGTAGTTAACAGGATTGAAATAATAATCAATTTCTTCTTCTGGCCACTTGATGGCAGGATTTATAGAGATTATATTCCATACGGAGCAATTTATAATAAAGGAATTGCAAACACATTCCCATCTTTTCCTATATGGTTCTTTAACCATGCTTTATGAATGAAAGATGGGATATGTATTAATATTCATATATTCATGTTCTTACATCCAAAGTGCCACTGAGATCATACATGCTTGTCTCCAGACACCAGATGACTAAACTACACCAGTATGTTTCGTTATAGGGTAATGTCTAACTGTGCTCAAGATGCAAACTCATTCTTTTTCTGGCAACCAGCTGCATACTACCAGTATAATTTGTATTCAAATGGAAGTTTGCAAATTATCTAAGATACTTTCTCACACAGCCTATAGGAGAAGGAAGGACACTGATGCCAGTGGGACTACTTGTAAATAACTATGCATCATAACAACTTTATGATAAAAGATTCATGAAACATAGAATATTAATCCATGCATTTCCAACAAAGCATTTGTTGTGCAGGCTGGACAGATCACATCACTTGTGATATTATTTCCTCAGGCAGCTCCTCAGGGCCAACATTAGAGGTTGACATTATTGGGCACATACTGATGCTTGCAGGACTGCCCATTGCTGGCACTCAGAGCTTCCTGCTCATGCTGCGTCTCCTTTCTGCCTACCCGTCCACCTGTTCTCTCTGTGCATGCAAGCAGTTGACAACAGAGGTCACGGTGCAGCAACTTCCACTTACTTTGAGATCTCCTTCTGGATATTTTGTAGATTGGGCCCAGAGGAAGCAGGCAAACGAATGGGCAATAGCAAGGAGGAGGGAGGCCCATTCCAACAGGTGCCTCTCCTAATTGCATCTCACAAACCCTAGAACTGGTATCGCATCCCTTCCAAATGTAAGCAAGCACATTCCCTTGGCCAACCTGATCCTCATTAAAACCTAGGATAAAAAGGAAAACACACATGCATGTATATTTGGACTAATACTGTGTTTTGATACCCATGCTAGTTTTTGTTGTTGTTGACTTTGGAGACATCTAAATCAACATAGCCAATCTGAAAGGACAATTCATCCTTTTTACCCTAGGTCTTAATGAAGATAAAGTTAAAAGTGTATCTGAAGGAGTGTGCATGCACACAAAAGCTTATACCCAGAACAAACTTAGTTGGTCTCTAAGGTGCTACTGGACAATTTTTTAATTTACTTCAACTGCTGCCTACCTGAATCTAAAGTTAACGGAGAAGTTGTGCTTACAAATGAAGGGCTAAACCTGGTTTAGTGTCTTTCTTAGAATATTTGATTTGTATTTTAATTTGTATTTGAAGATTTAAAAATTGAGACTCCTCCAATTATCATACAGCTCACCCTTCAGTCTTTGGTTCTTATTTTACCTCATTCTGATTAATATAACACCCTGTGTCAGTGACTAGTTCTTGGAAAATGCACTGTAGGGATTCGTTTAAATCGGCTCTTACATTTCCTTTCTGATTCATCAAATGATGAAAGCAATTGCATTACTGCTTCTTGTTGCCCTGGGAGACTGGTAAATCCATTTAGAACTTATGCTTTCTATTTTAAATCTGTGCCATTGTAGGAAGGTTTCACTGGCAGAATACAATGCAACATTGCACCCGAACCACCCTCTCTTCCAAACAAGCTGGAAATACCAAACTCTAACAGAATGAAATGCCACATTTGAAACATTAAGCTCACTTACTGACCTGCAAAGCTAATTCTTTCTTCCTGCTGGTCATAGTGCTGCCAAAACAAAAACGCCAAAACATCAGGTCACTACATAACACTACTGCCCAGCCTGGAGGATCATCATCAAGGTACTTTGCTAATTAAATATAATTTAGGGCTATGAAGCACCAACTATGGCTTTTGCAGCACATGTTTACTTGGAAGTAAGTCTGCATTGTGTCCAGTGAGATTTACTCCCTAGTAAAAGTGTTTAGGATTGCAGCCTTAGTCACTTCCCAGCACTACCCTAGTAACTTGTGGTGTCATTTCTAATCATTAGGACCGCCACATTTGCAGGCCGTTCTAATGCATTATGATTACTCAGAGATGAGTCTCACTTGAAAACTCTCGTTTCCTGGTCTTGAAACTCCGAAGGGACTCTATTGCCCCAAGAACTGCAAGGGCTTGATAGGCAGACGGTACCTGATTAGAGGAATTCGGCAATGGCTCCTACGCACCGCCGCAGCAGCAGCAGCGTCCCACGTTTCCATAGCAACACGACCAACCAATGGGAGATAGCCCTGTCCGGTGGCACAGCCGCCGCCAGCTCCCTGGCCGATTTTGCTCCTGGCCCTTCCTGCGCAGGCAGATGGGTTAGTCCTCCTCCTTGCAGAAACTGCCAAGCCCGTCAGGGAGCTTCTACGGGAGGATGAACTGAGGAAGAATTGATCTGACAGTTGAGCTGCACCCCTAGGGAAGTGAGGCTTGGCAAATAAAACACCGGCTTTTACATTAAATGCCTTCTTTCCAAGATGGTAGTGCTAATAAGGGAACATTGATCAACGTTTCCAACTTTTCCCTGCTAAATATTTCCAACTTCTCGCAAGTCATATTTTGATTACTTAAAAATATATTGCATATTTCTGTGTATACACCTAAGTGTACATGTGACAGATGTGATGGGAGAGAAGTTCTTTCCTTAAGCCTCTTTAAGTCACATCTTTATTCATTTATTTCATTTATTAATCACTTCTCATAAGGCAACCGCAAATCAGTTTAGAATATAACGACATAAAAACAGTTAAAGCAATTGCATTATTGCATATACTGTACAGTGGTACCTCAGGTTAAGAACTTAATTCATTCCGGAGGTCTGTTCTTAACCTGAAACTGTTCTTAACCTGAAGCACCACTTTAGCTAATGGGGTTTCCCGTTGCCACCGCACCGCCGTTGTGCAATTTCTGTTCTCATTCTGAAGCAAAGTTCTTAACCCGAGGTGCTATTTCTGGGTTAGCGGAGTCTGTAACCTAACGTGTTTGTAACCTGAAGCGTCTTTAACCTGAGATACCACTATATATATATATATATATATATATATATATATATATACTCCCTAGTATATATATATATACCTAGTATATATATATACAGAGAGAGAGAGAGAGATGCATGTATAAATACAAAAACTGGTTTAAAACAACAGCACATTCTAACATTATTCAATACTGTTGTGCTTGTTTGACTCTGGAAACTAATTAAAATGTCAGAAGCTTTGAAAAATAAGGAGGGGAGAATTGGGAGGGGTCCTCTGACCTATCACTTAAGGCTGCAATCCTATATTCACTTACCTGGAGTGAAATCAATATGACTTACCTCTGAGGTGGTATATATAAGTTTGCACTGTAAATGGGTCATGTAGGGGATAAGAATTCAGAAACTTTCAATATTCTATACACATTTCCACTTTAAAGAAATAGCTGGTGCAGTCCAATGAAAGGAAGGAAAACTCAGCAATGGATTTCATATCAAATTGTTGACAAGAGGAAATCACACACCCCTATTCTGTGTTCCACTAGTTCAAGGGTAGCCAATGTGGCGCTCTCCAGATGTTGGACTACAGCTCCACCTCTGCTAGCATGGGCAATGATGAGATATGATGAAAGTTGTACTCCTACAACATCAGGAAGGCCTCACATTTATATATGTATAGCACATAGGTAACCATTGTCAGTAGCTGAGCAGCTGTCAATAGCTGACTCTTCAAGTCAGATTTTATAGGCTGTTTTACTGACATCAAAATATTTGAACACAATACTGTTTGTGCCAGCTTGCTTGACTCACATTCTTATTGGCTGGTTCTAGAAAGGCCAGGCAATCTCAGAACCTAGATGTTTATGATAATTAACTCCTCACTGAGGGATAGTATAGTTCCATCTGATCTGAAGGATAACATCCACCCAAGAGTTAAGGAATTTGAATGTGAAATTGCGTTATTCAGCTAAACCATTGTGCTAGTGGAAGGCAGTACAATGATTCCCACTAGTTCAACAGAACTCTCCCCCCTCATGTGTATCCCCAAATCTGTTCTGGAGGGTCAAAAGAATCCCTCAGAACAGCACCTGGGGGGGGGGGGAGAGGAAATAATTCCATCCAGCAAGCAGAAATGCTTTTGCTGACAGAACAATCTCCTTAAGCTTCTAAAGCAAACCTTGTAGAAGAAGAACCAGCATGGATTCTGAAAAGGTGAGTCCTGTCTAATGAACCCTTTAGAATTCTTTAAGAGTGTAAATAAGCATATTCATAGCAGTGAGCAAGTTAATATTGTGTACTTACACTTTCCAAAATCATTTGATGATGTCCCTCATCAAAGATTTGTAAGTAAGTCTGGCAGTCATGGGATAAGAGAATAGATCCTTTTATGGATCAGTAACTGGTTAAAGAACAGGAAGCAGAGAGAAGGAATAAATTGCAAATTCTCATAATGGCGGTGGGTGGTGAATGTAAGAAATGGAGTTTCCACAGATCAGGATTGGGACCTGTGCTTTTTAACTTGTTCATAAATCAGCTGAAGTTAGGGGTGAGCTATGATGTGGGCAGGTTTGCTGATATTCCTGGTGGTTTGAACAAAAGGGTTTGAGGTGATAACAACAGCCACAACAAAAAAGATTGCAAGGAGCTCCAAAAGGATCTCTCCAAAATGGGTGAATAAAAGTAAAATTACAAATGTGATTCAATGTAAGTAGGTATAAAATGATGTACATTGGCATAAAAAACTAGCTTCACATAAACGTTAATGGGGTCTGAACTGACAGTGACTGACCAAGAGAGTTGTGGTGGATAGCTCGTCAACCCAGTGTGTAGCAGCTGTGGAAAAGGTGAATTCTATGTTAGGGATCATTAGGAAAGGGATTGAAAACAAAACTGTCAATATCATAATGACAGATAAATTTATCGTATGACTGTTCTTGAAATAAAGTGTTCTGTTGCCACACCTAATATATAGTAGAGCTGGAAAAAGTTAAGAAAGGGCAACCAAAATGATCATTTGGCTACAACAATTCCCCTGAGAGGAAAGGTCACAACATTGAGGATTTTTTACTGTAGAAAAAAAGCAAGTGAGCAGGAACATGAAAAAGACATAGGGAATTATGCGTGGTGTGGATAAAATGGATCAATATTTTTTTTGACCTGCAACCATCCAATGAACCTGAATTTTGAAAGATTAAGGACATTCAAAAGGAAGTAGTTCTTCATACACACAGTTAAACAATGGAATTTGCTACCACAAGATATAGTAACAGTCACCAACTTCGATAGCTTTAAAATGGTGTTTAGACAAATTCATGGAGGCTAAAGCTATAAATGCCTACTGGTCATGATGGCTGCTTACTGCCTCCAGTACTGGAAAGAGCACACCAGTTCTGAATACCAGTTGCTGGGGAGCACAAGGAGGGCAAGATGTGTTATTGTGCTCAGGTCTTGTTTACAGGCTTTCCATAGGCAATTGGTTGACCACTGTGAGAACAGAATATTGTATTGTGCTCCACGGGGTATCTCCAGGGGCTAGAATCTGAGGGCCTATCCATACCTCGTCAATGTGGATTATTAATTCCTTGTGCCTCCTTTAATTCTCCCTCATCCTTGCAGCATTCTCCTCCAGGTACACACTTACTCCTCCCTAAGTCTGGAGGTTCTCTGTGCAATTGATTTGGACTCCTATTCAGCATAGATAATCTCTGGATTTATGGAAAACATGTGGGGCAATAGTAGTTGGGCGAGAATGCTGCATGGGCGAGAGGGAAATAAAAGAGGCAAATGGGGCTCACAATCCACATTAAGCTGAGGTATGGAAGGGCCCCAAGTCTGAGAGTAAAACCTTTTACTAAGACACCTGAGTCTATGTTACACCTTCAACCTTGCTCAACAAGCTAAGGTCAAGCACAGAGAATGAATCTAGGCCCAAAAACATCAGGGCTGTCTTATGCATTAGGGTTAGTGGTGTCCTGCGCCACGGCGCCCGCCCATCGGGGACGCCCAGCAGCGGGAGTCCGGGATCAACCAGGAACAGCTATGAGGGCATGCTGGGTGGCGGCTCTTCCTACGACCAGCCACGCTCTCTCGCTTTCTGCCTGGGAGAGGAGGCAGCAGCGGCACCACGCCAGGAACTTCATTCTCTGTGTCTTTATCAATTTATTTAAAGAACAACAAACTGGTGATTGCTTTAACTTTTTGATATGTGGTGATTTGAATCATGAGGATGAATTAGAAGAACTGCTGAGTCTTGAATGAGTCTTGCTTTGGAATTGAGGACTTCATTAGATTTTCTTCTGCCCTTTTCATTTTATTTTGTTCTTAGGGCTTGTCAGAGATAATGTGTAAGCGTGGTGTCAGCTCCCTAAATAAAAGGTCAACAACTCTGGGGAACCTTTCTTTAAAAAGGTCAACAACTTTGGGGTCCCCCCAAACTATGGGAAACGGGGGGGGCACTGCCGGAGGGATCTTTGCACCACAGCACCGGATATGATTAAGACGGCCCTGAAAAACATGATTTATAAACAGGATCAGGAAACATTCTGACATCAGTATCAACTGGGCAGGACAACTAGAAGTAGAAACTAAGAGCCCGAGACCCGTGTTGTTTCCCGCAACTGGAAGATTCAAGAGTATAGCCTTAAAAAACCCTGTCGTCCTAAACCACACCCTAACCACAGCTTCTGGCAGTGAAAGAGCATCAGAAATTGCATACGCACAAGTAGAGCAATGACTCTGGGTTCGTAGAAGTATACTATGTCATCACTCTCCAGCCTGGACATAAAATTAGAGATTACAGTCATTGATGCTGTTTTCCTCCCTCTCCGCCCCCTTACCATGGGAAGTCAACTATGTCATTCTGGTCCTGATTGTGGCACAAAAGCCATATTTCCCCCAATACCAATCCAAAACCCAATTCTAACTTGCCGTTCTGCATCTACTAACCTGTGACGTAAGCCCCATTAAACACAAAGGGACTTACTTCTGAAGTAGGCATACAAGCCATTGTGCTGCAGGTTAACTACACAGTGAATTCTTAATGAGCGCCTGGACATCAGCTTCAACACAGCAAGACACATGCCTAAGCCTTTTTGCAAAATATTCACATTTTCAGTTTGGGAAGAGGATACTTTAAATCCACTTGCACTTATTCTGCAGTAGTATTTGCAGAAAATAACTTCTAGGGAGTACCTGATATCAGGTGAGCGCACCAGAGGAAAGATGTGTCCTGGCTGCTAGAAAAACAGGAAGCTCAAACTACAGATTCCAAGGACTGCTAGAAAATAAGACAAAAGCAGGAAAGATGCATGAAATGGAGGAGAACCCCTGGGATTTCTGTTGCCTGGTGTCACTTATCAATCACATATCTGACTTCACCCATTGGCTAAAAACATTGAGAAGTGAGCCATGCTGGCTCATTTCACATAAATTACTTAGAAGGATACCTGCACATTTTGCTTCATATCTTAAGAGCTAGATACTTGACTTAAAAAAAATATTAAACATTGCCAATGGCTGCCAATGAAGACCTTTGCAGGGCAGGCACTGAGTTAAAGATTCTTGGAATAATTCATATAAAATTATTGCTGCAGAGATCAAGTATATTATTATTATTATTATCATTATCATCATCGTCGTCGTCGTCATCATTACATACATTTTAAAATTCTTATTTATAAAACATTACATATTAAAAACAAACAATATATTGTTTCCATGAGCTATCATTCTGCTCTTTCAGTGTCCATGTTTGCCTGCTGTGCTTCTTTCTGCAATCACACTCTCTCTGCTCTTGAAGCCACAGCAAGCATGCTGTGAGTTGAGGTTGTCAGGTCAGATTTCAGATTTCAGACTACACACCATCAGTGAGCTCCAGTCAATGCAAGAAATGCAAATTGGCAAGCCAGATGAAATCTGTAGGGACCATATATGCATATAGCAACCTAGAATAGGTAATGTGACAAAACCTATACTACAACAAACCTCTGTAAAAACTTCCATTTAAGATCTGGTTATTTGTGGTGAGAAGCTAAGGGGCTCAGTTTGCTATTTCCTTCTGAAGACTACCTTGCCTGAGACCCTACAAATGGTTGCTTTACACAGGTGAACATCATAGTCTGATATAAAAATCTTAGGGTCTGACTATGCCTGCTAGACTCCAATGAGACATATTTTAAAGAACAGAGTTGTATATATTGAATATTGGCACTTCTTATATACTAGTTAAGAAAATCTAATTTTCACAGCGTTAACATTTTAAAACATTTCTCCTACACAGGACAGAAATTTCTAGTGCAACTCTACTGAGCTATACTAGGGCAGATGTAACCTTTTACATTCAGACAAGAAATGGCAGTATGCTGTCAACAACACTCTACAAAAGACATACACAAATGAATATTAATTGTAGATATCAGTAAACCGAATACAGCTTTGCAGTCATTTAATACAAGAATCTAGTATCTCCTCATAATCTTGTTTTCTTAAGTCCTTCCAAGACAGTTTATAACATGCAAGGAAAAAGACACTAATGATGATAACCGCTCCCCCAATCATATCATAGATGCTGGGGAAGATGCGAAGCACAAGGAGCTGAAGGATCATAGCTATCACAATCTCCAGATGTTGCACTGTGCTGACCAAGGCTGGATGAAATTTGTTCAAGGCATAATAGACACCCAGAAAAGCCACTGTGGAACATATGCAGATGCCCATAAGATAGCCCCAGCTTGTTCCATCCAGTGGAATTATTGGCTCTTGGAGGAAAAACATGGTGGAGGCTCCCCACACTGTTCCAGTCCAACCAAAGGTAAACAGTGCTGTCCACATGCTGACATTATCCTTAATGGACCTGTACACGATCATGGAGAGAGCTGTAGTTACGCCTGCCATAACTGTCATGGTATATCCAAAGGCCTCTTTCCAGATATTCAGCAGAGAATCTTCTTCATCAACAATGTTGGGGATCATGACCAGGCAAACACCAAAGATGCTACTCATTACAGTGATGACATCAATGTAAGCCATTCGCTCATCTACTAATAAAAATGCCAAGATGGCGCTGAAGACAGTGGTGGTAGCTCTCCACATTGTAGTCCCGTTGCTTGGGGGTACTATTGCAAAGGAAGTGTAAGCACAGGTAATGGAAATAACATTGCATACTCCATAAAAGAACAGCCGCAGTCTGTATCCTTTCGGTCCAAAAGGTTCCTCATGGTAGTAGCACACAACTAAGACGGAAAACACTTGTAAAACAGAACGAATGAAGATCAGTTCTAGAGATGGCACTTTGGAACGATCAGAAGCAAGTCTCGTTATCAGGGCAACACAACCATGGGCCAAAGCAGATCCAAAAAGCACTGCCCAAGTCTTTCTGGACTGAAAAATGCTTCTGTCTACAAAACTTTGGCCTTGCCCACTCTTATTAGCTTCTGGCTTTTGTGGTTCCTGAGATGGGATGTCAATAGTGCCAAAGAAGGATCTTCCTCTCCGCTGGCCATTGCTCAGCAATCTTCTCTTCGGATTATCTTCCACAAAACTCTCAATGTCTTCGTTTGCTTCTTCATACCCTTCCTCTCCAGGCTGTGGATAATGAGAAGTATATTTCACTGTCACTGTGTTAGGATGAATTTTCACTCGTTTTTTTACTGGATATTGTTTGGAAGGTGAAGTATCCATTTCCTTGGGTAACTAGGACTGATCACAAAGAAAAAAAAGCAAACAAAATATAATCATTTCAGCACGGATAAACCTGTTCTGGCTGCACTTTTGTACCATCTAGAAATTATTACTGTTCTATTGATGCCTTAGGTAAGATGGGGTTGCTTGAGCAGACATCAGATTGAATATAAATATAGAAAACCAGTGGTGACATGAGATTAGTATGCTGTGCTATAATCATTAATGCACATGCTATTATTAGACAATTTATGCTTGGTGTTTACCTCCCCTGCAATACCCGTACCATTTTTCCTATGCTTAAATTTGTTATTGCAGTTCTAGAAACGGTTGATTCTGAAGGGCTCTTTACACTTAAGTAAAATATAGAGAGATTCCATTTTGACCCAGAAGGTGACCTTGTGATGGCTAGATACAGAAACCAGCTTTGTTACAGAATATGTCACAGTTTGGCCCAGCAGCTGTGCACAATTACACTGGGGTGTCATGCAGTATATGTCAACATTATATAGCTGCAGTGATATGTAGTTACCCAGCAGGTACATCCTAGAATGCTGTATTTGTTTTCCAATATTATTTCCACTGCTGTTGATGCTCCTTAGTAGTGCTATACCATATTAAGTGTTCTCGTTGTTTATTTTAACACTTTTAGGCCACCTTTTTAGGGTCAAATGTGTCCAAAACAGGTTTGAAATGTAAAATTGAATCAACAGCACTCAAATCTATGAAATATGGCTTTGCTAACACAGCTGTCTCTGTAGTGGCTAAAAACCGTTAGGGTGAAGATGTCCTATATACACGTCACCCCCAGTTCTATTCTTCTTTACCTATTTCTGTGCAATGCAACAACTTTAGGGATGGTAGCTTTTTCTGATGTTGTCATGTTGACCTGTGCTACCAGACCAATACTGATGTTCTTCAACAGTTTGGAATGCTAGTGTGAAGCTACAGGTTATGTTGTTGCATGGGTGCATAAGTCAGCATGCTCAATCCTGAACATACAGTCAGTTAGTTAGTTAGTTAGATAGTTAGTTAGTTGCAGGCACAGTAGCTCATAAACTTAGGTCTAAAATTTGTAAGACTAACTTTCGAAACATTGTACCGATGCTGCTAGCTAAAATGGTTCAAATGAGGATCATCTAGTCCAACCCCCTGCAATGCAGAAATCTCAACATGTGGTCTCCCATCCGATACAGTAAGTTGTTAGATTCTTAGACAGCAGACATGCTGAAAAATGAATCCCAACCTCAGTGCTGATGTAAAATACAGGGTGGGAATGAGGTACCCTCAGAGCTAGTGAGTGCCAGTTGAAGAGATCTCAGCAGCATGGATACTCAACAAAAACAGAGATGAGAGAGTGTTCCTTCTAAGATATATGGCATAATTTCTAGCTATAATATCAGCTGCTTGGTACAATTTTGTTGAAACTGCGGCACTCAAAAGTTGCTCTGTGGCGTTTCCCATTCATGGTTTGAAGGGATGACAGCTTTAAAGTTACATGCCTACAAAAATACGAAGGACTTAAAATGAAACAAGGTTTTGCTTAAGCAGACACCAAATGACAGCTGAAATGTCATGCAAGAAGAGAAAACAATACAACAACCAAATAAGAGAAAATAAAATTTACCTCTTGTTCAGAAGCTGCTGAGTAAGTGATCCCTCAAAAATATACCATACCAAGAGATGTTAAAGGGAGAAAATATGCTCTCCAGCATCCGATAGTGTATCCATTCCTGTCTTTTAAATTTGAAGAAAACAGAGAATTGAGAATAGCTACCTGTGAATCCAGAAACACAGACCCAAATGTTGTCAGTTTATGGAGTGTGCAGGAGGAATAATGTAGATTCTCTTTTGGTTACCGTCTCTTCTGTCTGTACATAAAAGCAATGAAGGGGAGAGAGAGGCTACAGCTAAAGAATCAAATGCAATGAACAGACCAGAAAAAGTGAGCATGCTCAGTAGAGCTCAAGGGCATTTGACAGCACCGTCACTACTAATTGTGGAGGGGAATAAATATCGCTCTTACTAGTAATCCTGCCAGTGGAGCATATGTTTTAGATGACACATTACAAGACTTTTGTGATCCCTTTTTGGTAATGGAAGAAAAAAGCCAATCATTTAAAATATAAATGATGCATGCTTTTCATGACATGCATGGCTTGAACATTATGGTTTCCTCATCCTCTGCTGCAAAGACAGATTTTTAATTAGCATCTTAAACAGAGGATGAATATAACATAAAGGGGAAGGAACCCCCTGGTAACTGCTTTGGATTCATCCACATTCTGAGACATGATTTTATATGCTAATGTAGAAGTTCTTACGCCTTATGTAAGTGCATTCAGTGAAAATAATTTAAAGTATAAGTGGTCCTACCTGATGATTGCTAGTTAAGTGGTTAATACAATGACTGAGATGACTAACTGCTCATTTATACTGCTGGAATCCCACTGATATAAGCAGGATGATAGAAGTGGTCAGAAGTTCTATCAAAAAGCCTAAAATTTAGGGGGAAATGTACTGACTGATCAATGGAATGGCCTCCAAGGGTGGTCAAACTACAGTGTGACATCCACAGGGCGCAAGCAAGGGCCATTTGTATGGAGGTCACCTTGCCTAGGTGACAAGACCCTTCCCCCCTTAGCCTCACTGATGTGGTCCAAAGGAAAGCAGAGCAAGATGTTTGGCACCAGCTTGGCTGCAGGAGCTGCTGGAAGGAGGTACGCAAGCAGGTCTTTAGCAGATGTGGTGCCGGGGTGCAAATATCCACCCAGCGCCCCCAAATTACCACAGATAGTGGGGGGGGGCGCAGCTGTGCACTGCCAGCCATTAGGAGGCACAGCTCTCCCCCATGCCGCTGTGGGGGAGCAATCCCCACAGAGGCTTGGGAGGGAAGCTGTGCACCTGCCAGCCATATGGTTAGCGGGGTGCAGCTGGTGGGTGTGCAGGGAAAGGGGAGGCCGCTGGCAAAGCCGCACAGCTCCCCCACTCGCAGGGGCACTCCTGAGAGGCTGGCACCCTGGAGCAACGCACCACTAAGCCCTATGGGAAAGACGGCTCTGTATACAAGGTGTCACCCAACCGTCTTAGGGACTCCATTTTGTATTTGTGTAGGGTTTACTCCTTAGCCTTTTCTTCTCCCAAAGATATTCAGCAAGGCAGCAAAAGTTTAGGATCAGAGCTTTCCTTCTCCTCGAAGGAGCCCCATCTCCCCCTTATTTTCCTTTACAGCATGTGCAGAAAGTGCCTTCTTGACCGTTGGACCCATTGTTGGTTTCATCCACTCAATCCTTCGCAGGTAGGCTCCAGAGGGTTTGAGACCCATCGGCTAGCCACACCTGGTTTAGCCAGTCAGTTGAAGTTGCTCCCAGGGTGTGGCTAACACTTTTTAGGGGCTATAGGTGAGAGCTGACTGCAAGATGAGGACCCAAGGTGGACAAACTACCCAAGAAGGAGCACAATGTGTACCCCACCAAAGGTACTATCCCTCTCCCAACACCTTATATACCCCACTAACAGAGTGGAACAATATAATCATTGGATGATATTCAATATTATATTATAATCAATGGATGATAAGCCATCCATTCGGAGTGTGAGCAAAAAAGGTATCAAAAATGCTAGATGAAGGTAGAAAAACTCAGACAGACAGCAGTACAGCTGAAATTATCAGTTTAGAAGTACTACTCTTCAAAATAATTGATGTCTCTTATGAGACTTCTCCACTGAGTGCTTTGCTGGCAAACATCCAATTTCTGTTAAAGGGCAGCTTTTAGAAGCTTTGTGGTCTGCTCAACCTGTTGTAAACATGTAGGTTTGATTAGGTATTTGTTATTTACACATCACAGAGGCCCAGTTTGCAGGTAACGCTAAGCCAAACCATGTCTTAGTGCAAACAAGAAAATGTATGGGCTTCCAGAGGGGAGACTGCAACCATTTTGTTCCTTCCAATTCTGCTGATATACTAAGTCATGGTTTAGCTTAGCATCTAGTCAGAAACCAGGCTTGTGGTTCATACCCTCCAACATTTCTCTAATGAAAACAGGGACATCCTATTCATTAATAATAATAATAATAATAATGCCATTTATACTCCTCCCACTTGGCTGGGTTGCCCCAGCTACTCTGGGTGGCTTCCAACATATATAAAAACATATTAAAACATTAAACATTTAAAAAATTCCCTATACAAGGCTGCCTTCAGATGGCTCAGGGGTCAGATTACTCCATACCCTCCAACATTTCTCCGATGAAAATAGGGACACTCTAAGGAAAAGTGGGACATTCCAGGGTCAAATCAGAAACTGGGTCAGCTTCTGTAAATCCAGGAATGGAAAATCCAGGAATGGAAAATAGGGGCACTTGGAGGGTCTGGTGGTTTATATCTCCCCACATAAAACACAAGCTGTAACCAAGGTTTGTCTTATGCTATACAGCACAGGTGGGGAATCTTTGTGGCCTGCTGGGCCAGATCCCTATCTGTCCCCACCTTCATGGGCCAACTTTGACAAGTGGGCAGGACTGCTTGCCAGGCACTGGGCATCATTGTGATATCAGGTAATGGACAGGTAGACTGTCCCACCCACTTGTCAAAGTCCCTTGGTTCAGTGCTTCCCGAGTGCCCAACAACCAGTTAGTTTTCAAGTGCTTGGAACCAAAGTACAAGGGACTTTGCCAGGCCTTTGCTTGGTGCTTGGGAGCTGGCTTGCAAATGGCAGGGCTTGCAAATCACTATGTGCAGCACTTCCCAAATTCCTGACAACAGCTTTCAGGCGTTTGGGAAGTGCTGTGCAAAGTGCTTTGCATGCCCTGTCCTCAACCATCACTTCCCCAGCTTTCTGCAGGGATGAACTGAATGATCAAGTTCTCCATGGAGAACTTGGTTGTACAGTTGATCCAGCCATGTCTCTACCTGCCCCACACCTGATGTTGCATATATTAGGTATGGGGCAGAGATGGGCATGGTTTGGGGGAAGTGACTATGTGGCTGGTCAAATTTGGTCCGCAGGCTGATTGTTCCCCACTCCTATTTTTTTATGGGAGAGATAAAGCACAATTATGGGTTCAGGCCACCTGCTAAGCTAAATTCTGTATGGAGTGAGCACGTGCATGATGCTGCACATGCGCAGACCGTATGGGCTGCGCTGCCCTGGGTGCCAGAGATGGTTCCTCCCCCACTGATTTGTCCCACATTGAACGCCAGGAACTAACAGCAGCAGCAGAGAAAACATGTTCCCCTCTTAACTTTCAACTTTCTTGGGCACATGAAATTAGCCACAATTATCTTGAATTTTTGCTTAATCCTCAAGAAAGAAGGGCATTTTCGCTGGCCAGGTTTAATTCAAATCCTTCAACCCTCCTATGTTCTTGGGAATGGTGGAAAGAGAAAGAATTTGCCCATGTGAAGACCACCAGGTGTAAACTCTTACACATATGGTTCTTAAATGTAAACTATATGTTGATCTCCGCCAGCAGTTCCTGTATCAACTCTGCATCCCCAAATGGAAACCAGAGTTAGAGGTCATACATTTTCTATTATTGGGGAATAATCAGGAGTTCACCAAGTTAGTGGCTAAATATCTTTATCTGGTATTTTGTCATCGAAACACATTGCAGAGATCGGATCTCCCTGGAGACCTAGAGATGTAATGTTAGACTGCTTTGCCTCTTTCATTTGACAAATGTTTTGTGTCACCGAGAAGGCGGGAATTCTGTATTGATTTGCTATGGATGTTTGTATGTGATGTCAATAAAAGGTTTGATGATGATTTGTCCCACTTCTCTTAACACTATAGTGCAAGCGTGCCTTTCCAGGTGTCTATAATATGGTAACTGTGGAAAGCATTGCACAGCAGCTAATGAAGATGTGTAGACAGTCCAGTATAAATCCACCACTAATGCACTATTATTGCAGGAATGACGTATTGCAGAACACTCAAGTAAGAAAAACACCAGTCTGGAGGGAACCTTTCTGCAGAGGAAGTCCTACAGCAGGCATCCCCAAACTCGGCCCTCCAGCTGTTTTGGGACTACAATTCTCATCATCCCTGACCACTGGTCCTGTTAGCTAGGGGTGATGGGAGTTGTAGTCCCAAAACATCTGGAGGGCCAAGTTTGGGGATGCCTGTCCTATAGTGACACTTACTTCTGAGCAAGTAGTCATTGCACATGTACAAAAGGTACAACAAAATTAAGAACAAAGGATGTCTGTATCTTTAATAGTTGTATGTAAAAAAAAATCAACATAATCTCCACGCGCGGAGAAGCACTGTGGCTTGCTAAAACGCACCTATTCAAATTCGGTCTTCTGCAGACTCTAAGCACCGTGCAGAAGTCCTTTCTTCTAGAGCTCCTTCTCACCTTATTTCCAACCTTACCGTAACGTGCACTCACATCGAGGCACCGCAAATTAGTGGAGACGCACTCTAGTGCGATAGCCCACATCCTGCAATAAAAAAACACAGCCTGAAGGGGAAAAAAGGTCTCGGGCCTGCGCAGCAGTTAACACCAAAATGCTCAGCGCATGAAGATGCCAGCAGCGTGACGTGCAACCACATTGTACCGTATTAAAAAAACTGCTTTTAAGCGGTCGGCGGGGGCGTCTTCATGCGCAGTGTGCACCCCGCCGAGGAAGAAGAAAAGAAAGCGCACTCTGACACAGTTATTAACAGGGTGAGGAGAGAAGCGGCGAGGCACACGCAACAGAAATATAAAGGGAGGCTGGGCGGGGCAAATGGCTGCTGCTGTTTCCACGCTTCAGGAACCTGCCCGCCTCATCCGCCCCTCCCCCCCCCGCCCCGTGCGCGCATGCGTCCCCGCAGTCCACAGCCATGGCCGCCCTGCGGATCCTGCGCTTTCGGCTCCCGAGGGTTTCCTTGGCGTTTTCCCGCCGGCTCAGCAACAGCCCCCCTCGGCGCGCGCCCACGGTGCCCGAGCGCATCGAGGAGAAGCGTCGGGCTGCGCTGCTCGGCGGCGGCCAGGCGCGCATAGATGCACAGCACCGGCGGGTGAGCGAGCGAGAGAGCGAGGGAGCGCCGGCTTCGCCCTCGTAGTCACAGCAGGCGAGGGAGCCTCTGGTTGGGCTTGCAACAGCTGGCGACCCTCGGAGGGACGAAGGTCCCACACTCGCTTTCCTGACAGAGCGGGGACGGTGCCTGGAGAGTCTAGTTAGTTTAATATGCCTCTGCCCGTATTCTAATAAGATGGGACAGGGGTCCGAGACCCTTTCCAGTGGCCCCCAATTTCAAATTGGGTTATGTAGGGGCTACTTACAAACTACTATCTTCAAAGCACATTCGAAGCACAATTTCCCTCCTCAATTCTGGGCACTGGAGTTGGTTAGGGGTAGCTGGGAATTGTAACTCTGAGGGTTAAACTGCAGTTCCCAGAACTGTTTTGGGGGGTGGGGAATGTGTGTGAAATAAGCAGCCCTGATCTGAGGTTAGTCCTGGTTCATCTTGTCTACTTAAGGCCACATATGTGAGGATTTGGAAGTACTTGTACAGGAATGCAAAGTCAAGAAAGTTCTGAAGCCCCCATTAAAAGCACTGTTTCCCAAATATTTTGAAACTACACTGACTGTCATTTCTCACATTTTTAAAAACACTGATACGCATGTGAAGTTACCTTCAGATGTTATCCATTCTCATTTTCAGAAAGGGAAGGCAGCAATATAACGGTCGGGGGTACCTAACTATGGATGCACAGAGAGAGTGTGGGTAAATGTGAATCAGAAGCATATGTTTTGCAAAGTTCCTGGGATCTTTTTTTACTATTCCCATATTATGTATATAGATATGTCAGCAGATATATTATGGGTATATATTTTTTCTTCATATGTCTTCAGTTTGAGTTGTATTGTTGGAAATACAGAAAACAAAATATTCATCCGCACAACGTGATTAAGCTATTGGATTCACATCTAGATGGCCACTAACCTTAATAGCTCAAAAAACTGGATGTATTCATGAAGGATATATGTACCAAACATTATGAGTCATTATAACTAAATGGAATCTATGTGGCTTGTGGGCACTTGGAAGAATTGAGCTGGCTGCTGCTGGAGACAGTGGTTGTGTTCAGATGTAACACTAAACCATGGTTTAGTATTACATGAGTGAACAGTTGCAGGCTATGTGCTCCCTCAGCCTTCGCAATTGGAAGCTAGTGATAATCATGGCTAGTGGCAAATCTGGTTTTTGTGCAAACCATGGTTTTCTGGTTTTGGACACAATTACAAGGTATAGGTTGTTGCTAACTACAGTCAGAAGTTTCTGGTTATAGAGTGCAAGGGGAGGAAAAAGTACGGTATATGAATTCAAGGCTTCAGGTTGCTAGGGGATGAAATAACTAAGTCATGGCATGACCCTGATGTGATCTGGCAAGGGAGTTTTATATTAACTGTGCTCCACCCCCTCAGCAGTTCAGTCTGTTGAGGAATGAATAATCGCTTTGCAGATTGCATCCTGTAGCTGCATCTGTAGTGCTGATGATCATTAGACTCGCCCCATGTTACCAGCCACCTTGTTTTGCTTTAATTCAGGGCAGACAGTTATGGCTTGAAGATCCCTTTGAACTTGCAGTGGAAATAGGAATTAATCTGAACTGTTTTCTGAAGCTCAAATAAGTATCTTAAAATAATTGCTTTCCCTATCATGTGTCAGAGACCTAAGGTAAAGCACTTATTTATTTAAATTATTAAAATAGCTTAGTAATATTAAAATATAAGACAGTGTCATAGAAACAGATACAACAAAAAAAGAGTAATATCAAAACAGGAATTAAGTAATAGCTTGGTCCAACCCAAGGGAAAGCTTGGCCAAAAAGATATTTATTTACAACTGAAGCAACTGACAGATGATGCTTAATCTGCACTTTTAGCGATACTTATACTGATTTTATTATATTTTGTATGTTGTGTACTACCTTGATATACTTTATGAAAGTACAGATTAGAAATATTTCAATAAATAAATAAAACAAGGGTATTCTATAGTGTAAAGGGCTCTGGGAAGAAATATCCCCTTTCAGGTGATGTTCTGCCTGTAATATTCTGTAGGATGTGTTACCACAAGTAAAATTTCTCCAGATGATTTAAGTGATCTTACAGATCTAGGCAGGGTCAGGCAGTCTTTCAGATAACCTGGCCCTGAGTTGTTCAGGACTTTATATGCCACTAACAAGACCTTGAACATGACCTGGTAGTTTATTTGGCAGCCAATGCAGCCATTTCTGCAAAGGTCATTAGCAGGACAAGATTACAAGTGGCCATGTGGCCAGTGAAGGTGATGGTGTCTAAATGACCCTTCTTTTTCCTAATGAAAGGTTAGATCAGAGGCATGTAATTTTTTTTCTTTTGTTGTTGTTGCTTGTAGCTTCTTTTGCTATGCATTTGCCTTTTATAAGGCCCTCTTTGAAGTGCTGCTTTAACATTTTCAGTGCTTGAATCAATATAAGATGAACATTTTTGCAGGCTTCTTAACATTTTGAGGTGTGGGGGAATCACCATGACAATATGTGACAATTTATTCAGCAATTTATTTTTGTGTCTGATGCCTATTTATATATGAGCAATAATAATGGGGAAATTAAAATAGTTGAATGGTAATTTAGAGCCCCCGTCTTGCTTCTTAAAATGACTTTTGCATGTTGACTTAAATTTCTGCTGAGAATGAAATTTTTAGGAAATTAGAGAAGATTTGTCCATTGGGATTAGAGCTTCTCTTTGGCAGGAATTTCAGTGTATCGCTACTCGGCCTTTTGGCTAAGATAAAATGTAGGGATTTCAGTGTATGATTCATGTACATACATTAAGTTTTTTAAAGGATCGGGCTGAAAGATAGCCCTGTTATACATTTACTTTTTAGATTACTAATAAACTTGTATAAGCTTTTTTGTGATTGGTTTTTCGACTCTACCGGTGTACTACATCATACCTTACATCAAACAGAAAAAGTATGATTTATTTAACTTGTTCAATCTACCCTTAGAAAAACACATTTGTAGGTTCTGATACTACATTTAATAGTTTCACTGAAGTCAGACTGTTAAACATGTGAATACAATCCTTTTTCTTTGCTAGCCCCTTCCTCTACTAGTCCTTTATGGGTTTTATTCTCTTCAACATATGTATATAACTCGGCATTGCTTACTTAAAAGGACGAAAATGTAAAAAACCAATTAATCAATAAATCTCTGACAAAATGATCGTTCCAGAAGAGAGCAATTTCTATATTTGAAGGGAAGGTGAAATTAAAAAGGAATTCAGTTGCACTATTGAGTTTAAGGCAGCTGCTTTCTGAGGAGCAAATTTATGGATTTGAATAAAATCTTAAATTAGTATATGACTTTCTCTTTATATTTGTAATTATGCTTGGCTCTGGTGTACTGAAATGATCTCCAAACCTTACCTTGTTCATATTATTTCCTGCACTTCAGGGAAAGCTGACAGCCAGGGAGCGTGTTCTTCTTTTACTGGATCCTGACAGTTTTGTAGAATATGACATGTTTGTGGAACACAGATGTGCAGATTTTGGGATGGAGGCTGAGAAAAACAAGGTACCTGGTATATATTTTGCTCCGCACTCTTGGGACTGTTTGTCATTTGGAAATATCTGGCTGATTCTAGTGCCTGAGTCTGGATGGTGGATGGTTTACTCTAATAGAATGGATGGTTCTCATCTCTTTCCTCTATACATGCTCTACCTCTTCTTCGTTCATCCCCAATCATTCTATATGTAGTACTTTAGAGACAGAGCCTGACTTGGATATATTACATTCCCTTTCAGTTTCATGGTTGTATTTTACTTACTTCCAATTCATTCCTGTTCCAGGTGATGATGGACTTGTGTTAGTCTGTCTGGATGAAGGAATTATGGCAGACAGTTGTTTCAGCTGGGCTATCTTCTCATCTGTTATTTATAAACTGAGCAAGGCAAAGATATTGTTAAACAGAGATTTTAATGGAGATTGACTTATGGGGTAGCCCAAGCGCCTTGTTTCCTCTGGTTGCAATTTTTGTCATGTCCTAATTCTAAGAATGGGATGCATTATTTGAATTGTTTGTTTGTTCCTAAATACAAGAAAGCTTTTTCCTTGGAATATTTTAACCTTACCTTCAAAGTTTTAGAAGGTAGATAAAATGAAGTTTTAAATAATAGATACTGCTCTTGTAATAATGAAAAGGTAGATTCAGTTTCATGCGTTTCAAAATGTGGGTTGTTTTTTTTAATAAGCCAGCTACAGAAACTAATCTATCCTATTACACAGTACTTCCCAGGTTGCTCATCAGAGTTTCTGTTGATCGTTTTCTTGAATGGCTCTAATTTATAAATTACAGAGCAAGTTGCAAAATTCTTAAATGACACAATTTTGCTTTGACTATCTAGGACTACTTTCTTGTTTTTCTTCCTGTCTTTTCATGATCTTATAGATTCTATATTCTGTTGCTTTTGTTTTTATTTGTGGTTGGTGGAGTGTAAATAAAGTATACTCAGCATTAAAGGAGGCTGTTTAGAAGTATGTATTTTTCCTATCCCTCATGACCATCATTTTTTGTTGATCATCTGCTAAGATGATAATATGGATGCACGATAATATGGAAGTCAGCCTGTTTTAAATGATACAAGCAAAGTATAATTGAAATGTATACTCTGCCCTACATAGAGAGTTTAATTTTCTGGTTAGCAAATACTTGCTTTGGTCATTTATAAGAATTAGATTTCGTTATTTAATCATATTGCTGTTCTGAGTTGTACATTCATTATTCTCTTTTGCAGTTCCCTGGAGACAGTGTGGTAACTGGCCAGGGTAGAATTAATGGCAGATTGGCATATGTCTTCAGTCAGGTATTGCTATTTTGTGTTTTCAGTTGCAAACTCTTTCTTTGAAGCCTTATAAACATTTTTGTATTTCTTTACATTTGCTTTTCATTTGCAGTGCATTTAGTTTGCAGGCATGTATTATGCCTGCAATTCAATAGAATTTTAATTACAGTCAATAAAATGACTACATCTGTCCATTTTGACTATTTATACAGTATTTCACAGCATGTTCTTGGACTATATAATCCTTATAACATGTAAGAATAGAGTTGCTTTGCAGAAGCTTACTTCTGATACTGCAGTCCCTTGTCTCTCTTTTTTAAAAAAAACAACAACAACAGGGAACTAGTTATAATACAACATTTTAACAAGCGTGACTAACCCATTGCCCTTCAGATGATGTAAGGCTGCAACTTCAATATTTCCTGACTACAGTATTTTCCATGCTGCAAGAGTTGCAGGAGTCCATTGGGAATAAAAGACTTGCACTACAGAAACCTTGTGGGATCTTTATATTTTGTACATGCATTGATTTCTGGCATCACAGTGGTACCTCGGGTTACAAACACTTCGGGTTACAAACGCTTTGGGTTACGAACTCCGCTAACAACTTTTAAGCTAGTAAGCTGTATCTCAGTCCCTCCTCATGTGCATGCTCTGCCTGTGTAGGGATAGATTGCACTCCTTCCATGAGGCTGAAGTCTGTTGATATTTTCAACTTGCTTGAAGACAATTACACTGAATAATTGGGAGTGCAAAAAAGTCTGTTTTACTGGTGCTCAAGGGCAAGGCGGGGGGGGGAATCTAAATCTAGTATATATATATATTTGGCATTCTAAGCTATTATTGTATTTGATCTTTGAAATACAATCTTTATGTAGGACTTCACTGTGTTTGGAGGCAGTTTATCTGGAGCACATGCTCAAAAGATCTGCAAGGTAAGCATTTTAGAAGACAATAGTTACAAAATTCTTAAGTGCCTGCAGCCTGCAAAATATGACAATGGAGTGTTTTTAAAAGTACGTTATGCCTCACACGAATCCTTGCTACATTGAAGTTTATTTCATCCCCTTCCCTGATTAGTGTCTTCAAGTCTTAAGATACCATTTTTTTCAACACAATACAGATAGATACAGTTTCAAAATAAGTGTAAACACTCCTGAATTTCAAAAAAACTCATCTTATTCAACTCATGGCAGTTCCTTTTCAACTAAGCTACTCAGCTTGTACAAGCCCCTAAATCTTAATAGCCTATTGCTTATTCAGCTCCAGTACTGCTGAATTCCCTCTCTCCAAACATAACCTATTTTTTCATAATGATAAGAAGTCCATTTGTTATTACAGAAGCTAAGATGTTGCTAGGATAAAATACCTCACAGTTAATTCATTCAGGAGTACATTTGAGGTCACAATTCCTGATAAGTGGTGATATGAGTTGTGAGAAGTATCCATTTTTGACATTTCTTGAATATAACAAATAGTTGATGAAGTACTTCTCTTGGTAGTCCTTTCTAGAAGATAGATGTATAATGGTTAAAAATGGGTGGGGCCTTTTTCAGAGAGGTTTGCCTGATACCTGCCTCCAGTTTGATACACCAATGTCGTTTGGGTATCAAATATATTGTTACTTTCCCAAGATTTTTATATAAAGTTTTGATCTTGCTGTATTATGATGCTTTTGTGATCTTGTGGTTTTTTTCATTTGTCACACTCTATAATCCTTAAGTGCCCTTTATCAGATGGGACGGGCTTGCATGTTTTAAAACTATATAGAGAAGCCTCAGTGAGCTGAGCAAAGCACTGAGGATCTCTGAGGCTCATGATGCTAAATGATGGCTTAGCGTTATGTGTGAAGTAGCCCATTGTTTAAGATGGTCAAGCACAAATGTTAAAGAGAAGAGTTAATTGAACATGAAGGTGTATTAATAATAATAGTGCCAGGTGGGGGTGGTTGACTGGCCAGTAGAGGTTTATCTGTAGATGTCGTAACAAGAAACAGACATAGGACTTGAATGCATTCTGATCAAAAATGAAAAGAGATCCTATTTTATAATATGATTATTAATTATAATAAGCGCTCACTATTTTATGTTAATTAAGCTTGTGGTAGGACTTCACTAGTAAATCAAGAGTTTCTGTATCCTCAGATAATGGATCAGGCTGCTATGGTTGGTGCTCCTGTTATTGGGTTGAATGATTCTGGAGGGGCCCGGATCCAGGAAGGAGTAGAGTCCCTGGCTGGTTATGCTGATATATTTTTGGTAAGAGACCTCTTAGGTAAGCAAGCTGATTCTTGATGCTACAGATGAATAGCCTAGGAGCCACTTCTGACTTTCTGAAAAAATAATGAAACGGGAAGCATGAGTGACACAACATTTCTTTTCCTGCTGCTTCCAGGTCTTACGCGAGGGACCAGGGAGGGGGCTTTTCTCCTTTATACAGGGGCAAAATGCACATCTTCTCTCTCATTTTCTTTTCATGAGATGCTGTTGCTTCTAGGTGTTGCTGCTAGAAGTCACAATTAAGGGGGAACAGGCCCTGAAATTAATATACTTCATTTAGGAGGTTATTTCTTTTGCAGTTGCTGTACGTTACTGTTACTCTTTAGGCACAATGATACCTCCCTGACCTTTCCCCTGGTTGCATCAGTATGTCTCCCCATAAGTATAAAGACTGTAGTGCGTATTCGGTTCCTCATTTTAGCCCTCTCCTGCGGACAGAGAGCTGCTGCAGCCATCAGCATTCACAAAGCTCTCCAGGCAGCCAAAGGGAATAATTTTTATTATGTGGGTGAATGAACTGCAGTAGCAGAATCTCTCTCCTTGCTTGTGAGTACAACCCTGGAGCCAGAAAAGGGCTGGAAAACAGCTCTCCATATCCATCTGCCTGTACCAGCTGGCGGAAGCAGCAGCTGCTGCCGCCACCAACACATGGGGCATTCAGTACACATGGGACTTCAGCTAGAGCCTGCTTCAGGAATCTGATCCTGGATACTTAATTCTCTGACATTGCCTCTGTCTTGTGTTTTTCTCCCTTTTCCTTGCCATATTTGTTCTGATGCACAGGGTTTTGAACTTGGATTAATTTGGATGGGAGTTTAAGATCCCGGTTAGTGGATGAACAATGAAGCTAGAACAAATCGAATGTTATTTCTGTTGGCTAATACAGTCCTACAACAACATATTTTTATATGAAATAGTTTGTTGCAAAAGTTTAACACAGATTTAGGAGCGCTTTGGGAACTTTGACTTGGAAGTGGTATAAAATGTGTAAGCAATGGAGATGTTTGTTTTCTTTTACAGAGAAATGTACTATGTTCTGGGGTAATACCACAGATTTCTCTTATTATGGGCCCTTGCGCAGGAGGGGCTGTCTACTCTCCTGCTTTAACAGATTTCACATTCATGGTAAAGGTAAGGATGTAATGTTAGTTGCCTTTGACTGTAATAATAACATAGTTACTAGGGAGTAAGCCACATTGAACACAGTGGGACTTAATTCTGAGTAAACATGAAGAGAGTGAGTCTTACGAGAGCAGTTGTTTCAAGGAGTTTCTTGCTAGTGGTGGCTGACTCTAAAAATGGATGTATTTCTGTTCCTTTAGAAGCTCTGGCTTAAGGAATAACATCTTTTTTTTAACTGCCCTTCTATTTCAGGCTGTAGCTGTCACCTTTCACATCTTCTAATTATGCCGTGTCTTAAATATCTATTGAGTCGGTTGGCTTTGAGCTGTAAAAATTGTCTTGCTTGGAAATGAAAAATGAGAGAGGATATTAAAACTGGAAATTTCAGTAGTACTGGACCTGCAGTTAAGGTGGCACAGTCTGTGCTGTATTTTTTTTTTGCAAATACAGGAATGTAAATGCTTTACTGGGAATCCCATGTACCAGCTGTGTGATCTGTTGAGGACTATGGCTAAATTAGAGTGAATTCCAACCAAATGCCTTGTTAGTTTGAATCAAAATAAATTAGAAATTGAAGTATTTGGACCTTTTTAAATTAAGTTTTCCTATTTTGAAAGCACTAAGGGATGAAAAATGCAAACACAGAGAATGTCACATCTTGCACCTCATACTTTGCAGTTGTTGTTTCTTGCAGGACACATCCTATCTATTCATAACAGGCCCTGATGTAGTCAAATCAGTCACCAACGAAGATGTTACTCAGGAGCAACTTGGAGGTGCAAAGACCCACACTGCAGTATCAGGTCAGAAATGGTTAAGTTGTTTATAATTAACATTTGCTCCTGTTTGCAGTCCCCTTATGAAGTGATTGAAGAACAATATGAAGAACATAGTAGTCCAGTCATATAAAATTAGTCTTGCAGATTAGTTTGGAACAGGCACCCCCAACTTGCAGCCCTCCAGATGTTTTGGCCTACAACTCCCATGATCCCTAGCTAATAGGACCAGTGGTTAGGGATGATGGGAATTGTAGTCCAGAACATCTGGAGGGCCGAAGGTTGGGGATGCCTGGTTTGGAACATAGTAAAAGTACCTGCTGGTTGTCTTTGGCTGAAAATTATACTACAGGGGGTGACAGAAGACTGTTATTAGAGGTATTGTAAGAGAATGTGTGTAAGAGAGATGGAGATACTGGGGCTGCTCCTGTCTAATAAGCGTCAAGGGGGAAATGTACCATTAGAACTGCCTTATTTGATCCCTGACCATGTTGCACCCAGCCTGCTTCTATGCATGGCGATCCTGTTTAGCCATAATGGCTCATAGTTGCTGATGTGACTGTGTGCAAAAATACTTTTTCTTCTATCTTTCTTGCTAGTCACTTTCATTGGTTGAACATGAATTCTAGTACTGGGTGTGTGTGTGTGTGTGTGTGCGTGCGCACTCTGCCACTTTCCTAACTCTGTAAACCTCAATAACATGGGTGCGAAACTGTTTTTAGCCTGATGGCTACATTCCCTTGTAACTAACCTTCCTGGGACTGCTGCCAGTGGTAGATAGGGCCACATCTCTTTCTCTCACACTCACTCATATACATCCACAGACACATTCAGTCTTTCAGATCCATTTAACACCTGCTTTATTTTGCAAAGGGGCTGAAAATAGGGGTTCAGTATGACCCTTGAAATGCAAGATGGAGTGGAACAAGACTAGGATGGATGTTCGGGGTGGAAGTAGATGTGTGTAAAACACTGGCACAGTTGATCAAATATGACTGCTGATCTGACACTGTTTCTTTTGGTGGACATTAAGAATATCCACTGGCATTTCAGTTAATGCTATGACATTTTAGAGCTTTAAGAATTTGCTGTGAAGATCTATTTCTTGTCCTGTTGGAAAGTTCATTGGAATCTTTGCAACGTCAGATGGATGTTTGTTTTTTTGTATTATAGGGGTTGCACACTGTGCCTTTGAGAATGACATAGATGCTTTGCTCAATCTCAGAGAGTTTTTTAATTACCTACCGCTTAGCAATAAGGATCCAGCTCCTGTCAGAGAATGCCATGACCCTATGTAAGTTATATTTACAAATAATAGATGTTCATAGAATCAAAGCGTGTTTCAGAGTTTATCCCGTCAAATGTCTGCAAAGTTACAGGCAATGCCCATTTCACGTGGGGGTTCTGTTCTAGGGCCCCACATGCATTGGCAGAGCGCATATAAGTGCACCCCGCCTGGTTCTGCCTTTTCTGTGACATGTTGAGTGATGTATTTGGTAACTTGTGGGTTCAGCACCATACGTGCGTGCACAATCATGCTTCTTTAGGATGTGTGTTATTCGGTCTTTGCTTGTATGATTTTCTCGATTTGTATCATTGAAGGAGACACCTATCCCTTTGAACCCATTTAGGAAATAAAATTCCTGGGTGATTTTATTATTTTTGGATAGATTCACAATTAAGTCTTGTGAAGTGGGGATGCAATGGGACTTTGGCTTCCATGTGTTATAGATACTCCTCCACAGAGATTCCTGTTGGAGGTCTGAAGAGTAGCAAACAAAAATTCTCCTTTAACAGAAGTGGAAGGGTATGGTATATGTTGCCGTTCAGTTGATGGGCCAGATTTTGGATATTTTCTTTTACACTTTTGCCTCCTATCACTTCCTTTTGCTGGTTAACAAAATGAGGCTGTTCTTTCCTAAGTAGTATCTGAAAATGCAACAAGTCAACTAAAGAGAATGGGTTGAATTCGGATTTCCCTTCCATTTTTGAAGGCAGCTGAAATCCAGCAAAAGGCTCTTGGTTGATCCATAAGGGGGTAGGATAGATGTTTTTGTTGATGTTCCCACCAGCCCCAGCAATATGTTCCATGCTAATATGGAGTGTCCCCTAACCTTCTGGAACAGCTTTTGGGGGGCACAATGGACTGCAGATGAAAGGTGCAATTAACAAAAATTGCCTGCTCTTCTCCATCCTCCAGTACAAGCAGGACGCATATTTGGATCCATCTCAGTGTTGGAGGGTCCTTTATTGTAAACATGGAGAATAAAGTAAAAGCAGGGGGGGGGGTCTCCTTCATTCTCTCAATATTCTGGAATTGAATTCTGGAATTCAGTCAAATAGTCCTAGGTTGTAGTCATGTCTCCTCACATGAGTAATTTTCTCGTATGAATTATGCTACGATGTAAGTTTATTCCTTTCCATTCTCTGTGTTTAAAGCAACCGGTTGGTTCCTGAGTTGGATACCATTGTCCCGATGGAATCTACTAAAGCTTATGACATGGTGGATATTGTGCATTCGGTAAGCTCTGTTCACCAGTGTATTACAGCTGTTGCGATAATTTTGTGTTTACACATGATGCATAAATATCCATTGCCTCTGAGAATTGTTACATGTTGTAAATACGGTGCATTTTCTTGTATGTATGCATGCTGCAAAAATACCGTTATTTAGAAATGTGTTCCTTAATAAAAGTGGGAAAAGGAATATAACTGGATATATAAAAGGGTTCTTCGCCTTTATTCTCACCATTTGACAAAAGGTTATGCAACCTGTGGGTTAAACTTGATTCTAAATTGCATTATATCACTGTATCTGAGGAAATGGTCTTGATGCCCACATTAACTACCATTGATTTCATTGATTTCCATATATAAAGAAGATGTATAGCTTTAATTATTTCCATGGTGTTTGATTTCCATATAGTAAGTGTAAAATATGGTTACAATATTCATTGTTTTGAGAGTCAACTATAATTGGACACCATGCTTTGGAGGTGTTGTAATAATAGTGGCTGAACTCCAGGGTGAGTCACTGATCTTTCTCCATTTTTTAAAAATAATAAAGATTTTATGTTGGTGTGAGGATCCTTTGACCTCATTCTATGTCTAAAACAGTGGGGCCTTTAATGGTCTGAGGGCCGTTTGGTCTTGTTGCAAACCCCCTAGGGGCCACATTCCAAATTTAGGGTGGTGAAATGTCTCTCCAGCCCCATGATACACTCTTAATTTTGGATGTTACCCAGTGGAACCATAAATCTAACCAGGATCAGTCAGGAATTTCAAAATGAATCTTACTAACACTTTTAACTTTAGTGCTGTATGGAAGAGCACTGTCGACAAGACGTCTTAAGAGCAGGACCGGATTTAGGTTTGATGAGGCCCTAAGCTACTGAAGGTTATGGGGCGTTTTATATGTCCAGCTGTCCTTTGTCAACTACAAATTGTCGCTGTTTTTTATGCTGAATATGTGCTATATGGTAATTGATGGACCTAATAGGTATCTAAAGCCATTTGCACATAACAAAATATGTATTTTATCAAAGTAATTGTTGAACTGAAATACAATTGGAAATGTACATCCAGCTTTTTCCCCCCTTTAAATTTTTTGGGGGCCCACAAGAGAGTGGGGCCCTAGGCTATAGCTTGTTTAGCTTATACGTAAATCCAGCACTGCTTAAGAGCAGTAAAAAATTGAGAAAGAGTCTTAAAATACTGTTTCAACTGTCTTACATTTTAAATCATCTTTGTGTGATACAGATATATATAGGAGTGTGTATTTCACTGCTCCGCGACAGTAAGATATTTGAATCTCATTTGTGTAGATAGTTGATGAGAGAGAATTCTTTGAGATCATGCCCTCCTATGCCAGAAATATCACTGTTGGATTTGCCAGAATGAATGGAAGAACTGTTGGAATAGTTGGCAACCAGCCCAAAGTAGCATCAGGTAAGAGGAGGGTGGCATTGGCTGGGAACCTTTATAATGTCAATTTATGTTGAAAGCTTGGAAAACTTACATTTGCATGTTGCATCTGTTTAAAACCTCATTGCTGAACAGCTCGATATGTTCTCTCTAAAAAAATTTGGTCCTAAGGTAGTTTAGTCTTCTTTTGCAATTAAGATGAAGGTTTGGCACTCTGTGCATACTGCAAATAGAGTAAAACCTGCTTGACATCCTTGTGTTGTTCATGCTTTGCAAGTACCGCTGGCCAGTATTCAAAGAACCATGAAACGAGATGTGCTTTTAGGTGTAAATAAGTGGTGTGTTGGTGGTGTTATCATAACACCACCGTTTCTGTACATGTTTGGAATCTATTTCCCTCTCCTGGTATCCCTTTTATACACCCACCCGCACGTCACCACCTTCTTTCCTTCTCTTCTTTCCTCCCTCCAGTCCATCGGATCGTTTTATACTTCTGGCAAAGTATTCGACTTCCAAGACTAACTGCTTGGATATGCCTCCCGTAAAAAGAAATGTTTTATGTTGATAACCTTGGTCAGCTGAAGATGTTAAAAATCTTTCAGCATCAGTGAATTATAGGATTAGTCCTGCAATTATACCAAGATTTCAGGCACCTCAGTCTGAAACATCCAATGGTGGTCATGGTTACCAACATAGCTCATGTTGTTACAAGATTTATATGTAAGTGTTTTGGTCTCTAAATTGTTGGCGTTTGCTGGGGCGAGTGGCATTTTAGAGTATGGAATAGAATTCAGCTGCCATATTGATATTACTTGTTTTGATTCCCTCCCCACCACAGATTAATGTAAACGACTTACAAAGCTAAAATGTAGTCATAGATAACAGCTTCCTGAGAACAGCAAGAGTACGTGTGTTTGTGAACATTTATGCAGGTTAGATAAACTCTGTTCAGTATTTCACAAGGAGGTAGAAAATGCTCTTTTGCATAGGGTGTGTAAAATGTTGCTGCTGTTGCCTGTTTGGGTGATATCTAACCAAGTAAACTCAGGGTAGACCCATCAATTTTAATGAGTACCCCGAGTATGATGAACATTGAATGTCACTTTTTGTATACAATGGCCACTGCAAAATGTTCTTGAAAAGCCTTGTAAGAATCTTGTCTACTTTGTCTGAAATTTAGGCTGTTTGGACATAAACTCCTCCGTGAAGGGAGCCCGTTTTGTTCGCTTCTGTGATGCTTTCAACATTCCTCTGATAACTTTTGTAGATGTACCTGGATTTTTACCAGGTAGGTTTTTCTTCTGCATCTTCTTTGACTGAAGATGGAAATGAATTGAGTGGAAGATATTTCACTTGATTCTTCTTACCTTTGGAACTGAAAATAGTCCTTGTATCAAGGAATTGGGAGGTGGGGTTACTTTTTATTTCAAGTGCAGAGGTAAAGCCATTACTCTATCCTTTGCACAGCTTCCTCCTTCCTGTTACATGTGTAAAATGACATCAGTTGCATTTTTAACATTTATCATCGTGAGGTTGAACATTCCCACAGAGATTGTATTCCCGGAGAGAGTTTAGTAGTGGTGCAAAATCCACTGAAATAAAAAGTATGTGAAAAACACTAGAGAAAGAAAAGGTATTAGTCTTTTCATCCAACTTAACTGCCCTGTGTCATCCTTCTTTAAGTACACAATTAGTTTAAGTACTTTGTATACACCAGGAAGCAGTCTTTTAGATCTCTCTATGGGGGCTCTATAGCTTTCAAATGAGAATGAGTGTCGTGGATACAGCTCTTCATGGCACTGACCTGTATTAAATAAAGCTGCATTATATAGCCTGCGTTTATAGCTTTTTAGCTCCTGTGCTGGTGAATATTATGGAGGCAATAGGGATACCTGCTCTCCTTAAGCAGTTGTTGCTTGCCTGTGCTTCAGGCAAGTGCTGAATCACGAGGCTGACATTTGTAGAATGCATTTATTGGTGCCATTTAATCACATATAATTAAAACAGTAGAACTAGGATAAGATTTTGGTGTAATAAAAGGTTTTGGCTCAGTGGATCCTTTTCAGTCAAACCAAGAATTGCCATGTAGAAGGTTATGTGGGATTTGCTACAAGGCTGTATGTAGATCTATTATAAGAGCGTATGAAAAGTCCTGCTGGATCAGGCCAAAGGTTCATCTAGTCTTACCACCTTGTTCTCCCAGTGGCCTACTAGAAGCCTGTGCAATGCCTGCAAGCATGAAATTCCCAGCCTCTCTTCTATAGATGCATACTGCCTCTGACAGTGGAGGTAGAACATAGCCTTACCCTCCACAATACCTAGCCTGCTGGTTGGTGTTTGATGCAGTCATGCAGTCTACCTCTACTCTTGTAGAAGCTTTTAACAGCTATCTTAATTAGTGCTGGGTGTATAGTTTCTTATTAAATATCTTCTCTTGGAGACAGTAAATTTCCTTTAACCATGTTTTGCTGGTTCCTGTTGTTTTCAGGGACATCTCAGGAATATGGTGGGATTATACGCCATGGAGCAAAACTGCTCTTCGCTTTTGCAGAAGCAACTGTGCCAAAAATCACTATTATCACAAGGAAGGTGAAGTAAAATTGTATAGTTGCTAGCTGCCACATGCTGTTGAGAATGCATAGAAGATATTTGTCTTATCTTCAGCTCAGCTGACCTCATCAACACCAATTCTTCCAAGCTCTGTTTTGATTTTTTATATCATAATATAACATCATTTTTTGCTTCACTAATACTACTAAATTTCTCTAGATACCTCACATTCAAGCCTGTTTCCCCTTAACAAATGCTGCCTCCGGAGCTGCTTCTAGCCGAATGATTCTCACATAAGTTCTTTTATGTAGAATCTGAATACAACTGCCTTATACGTACACAATCTCAACCTGAAGTCTTGGATTATATGTTATTTCTAGTTTGGGAACACTCATTCCAGGGCTAATTGCCTGATGCCTAATTTGATGAGTTTTAGGCACCAGGCCAAGTCTTTTAATAGGCCCACACTTTTAACATTGAAGCTGCTGCATGAGATTTATCATCTGTTTTATGTGCTGCTCTTTTCTTATGTATAGTTATTGTATTCTAATATTGCCAAGTCTTTAACTATTTTTGCAAATCACCTTGATAATTTTTAATTAGAAAGCGGGATACAAATTTCTTAAATAGTTCCAGGGCTGGCTATGGCGGAGGATAAATATGAGGGGATGTTTAAGGGACATTACACATTCTAGGAATGCAGGATGCTTCCTTATTCAGAGTCAGGCCGTTGGTCCACCTAGCTTAGTATTCTCTGCATTGACTTGCAGAGGCTTTCCAATGTTTCAGAAAAGAAACATTCCCACCCCTACCTGGTAATGGTCAGGGACTGAACCTGGGATCTTCTACATGCAAGGCAGATGTTCTGCCACTGACCTACGGCCCTTTTTAAGATACCAAGAAATCAAGGAATAAACTATATAGGTTTAAAGTTTAAGGTTTAAGTCTGTAAGTGGAGAAAGGGAAAGATGAATGAAAGAGAGAAGGAAAGCTAGGCCATTCCACTGGAATTTGAAAATGCTTTAAATAAGTGAGAGTGGATGCTTCATGATAACTATATCACATAATTATTGAATGGTTGTAGTAGGAATTGTCTGCTTTCATACTATTAATATTAAGAGACTAACTATCCTGGTATATAAACATAATGATTAAATACAGTACATAACTTATTGACACTTATTTCCTGTTCCAGGCTTATGGTGGGGCCTATGATGTGATGAGTTCAAAACATTTAAGAGGAGATGCTAATTATGCATGGCCAACAGCAGAGGTAGCAGTGATGGGTGCCAAGGTAATTCTCACTTTGTCCCCATTTGTACTCGGCTTATCTGGGTCTGGCAGGTAGGCCAGATTGCTACACCACCCCTCCCGCATGGGTCAATCACTTGATGGCATACAACTTTTTTTTTTGCCCACAGGAGTCTGCAGAAGCCCTTTTCAAAGTGCTCTCTTGCCCAGCACTCTGCAAGCAATGCCAATTAGCTGATCGGCTGTGCCTTCAGATCCCCTTTTGGCTGAGCCAAGTTTTTACCTGCTCCACACCTGATAGCATACTACATCAGGTGTAGAGCAGGTGGGTGTGGCTTGGCCAAAATGGCCTTGGAGGCCAAATGGGGAATGCTGGCAGGCCTGATTACCTGCAAGCTGGAGGTTCCCCACCCTTGTTGAAAATGGTTTAATGATGACCAAATCCACATTCCAAAGGCCTTTACAACTATGGGTTGAAATAATATCATATTCTTATATTTTCTTCTTAGGGAGCCGTGCAGATAATTTTCAGGGGGAAGGGGGCACATGCAGAAGCAGAATATGTGGAAAAGTTTGCAAATCCTTTCCCTGCAGCAACCAAAGGTAGTGGCTTTGAGAATGTCTATTATTGAAATTTCAGATACATAATTAAAGTTTTTTATTGTGATTTCAGTGTTCTTTCACTTCTTATTTGGGTGTTTATTTTAACTGCATTCAGATGATCATGTATGAGGTTAAAAAGCTAATATGAATTAGAATTTTGTCCCTCCGCCAGCCCCTTTGTTCTTCCTCTATGCAGGCAATCAAACCATGAAGTCTCTTAAGTAATCATCATTTCCCATTTTATCTGAATCGAGCTACTGTGGTTACTTGCTTTAAAAAAAATCCAAAGCATAGAGCACTGGTTTTCTAAATTTTAACTAAAATTCCTTCTTGGGGTTGTCCCTTCTTAAACATTGATATCTGCAAAGCATAGTTACAAAATTGAAGTGTATATAAACTCTATAGCCAACTACCTTCCTGGCAGATTGAACATTTAAGAAAGTCAATTCAGGCATGTGGAGCAAAGGGGAATATATTTTCATATTACAGTTCATTACATTTATTCATTCGTTCTTAGAACTTTCGAAATGTGGGCAAAGGCACAGAATGTAAAGCACCATCAGCTGATCTTCAGGTCTTGCAAAGCCCCTTCTTTGCAAGCACAGACCATCAACTGATTGATGGTGCTTGCAAACCCCATTTGGGGGCAGGTAGCTGTGACTTGATTGACATGGAGCCACATGGGGATGCCTGGCAGACCTTCCTCCACCCACATGTATGATGCATTGGTGTGTGTATATATGTATTACGGTGCATTGTTCGGAATGCAAAGCAGAAATTACTAGGCCACCAATGCTCTTTAACATTTATAGCTATGTGTTTCACGAACAGGCCCAGGATCAGAGCCACTTATTTTTAGTTGTATCCCCTGCTTCTAGATGACTCAAATCCTCTGCCTTTGAGAGCTATGGCATGATTGTTTAATCAGAGCATTATTTAAGATCCACGATCCCTTTGCTTAGAGGTTATGCATCTGAGATGAGACCTTAAACTTATTATAGTAATTCTGAAGTAAAATTATCTCTGTGTTGAACAGCATAATTTGCAGTTTCTGAAGTGGTTTTCCTCTTTTAAAAATTACAAGAGAGAGATGGGAACTTGCAGAATTGCAGTAAAATTGTTCAGTTTTCATATGTAAATGTAATCAGAATGATGGCAAATGTTTTTGCAAAGCCATATTCCAGATGTTTGGCTTAACAGGTTGTTTCTCCTCCCTTGCTTGTTTGGAAAAATGAAACATTTCTGTGGACTTAAATCATGAAATCAAATATTGGTGATCAGTACACCCTAAAATCCTGATTTATCCCTTTTTAGAGGAATTTGTTTGTATTTAAGTTGATGAATAAGATATGCAACACTTTAGCAGTTCATGGCTTCCTCTGGAGCAGCTTGCACAAAACATCAACTTCGATTTGGTGGAAGGCTAATGTGAACCTATTAAAGGATTATCTACTGCATGATGCTTTTTGCTGCAGAAGCAGTTACAGAGCAATGGGAATAAACTGTCAAACCTGTTTTATAACAGGGTTTGTTGATGACATCATCCAACCTTCTTCAACTCGACTGCGAATCTGCCGTGACTTGGAAGTCCTGGCTAGCAAAAGACAATCCAACCCCTGGAAGAAGCATGCCAATATTCCTCTCTGAATTTGTTTTAAGGAAAAGCGATGATAGGTTGCCAGGAAAGCAGTGGAGCCCAACTCAAATCCTGACTCTGAATCGTCGGAAGTATGTGGAAATTTTTATGGATTAAATTCTAGAAGGGTTGGGATACTATGAGATTGTAGACAAGGAATTAATTGTACATTTAAGCAAAAGGTACAACATATGGAAGTTGTCACGATATGCTGCAACTTCATCTTTGACAGTCTAAAGACAGAACGGATAATCATACATAAATGTAAAGCCAGCATATTACAACAGAAGTCTAAGAGAATATGGAATTAAACTATTTTGTTTCCTTTAAACAAGATTGTCTGTGGGGAGATTATTTGTGGATTAGATTCAGAGGATAATAATGCAAAACAGGATTTAATCCTGCAAGGGGAGATGGAAATTACCTGCATGGGATTCATCGCAAGAAAATATTACAGGATTTCAAGGTTTTCTAATGCAGATGTTATTCAGTATAAATTTATTATCTGTCAGATTTTGGTCTCCTCAGCTACCTAACAAGACTATTCTCCTACCACAAGAGATTGTTTTAGGCCTCTGAAAGGCTTGTGAGAGACGATTTTCCTTTGTGCCTATGCATAGTACTTCTAATTGAGGAGCCCTTTTGCCAGGTAGAACCAAGCAGGCCAAAAGAGGTTCATTCATTCTGGCCTGATATACCTTACATACAGAATTTAGCCACTTTTAAGGTAATCTCTGGTTCCCTGTCCTCTATTAAGTATTTTAAGTACTAATCAGTTCTGCTTGGGGTTTACTGCATGATTGGCGTGATAAATATAATGTGTATAGCCTTGTGGTAATGACAAATTTAGCAGGGCATGCGTAGCAGTTTCAACTTCCTTCAAACCCCACAGGCATGTTCACTGTGAATATGGTTTGCCTTCAAATCTGCCCTGCAGTAATGCTGATGGAAAGATGTTAAATCTGGCAAGGGTAAGAGCTCTTCTAAATTTGGGTATTTCTGTTTTGGAGAAATACCTTGCTGGAGTAAACCCCCTGCCATTATCTTTAATTTCTAGATACTTTGTCATTTCACTCATGTGGCATTGCAGCTCAACATCCCATATTCGTTGCTTAATTGTGGATGTGGCTCTCTCATATCTACAGGTTATCAGAGCCTGCAGTGTGAACCCTAGACTTCTCAGTTTCTTTTCCATTTTGTTTGACATGTTTGACAATTAAAATCAAGGGTGCCAGACTTACCGGGAAGAAAATTAGTTTTAGCCAGTAATGGAGCTTCAGAATCCACATCCAGGACCGAACTGGGATTTGTTCAAGGGGAAAAGATAGTCAGAAAACTGGGCTAACAAATATTCAAAGCCTTTGACAGAAAAGTAGTAATAACAATAGTTCTAACCCATAATGGACAGACTAGAAGTCCTCCTGTGTTACATGCATAGGTTCAGATGAAGTAGATATTTAGCGCACACAATACAAAGACCATGGAAAGGTAATTTGGAAAAAAATTGGTCACTGTTTATTATATTGGAGTAATCTGTTCCAAGATTCTTCTGTAATTGTTAGTAAAACTACAATAAATTTCCAATACAAACAATTTAGAGAAGAACTATACAAACGGGTATTTACGTAGCCCTAAGTATTTACAAGTCCCACCTTTAAGTCCACCTCATCTCTGCAAAGCTCTTGTAATTGAGAGGGTGAGTTAAGACAGCAGTTGAAACACATTTACAAGTGTGTTGGTAAGTAATGGTTATTAACCATAGACAAAACAGGGTTAAAAGAGACTATGTAATTGACATGGTTAGGGACAGTGGATATGCTAGAAACAAGAACAACAATGTATTTGAGGTCAGAAGGAAACAAGGTTCATAAGTCAGCAATATTAATATGCCTGTTTGGTATGCAGAAGGTGGATGCATTCCTCATCTTGTTCCAGTAACAGAAAGGATTACCATTTACGAGCATTTTAATGAACACATTGGGATAATTAATTTGGACAAGACCACCTGCCAGCATACTTGCACCATTCAAGATTAATTGAACTAATAATAGTAGCAGCTAGTGATGGACAGGACAATATCAAAAAGGCAAGATAAAGCTGGCTGATGCAGCCAGAGAATACTGTCACAAGTTGTTCTAAATGACATCTCCAAGACAACAAACAGGCACCTTAACACCCGATGTATTAGTAATGCCAGGCAAAAACTTCAAGTATCAAGGTAGCGAAGCACATGAGCTCTATTAAGACTTGAGCATCTTTGTGACTAACTCCTTTAACCTTATCCACATTTTCCTGTCTATGGTTGGCAGCCCTTTAGGGCAGAGAGATTTTGCAGCAATAGAGCACCTAACATGTATGCTACTTCTAAAGCTGCGGGCATGAAAATTAAAAGTAATATTTAAACCTAAGAACATTTTTACTTATTAGGGAACCAAGAAAAGAAAGTTATGACTAAAAGTAGGACACTAAACCACAAATATTCCACTGCATTGCTGTTCCAATATTATTATCACTCAAGTATCAATATTCAGTCCAGGGTTCAACAATCCTATAAAAATAGCAGATATTCTTTACAACAGACACTCGCTGTTTTTTCATATGGGTTATCACAATTGTACAGAATTCTGAAGTGTGTTCTATAATCTGTGTTTAAGAGAACAATTATTGTTTGCCAATGAATAGATTGGATAGGGCCACTAGAAAAGTTGATTACTACTTCTAGAAGTTGAATAATTTTTCTCCTTGCTCAGTGTAAAGCTGCTGCACCCTTTGGGCAGGGAAGTTTCCTTTGTCAGAGGGTGAATTTAAAGAGTCCAAAGAGATAACAGTACTTTATGTAGACCTATTGAATCAACTGTGGTTGACATCAAGTTGCTGTACAAATGTGTTGCATGGCTTCTGGACTCTACTGGTAGAAATAAATAGCCAAAAATGCTAAAATCCAGACACTTATCTTCTACCCCTGCCCACCCAAGATAAGATACAGAGGAGCTACAGGCGTTCCGTCAGTAAGAAATATAGGAGGCCACATATCTGGAGAGATCTTTTTTAAAAAAATAAAAATAAACAAATATTAATTTACACTCCACCAATCTTATATCATGGAACCAGAAGCCATATAATATTTGTCAAAGCCAGTCTACAATCTATTATGTGATGGTAAGTTGTTCCATTCTCAGGTGTTTGCCAGGTGTAGAGAAAAGAACAAACAAAGTACTTCACCTCATCAACTCAGACAAGGAGACAGACTTTGGAAACCCAACTCAAGTTTCTACCCAATTTCAGCAAAAAAGATTGGCTGAATTCTGTACTTTTTCTTTCACTGTCAAGTAAGGTCTCACTTACAGGAACTCCCATTTCAATGTGGAGCATAACCACAGATCTTCCAAGTCGACTTATTAAATGCTTATTTTTGAACTTGTTATGCTTTTGTATAAATAACCACCAAAGTGGTGGCAGGAGAGGCTTGGGCAATAAGTGTATTGACAGGCGAAATGAGGAATGTCTACTGAATTCTGGAGGGCTTTTTTTACAGACCTATTGCACAATCATGAGGTGGTGGTTCTTTCAATGAAAGCAGGAGACTTCTGAATCCTGTACCATCAATCGGATTCTGCAAAGTTTTCTGCACACATTACAGGTCACAGTATCAGTCCCAATCTCAATTCCACATGCTCTGAATCTATTTACTTGAATTACACATTAGGTATGGGTAAGGAACAGCAACTGCTTGGGGAAATGTAAGGTTTTAAAGATACTGAAATGTTTCACTTAAGGGTGAAACATACTCTTACTGCAGAAAGAAAAACCCTCAATGTCTGATCTGCCCAGAATGCTGGGCAAGCAGCAGGATTAGCACACTTTCAAGCTTCACTATAGGAAAATATTTAGTGGAAGACAGACCAAACAGAAAGCACCCATTTTCAAATGCTTTTGTGGAAAGGACTCCACTGCACATGTGATTTTGAGGAGTTTATTAAAGGAAAAGTGAAGCATCAGTTTTAAATTGTACAAAAGGAAAAAACCTCAAATTGTAAATGTACAATTTACAGAATTACTAGCAAAACCAATCAAGGAGACACATTTTTAAAAACCTATTGACTGCAAACTGAACTGGAAACCCATTGGAGGTAACTTACTTGTAAACGGCTTTTGTTTTACAGAATTCTATAAGGATCAATTAAAATTCAATTTTCCATATGAAGGGCTGTGGAGCACAAGGTTTGTCTCTGATGGATTTAAACCACCAGCAGCTATGCCACTCTGCCCACTACACTGATGTGCTACTGCACCATTTGTGTCCACTGTTTTGGGAGAACTTGTACTTTGTCCTGAAGCACCAACTCAGTGACTTTAGCAACTTTTCAATTCCTAAACAACTGCCTTGCTTGAATTATTAGATGTTTTTGGCAACCAAAATTTGAGTACTGTACAATTTTTAGGAGGGGAAATCCCAACTAAATGATTTGATTTAAATGGTGTCTTTGTCTCCCAAAAGGCAAGTAAGCATTGGATGCACCTTGAATTCAATAAAAGGACCTTTATGGGAGGTAGGTCAGAGTTATTTTGCAACTGCTATCAAAAAACACCTCTGAAGCAGGTATATTAGAACTGGGTCAATTTAGATTTGCTTTAAAGCACACTAACATTTAAACTCCAAAAAGAAGACTAGTTTGGCCTCATTTTTACAAATGTTCTTATTAACAGGAGCTGTGCTCACCTCCGAGGAACAAAATCAGTCCTTTAACTACATTAGCAGCTACCAGGAAGAATCATAATATCAAAGCAGAGTGAAAGTCCAGATCATTGAAGACACTGAAAATATCTTAGAACAAATAATTAGCTGATTGTTTTTTGGATTGTTCTGCTTTTTAGAAAATCATTTAATAATTACTCTTAATAATGCACAGTTAACACTGAGAATGTAGCTGTATTCCATTGTAAGCTTAAGAACGTCACCATCTAAGCACAAGTTTCTATGCAGCACATACAGTAAATCTAACTGGCAAAATTAATTTACAAAAATAGCACAAAAGGGTATTTACGGCATGGAAAGTTAGACACTTCTCTATGGTACAGTTAAAATTGCTTTGAAAATGCAAGTGTGACTTCTGTCTCCCTCCTCCCACCACCCCACCCGGTGATTTGCATTCCTCAGGAAAGTTGCTGCTTTTGTACCTCAGATCTGACAGGCCATGAAATAGGTAGTAGAAACAGCAAATAGATTACTTTAGAACCACTGGTTTGTTTTTCTGAGAATATTTTATTTGCTGGTATAAGTTGCTAAAAATGCACAGAACAAGTACCAATAGAAAATGTGCTGTTTGTGTGTTCCCCTAGTGCTATATAAAATGAATGTTACACAGCGTCTGTTGGAAAAGTGGCTTATGGACATCTCTTATTTTATGCCCTCTTATAAATAAAAAATAAATCTTCTCAGAAGTATAAAATCTGGGGATTTTTTCTTTTCAGAATCTGACTTTTTGGCAGAGATGCATACACCTGACTTCTAGCCTCTTTTGCAAGAGTGTTCCACTCTCAATGGTCAGAGAGGATCTAGAAGTGTACCATACTGCTAGTCACATCCAGTGCGTTTAACAGCACTTCTCCAGCCAGGATGGCCTGCTGATAGCATCACTGCTGGTCAATGGCTGACAGGCATAAATTTAATAAAATGGCTAGCTTCTAAAACATAAAAAGGCAAATGTTAAAACATTTTGAAGTTGTACAGCAGAAAAATAAAGTTAAAAAGTTTTGTTTTCATTCAATGTTTTCTGAAAATGTGTAGAACAGTGTTTATTTTTTAACTGTTTTAATTTAAAAGCTTCTCCCCATCCAGGAAAAAAAACCTGCATTAGGACTGTCAAGGACAGGGAAACAAATGATTTGTAGGTCAGCCTTTCTGAGGTGACTGGCCAATATTCCTTGTTTCATTAAGAAGCTCCTCTTCTCTCTCATTACAAAAAGGAAATGACCTTAATAATTTGGTTAAAAATCAAACCAAATCACATCAAAAATGTGGTTTTCATATAAGCTATCACAGTATATAGGCCTTGAGCTCTAAAGAACAGAGTTCCACATTTGTATAGTGTCTTCGCCAGACTTCAGAACATTGGCATTCCAAATCCCTGGGAAAGACAATTGAGAACAAAAGTTACGCACAGGAGAATCCTTTGCAGCTCCAAGTGGCAAACAATACCTTGTGAAATCTTACCGAATCATCTTCAATGATAGCTGCGGAGTCAAAGAAATCTGGCCTCAATTCAGCTCTTTCTCGTCTGTTTCTTGAAGGGGGCTGGGAAAGAAATATTTTGTCATTGTCAGAGGCAGCAGGAGCAGCCAAGACAGCAAGTGTTAGGAAGGACTTTTTGTCTATTCCTAGCACTAATAGCAACTAACGTGAATTAAGAGCAATCTGAACGGTGAGTGGTGCAAATGGCAACTTTTGTTGCCAATTCAGGAGCAACACTTAACCAACAAGAAGAGATCCCTGAATATGGAAGTGAGAGATAGCTCAGGACCGGGGGGGGGGGGGGGCACAATCTCCTATGTTAAAAAAACACCAAGCAATAAAATTAAGAAAAGACAGAACATACTAATAAAGCACAAATGCAGAGAGAGACAGAAACAGATTGTGAACCCCCAAGGCAAGTCTGGACATGCAAGCCCCCTCAACTATCTCATCTCAAAACCGTGGCAGGCAGCTCAGAGGAGGTGTCCTAGAGCTCAAACGAGAAAAGAGTAAGGTATTGTATATTATTTTTATTTTCTATTACAGTACTCCTATGTGACTAACAACAGCAGCAAATTCTTGTACCCCAGTCACTGGGCGGCTTTCAACAAAGTATAAAGGAACACACCAAAAATTAAAAACTTCTTAAAACATGCTTGTCTTCAGATGTCTTTGAAAAGCCACTAAGTGAGGATTTACTGACCAGATCAATGACCATGGTGTCTTCAAATTCTTCATTCATGTCCTCTAACTGGCCTCGTGAAGACATCATTACATCTTCAAAGATGGGCTCAGCATCATCCTCCATTAGACCCCGCCTTGTTGGGAGAAAAAAGGAATACGAATAGGTTGGTAATGAGATCAAACATATAACTGTTGGTCTTACTGGGTAGATACTGACTGAAGCTTGGATACTGTTGGCATCTGTCTGTATCAAGAGACAATGGGGTGCAGCTCTGGGGCTGAAGTGAAACCACTGTGTTAGCAGAAATGAAGTAACCTCCCTGGGGTGCAAGCCTAGGCAGAGTGTTAAGGAGCTCATCAGCTGCCCCAATGACAATACTACCTTCTCTGCCTCACTGATGTGGTCCAAAGGAAAGCAGGGAAATACGTTTGGCACTAGTTTGGCTACAGGAGTTGCCAGAAGGAGGAATATAAGGCATCATCCAACTTTTTTGGGACTCCACTCTGGATTTCTGTAGGGCTTACCCCTTAGCCTTTCCTTCTCCCAAGGATATGCCGCAAGCAGCAGAGATTTAGGATCAGTCTTCCTTCTCGTACATAGGCTTCACATCTTGACAAGCCCTACCTGCCCCTCACTTCCCTCTACAGCATGTGGAGAAACACTCTTCTTGACCACTGAACCCACTATTGGTCTTATCCACTCAATCTGCTGGAGCCTATCTTTACACGCAGGGGTATCCCTAACTCACCAAGGGTTTGAGACCCATAGGTTACCCTCACCTGGCTTAGCTGGCCAGTCAAAGCTGTTCCTGACGCAGCCTGACAGCTTCTAGGAGTCACAGGTGAGAGCTGAGTGCAGGGTGGGGACCAAAGATGGACAAACTACCCCAGAAGGAGCACATGTCCCCCATCAGATACCACCCCTCCCTTAAGCATAAGATAGGGAAGCTTGTTACTGTTCTTGCTCTTCCTCTCCACAAGGAACTAAATCAGTCTCCATTTACCACATTGTTATCCATGAACATATGGACCTCTGATTTCCACAAGAAACAACACCTGCCCAACTTCTGAGAAATCTTTTTGCATCTATAGAAGCATGGTCTGCAAAATTATGAGACTCAATGGATGCATAAGTGCAAATGCCTCATCTCAATTTTAAAATAATAGAAAAGAAAAGCTTTCTACCACTGAGATGCAGATATTTGCTCAAGCACTGGCTCAACACAACTGGCCTACTGTACCACTGTGGTTAAGCCTTTAGGTATGCTCTTGATACTTTTAATGTACTTTAATTCTGTTCAGCAGAATACAGAAGCTTGCACACCATTTCAGATCCATAATTTAGGTACTCCAGCACCAATCACATGCAGATATCCCAAGATAAGCCAACCTATGACATGAACTAGGGCCTGCAACAAGTCCCATTAATGCAACTTTTAACCAGCAGAAGAGACTACCATCACTGTTGCACAAGTACACAGTACAGCTGTAGTGCTCAACGGTGTTTACCAACCCAAATGTCACTTATTACGCATACTGTGGCAAACCTTATTCCACACCACAGCTTTGTTTGTGTGCGCTGTATATCTTTCTAGGGTTGCTGGACGCCAAGTGGCTACTAATACAACTAACCAAATTTTGTTTATAAATCACTGAATTATTAGTGTATATCTAACTTATTTCAGCACTGGGATCTGAATACTTACACTGCATGCCTTACACCACTTCGTCCTTTCATGTAGCTCATTCCCGTCCTGTCCTTTCGACTTAAGTCTTCTAATTTCTGTTGGCCCAGCCAAGATATCTGCATCTGAGGACTGAAGAATATGGTCATTCAGTCACAGGATGGATACCAAACATACCATCTCTTAAGACAAATCTACCTCACTAGGTTCTTGTGTGGATAAAAAGGGCAAGGGGAAGAAAACAATGTATCCCACTCCTAGCTCCTGGGAGGAATGAAATGATAAAAACATGATAGTAAAGTAGAATACACCCCCCCTCGTTGTTTTACACTGGCTTCACCCTTCCAGGGTGCAGCACTCAAAGCACAATATTTTGTGCCTCAGAAAAATGCAATACTTTACCCTGGTTGTTTTTGCCATGTGGAATGTGACTGCATTATCTATCACAAGTTCTGTTTTTGTCTGGAAATCTTTTGTTTTGTCTTTTAGAAGAAAGGGGCAGTTGTGCTGCCAGTCACAACTTGGTGATATTTTTAAACAAACAATAAAGAATCCTTGGGAAGCTCTGCACTAAACTCCCCCTTGCCAAATTCCTTTGTTTCAGTTCAAAAACACAAAGAATAGGAAGACTGCATTTGTATTCGTTTATGAAAGTGAGGTTTTTAAATTAAGCTTTTCTGGTAGAATTTTCATTCCAGCAGCATTTTAAATAGGAATTTCCTTTTACAAGGGAAGCATTTCATTGGTACATACTTGTGCAAAAAATCCTGCTCCGATCCGGGTTCTGACTCGTGTTCCTGAATTTGCTCCCCAATTTGCCGAGTGTTCTCTCTCAGCACCGTTGATGTGAGTTGTGGAGTCTGGAGAGCACCTGGAGTTTGGATGCTGTCGTTTCTATTCAGCCAGGAGCCTTCAATATTCTCATCTGACAAAAGATAATAAATTATTACACACCATAAAGGTTTAGTGCTATTGCCATTTTTAACTTGTGCTGATAATATACCATTTATTTTAAACAGTTTATAAAAATTTAGTTTTCTGTCACACTGAACAAATGCAGATTAATAAATCTAGCATTCTTCTTCAGGTTGAGCTCTAACGTATTACTTCTGTGCCATTAAAAACACACCAGCTCTACAACAGAAATGTTTACTGCATAATCTATTTTTCTTCACAGACATATTGTAGGCGTTAGGATTTCAGCATTATAGGGGATTTTTTTCATATGGTGTTTGCATCATGGTTCCTCCCACCTCTGCAACTATATCTCCGGAGGCTTCGCGTTGCTTTCGCTGAAGCCGGGAGAGCGAGAGGCGTCGGTGCGCACCGACCCCTCTCGCTCTCCAGGCTTCAGGGATAGCCGCCTGAAGCCTTCGGAGTACAGCACGAGTTCCCGCTGCGTTCTGGAGGCTTCAGGTTCCTTTCACTGAAGCCAGGAGAGTCTTGCTCTCCCGGCTTCAGCAAAAGGGACTCAAAGCCTGAGGAGCGCAGCGGGAACCTGCGCTGCGCTCGGAACGCTTCAGGGATAGCCGCACGCAGCCCCTAAAGAGAAAGCCAAAACAGCAATCGGGATCCATCCCGCTCGCTGTCTTGGCTTGTGCCATAGCCGCATGCAACCCCTCCGGCAGGGAGAGGTTGCGCGCAGCCTGTACGCTGTTCTTTGGGGCTGGGGGGGAAATAATATATATATTTTTTATTTCCCCCTCTAAAAACTAGGTGCACCCTATGGTCCGGTGCGCCCTATGGAGCGAAAAATACTTTAAATCTCTTGGTTAATTTGAGACTTGAGCCAAAGGGCTTATCTCCTTTGACAGGTAGCATGCTTATGTTTTTTATGTTTTTTGTTTCTTAAACTTACTGTGCTAGATTCTATTGATGTTACTTTGTTGTGTCCTCTGTTTATAACCTTTTCATAATAAACCCGTTTTGAAAAGCTGCATAGACGTTGCAAAATAACGAAATATTAATAATTGAGGAACCCCAATCTCCTACCCAACTGCTTGTGAAAGCTTAAGCAAGCTGCTCTGCAGGATATAATTTTTTTGAATATTTCATACCAATCTGTTTAATATATAAATATAGCATCTGGTGATCTTGGCAAGTGAATTTTGTGTCATTCCCCCAAATCCACTAATTTGCCTGACTTCTTGATACAAACAGTATATTGACCTTTTAGGATTACTCTAAAAAATCTGCAAAGCTTTCTACATTCTCACTGCTCTTACTTCCTCCTTCTCTTGCATGTGGAAACAAACCCATCTGATATACCTTCAGTAGACGCATGTGTACACACATTTACTCAATTACTTCTACTGCTACACTAAGAGAAGGTCCCTACAAGATTTGGTCTATTCAGTTTT